CGTTTGGTGTACGTAGAACACAGAGAGATTAAATAATGATAACGAACTTTATCTGTTGTGATTATTCCTCGCAAGCTTACGGGAAAACACAGGTATTTCCTTCACGCCAGGCTATTTCGATCAAGCTAAAAGTAGATAAAAATGTCTTCCTATAAATCAGTTAAGAGATGAGGACACCTGTATTTTCATTTATTAGCGTAATGGAATAGTGTAGACTTTTTAAAAAATGGTCGTCACTTTAGAGAAAATGATTGTATTCATAAGGGAAACTTAGGTCGTCTAGCGAGTTACGATAGCCGTAAATATCCTCTGTAATATGTAATTGCAAAATTCATGTTTTCTTAATTTATATATATCTATATATGTATATATGAATTAAGGCGAATAATACGCTAGTTTGAAGAAATCACGTAGCTCCTCATATTTTGATCAATTCAATTCAGTCACCATCAGGAGGAAAGTACTCGAGGAGGCATGTTTAGATCTAAGGAAATGGCCGCGTTAATTGTTCTGTCATAAGGATTTATCTCTCTATTAAGATATCACGATATTTTAAATTTTATAAACTCGATACCTGGGTGTATGTCAAAAATAAAACCATTGGACATGGGTTGATTAATACGATGAGTCAATTCACGGTAAACAGTACACGTGAGTGGAAATCACGTTTCAGCGCAAATGTGTGTGGTTACACAGCCTAAACAGACCAATAGACAGACGAAAGTGATAGTTAATTTTTTCAAAAGAAAAACGTGAGTCGTTGTGTCGCCCTATAATATAGACCCTCTGTAAAAACTCGAGAATGTTATTTGGAGTGTTTGTTGGCACGAAAGTTACTGAGTATGCAAGCGCTTACCCGCCGGAGATTTTGCTACCTTCACCCAAAATTGCCCTGCGAGGACGACACATTGTGTATTGTCTGCGAAGAAAAGTGTTTGGCTCTGTTATACGAAAAACCACAATTGCGGCACCCAAGGCTTAAAATTAACGGAACCACAGAATTAACGAAGCTTTGCCGTCCAAGGAAATTAGCTTTGGCTGGAAAATCCAAATCAGCTGATTACGGAGAGAGACGAAAAAGTTGTCATGATCCAACTGATGTTAGAATTGTAACGTTCTCTATCGCGAAAGGTCTATTTCCCGACTTCTTCCCTCACGAAGAAATAAAAGATTATCATCAGCAAGAATGCTTCTTCCCGCTTAAGTATCAAGCGGATCCGGTTTTCAACGCTTGGATGAAGCTTTTTGGGCATCAAATAATAAAATGACTCCGTTATGACAAGCCAACAACATATCAATTGTCGTAAACATTTCAACGAAAGGCCTGCGATACGTTCAAAATTAAAAGTTTGTACATAAAGAAATGAATTTGCGCTTTTACATGTAAATCAGATTATCACTTGAAGGAGAATAAACTTCTTATCTTCTCAAGTCTAAATTTGTTTCTTTGAAGTGCCAAAAAGGCCACTGAAAGAAATAAAAAAGTGTAAATAGTGACTCTACATTCGTGTTGCTTCCAAGAAGAAGAAAAAAAAACTCCTGACAGGTGTACTGTTGACACAGAATAGTTAATATTCTTAATGATGTAAATAATATATTGGCCAAACACACGGATTTCTGACAGTTTTTGTTTAAGTCTATATAATACACTGAATTGTAATCGACAGAAATTTAGCATCGAGTTTCTTTTAATCAGCCAAAAAGATTTGAATGGAAAAGGGACTTCCATTAAGATCTATAATCTTTCACATATTCCTTTTACCGGTATCTTCTGTTCTGCAAAAACTCAGAAAGGGCTGAATTTTAATGTATCTTCATTAAACAAGAAATTTCGCTTAAAAACGAGGGATAACAACCGTAATTTCAAGACTTTTCCGCTTTACAAGTAAATCATCCTTTTAGTCTGTTGGTAACTAATCGTAACTTTGAAAAAGAAAAAGAGATAAAAAAAGCGATGAAAATTCGTGCTTTGAAACCTGTTTGATAACTCCGGCAAGATCAAGGCCGAAGCAGACTAAACAGCCTCTATGAAGTAAACAAGTTTGAACCGTGTTACAAAAAAAACCAGCTTCTTCAAAACATGTTTATGCTTTGGTGTGAATAGGGTGTAAGTTCTCATTGTCTATCTGAGATGTTTTTTTCTATGATGCGATTAAATGAAACGTTATGCGTTTTTGTTCTCTGTTGTTTAGCACGGAGTAAGGGAATAATGACTCCCTACTTACTTCCCACGGTCAGGTTCACTGACTGTTTTCGCTGCTTGACAACAGAATCCTGATTACAAGAGGATTTTAATCACATTAGTAGGGATCGAGGTCACATTGTTAGATGTAGGGTCATGAAGCAGGTCACACTTTTTAAAAAACTTTATTTGACTACATTGTTGTTTGATGCTACGTCTCTTTTTATTATTATCATCATTGATTTTATCAATATAATCATTAGTATATATCAAAGAAGTGAATAATGCTTCTCGCGCACGCTGATTGGCTAGTTTGGGAGTGAAGAGCAAGTGCTATTCACCTCCAAGCAGCCGATGAGACAAAATCGCGCAATAAGAGTTTGATTTCCGACCACTTTTTGGTATCTTGAAAAAAGTAGACAATATATTTAGTTCACAGTCTCGAAGTTAGTAGTGAGTCTGTTCGTATTGTTTTTATTATTTTAATTATTACTAGCAATTGAATTTGGAAAGAATGTTCCATCCTCTTACTCAATTTGTATGATGGGAAATTCTTTTCGAGTTTATTGTTTGTGAGCTAGCACAGGAAAATCCTGATAATTCACGAGCAATGAGTGCGTTAACATTTTTATTATTCAAATGCTAAACTGTTGACAACATGCAAAAACACTTCAGCTAGCTTGAATTAAAAATTAAAAATTCGCAATCTAACCTTTCAAAACAGATATTCCTCAAGCAGTTGCTTTCTTGGTGTTTTTATGAATTGTATAATAAGTGAGAGAATCAATGTCTACATCTCACAAATCGTCAAACTTTGAGTCAACCGAAGCCATGGTGTAACGACAGTGGTGTGTTGAATTTACACCACGGCTATTTCACCACGATATTATCACAACCCAAAATCACGTGGTACAAATTAGCCAATCAGAAAATATACAATATAATGGGTTATAAGTCATGGGGTTAGCCGATAGTCTCTGCCACCATTGCAATTGAAATACTTGGCTGTAAGTCATGGTGATTATCTGATAATCTTTGTCCTCCACTGTAACTATAGCCGACTCGTAAACTTTTGTCCATTTTTAGCGGAACACAAGCCAGAAAATAAAACAAATCAATAAGTATTCGAATTCACGTTCTCTGTTTACTCAGATGTCCTTTCATTTATTTATCTTTGTATTTTTGTTCGTTATCCATCAGGATAAAATCTTTTCATTGATCATAATTTCCTTTGTAGAGGGTCTTTTTTGTTGTTTGGTCGGGTTTTGTCGTCCGACACTTTTGACGGCACACATCAATGCATGTAAAAAAAAAAATGGCAGACAAAAGAATCAAACAGCTCTGCAATAAACCTTTAAATTAAAAAAAGTTAAAACCATAAAAAATAAAGCTGTTTTCAAAGAAAAAAAAAACGTTGCCATAAATATCACAATAAACAGCTCGCGATAGCAACGAGTATTTCAAAGCATATCGTTCTCCTTTTTCCTAGAATGTTGCATTGTAGGATTTTTAAGTTGCGACGGTTCTAGAAAATGCCATCTCGAGTTACGACTTTCTGGGCAAAATGACTCTGTCTCATATCCGAGCAAATTCAGGAGATAATTGGTTGGTATTGCAGCAGAAGTGTTATCTTTCGCTAAAAAAACTTTACACCTGAAAACAAATATTCAATAAGGCAATCATTTCTGAAAGATATTAAGCGAATATCGCAGCGGCCGCTTTTTCTGAGTCAGTGTCATTAGCTCAGCTGGCACAAGCTTTATAGGGCGCCTTTACGAAAAATTAAGGGAAAAAGAACCCATATTCAAGTTGCTTTGACTATTTGTTTTAGATCTTCATCAAAACTTCAATAGCGTAGTTTGTGTGATAATACAAACTGTTGAAACGCAAATTTGTATTTGATCAGGTGCGTGGAAGCTATAAATGCACTCAAATTGCAGAGTGAAATTACATAAAGAAATAACGAAATGGTAGAAAAAAATTATTTCCGAGGCTAAATGGGTTGTCAAAAAATAAATTATTTGATCTGTTATAACTTAATGAAAGCTGTATACACGACTTAGAGAAAACCACATCATGCTGAATCGGTGCAGATGGAGTCGTGCAGACCTCGCTTAGATAATCAATATTTTAGTATCTATCGTTTTGGCACCCGCTAAGACCTGCTAAGAAGCCGGCAGAAATGTTTTAATCTTTAATAGTATTTACATCTCTCAAGGTGAAATAGTTAGATGACAGCATCGATGCCGCGAAGGCCACAGAAACTGTTTCTCTCTCGCTTCCTTGGGAATTGGTTCATATTTTGATGTTTTTTTTTGTGGCCTGAGGCGCTTAAGAAACTACTCCGCCACTTAGATTAACTTTCTCTCGGCCAAATTTGAGGATTTTTCTAAATTTGAATTTGAAAAACTCATAGAACTATCGCCAATCTTGTGCTGCACAAAAACTAAAACTGTACCTCGCTTTCTTTCCTCGTTAATTGTTTGGATTAGTTTCAGATCTATTTTGGTTATTATAGTGTACGAGTACGAAAGAAAACATGTCGACCATTTCTCTTTGTTTCAACCTACTCCGAGAATTCACAATACCTCTGACACATTAAGAGAACTCTCGCCAATCTAACTTTATACACAGACGTAAACTGCTCTCTACCTACTTTCCACGGAAATTGTTCGGATGCGATCTATTTTTGTGATTATAAGTACTAAGGTGGGAATAAATCCACCAGTCCGACCTATTCACGTTGTTTCAGCTTGCTCAGCTCCGAGAATATAAAAATTCCCTTTCGTATTTTCGCAGAACTCTCGCCGGTCTGGCTCTAACCATAAACTTGCGGCCCAAACAAATCCAGCCAGGACTGGACGAACGGATCGTCGCTCTGGCTCTTAATGTATTGATTAGCTTCCTTGTGAGCATTCTTAATCTTTTCGGGAACGCATTGCGCCTCGCTGTTTGTAAAGAATTCAGGAAAAAAAAACTCAACTTCGGAAATATCTTTTCTGACCGCCGGAGATTTCAGCGTCAAAGCGTCAGTATTTGAGTTTTTGTCCATACCCGTGGGTTTTGTTGATACTTTCGGTTTTTCCCGCCAATGTGATGTCGTGGATAACTGTGTTTCTGGCGTTGCGTGGGAGGAAACGACTTGTTCTACGCGGGGGCTACGTGCAACAGATCTTTCTGCTAGAGGAATTTTACTCAGTGTTCTTGCTGCAGTACAGGCACCACTTGAAATTTGTTCTTTCCCTGGAATCGAGACCGCTAACGAATTCTCATTTTCGTCCTGTGTCTCCGCTATTTCGATTATTGTATTTAGCCTTCTGGAGCGAATATAGTTTGATTTTTTCAGCATTTCCCTCATTTCTGTCAATTCTCTTTACAGCATGCTATGTGGAGAATGTACACGAATTGTACGGCTACTGTTGAATGATTATCTAACCAAGCAGACTCTTTGATGTCTATATATATCTTCCACGAAGTACAAATTGCATGCGGAATTAAAATATTATTCATTGCTTAGCAACTAAAGGTGACTTATTGGTCCAAAAATAGCTGTTATTCATGTTTGCCCTTTTAAGGAAACAAGGGGCAGACAGCTGAATGTTCTTTTCTTATGTTGATTAAAAACATCATTCTGTTTGGTTTGTTTTTAAAAGCTTCTTTCATTTTATGGACAATTCCCCAAAGAAAAGACAATTTAACAAGGACTCAATGATAACTTCGAAGTTTATTCGAAAACAAAATGAAATTTTCTTCATAAACTCAGTTGTCATGTTATGGAAAATACATTGTTATCTTTTAGTGATCGTTCTAGGGAATTCTTTTTACTAACAAATTTGCTTTTCGTTTGTAAATAGCTTTCAAATTATGACTATCCCAGAGGATAACTTAGTTAGGTGATATTTCGCTTAAACTCTAAGAAAGCCCACAGAGTATGAACGCTAATGCGCCCTAATGCTTTTAAAATTTAGTGTCCATACACAATTCGGCGCCTTGCTAAATATTCGAAGGATTAGCATTTCAACAGTCACCATAGGAATATATATAATTTTGATCTCGGCTACGAATGAAATATAGATATCAATGTTTTTGAGGAACGCAATACTTATGAAGATTCAAGTAATCCGGCTTGTTTAGTTGCGAAATCTGCAATTTTTTTTTGTTACAATGAGAAAATTCACGTTGAAAAAAAGTAGTTTCGAATTGCTTTCTGAAATGACGAGTTAAAACATTACAAAAGCTCTTCAATTTTTAATTATGAATTTGTAAATGTGTCTCTTAAAACTGCTGCCATTAATAGTACATCATTTTGAGCAATATGTCCATTACCGTCGCAGACGGCTTTTTACAACTGTCATCAGAAATTTCTAGTAAAGAAATAAAACTTCATGTCTATTTTTAGGTAGTGTGGAACGGGAAGTCCTCTTTCACCTAAAAAAAGATATAGAAAGCCCTCTGATGTTTTTGTTACATGTCGCTTGCTGTCTAGCATGAAAATTCTGTAGATGGTCTTCGATCTGAACCATAAAAAGTTTCTGCAGAAATAAAAAAGATCTGTGAAATAAAACGCCACAACTTTCAAACCAATGAAATTCTCTGCGTGAGGATTTTATGTAAATTCATATTCCTTACGCTGGAAATCATTCCAAATATATATCTGCGAATGCTCTACCATACAGTACCCGTCTGAATAACGAGACAAGTCAGAAAATTAATTTTTTTCTGTTTAAATTCTACTGCTTAAAAAAGCTAAGTTTATTTACCACAAGAGATTATAAACAGTCTACAATGTCTTGGTTCCCATCAGAAAATAAAATCATCTCGAACTGCAGCATTACTTGTCCCACAGGAAACACCAAAAAATTGCATCTGCGAAAAATCAAATAGAAAAAAAGAAGCTACAAATGTTTCATTATGCTATTCAACATTGACTTTTAATCACATGGGAATTTCAGCTTTGTAAAATAAAGTAGAGGTCCACACTTTCATCTAGAAGTAGTAGTGTTGCACAATTACGCTAATGTCTACAAAATATCGTTGAAACATCATGGTCATATTTACCACGCGTCTGACCACGTTTGGGGCAATTATTTCTACTTTGCACCATTAAATGGTCTTAGTCTATATTTATTTAACTGAGAGAACTCAGTTTTTTCTCAATTTAAAGCAAATACAAAAAATTATCGAAGAGCACCACGCTAATGTACAAAGAATTGACCATTTCCCTTCTGGACGAATTTCAACTTGAGTAACGGACTTAAAACCGGCACATGCAAATGTGCGCCCTAATCGCACTTGAAGTTTTGGCGCAATAAGGTTGTGCAATGTACAATTAGTAAGAATTTATTGTGAAAAAGACTAGAAACAATTAACTGAAGTTTTAACGCCTCTGAAGATGAGGCTTTTTAAGTCACGTGGTTCTCCAACTTTCATCCACCGAACCAACATATTTGTGAGCTCTGACCTTTGGCCTAATTTCCAGAATTTCATTCTGACCTAACCATTTCTTTTAATACATTTCTTTGTTCTTGGGGTAAAGAATATCGAGGTCCAAAATAATAACAATTTTTAAACTTGTCCAAAAGTAAATTTACGGAACTAGTCTAAAGATATGTAGAATATATATATATATATATATATTCACTAACACTATATATATATATAAATATACTATAAATATACATACATATATATATATATATATATATATCTATATGCGCACGCTCACAAGGTTACTAGTTTGAGTACTTTAGCATGACTTTGATGATACCACAAGTGTGGGATTATTATATGTATATATATAAAAATCAATTAGTATTCAGTATAACGAAGGAGTTTTAAAATTGGTACTTGTCGTTGAATTGCGAATTCATTGTTCTAGGGTGGTGGAAGGCGGCTATAAAACCATCGTGGATATGGTTTCTTTAACTTCCTTTTTCTTACGATGGAACAATGAATCATATTGGCGTCTCTCACTCCGAGAAGGAGTTAAAACTATAAAAATTTCAACTAGTGCTTGTAGCAAGAAAAGCACAAATATTGGTGAATCATTGCGTGATGCTTCGTTAGAGTTAGGTCACAACCCTCCCGCTACAGGTCTAAAACATTTACTTTACGTTTCACCTTAGTTTCAATTAGGAAAAGAATATAGATATTCACAGGAATTATAATGAATGCTCATGTTCCATTATTTGCTATTATTGTTGAAGTCAGCATCTTATCATTTTGCTCGTTTACTGAGGAGTGTAGACAGAACAACAAGAACAGTGAACAATGAAAAAAAGAAAAAACAAAGATATATTCCTGCGCTTAATTTGGAGGAATATTTCTTTTTCGTGCAACAAATCAGGAAAGCTAAGTTTTAAGTGCGAGATTCACTAGTTTACGTCACCTCATTCACGTTTTTTTTAAAAATTGCGTTAATTGTGTTTTAGCTATCTGTCAATTACGCACGTAGGTTAGCCACCGGTAAAAGCCCCTCCATACCGTCTGTGGTACTGACAAGTTCGTATAAATGCAAACAAGGGAAGAAGAAAAATCATGAAAAGACTATTACAATAGCATTTTTGAGCGTTCATTTCTCTGTGTGGAACTCATCATGTATAATTGAAGTTTATTTGGAATTTTAATTTTTTTGTGTTTTATTGCACGTCTATAGAGATGCTTTTACCGTCGTAATGAGAAACAACTCGTCAAGACTTCCTAAGGTGTCGTGCATTTAGAGACTGAGTTCATTTGTATCTTTTGTCTTCAGCAGATAACAAAGCTTTATCTTAAATTCAATATTTATCACTGAATTGACCGAGACAAGTTTAATTTATTCGTTTCATTCGCACGTACCATCGAAATAATTATTATTACTATCGCTCCAATTTAGCTGGTTGTGTGTCATGGATGTTTTAGGATTTTGTTGAAGAAAAAATAAGCGGATACTTTAATATGAGTTGTTAGTAACTTTGGCTGTTGTCTGTAACCCTTTCTACAGAGAGTGATTTAAAAAGATTCTGATACTGGGTTTTGTGGTGTCATCTGACGTAGCTATTAAAGTAAGAATGTGCCGATTTACGGGATCTAAACACAGAGGTTACTCACCGATTCGTTCAGTGAATTTCACTCATTCGCGTCGACTTCCAATTGTTCTCGAGGTCACTGAGTAGACGGAATCAAATAAAAGTCTTACTGAAGTTGAAGAAAAGCAGCAAGGGGTAGACGGAGTCCGATCTGAAGAGAATGTTTCATCACCCTCTTTTACTACGATGAAAGTTTCTAAGCTCAGGATAGGCGGAAAGACGTGGGCGAGGTATCATTCCGTCACTGATGAAACCTCAGGCATCACTTCCATACCAGCAAATCCAAGACGGATGGAATAATTTTTTAAGAACTCCTTATGTCGACTTTCTCCCAGTAGAGAGCACGAACACGTCTTTTATACACAGTCGAATTTTGCCTTCAACCAAGAAGGCACAAGTAAAACTGATAAGCACAGACACTCAAGCACCAAAGCTAAGCGAGATTGCTGCTTGGATTGAGTTTTTTTGATAAAAAAAAGAAATGTAAAGTTATTACGATTTCGTTAGTAATATATTTAGCAGGATGGAAAAACAGACAACAGCTAACAAACAGGAGAAATAAGTATTGATTTAAAATTTTTCAAATATTTGATCGCTCTCTGCCAAAAGATCTACTAGTAGTCATAAATATAAAATTTTTTTTCAATCTGGTGAGCCAAAGGCAGCCATATACCTTCAGAGCTTCAGTGGAAATAAATCATTCAATGAGGGCAGAAGTCGCATTAAACTCTTCTTCCTGAGAAAAGTATCAGTTGGTATAATTCATTGATAATCGAGGCGGTCCAAATGGTTTCAGATTTGAATTCGGATTTAGGTTCCACCGATACTTTTTTCCTGCTGTATATTTCATGTCCTGGTTGTATATTCTTATGCCTTTCTGTCGACTGTAAAATACTATTCTTGAAATAGCAACTTTCATCGCTCTGTTGTTCAGTAGTTTGATTAGAAAAAGAAACACATTTCACAAACTTTCAGCATCTTAGAAATATCATGGCATGAAACCAAATCACTATAAAAACGCAAAGTATCAAAATCTTGGCCTCTGGTAAATTCTTTTCGCATATCTGAAAATGTTGCCAATTTCCCACGTATTATTCTGATAACAAAGAACCTCTTCACAAAAGGAGTATAGCGTACAGTTTTTTATACAACTGCATGATGTATGTTTATATTAGAATGCTTTATATTGCTATATAATGATGGAACTAGATTCAGGTTGTAAACAATGACCATTGTACTGAACTTTCAACTGATAAAATCGATGAATAAATTCTAGTAGCACTGGCGGTGCGTGGTTTACTGTCGATATCTTCTTTGTTATTAAGATGAGGTGAACCCCCATGTTGTCAAGTAGGTTTGTGATTCAAATTATTCACAGAGCCTTGCGGGAGTCATATATTTGTGGGCGTCTTGTCATCAATTTATCTCTAAAAATTGAGAATTGTTCTTTAAGTGTCTTTCTGTGATGGTGTAACATGTTACACGCTTTTATTTATTCTGCAGGAAAAAATAGAACGACACTTACGATATAAAGCAGAGATCACCAAGGAGCTCGATGAAAAAAAAACCTGATAGCAATTTGTGCTAAAAGGGGTTCTGGTTTAAAAAATAAATTAAGCTGTTTTTTTGAGAAATGAAAACAAATTGAGTAAATTAACATGAGTAAATAAGTGATTTCCCTCCATGATAAAGGAAATATTAACCAGATATACATGGAGAGGAAACAACAGAAAAAATTTAAGATAATCGAAAAAAAATATCAGAGCAAGCTCGGCAAAAGCAAAACCCAAGGGAGTTTCAGGAAAGGCCAAATGCTGTTCCCTTTAATAAGAAAACGAGAGGAAAATTCTGAGAGTTTAATTCTCAACCTTGAGCATGTTTTGTACGATGGGATATTCGATTGTGCAGTTTGCCACGTTCATAAGTAGAGATTACTTCAAAACTACAATATTTGCGGCATCGGAAATTAAAATTCTCTCAGTAGGTGTCAAATACGTAAGTACCTTGTATTTGTTTTTGTTTTTTAACGTGGCAGAATCAAGAGAGGTCGTGAACAAATACACGTCTTCTCAAGTTTGTTTTTAAGTCAGTTCGAGATCTCCAGCCGTGAGGAGAGCAATCTTACGACTTTTTTGCTCTGTTTCAACCTACGTAATTTCTGAAAGTTTAAAAAATAAATCATTTGCCGACACTTAGCACGCTGTTATATCACCAAAATTTTCGAGTATAGATTGAAAAGCATTGAGAAATCTTGATGGGCGATACTTCAGATTTCTCCCCATTTGAAAAGTTAGCGCAAAAAATGAAGACTTTGACGTGCAAAAGTGTCATAGCTATTCAAAATTCTAGTCAGGGACTGGTGAAAAGTGGATCTCCTCGTTATACAAATTTTATTGTACTAGATCTGTACGTCACTATTTTATGAAAACGGGAAATAACAGAGCTATTATCCAGCTCTTTTGACTACAATAAGGCTAAGTCAATGGAGGATATATCAAAGAGAAAAATATTGCACCGCATTTCACCTTTTGCAAGAGTACAGCGAGTGTATCCAGCCAGCTCTGGTAGCCAATCAGAACTCGGGACATAGAAAAATACCTCATTCCTCCTGAAGAATCAAATGACAGATAGGAAAATAATCATCCCGAATTCTGTTTATTGGTGGCTCAAGTTACGAGACATGAATATTCAAAGAACAAATACGTCTTTCTAACCGAGTTCGAGCGCCGTACTGTTTTCGCGGGTCGTGAAATAGACTAAGGTCCGTTAAAGTTACCTATCATAGCACGAGTGGTGATTGCGAGATATAATAAGAATCTTTGAGCACGAAAATGAATAGGTAGCTTGCTTTACATGTAGGTGTAATTTCAGTCTTAGTCTCTTGTGACTTATCTGGACCAATTCACTCGATGAGGGTTTGGAGCTCAATTATTTTTTCCCATTTTGGGTGATTCTCTTCATCTCTGACTGTAATGAAGAAAAATAAAAGATCATAGACCCTTACATTTTGAAATACCGGCTTCGAAACTTTACCTGAGCTATTTTCTTTCCCAATCAGTTTTATTACTGGAACATGAGCGGCGCAAAATACCTGAGATTGTCAAGATTCAAGGTCTACTCAGTATTTTGTGCTCTTACACTTATTTTACAATGTCGTCTGAGGAGCAGAGCTTGTAAAACTCTATCAAGGCATGAAACATTGGGCATTGAAATTGAAATTTGAATTTTAAAATTATGATAATAAGAGACGACTCTAATTATTTTCCCCAAGGTCAGATTTTCATTTATTTCAACTTAAGTTAAATGCGATCGTTATCAATGATACAAGTGCCCTTGCTATCATTATAATGTGGCTACCAGAGAAACTCAAGGATTTGAACAATTTCAAAATGGTCTTCACTTTTTTTCAAACGATCGAACACTTTTTTAAGTTCATGATCTTGCAATGTTTATGAAAAACTTCGGCGGTGGAGTGTTCGCACAAAGCTTAGGTAATAAAAGTTACTCTGCTAACACTCCTGGTGGCCTCACGTTAGGAAATGCCAACAAAGGAAAGGAATATGGTCTAGAAAAGAATACACTTTTCACAAACAGATTCTAGAACATTTATTCAACTTTTGTGACCTTTATTTTTCAGAAAAATAAAAAAAAAAAGCAGAGATAAACTCTATTTGTGGAGTAATCAGTATTTGTTCCACATTTAATCACTTGAGATTCTATTAGAATCACTGCCTCCGCCGCCGAGAATTTTATCACCATAAAAGGTAAAGGCTCTTCACCAGTTTTATTGTTACTTAGGTAAGACAATTAAAGCAATCCATGGACCGGCTTTTTGTCGGCTTGTCGACATTGCCTTTTGCGTCCAGATGTTTAATCAGAAACTATGATATTAAAATTCTGGTCACGTTTTCAACCGTAAAAAATAATGTTCTTTCAATCGCTAAAAAAAATTGAAACAAATATGAAATCTTGATAAAATTACTCTTAAAACCACGTAACTTCAGCCATCACCATATAATTTTTTGCGAAAAGTTTGTCGACGTATTTCAGACGGAAAGTGTTTATAATTGTTTTTGCTTTCCTACAAGTTCTACTGTTACGAATAAAAAAGTTTGATATCTGCCAAGCATATTACATGATTATGTAAATATCACTTTGACGTGTTCTCGCTTTGAGGTCCTGACAGCATAATTAAATTACTGCTATCAGTGCTGCGCTGTCTTATAAACAAGAAGCGCCTTGGCTACACTTACACGGAAAGAACTCCGTTTGGTTCACACTTCTTTGGAGTACGCTCATCGATTCTTCTATCACTCTTGGCTTGTTTTTAAGGATACTGGCCCGCAGAGCTAGTCTCGACAGCCATCACAGTGTAACTCGCAAAGCATCAGTTGTCCCCGTGCTTGGAGAAACTATTTCGAATATCGATTTATCGCCGAAAACCTGATAGGTCTGAAAAGTGAAAAGTTCAGGTCAAAAGTTAAAATTTGATGTGATGGATATATCTACAATGCAGAACGTTCTCCAAACCCATTTGGTATCACCCACCATCGCCAAAGAAAAACTACAATTTGATAAAAAGACACCACGCAGAAGTCTAGCCGAGATGAGTTGGCAAAAGGGTTCCAAAATACTTCCAGATTTTTTCCCACCAAACACCACGCAAAAGAAAAGTTTAAGACAACAAACAGGTCTTTCTGCTGTAAAAAGAGTTACAGTGATAAAGCAGTACTCGTGGGAAAATGAAGAGAACGGTTTCTCTGAGGCCCAAACCATTGCTGAATCGTGGCTGATGTATTATGGTTTCGATGGCCTCGATGTGAGGATTTCAGCCCGTTTATGATGTTAAAAACATGCATCAATACAATTCTATTTCTATGTTTGACTCTTGTAAGCTAGAAAACGGATATGAATCTGATTTCTCTGTTGTTGTATGTTGTCACTGAACGCCATAATTCAGCATCAATACGAATATATGCAAATAATTTATGAAGTTACTTAGGATTTTGATTTACCATACTTTGGATTTTTTCATGAAGGCTTTTCCATTCATAATGATGACTGACCGAACCAATACCTTGATTTTATCACGTAAACTATGTTCAAAAGCAAAGCAGTACTTATTTCCTATCATAATTTATCAGAGATACGTGCTTCGATTATAGAATCTGAAAATATCGACTACAACTTTGATTGATAACATTGTCTTCCAAACCTAATGGCCTATTGTATCATGGTCAAACCATGATTAAGTCCATTTTAATATATAATAAACGTGATCGCCAAATTTTACTTCTGACTTTCGCAGTTTCTTCCCAATCGCTTATATAAATTGTCGAAATTGGAAAATGATTGCAAAATATCTCCTACTCAAAAAAAATGCAAATATGTTCACAGTATTGCAGAAACGACTGAGAGGCAATGTAAAATCACAACTGTCGTTCGCTGGTTCAAGCGATGCGTGGCTCTAAAGCCAAAGAGATTTAATGTAACAGAGATTTCTAACCTTCCCCCGACCTGCAAATATTTGATAGCGCTAACCTCAAATACGCAAAAGCTGGGTTTGAATACGCACATCAATTACAGCATGCATTTCCTTTAGAATCCCAATAAGTCTGTAAGATCATTATTTCCGGCTACATAGGCCAAGTTGACTGGATTACTCGGTAACTTTGATGTTAGAGTCTCGCATAAATTTTCAGTGAGGGAAAAAAATAACTTGATAACTTGATTAAAGTTTTAGATGCTGATTAATGAATTTCTCGTCTATCGTTTCATGATATGAAGTTGTTATCGTAAAAGCAGTGAAGAATCAAAGCTCAGTCGTTATTGTTATGTCAAAAAATTGATGTCCTTCTCCCATAGATCCGCTTTTATTACTAACTGGCAGTTGTGCTTTTGAAACGCACTAATGACAGTGTGCTAAAACGCACGAATTGCAGCGATCCATCACGGCACTTAAACAGAAACGTGTAAATCACTCAACCTCATCGCTTGACGAATATCAATGGTATAGCAAGCGATCTGTTCGACATCCTTAATGGATAACTTCACAACACAACTGATAGCGACTAAATCGTAATACAAACGATTCATGCTGTTGTTCTTTTCAAATAAAAGAACAAGATTGTGTCGACAGAAATCAGTTTTGCCGCTTCGGTTGTTTCTTGTAGTCATGTTTCTGTTGGGCAAAGTGAGCCACCTGCTTCTCGACACAAGTGAGGACCGAAAAGCCCAAGATTTCCTCCCTATTGAAAGGCAGTTAAAAAATTTACTTGTAGCGCTGCTACCACCAAAAATGGCGGAAATGAGAAAAAGTGGAAGGGAAATAAAAGTCTTAGTTGTCCAATTTGGTTGCAATGCAGGATAAACGTGTTTTTGACTGTTTTTTTGATGTGTTTTTAACGCGTGACTATAATAACTCGCAATCGAGGCTTAGTCAATTATTCACTAAATGTTATTTCATCAATTGCTTTGGCCTGTCTTCAACACTTGCCTGTTAATCAACAGAGTGAAAAGGATTTTCACCACAGAAACAGGATCGTCAGGAGTTTCATCACAGCACTATCGAGTCACAGATGGCACTGTTCTATTTTTTGGGGTTGATTGAGAAGCGCGTCAATGCAACAGAAAAACACATTAGTTCTTTTCTGCAGCTTAACATGATTCTTCAGACTTTATACATGCCGTGAGTGATAATGATGGAGAACAGAATGACTATAAAACACCAAAATTAGACAGAAGATTATCACAACAAAGTCAAAAAACATTTTTAAAGGCTGCTAAGAAAAATTCTCAAAAAATGTCTAAGAAATAGCTGTTCTAGTTGAAAAACTACGGTTTGTTTTCTCACCAATTCGAATTCGAAGAGAGTTGTTAAAAAAATATGTGCAGCAGTTTTTAAGCGCTGCATTTGGCCCTTTTTTTAAAAGGGTAAAGCTGTCAAGGTGGCACCCTCTGTCAATTTCATTTTCTCTAGCCGTCTGGCTGATCGTCAAAACGGCACGAAATATGTAAAGTTGTACTTATTTACATCGGAGTTTTCTCAGTTTCAACCAATGGGATCAAATCACAGTAAATCTACTCACAGCAATCAGATCAGAGAACAGATATAACAAGTTCGTGCTCAAGAGTCTCAAGAGCATCGCCTTCGTTCGTGCCACAAAGACTCTAGAGTTTTGCACATCACCTCAGTGCAATTCTTTCACACACATCTTTTGAGTGGCGTAGAAGTCCAGAGAGAACACAACGCCATACATCGAGAAAAGAAGACATGGAATCGTCCGTGACACAAAAGATCTCCTATGTTCCTCTGGTTTCGTCTTACAGCAGCCGCAGTAAACGTAGATTAAGTCGCTCTGAGCGCACACAGAAACGTCGGGAGGTATTTCGTCGTAAAGGATCCAAAATACTTCCAGACTTTTTCCCACCTGACGAGCTGACGAAGAAAACTATGAATGATGAAAAGTTCGATCCTTCTAAAGGCACAGACATAAGGAAATATTATTCTTGGGAGAACGAAGAAAAAGGCCGGTCTGAAGTGGAAAAAATCAAGGAATCTTGGATGATGTACTTTGGCCTTACCAAGGCATGATTCTACTCTAAGCTTTGACTGTAACTACGTGATGTTCTCTTTGAAATTAGATGTTCTCATAAGCATTCAAATCTGATCGAGATTAATTTTTTTTTCTCAAAGAGTCATTCAGTTTTAGGTGGTTAACAAATATGATTAGAGACGTGGTCAACTAAGGAAAAGGATGAACCATTTTGAAGAAGAGGGAAATCAATTATTGTGTGTTTTTACTTTTCAATATTTTTGCCTCATTTCTTGCTTAATCAATACTGTTTTCAGCGTTTTCCTCAAATATGGTAGTCTATGGAACAAAATGTCGGAACTAAGTGACTTTGAGTCGAGATTATCTCACACGTCAACGGATCAAAAGATATTATGCAATAAAATCAATATTGTTCATTTGAGATCGACCAATAGGATTGTATGTTCATTAACAAAATGAAGGATTTGGCTCAAACAATCGATCTCAATGCAAATAATTGCTAAGGCACTGATTCGTTTGTGAATTATAATTATTTCATAGGTGAAATAAAACAAATACTGCCATGACCAGGATTATATGAATTCGACTCTCATTATCAAAATTAAGCAATCATTGGATTTCGACGTTAAAGAACTAGAAAATGGAACATCAAATGTTCTCGATATGAACTATACGCAGTATGATTAAAACGCTGAAAACGAGTTGAGGTACTTTTGTTTTCGAGGCCAGATATTTAGATAAATCAGTTAAGTTTTCGGTAATTTTAATGTTTTGTTGCACCATCGAGGCCAGGTTCGTCTGTAAGTCATTAAGTTCACTTAATCTCAAAGCAAGTCTTAATTTATAATAATTTATCACTGTGGATTATAAAAACGATTGTAGAACATAATTTAAAATAAAATAAAGCGAAAATACTACGTTGGTTGCGTGTTAATCTATTTGAATTATACAACGGTCAAAATGCATAACGTTATATTTCTTTTTTCTCATGCATTGCTACTATCAGGAAACGCCCTAGCTTTTTAATGACACTGCGTTAATATGTTCACCTGGAAAATTTAGCCCGACTGGAGAGGAATAGCAAAAATTTCAGCACGTTCGGCAATTAAAAAAATCAATTTGTCTTATCGTTTTGTCACCCAATTCGACTTGATTTGCATAGACCTGAAACAGGTCTTGACGATATAAATTAAACAAATGATAAAACAGATACTGATAATGGTAACATGTTGACCATTTTTAAAATATGAATTTTCCCCATTCCAGTTCTTCTCTATGTCCAACATGTCATGTGATTCCACTGATCTTTTCGGGCTAAATCATGAAGTCATGGAGAACTCGTGTTACTGCCGTTTTCTTGCATATCTGGGTAGAGCCTCTTTTAACGCTGTGAGAATTAACTCTCAACTCCCATGAGTGACCAAGACAATATTTCTCTTTCCAATATGAAAATGATACGAATAAATACTAATACCAATAAGGGAATTATGATTTGATCCAATAATAAATTCTCCAAACGAAAATCATAAGAATTTACGACAAACATCAAGGAGTATCTGTAATAGGATCTTGGTAGTGGAAGGGTTCTCCATTTCAGAAGGTGTGCTCAATTGTAGCTGTTTTTCCTCAGCCGTATCACTCTTGTTTTTGTTTTAACTTAGCAAACTATGTCATCTATGTATCATTGATTTATCCCGCGTAATTTCGCATATCTTTAGAGCGCGGTTTTACGATCCAACATGTATCAGCAATCAGTTCCAGAACAGTCAAGATTGCATCAACACTAATGATATATTCAGGAAGATGAAAATGCGCGTCAAAAAGTTGGAAAACAATAACGAAAACAATTGATGACCGACATAAATTATTCCCGTTTCCCAACAAGTGCAAAAAGTATTTTCCTCACATTTCTCATTTGCATGTTACGTAATGATGGTTACGATAGGGTAGAAAGTCACTGTTATTAATACGTGCACTTTCAGGCCTAGTTACATGACGACATTCAGCAGGAAAGTTTTTTTTTTGACCATGTGAATGAAAAATTGTTACGTATGGTTCCTCGCAGACCCCTTCGTCCAAAAACTCGTCCGTAGAAGATTTTGAACACGTAAATTTGTCGAGGGCAAATTTGATCGTCTAAATTGGGTGACAAGTCTCCATTCAAAGGTTTCTCTCAAACTAATTGTCATTGGCATCTTTATCTTGATATGGCGAGGAATTTTTCATTGTGCTTGGTTACTGCTAGACAGGAATTCATTCATCAAATATGTAAAGGCACTGAGACCCCAATGCTTAACATACACGGGCGATTTTGTTTATTAGTTCAAAAAAGAGCAAAAGATGCGAGCGCAAAAGAAATGTAGAAAGAAAGATTCAAAGCAGAAACATCACTTTTAAGAATTTCTTCTTGATCCCGTTTGGAACTTAAGCTGTGGCTTGTGATTGAACCAAATGCATAAAACTGTACCTCCAACGCATTAAATTATTTTGTCGTTAACTTCTCCAGGTGTTTGTCATGTTGTTAATGCCTTTTTTTTTTCATAAATAACTTATTTTTCTTTATCCAGTCACGACCTGAGAAGGAACATCGGTTGAACTTTCTAAAATTGAGTGATGACATGGATCTATAGCTTGAAGTTAAAAATGCACAAAACAAAAACAAAAAAAACTGGGGTGAATTACCGAGGACAAAATGCTCTCGGTAACTACTTCCCGATGCTCTGCAGTGGGGCATACGAAACATCAGAGTTGTTAAACATATTTCATTCGCCCTAATATTAGTCTATGACATTTTTGTCACAAAGCAATACCTCCCTCTCAGTTTCTGACATCACTGAAATGTTATAGATGCATGAATCAATATACATATCGTTATTTTGCCTTATTTTGCTCTATTAGATTTCCTCATTGCGTGACGAATTAATTAAGAGAAGGCCTTTTTAAGGGTTATGGTATTGACGTCAAACATTTAGTTTAGGGCATAAGACACCTTAAGGAAGACACCAATAAGGAAACACCAACGCTGTTTGTTTAACATAAGTTTAATAAATTCAAAATTTTATCCATTCCTCTGGAATTTCTAGAAATGAGAACTGTGAATCATTTATAGAAAATAGCGTTGGAGATAGACTTCTTATGACCACATTTGATTATTTTGAGCACAAATACCTCGACAACTAATGGAGAACTTCAAGATGTTGTTGTTTCTATTCGTTAGCCACATCAATTTTCGCCAGTAGAGGTACTTCTAACTCTTCTTAAATGCTGTAATTTGATAAAAAATGAATTGCATCGAACAATAAATTGGACTTGTTTGGCTTTTCGATCAAACAGATATAGCTGGTATCCAATTTCAAAATCACTCAAAGCTGTATCAAATATAATGGTGCTAAGTAATAGCCGAAAACAACTACTAAAAGCAAAGTGCCCTCGCCAGTTTTGTTGGTTTCACACCGAGCGCTTAAAGCAAAAATCGCGCATTTCATTTTTGAGCATTACGTAATCCTGGTTGCTGAAGAGTGAAAAGTCACATGCTGAAGAGCATGTTAACTCCTCGTTACGTAACAATATTGCAGTATAGATTTCCCTTGAGAGACTAGTTTTACCGCCAAGTTTATACTTTATACCCTTTGCTCTTTGAGTGCTGAGCATTTGCGTTTCGACTATAAAGGTTATTATGTGGTGGCATTCTTTGCATTAAATCATTCAAAACAATTCTAAAAGACAAGGAAAAAAACAAGAACAGGACCAAATTCTTGCCACTCTAACAGGATTGTCTAAGCTTAATCGGTAACTAAACCGAATGCGTAAAACATCTACTCATATATTTTTCATTATGGATCTCCGCAGGATGTTTGTTACGCCGAGCAGTCAATAACTTAAAGCTCGTTTCGTTTTGATTGATATATCGTACGTTTCCAAATTCGATAAAGGAGCAATGTCGATTAAGTTTTCTGCGGTGGAATAGGCTTCGTGTTTTATACAAGGTATCAGATACTAAAGCTTCCAAAAGAAATAAAACTTGGAACTAATGATTTTTGGCACAAAGTGTGGAATAAAAACTCTCGGAAGAGTTTTTGACTTCCGATAATTTTAAGTTCAGCATGTAGAGAATTAAGTTCAGCATATAGAAGAGTTGCCTTCGTCGGCGTTGAAGTGGTTGTGAAATAATTAATTTTTTTCACTAGGCATTGTGTTCTGAGCGAAACAACCCTTTCTTCATTTTCCGAGTATATCTCTGATGCCTCATGAACATAACCCATATGGCACTTCTTTTCATTTGCTTTATTTTTTGGTTTACTTCATCAAAGCGTGCCCACGAGCATCTTCGAAACTAAGTCAGTAATATGAAGACTATTTTTAGTGAAAATGTTATTGACGTCATCCCATGAGTGCTGCTGTGAGGGTCCATTAGAGAGTGTACCACTGATAAAACACCAACGCTGTTTTTTCAATGCAATAGTTGATTTAATATACACTTTGTTCTGGAATTTCTCGGAACGTGATTTATATAACATTTATAGCACTGAAGTCTTCCTCTGAAGACCATATATGGTAATTTGGCAGAACGGATAGCTACCAATATTACAAGACGCAAGTTTCTTTATTATTGTAAATGAAAAAATGAGACCAAGTTATTTTTGACAGACATCCTTTTTCAAAAACTGACGGACCAGCTTTCTGATACTTTTAATAATCTGCCGAGGAAACTTTATACCATTTGCCCTTTGAGTGCTCAGCATAAAAAAAAATATGCGTTTTGACCATAAAGGTTGTTATGTGGGTGGTATTCTTTGCATTAAATCATTCAAAACGAAACTAAAAGACAAAACAAAAAACCAAGAACAGGACCAAATACTTGTCATTTTCACTGGATTGCCTAAAGTCAAGCGGTAACTTACCCGAATGGCACTGAAGTCTTTCTCTGAAGGCCATACATGGTCTTAATGGTTAGCCACAAGGCATTACTGTTTTTGTCTTGCCGAAGGAAAACGTAGCTGGTCGAGGCTAATGTGAATTATGTGCAATTCTGCCAACATCCTTCGTTCAAATCACTTTAAAGAAGCCAAGTGAAAAAAAATATGAATAAAGATGTTCCTGAAAAACAGCGACAGTATGGAGAACAAATCGCTATTGAGTAACCCAGCCCCCGCACGTGTTAGTGCTGCTTATGGCGGAAGAGAAGTTTTCATCTTCTATTTCGCCTTGCGTTCAACATTGTGTATGTCTACCTCACGTTAGTTATTTTTTATTCTAACTTTTTCTTGTCTTCCCTGCGCATAAGATAAACTTAAAACTGATTCTGAGTAAAAAATCTGTAGGTTTGTTGCTGCCTGTGGATGTTTCTCTGATTAGATGAGCCATTTCCGTAAACAGGGTGGAATAAATAGATGCTCTCAGATTTTTTTTTAATCACGTCACGCTGTATTCTATCACCACAAGACCTTTGAATCAGCGCTTGAGAATCTTTTATTACTAGAAAATATCGAAAATTAGCTAGATTAGTTATTTCACTGCTGTGTCCAACTATCCTTTGTGAGGGCGGTTGATTTCGTGCGTGAACTAAAGCTCGTTAGAGTTCAAAGATGATGATGAACGGGGCCAAGTGACATGTTTAGTCGTGATTTTCCGGTAATGGAGACATCGAGAAAATCTTGAAGCATTGCATCGCCCTCCAAGGTCAAGAAATGATTTTTTCGACTATTTTAAAGGCTGTGACCCAAGTCATAAACATTTTGGTAGCGAATAAATTAAGGTAATTCCAATAGTTTGATTACGCTTGTGAAAGTCTGGAGGCGATCTTAAAGAAATTTATGACCTCGCGTTGAAGCTCCCTACTTATTTTTTTTTTCCTGTTTATTAAGACAAAGTTAGCGTCAAGAGTCTGGAAGTTATACACTCAGCGATCTTTCTGAAATAAGAAAAAAAAAAAACCTAAAATAGCCTTAAGAAAAAAAATCCCACGACCTCTCTTTCGAGGTCACTTATTTAAACATGCTTTTTGTGCGTGTATTAAGACAGACTTGGGAAAAGTCCAAATATTTGCTGGAAAATTAGAGGGGCGTAAATCTTAAAATATATCTTTCATTGGCAAACGACATAGACATGTAAATTTTGACACCTCTTGATAAAGAGATGAGAAATTTAGCGTAAATATTGCCGTCACAATGACGGACACCCTGACTGTTGTTTTCCCAGCTGCTCAAAAAAGGTTTTGAAAAAACTGAGCATTTCGTTACCAGGAAAAATAAATCTCCTGACAAAGTTCAACCGGTAAATTGCTGATGAAAGCCGAACACTGCGTTGGCAAGAGTATCATGTTTGACAGGGATCTAATTTTTAGAAATTCTGGTTTGATAATACAAGTTGATAGAATCCCACGCACGTCAAATACTTGTTTTGCTCGCCCACAGCGCAGGTGCAATCTATAAAACTTGTAACATTACGTGCGGATTTTAAGCCGACGTATTTGAAAGATTGACGAAATTTGAACACAAGAAATTGCCGTCAGGGCGTACGTTAACAGCGGATAATAATTCATCTTTGAGTTGTCATTTTTGGACAAAAGAACTCGCTGTTATAAATAGCTCGCATATAGAGGGGAAAGGATCGGATTCACAAAGCAAGGTAAAAGAGAAGAAGTGGTGGTTCTTAGTGAAATCTATCCTGGCGAGGACGTGGTACAACAGTGGTTATATCGACAAAAACATGAAACAAACTCTACCATTCTTACCACGATTAAACATGACTCGGCATTTAAGTACAATCTTGGAAAAGAGAGAAGATAACGAGGATTTTGATGACGACGAATGTCCTTTTGGCCGGCCGGTCGAAGGAACACACAGAAGATTCCAGAGAAGGGTTCACTCCTGTGGTGATTTAGTTGTTTCTAGAGAGTGTAGCAAACCCAATGATATTTTAATTCTGCCTGTGCTACCGTGCCTTGAGAATACTCACAGACAAGCATTACTCAGAAAGGGAACAGCGATAAAGGACAGTTATAAAGCCTGTAGTGATCAGAATATATTTCCGGATTTTAGGCCTTCTGATCGCAATAGGAACGAGATAGACCTTGATACTAAGACTGCAAGAAATTCTTCGCGGTCAAATACAAAGAGAGGTGGAAATTTTTCCCACAACAAGGAAAACATTGTTGCTTCGTGGCTTCAATTTTTTGGATAGAAGTTTGAGAAAAATCTGTACAAATCAGTAATGCAGACAGATCACGGCTGATGAGAAACTACCTCTCAGTCGATAGCTCAATGAAAAATCACGCGGAAAAAAGCTGAACAAGGAATTATGATATATTTTAGAGAAGTGCTACACCTTTAAATTTTAAGTCTACGTGACAACTTAGCTGATAAGGAAACGTTGTTTCATTTTTTTTTAATGTGCTATCTTCTCCAGTGAAGTAACGAGGACCGTTTTTTCCGATTTCGTTATTTTCTGTAAAAACTTGATGATGGTATAAGAAGAGTTAAAAAAAATAACAGAAAAAAGCAAGACAGACTGAAAAATGAATTATTTTTTTGAGAGAAGAAATCTATTTTTTTGTATTTCATCTATTGTTTAAGGGTAATAAATTCACCCGATTACATTCATTTAATATGCTTGTATAGTCAATCAATTTTCATTCCCGGTGGCCTGACAAGGAAAATTGAAATTTCAACCAGAGCACGTACAACATATTTCGATATTTTTCTATTAGCTTCATCATATTTACGGGTGAAAAGAATAAACAATAAACTCGAACTGTTGGTAAGTCTTTACAAATGCAAGTGTATCATCATAAAAGATATATACATAGCTTTTGAGTTGTGCTCCTTTATTCTTTTAAAATTTTCGAAAAAAAAAACATATTATGCAAATTTTAAGTTTCATAACAAAAGCCGTCAATTCCTGTTGTTTCGGACTTAAACTTGAAGTAGAATTTACATTGTATATTACCGTTTTAAAGTGTTTTTCCCCCAACTCGAACTCTGGTAAACATTGCATCAAAATAATTCATTAATTTAATTTCCCAATATACATCAATGATCGATGTGATTCTCCTGACGGCTTCACCTAGCTGTGTAGGCGAGTATACTTGATAATCAGCTTGTTGATCTACAGCGGTTTTGAGGTTATAAATCAATTGCAGCACGTACGCGGAAGCCATCCAACAATTCAATTTAAGCGTTTTGTGAAAGAAGCGGTAGGAGTTTGGCGGATATCGTATCAGCAAAAATTTTGAGGGAATGCTTTCTTTCCTATGTATTTTCAAAACCGGAATTTTCGTCAAGGTTTAGTTGTGCGTTCACTTAGAAACAAAATTGAATACACAAAAATATTTTAGGGTTTCGCTGGGGGTATGTGAGAATATCCCTTCGTTGCTACGACTAATCCCATCTGGACGATGCGCGTGTACGGTCAACAATGACTCCTGCATGTATGATCAAACTAATAACTGTCTAAGAAACCATAATCAGCTCCTTATGAATCATCAGCATGCTGGATTTATGAGAATTTAGGAAGATATGGACTAAGAATATGTGGCAAATTAAAGGATGTAAATCTTCTAAATTCTAATTTTTTCAGGGCGACATTTAAAGTGTTACGCTAACCGTCGTGTTGTGAAACGCTAACGTGAGTGAAACCACGAACTTATTGTCACCTTTGGTTCCATAGAGCACTTACAAAACCATATTTCAAGAGTCTTGGTGGAGAAAATCCAGCAATTAACCCAATTTGCATTAAATCAGATCGTGCATTAATGATTAACTTCTCTCATAACTAACCAGCGTCTCGGACACGTGAATGGAAGTAGGCAAAGCCACTTCATTCTTCGGGGAAGAGACTTTTTCGTTATTGTTATAGCCCAGTTGACACGTGCCTGGAAAAACGGTCTTTTTAGCAGCCAAAAAGGAATTCAAGGTGATTTCTTTCTAGGCCCAAGCTTATCATAGGAGAACAATAAACGAGTCGTCCTACAAAAACTTTTCGTTTAGGCATCTTTTGCGCGTCGGTGTTGACAGGTCCTGAATTACAATTTATTGTGTCATAAAGAGGTATATTACACTCTAGCTACTCAAAAGCTGTAACTGCACGTCATCGTCAACAATTTGTGGCTTTTTACGAAATCTCCGACATCCTTCATTGAACGTTAGAAGAACCCATTAGGACTAATAGTCGTAACGAACTCAACAGCTCTTTGAAAGAATTCCATACTCAAGTTTTACCCAATCGAGTATTTCTTTAGAGTTCTCAAGATGCTTCTCGATAGGACCCTTTTCTTCATTGCTAGTTAAGATTATAGATGGGAAACTTGTCTCTTGGTTCCTGCGTCGGGAAAGAAATTCTGGTAAGAGTTTCAAAGCCATATCAAGTTCTCTCCATCTGGATGGGTGGCTAAGGGTGGTTTTCTTTTCGTCTGATATCTGGAGACAAATACTTATGTCTGTGGAACGCAGAAGCTGGGTATTCTTGAGATCTGAGTTGGTCTCCTTTTCAAAATCATTTGCTGTTTTTTGTGTGTTTTTTGCCTTGCGTCTACAACCAGAACACACTTGACAGTGAGTCATTGATTTCAGAGATGGCAGCAGTGTAACCTACCCGTTTTTCAATTCGCCCGACAGCAATGTCTAAACTTATCAAGGTCCAATTTCTACGAACCAAAAGCGGACGACAACCTCGGGAAAACGATCATGTCTCTTTTGACTAGATATGCTTCTTCTTCACAAAGTAAACAACGACCTTCATCTGAATATATAGACCCATAACTAATTCTAGGAAATACGTTGGTTTCTTGAACTTTTACGAGTTTCGCGTCATTTCACGTCATTTCACGTCATTTCACGTCATTTTACGTGGTCACACGTCATTGTTAGAATTATAATTTCCTTCAGTATCGCAACAATCTAACTTACAAATGCGCGACGTGTTTATATGTCATGTATACATATATATATATATCTATTAATTTTTCAAAGTATTTCGTGGCCTACCTGAGAAAGTAATCATCTTTCTATCATGCCCAGTCAACTAAAGAAGAGCGAACGTTCAGATTCTGTTTTCAAAACTACACTAAAAAAGGTAAGTAACCGATGAAAAACATCATGGATTATGCAAATATGAGATAAACATTCCTTTCTGGTTCTTTCCAGCATCTGCTCCGATAAATTTAGTGTTGTTTGATATCAATGCTGGAAAGATCCGGCTCGTAACTTAGTCGTCCTAAAATTGGAAGGTACTCTGATAATCTATTCACCCAGTTTTTTGGTCTCATTCCTTGAAAACCAATCGGTCAAGGAAAATGTAGCACTCATTTTCATATGTTAATTTCTGACATTACAGCAAGCATGATATATTGTGTCGACAAAAAAACGGGAAGTTCTAACGCTGATGAATAATGCGAAAATGAATCCCCTTTCAATAGATGCTGAGTAGAAAAATGATGACAAAATATCTTAGCAGAAATCCATGAGCTGGAACAAAATAACTCTTTCCTGCCACAAAAATCGACTCAACGCTCTTTTTTTAAATTTTCAATACATAATTCTCTTTCAACGTTTTCTAATTATTTCCTGAAGCTGAACGCCACTTCACGCTGCCTAGTTTTAATTTAAGATGTCTGTCTCTTGTTCTTTCAGACAGATGAAAATCAGACAGGGGGGTCAACATATCATAGTTAATTTAACTGTTAATAACTGAATAGAAGGTCTCGGTTAAAATACATCACATTTTAAATCTATTCTCTATCGATTTATTTATTGTGCGACTGTATTTTAAACCGTAAAAATAACTGTCATATTGGAAAAACCTTTGCATTTTTAATTTTTTTACCACGTTTGCCGGTACATATAATGTTTCGTTCACAGACATCGTAAGTGTTTTTGTTCTCTTTTGGGAATATTTGAATTATTTGCAAAACAAGAGAAAAAGCTGAATGTTATGTGGTTAGTTGGCTCCCAGGTTGCAGTGCCACTGATTGTTGCAAAACCCAAACCAAAGTAATCGCACTGGCCAATCAGAAAGGAAAATATCCCAAGGAACCAATGAGAGATCAAAATAAATTCAAGCAAAGAAGTATGAAATGCTGGAAATACGAGTTACCAAGCTGTGACTGGTTTAGATTTTCATCTCATTGGTTTGAGGATGGTGCGAATTTTTCAGATCAATCGGAAACCGAAGCAAAGGAACACCGCAAAAAGAGAGCATAAAAGATCTAATGTCCCACTTCCTGCTCTTGCTTTCCTGCAAACTGGGCTTGTCCCACTGTCTATTTTTTAATTTTTTTTTCGGTTTACAGCGAAGGTAGGAAGTCACATCAGCTTTTGTTACGTTTTACCGTTAGATTCTTTAAACGTCATTAAAAAAATATCTTGGTCTTGTTTTATCAGAAATGTAGGTGTTTGAAATACATATCACCTAAGCATTGATGCGTGTGACTTCATCATCGACTTTGCTTGTCAAATTTCATCCTATGTTCCTTCTGTGAACTATAGTTGCGATTGTCATCTTTTTTTTGTGGAAAGACGAATAGCAATACAATTTCGTTCCACCGTGCGCTAACGCCTTGATAACGCAATTAAGGTTCCCTGCAGAATTTGACGGTACTAAAATCCCTCGATGTGAAATTTTAATTATCGAAATACCTCATAAAAAATGCGTAACTCTGAGGCACCGCAAATCTCAATGTTATCCCCTATAATCTAATCGCTTTGAATTAGCTGTAAAAATAAAAAACCTCTAGTCGATGTTTTTCTTTTTGTGATCCCTTTTCTATCAAAAAAATGTATTGTTATTGAAAGAAGAAACTCCTTTACGGTGCCTCCAGTGAATAGGAGGTATCGTGGAGAACTTTCTGACTCAAATGCACGCCTCGTAAGGGTTGCAAAAGCATTAAAGCTCGGATAGTGATATCTTTCCGTTAGACTATCAGACTCTTTTTTTATTAAAGCATCTTTAACATATAAAGACAATAACTTGTTTTCTGCTGATCTGATCTGATACATGACAAAGCGATTTATTATGACTGAAATGAAAAAAGAAAAACAGTGTTGGAGAAGCAAGGGAAATCAAGAAAGTATAGAAAATTAGGTTGAATTGAATGAAGAAATTCTCGAGCACCACAAAGATATCCGTGGACTCTTCGATATGATCAAATAAAATAGTCCAAGTTAAGAGATGCAAATTGTAATTCGTCAGTACCTCTAGTCAAACGAATTTACATGTATTTGTTTCTTGGAAATGTTTGTGTCCTATCACTCAGGGTTGTTGAGACTTGAAACTGACCTGAGAAAATCTCTTCCAGGGTTGGATACGATTGTAGGGAATCGTAACTGGTTCCTGAAGGTTGTTGAGGGAAAAAGTCGGGAAAACATGCCTTAGCAGCTGTGATGTCTTTCACATGCAAATTTATCGGCATAATGTTTTTCATCGGTCGGCAAGTAGTTCCGAAGCAAACATAAGAACTTCTCGCGGAAGTGAGCTGTCCTTTTGCATGGGCAAAGTGTAGAGGCTCACTTAATCTTTTATTCGTCACCAAATCTTCAGGCGTGTAAGCTGCACCATCGTCATCGTTATTGACGCACTCTTCTGCGATCATAAGCCTACTTCGCTTCAAACGTGATTCACGGTTACCAAACATGTTCCTTGCCTGTTTTTCTATATCAGGGGCCATTTCTGCTGCGCTGGTCTCCGTCATCGTACGTTTGAATGTGCTTGAGAGAAAATTGGATCTTTCAAGCTCCTTGCATACTCCAAGACTGTATTTATCTCTAGGTAGCTGATACATCGCTCCTTTTAGGTCTTCGAAGACGATGTACCTTTGCTTTTGAGCAATTCCTGTTTATATACTCGCTAGTGCAACAGCAGCTTGCTGCAACTGCTCAAGCTATAAATCAGGGACGTGCTCAGCAAGTTGGAATAACTAATTCGCCTCGAAGCTGAACTTGAGTTTTCGGCGTACAGTTATATGTACAATCATGGCTTCACGTTCTTACGTCAGCGTGGTCACGTTGCACTACTTGCATTTGTCACCTGAATGTTTACCCCATTGTCCCGAGAGTTCTGGAAAAGAGAAACGAATTTTCCAGCCAAAGGAAGTTAACTAATTTGCCTTACAATTAAATTACAATTTGGAAAGAAAGCGTGTTTGTTTTGCAAATACATGTGTTGTTTTTACCCGAAGAGCAAAAGCAGGGTTCATAATTATTCCTTTTGCCTTAAAAGGACTTGACAGCAACAATAGGATTTTCTCAGCAAGATGGCGAGTTAGTTGTTTGCGCAGCTGATGACTCGGTGCCGTAACGTCTGGTTTCTTGTTTCCGTACGTGGCAATAAAACTTTTAAGTTGCGCTTGTAGAAAAAAGCCTCTTTAGTTTAAAGAAAACAAAAATAAAATGATCACGAAATCGTTAACTTAAAGTCAAAATGCAAAAGATTATCAATGGAGAATAAAAGGAAGAGTAATAATTTTTTTGTGAAACTGTCTTACCTGTGCTTATGTTTGTGATAATTTTCTCAGTCGGTGGATATGCAATAATGTTTCAAGAAGTTGTAATGGAGCAAACCGTCATTGATAGGAATCGGGAGCGCGAATCGGTTGTTAAAAACATGAATATATCACGGTTTTTAGTAGTAATCATGTATGAAAATCGAGCATTTGCATGTAAGTTGTTAACCAAACGCATAAGTTCGCTACAAAACGTATTATTACTATTAATGAGATTTTTATTGAACTACGGACCACAGGCAATGTAATACACAGTGTACGGAATGAATGAAGATATGGTTTTTTTGTTTTTTATCTCATATTCATAAGTGTGTCGTGTGGGTCTATACGTTATATGTAACTAAATTCTCTGTACCTTGGTAAAGAAAAATTGTTGATAAGCCAGTTAATTCACCTGTTGATTAATCAAACAATTAATTGATAAATTTATTTATGTCACTAGTCAGGCAACCATTTATAAGTCATTCACTCATGTTTTCATATATGTTTTGCTAATATAACGCGCGCTTCATACAGATGTCAACAGATTATTGACAGCACTGTTGCTCATAATCACGCCCTTCCTTCAAGTCCCTCCAAAGATCGATGCCATACCTCTTATCGATTGTTGCACAAATTTTTCCTTAACGTAAAACCCTAGTATAGCAATGTTAGGTGATAAGAAAAGGCATATTGATTAACTAAAAGATAAAAGCTGTATCGAAACGTACCTTGAAGCTGAATCTGGTGCTAAGATGTGTATGGGGGTTGTCGATGTTTAAGTAGGTGTGAATGCACTCTACGCAATTTTACGTATAAAACTTTCCTTGGTCAATGGTTATACAACCAAGATCTTAGCAAACGGGCAACGAATGATCTCATATTAACACTCGAGCCCGCTTAGAGGGGTGAACATTACAATTGTGTCTTGCCAACTTCTGTATAGCATCTGGGCTAAGTTCTCAGCTTTCTAATCGGGCTGAAATTTCCGAGATGGAAAACTTCCATGGCAACCAAGACAGAACGATTACCCTGGACTCGTACGGAAAGGCTCTGGCTTCAGTTTTCACCATCGAGTCTCACCATCTCCTCTTGGTCTCACGTGTAAATTCGTCAAGCGTTTTTATACTTTAACCACATATCTAAAATATTTAATCTGCTGGGAAAAATTTTTCTATGCGTGTAAGGTAAGACCACATAAAATGGAACATTTGAATTCCGTCATCTCAGCATAATCCTCAACGGAAGCAAAACAAGTACTCTGCTCGCAAATGAATTATAGATAGCTCTTTTCTTACTCTCTCTGATATTTTTTCCAGTTAAAACAGATTTTTTTTAAATTGTTAATGCTGCAGGGAACCGACACATAGTTGAATCGTCGTAGATACTCTCAAATTTTACAAAAAGCAACTTTGCTTTTAAGACTGCGCATGCTCTTAGGAATACCTACGGAGCCGAGTTAGTGCCATCTTGCATTTCTCATTAATTTTTTTCTCCACCTCAACTTTATTTTTCACAAGCTCAGTTTTTTCTCGGTACGACTTCAACTTTCCTACACGACTTCAACTTTCCTACACGACTTCAACTTTCCTACACGACTTCAACTTTCCTACACGACTTCAATTTTCCGGCACTACTATAACTTTCCGGCGCTACTTTAACTTTTCGGTACGACTTTAAGTTACCGGCACGACTTTAACTTTCCCGCACGACTTCAATTTTCCGGCAGGACTTTTTTTCCGACTTTCTCTGGTCTGTTATTTAACAGTACCTACAAATGTTTACTTTAAGATTGAATGTCACCTTTTTTTATGGGCAATAGGCTTTGGTGGAGACGTTAACAATCAAATTGTTTTGTGTTAACATATAAGGCCATAAGTAGAGCAGTTTTGTGACGGTTCAAAAAGAAACAAAGACAAAGCGGTTATTCTAATCAGTAGGAACAGGTTTAAACAAAAAAACAAGCCAATCATGCAGATGTTGACAAGCGAGTTGGCCATGTCTGAATTTACTTCTACTCAGTACATTAGCGATACAGAGAACCAGGCTAACTCAAGTCAACGCAAGTGTTTTATCCTTAATGGAAAACTGATTTATTTGCTAGCAATTGAGTGCAAGACAAGCACACTAAGCAAAATTCGATCAAGTAAACTTATCCAATTTAGCTTTGCCCAGTTGCAAATTTATTCTTAGTTTTTACCAAACAGTGTTACAGTAAGTGTATTGCGATCGACCGGCGGTGACCTGCCGCGTTCATTCTTGTGTTGCCGGTCTTCAGGTGGAAAAAGTTAAATGTCTAGCCAGAAAAAGTCGTGCCGGAAAATTTATGTCGTGTTAGAAATTTAATGTCGTGCCCGAAAATTAAAGCCGTGCCGGAAAGTTGAGGTGGTGAAAAGTGTAGTTGAGGTGATGAAAAAAGAGTTTATGAGAAATACGAGATGGCACTCGTAAATACCTGATATTTCATTCATACGTTTCCGTCTGCCTTTCGAAAACAATCAGTCGAGCTAAACTCTTTGACTCATTTATCATTTTAATTGCTGCAGATCTGATTTATTGTGTTGAATGAACGAAGGAAGGTTTTAAGCTTATAATCTGCACTGCGCAAAGCAACCCTTTATCAAATGTTTAATAGAGGAAGACAAATGAAAATCAGGTGAGGCAAACAGAAGGGGGGGGGGGGAGGGGGGTCGCTAAGCCTCCAAGTTACTGTCAGTAAAGTATTAAGCATAATTTTAGATTCTCATCGATAACCGATATTTGTTACTTGCCGTCTACAATGCCAGATAAATTAATTTTTTTCGTGAAGTAGCGCCTGGTTTTTTCATCTTCATCAAATTTTTCGGAATAACACTATGCGCTTCACTATTTCCTAATGTGCGTGGGCTCATAGGATGCTGGTATATAGGGGCAGAAGGAACAAAGTTTCCCCATGAGGTGTTTTTGCTTTGCTCGGTGGCACGGGAAGGGAAAAAGAAGAAGTGATTTGTTTAAGCCTTTATGTCGATCAGTGTGTCAGGTAAGAATTTAAACAGAAGGCAAAAAAACTGGATCAAATTCACAAGGTCGAAAACTAATGGTGAACTTCCCGGAAAATTAAAGAAAAAATCGTCTCGATGTCCCAAGCAAAATTCAATTCAGGTATAAAAAGAACGATGAGTCGAACGAAAATAGCAAGCCAATATGTAAAGCGCCGAATAAACCAGACTTAAAGTGAAGGGTACAAACAGCCCATCCAAACAATGGGAAATCTCTCAAAGAGATAATGCTGAAAACTAGTAGCTGTTCGAAGCACGGGAAAACACGATTAGTTTAAGTTGCATATGATTGGCTGAGAGGACGACCCGAGTTTTTGAACTAATCACTGGGTACTGAAATAATTTACTCTCGGCTTAGTTGCGACTCTCGTTTAAAATTTACTTATACTAGAATTTTATATACCAGTACAATGTCAAAGAAACAGGTAGTTTCAGGGAAAGGAAGCTTCAGCTTTCTACCATATATCTCTCCACTCTCCCTTTCAATATTTTTTAGTCTAGTTTTAATCAACACCATAAACTTTATAATAAACTGATGATTTCACTGAGTCACGTTTACATCTCGCATAAACTGTTATATTTATAGCACGGATGCTGTTCTAAGTTCACTTGGTGATTAGATCCTTGAAATATTAAATTCAAGTAAGGCTATACAAATTTTAATTTGCTTTGTTTTTCTACACATTCAGAGCTTTATCGTTTCTAGGAAACGTCTGAAAGTATCTAGATTGTAAAAACCACCAATCAGAACAGTTTTTCATTAGTGTCTTAGTACTCAAGATCGTTAAGACTTAATCTGACCTGAAAAAATCTGTTCCAAGGTTGGATGCGAATGTAAGCAATCGTACCTGTCTCGTAAGGGTTGTTGAGGGAAAAAGTCGGGGAAAAATGCCTTAGCTGCTGTAATATCTTTTTTGCGGAAGTTTCTCGTGTTGTGGTTTTCCAACAATAGGCTTGATCCAGAAGAATCAGCAGAACTTCCTGTGGAATTGAGCTGTGCTTCTGCATGGGCAGAGTGAAGAGGCTCACTATGTCTTCTTCTCTTCAGCAAGCTTTTACGCTGGTAACTTTTCTCTGCTGCTCCATTGTGATCCTCTTTGTCGCACTCTCCTGGGATCAGGAGCCTGCCATACTTTAGACGTGATTCGTTGCCAAACGTATTCCCTGCAGCTTGTACTCCTTGAAGATCAGCCGTCAAATCTGCTGGATTGATCTCCATCCTTGTATGTATGAATGGACTCGGTAGAGAAGTAGGTCTTCTAGCCACCTTGCATACTCCTTGGCTGCACTCATTCTCGGGTGCTTGGTTCATCGCTCCTCTTAGCTAAGCGGTGGGAATTTATTCAAGGCCTTCAAACCCGATCTGTGTTTGCTTTGGTGCAATTCCTGTTTTTATGCTCGCTTTACGACAATGCACCCTGCAAATACTACAACTATAGATCAAGAATGTATCCGGCAGCAAAATGAAATTCCTAAGTCGCCTTGAACTGAACCTTGATGTTTGGTGCACAGTTATATCAACAAGCATGGCTTCGTTCGTCGTCATCTTGTTACGTCAGCGTGGTCACGTTGCACTTCTTACATCCATCACACTCGTCTGAACGTGAAGAGTAATGCTCCCAGAGTTTTGCCAAATCGTTTGCATCACTTTGGATGTCGAAGAATATCATTTTTGTGTTATTATTAAGGAATTAAATTTTATGCTTCGGATTCGTGTTCTTGAAATTCGATGGAAACCTTCGAAAACGACTATTCTAGGAGGTTCTGGTCTTTTTAACTGCTTCTACGTATGCAAGTTCGTTGAATGGCCTGCTGGGAAACAACATCTGTCCTTTCCGACATGGCCATTGTTGTCATGTTTAACGACCTTTCCAGCAAAAGGAAGGTCATTTATTTTCCTTCCATTTAGACTGCAACTTCAAAAGCATTCGTGTTTGTTACATAACTTTCACTCAAGCGGGCTTAGCCCTTTCTAGCAAAAGGAAGGTCATTCATTTTTCTTCTGTTCAGACAGCAACTTCAAAAGCAGTCGTGTTTGTTTTATAAATAAATGCGTTTTTTTTTTACTCTAGCTGGCTTAGCCCGGTACTAAATTTTTCATTTTACCATATAAGGAGTGGACTGCTGTATAATACAATACCGGCGCGTTAATTGTTTGTTTAGCTGATGACCCATGCAGACACATCTTTACGTGCGTTGAAAAGTAATTATAATATTCTGCTTTGTTCCTTGACAAAAGAATTATTTGAAAAAGATTTCAATTTATTTAACTTTGAATTTAAAAACCAAAAGTTGAATATGCGGAGTGAGGAGAACACAATTTTTCTTTCTTGTGAAAATGAATCCAACTTGTAATTGTCATATCTTTTTCAGCAGGTGAATATATTTAATATTTTTAGTTCCCTTTCATCAAACCCAAATCCATCTTTCGCTCATATAAGACAAACATAGGAGCCTCTTATTGATTAAATCAGGAGTGAAAAGAAGTAAACAATGATAAAAACGTAGATCTAATAAAATTCAGTGGCGCTCGTGTGTGAAACATTGAACATTTGTATGTAGATATATGCAATAACTTTTCAAATGAAACGTGATATTTTAAAAGGCGAGATACTAAATGAACTATTGTCGAATTCTAAAACGAATAACACGTGTGTTGTTCGAAGACTTGTGACTGAAATCAGCTCAAGAAGAAATGTCAATGTGGAAAATATCGCACGGAGGAATTAACTTCTTTTTCATCGTTTATCCGATTTTACAGTGTGTGATGAGGCCGCAGTGTTTTTTTAGCTCTCACGAATTAGACCTGAGTTCATTTGGCCTACATCAGATATTTAATTCGCTCTTTGGATATGCCGCAATATTTGTCATCGTGCATTATCAAATCGTCAATTTCTCGCGCAAGATAGTGAAGAACTTAATCTAAGTAAGAAACTCGTTATTAAGCGCACGATAAATAAATTTTCAATTTTGTGCAGACTCTAAACTTGTGATTTTGTGATTAGAATAAGCTGCTGGGTAAAGAGTCGGACATCTTATCAAGAAAGCTTCCGGCAATTCGTTGTTAATGAGGTTTCTTCGACGTCGCTCAGCCAATAGAATGCACCACTATTAACTACCCTCGTGACAGACCTTTCCTGAATATGAAAATTGACTGGGGAGGACTGAAGAAATACGGAGGAACATCATTGGTTTTTTATTCGTTTAATACGCAATGTTTTGAAAATAAAAACACTAGCTTTTACGTATAAAGTCTAACAAATTAATTTTTCCATATTTTGGGGTAGTTAATACATCTCACATTTGGCTAGACAATCTCATATCTAATCTGTCGCTCTATTCACTTGAATGGAAACAGGTGATAAATTACAACGTTTATGAGGGGTACGTGTGCATAAATCCAATTTACTGATCCATTCGAATTTTTTTTCACCGATTGCTAATAACTATCAAACGCAGTCAACACGTATTTCTCAAAGATGATCGATTAAGTTTAGATTGTTAGAATGATAATTGATATTGTTTCCAATATTCAAAGCTTGCTTCCTGATTAAGTTCTTGTTTCTCTGAAACACGAGCACTGCGAATCTGTCCTGAAAATACTTCCTCCATTGTCAGTTTTGCTGCCCATAAGCCACTGTGAGAATTATATCCTTGTTCTAGGTCTCTGGGAAAGAACTCCGGAAAAAGATTTTTAGCAAAATTTATGTCCTTCGAATGTCCATTCTTGGAAACAACTAGCCTTGACTCTCTCAAGTTCAGTTCAGTGCGAAGTTCAGTTTGTAATTGTGTATCTTCTGGTAAAGTTTTGATGTGAAGACAGTGAGTGCTCTCGCACAAAAGTTCATTGTACTCCTTCACCCTTGTGTCTGCGGAATCTTGGCAAATTTCATTCTCTCGTCTTCTGCTTTTTCGGGTCTCTCCGATGTCTTCGGATATCGTAGCCAGAGGCTGTAGACAGCGTTTGCTTCTATGCAATAAACGGCTTGGCTTTTCCATCGCTTTGTTGAGTACGTTTAAAACCAGTGGGATGTGCTGTTCTCGTACTGGTGTGAAGATACTAATTTTGTGTTTCTCAGACAATGTTTTGTTTTCTTAATGCTCTTCAAGTCGCCCAGTTGTAATTTATAGTGGTCTTGTTTGAAATGCTGGAACAGTCTGAATTAGAGGTTACGTGTTACTTGCCAATATAAGAGTGAGAGACCCTCTAGAAAAGCAAACATTTTGGCATAAAAGCGTCACGTACTTTCTAAAGGGCAATATCATGTTTTTGTCACGCATAGAAACAAAAAAAATAGTGAAAATAATAACGAAAATTCCACCATGTGGTTATTCAAAATTTATAAAGTTTTAATCGGAAGATTTCTCCAGCGCTGGTTTCATTGTTGTTTCTACAATAGTTCGTGTACCTCATCAAAACTATAATTTTATCTCGTTTTGAATAATTAATTTTGGTGACATTCAACTATATTTACCCAGTAGGTTCTATTTCGATCTGAGTCACTAACAGACTTCGTCTCATGGTCAAGACATACTCTGATACATTCCGCACCATTAGTGCGGGCAAATTATATTTGCTTTATATAGTTTATTTGGAGGAGGAAACGCAATAATAGGAATTATTTAAACGAAAACCTGTAATTTACTTCAATTTCCGTTGAATTCCTCATCGAGTTGTAAAACATGATAATAAGATTTTCATTATTATCTTCATAAGTGCTAACATACATTTCTGTCTGCGTCAATTTCGATCTTAGTAAAAAATTCACCATCTTCGGATTTATCTCTAAAAACGACTATACTTCGGAAGAAAAGATGGGATCATAAATTCTTAAGAGGCAAAACAAATCAAAACGTGCTGACAAATATTTATAAAAATACAGCTTTTAAGTACATGTATATTGGACTTGTTGATGCCAATTTAAAAGCATATTCGCGTTTTCTCTGTTAAGTTAATATCTTTGTTTCTGGCCCTGAGACTACTTCCATTTCGATCTGTGGGAGGACGAAAAGACCAGAAAACCAAGAAACTGAAGTTCGTAAAAAGAATCGATTTGTTTGTACGTAGGACTACGTGATCGTTGCAGCTTTATTCGGGAAGTATTTATTATCGAAGTTGACGGGCATTTTTTGCCAGGTAAACAAGACGTGTTTCAGCCGATAAGCACAAACCTTAAAATAGCATAAGTATTTTGCGGAAGCATTAAATTTTTGGAGGAAATCTGTGTAGATTGCCCTTAGTAAGCAAAAAAAAATTCAAAAATTTACTGCTTTCCGTCAAATGGCATATTCCAAATACAATTCAAGTGACTCTCCGTATTTTTAACTCTCTCGCAATATCCATATGCAAATCAATTACTACTTCAGATCCACTCCTCTCGCTCCTTCTCTTTCATATTTGTTTTGGTGGTATGTTGTTTTCATCATTTATAAATTCAAAGTCCAATTTGACGCTTGAAGATTAATTTTTTTGTTCGGTCATATCTCCAAAACCTGAAATATCAAGTTGAATACCTTAAATAATTATGTTATAAAATGATCGTGTCTTCCAGATCTTTCGCTGAAGTATCGGATGACTTTATGGCTGCTTGTTGATGAGCTTCTCGAATAAATTCCATGATTCACATAATTCGAATATATCATTGTCTGCTCCATCAAAGTACAAGTGTTTTGTGTCGAGTTACACTGGAAGTCAATCCACCTAAATGCATAAAAATCGTTCATTCAAAAAATTGTCTAAAGGATTTTTATTTTTGAAACTTCTCTCGTGGGTATTAATGGCGGATCTCGGGGAGGGGCCCGTGGGGCCCGCCCCCCCGCCCCTTACTTTGGGTAAAAAAAAAAAAGAACCGCAGACGTAAGAAAAGCCGGCAGGGCAAGCGACAAAAACCGAGCCCTCCCCCCCCCCTTAGCTCCAGGTTAGGATCTGCCACTAGGTGTTTTGCAACGCAAGCCACACTATTCTTAATTCTTTTCGAAACAGCAAAAACAAAAAAAACAAAAAAAACAAAAAAAAAAGTAACTGTATGTTTTCCTCAATTATCAGTCTTGTCGATTTGGCCTCTGCACTGACAAAGAATTAACAAACAAAAATTCAATCAATCATTAATTACCATAGGAGAGACTTGTTTTCTTTTTAGAGTTGAAACTACGTACTGTACATTTTGATGAAATCTATATATATATATATATATAGATTTTCATGTTAAAATTTAAAATTTTGTTTTTAATAGTATGTTGAGATAAATTCCCTTTCTGGAATTTTTTTGTGTTAATTCTACTTACTTTCTTAATGGACTGCACTCGACTTTTAAAACTAAACACATTATATTTGTACTTGTATCGCAAAATATATCGATAATATTTGAAAATAATAAGAGTCAGGGATCAGGTGAGTATTTCGCCCGAAGTTTCTTCCTCTCCAATACGAAACTAAGATAATTAATCCTGGTGACATCTTTGCAATAGGCTCTTCGAGATTTGTGGTAAATGTAGTTGCCAGCACGGTTTTTGAAATCATCTTTTGACGGAAATGACATCGTAAACTAAATGAATTGTTTTTATCAGCCCCAGGAATAGAATATTTCCCAAAGAAGAAATAACTCCATCAAATTTAAAAAAAAATTAGTTTCCGTAGTTTTCCGCACACACGGAAAAATTAAAAACATTTCGTTTCTAAATCAACACTCGAAAAAGAAGTTTTTCGTGAACCTAAAATCCATGTCTTTAATTTCATAAATTGTGTGAGAAAGCTCTTCTTCTTTATTTCTTTTTGAACAATTTAGAATCATCAAGTATTCTTGACTGCTATCAAGTATACGCCTTAATTTAATTTGTTGAAAAAAGTCAAACTTAATTTAAAATGCAAGAATTATTGCATTGGATTCATAAGCTTTTGGTTTTCTAAAAATTTGTTTTTGGGTATCTAAATGAGATCACGTAGCAGCCTTCTAAGAGTGCTGAAATTAGCAAATACATCTGCAAGTTCTTTTTAAATCTGACTTTGTTAACACCTCCGTGATGGTTAACATCCTGAGCCCTCATCAGAGAGGAAACATTCTCTGTTGATTGAGCTCCCTCTGGCGTCATCATGACGTACAGGAGTTAGCGATTCACGTTTACCAAAATGATGATTTCCAAATTTTCTTGGAAAAATACATAATTCTCTTTACTTATTCAAAATTGTATTGTGTGTTATTGAATAAAAGTATAACACCACTAATTATCCAATTTGTCATTTTTGAAATGTCACGCCCTAAAGAAATTTTCTGCAGACAAATTTCAGTAAAAATAACCACCTTAAGAACGGCCTTTGCTCTTGATATTAACTTATACCAAGATGAATGAAAACTGATATTAAAATCTCCAGATCTGTGTGGTAAAATAGATGCAGTAAAATCCCTTTTTACCTCCAGGTCGCTCTTTCTCATTCAGTGGCTACAAGGTATTTCAAGGGCAATGAACAGTTTAAAGTGGTTTTTGGTTTTTTGGTTCATTTTGCAGTCGAAGTGTTTAACCGAATGTTTTTCCCTGTTTTTCTATGATTTCGTTATATATAGTCCACTCTTGGTGAATGTCAAAGGCCTTGCTACAGCTGCCAAAGACGAACGTTCATATAATGAATGTTCGATTATGGGAAAAAACGGTAACTGAAGGCAAAATGGGAAGCGTATGGGATCGAGCAAGGTTTGATCACGGTTAGAGATAAATCATGAAACACTTTCTTTCCTGATGTAAAAAGTTCCTCATACCCAAATTAAGAATAAAAATACTAATATTGTGTTTGGTGAACAACTCCTCAAGAACACACTTCAAGTTGTAAAAAATTATAATAGACCATTTCTCTTAATCTCATATCATTCGCGGAAAAATATATAAAGAACAGAATAAAAGGTTGACTTTCAATGAAAACCTTTATGATTGAAGCTGTAGTGTAGTTCGAGAGACTGTTGTTTTATTACTTGCTTTATTATTTAATCGTCAATTTCACCTTTTTTTCAGTGATAAATACTTATAAACCCCTTTGTGTTTTTCTTTATTTCTAAGAAAAATTAAGCAGACTGATTTGTTCCATCAGACGAAGCAAAGCATTGTGCTTATCATCATTTTCCTTTTATGTAAATCAGCGTTGAAGGTAAAGAGTGTGAGTCTAATGCATAGCAGTTAACGTTTCAGGAGTATGATACTACTCAAAGAATTACTGAATTAATGTCATCGAACAAAACAGACGACGAGAATCATCTCAGATGACATATGGAGCCTACTTTATAAAACAGGTACTGCAGATTTAATGCACCTTTAAAATTTAATACGTCCATGTTTCATTGCTGTGATAAACAATGGGTTTTGTAACCAATCAGAGGAACTGCAAATTCTAATGTACATAAATACGATATATCAACAATAAAATGTCATCAATTGATCACGAAACGTTGAATTCAATTTACTTTTTTTCGAACATGGTATAGTTTATTGCCTGCAAAGCGGGAGAACTGGATGTCTACTGGCACCTGTAGTAGACAAACAGAAGTTTTAAAAACAAATGTTCGACTCAAAACGAATGTTGTCTTCAGTTTCATATGTTATACAATCAAATTTAATTTTCACCATCTTGAAAACGTGATGGATCTGAACTGACAATTAAAATAAGAAAACAAAGGAAAAAAGAAATAAGACGCCCCATGCATGGTATCGGTGACCTACATTAATAGATGTACTTTAAGAAGATAGAGTTCAACGTTTTTGGAAATTGGATGATCTTATTTAAATGGATTAGGCATGTCGTTTCTGTGCGTGCTTTGGTGCCTTGTGAGGGTATATCTACAGAGCTCTGACAGTTGACTATTATTCTGTAGCCTGAGGCATCTCGGTTTCCCGCAGCGGTTATCTTATCCACCTGCCTGCACCTGAGCTCGCATTGGAGCGTTCAAAAACCCCTTGTCATTTTGCTTTTCAAATAAGCCCGCAAATGTCGCGATTATAATAGGCATGAGACCTGTTTTGCTATCTTCTCCAAAATTTATCGTCGTTAAAACAAATGAAATGACAGCAATATTTCCCCTCCTAGTATCCCATTTGAATAGAAGCCATAATTAGATTTTTGGGTCAATAAAGAAAACAGCGTAGTTGTGAAAAGCTTTTTTGTCGATAGCTGAATTAATTTTCGGCGTCTTCGGAAACCAAACAGCCCTTGCTTTAGGGAAAAAAAAGCGATTTGAGAGACGTGACATGCATTTAGTTATCTTCGGAAAGCTAGAAAACAAGTTTTGGCGGAACCAATCACAAAGACATTCGCACCTCGCTTAGAACAACAAGTTGGCGGATATGGGTTATTTTTAAACTCGCTGGATCAAACGTGGGCAGGTAACTTAGCGTAAATCTGTTCTAGTTGCTATAAAGAAACACATATTTCGGCTAATTGGGGTAAACTTGATTTACGCTTGCCATGAAAATCGTGGAATCACCGAAACGGACTTCTTTTTTTCCTGCTTGATGAGTTTGCTTATTTCAGAGCGGAGTGTTGCTCGATGATTTCAAGCCGTAATCAAAAGACCTTCACGAGGAACATCTGACGATTTCACGTGAATCGATTGAAACACGAAGATAATTACCAAGTACAACGATGACTTTTTACAAGCGTTATATTCCACAGAAAGGGAAGGAAATTCATTAATATGACCATTTATCGTCAGGAGTCCAGCAGGAACGCCAAAAGAAACTTACGAAGCGCAAAATTACCTTCTCTTACACGAAAAAGGAATTCTCCGAAACATTTGCCACCAATTTATGAGATCGACGAAGATTGTGAAGAAACTGTTTCAGATGCTAGACCAAAACAAAATATATCGTCTGGAATATTAGGAATCCTACCTCACCACAGTGAGGACAAAAGCTTCCAAGTTAATATAAATGTTCCTGAAGAAGAATATTGGGGATTAAGTAATACGCAGAGACAGCAGCAGAAACATCGAGAAAATACAGAGAATACTTCTACTTATCTTAAACGAAATCTCAAGCGCAATTTATCTGTTACCTCACGCGACAAAGGTAACAATCAGATGGCATTTCCAGACTTTTTTCCTCCAGGCATGCACGTACACTGCGCTCAAAACTCTCTCCCAGAGGCAAGCAAAGGGTTGTACATGAAAATAATGCAAGGTGAGGCTAAAATGCAGAAAAACATGTCCAGCACCAGCGAGACATCAAGCAGTGCATCCAGTTATAAACAGTATAACTGGATGCAGTTTTTCGGTTAGAAAAAAGAAACCAATTCTAACTGCGGTTTAGGCTTCAGTTTCTTCCCAATAATAATAACACTCATGTTTGAATAGAGGCAAATTGTAGAAATTCTAACCTATCTGACAGTGCACACTAAGGTAAACACGGAGAGATTTGTCTTCTCTTAAATAGAAAAGAAAATTTTTGAATTTTTGACTGTTTTTAAATTATGATTTTCATTTGTAAGTAGTCTTTTAAGTACGAGTGTAAATGTTCTACACGAAGCTCTGTGTGATATTCAATCGCTATGTTGATAAATTCAAGTGAGATAGAATAATTATTTCTTAAAAATACTGAGCTAACTGTGAACTATGCAATGTATATTCATAACAATGTTAGTGAAATTAAAGAAAGTGTGGTCGGTGGTTACGATTCATACTTAACACGTGACCAGCAGTGTCTCAGAAACATCTGATTGAGTGACACCTGCTACTTGTGTTCTTTATTATAAAAATCACATCATGATTCCAAGTTATCCATGGATCATGCCGTGTACACTGACAACGCGCAAGATTATTGCTTCCTCAAATTTAAGAGCACTTGCCAAGGACAATTATTTCGTTATTCGCGTCAATGATTCCTTTTTTGTTGAAGAATCGAATATTGTGAATATTGTGCGTTAACCCGTATAATCAGTTGTGGATATTCACCTAAAAATATGCAAACTGCAATTTATTGCAAGGAAAAGTAATAAAAGTTTATTCGTCCAGACCAGTTACACAACTGTAAGGCACGTGATGATTTCTGCGGGGTTTTAATAAATAATATTTTCACGTGATTCGATTCGCAGAAATAAAAAGCGTTCAAAAAATGGTAATAATAGTAATGCTCGGCGACACACATGTAAGCTTAAAAATACGGAAAACTTTTAATCAGTATTAATTTTAAGGAGTAAAATGGAATCGACAAGTTCCTGTCACCGACAAACATACACAATTCCTGTACAATACAGGTTCTCAAATCAGGTCAGTCCTTTTTACTAAACCGAAAAAAAAGAGTTTTTCAGATCAAATTTTTCCTTTACTGCCATAGAAGTTTGCGAATCATTTTCGCAGCGAAGCGTTGCAGATTTTTCAGTTTTCGAACTTGAAGAAAGTGTTCCATGATAATTCTTGAACTTTCAGTTTGAAATGCTTTAGTATGTTGCTTACGGAAAGACTATAGTGTCAATAGGAATTAGTTACCAACTATTTATTGGTTTTGACGCACTATGATGCTTGCATGTGACCAGACCTTAGTTACTCCCGTTCAAGGCTGCTCTGTCTAAGGCAAATGATCTCTACTGACATTTACTATGATACTTAGCGGTCAGCGAAAAAACCTCCTTGGTATTTTCTCCTCAAAGTAAGTTTTGTTTTTCGTGTTGCATAATAACCAGCTTCAACGTTCAGTTGGAACTCCCCATTCAATTCCAAAAATTGATCAAAGGAAATAAGACAAAAAAAGTGCAAATTCTTCCTCTCTCTCTCTCTCTCTCTCCCCCCCCCATTATAAACCAACCGGATAATTCAAGAACATCAAAAAATTACACTTCCCCTTGAATTGAACGTTCTCACCATGAAGCTTTCCATTCGCCACAAATATCTCATGATTTTGCATACGGAGGGTAACTGTCTTTCCTGAAGTATCGCGTTTCATGAAATGCTGATGCTGCGGGTCTTGTTTAAAGGCACACACGAGTGACTTTACGGTAACCATAAGTGACCACGAGTGGCCATAGGTAACTACGAGTGACTACAGCCATAAGTGACCACGAGTGGCCATAGGTAACTACGAGTGACTACAGCCATAAGTGAGTACGCGTGATCCCGTGAGTAAGAAGTTATCAAAATACTTGGTAACCGCGTGTCTCCTCTGTGTACTCTCTCTTACTAGATCTTTTCTAAAGGGCAAAGTCCCTGACAGGGACTTGGCTGTCGACAAATATCACGCAATGTTATGGCGTTTCTCCCGTTTTTTCCCTCTCGAAAATACCGCTCACAAAGAAAATGTATGAGGAAGAAAAGGGTAGTGGAATGATTTGACAGTAAAAGAAGCGCCTTAAAGAGTTAGTTTCAAGAGAAGATACCGCGACAGCTGACGCAGATCCTGCCTCTAAACAACAGAAAAGGATAAAGAAACGACTGACGACATACCAAAAAAGGCAATGGAAAACTTAAGGGAGACGAAGAAACGGAAATCACGAAAGTATGGATCTCCAAAACGCCGCAAGTCAGGCCAGAGAAGCGCATAACCGCTCGTAGAGTTTTTGAGAGAAAAGGCTGATGCGGACAGCAGGTTTTGGAGGTACTCCCACAACAGCAACAGCAAATGAACACCATGTTTCTTGCGGTTTTATAGAAGGTGATCGATAAGTAATTTCAGACTTGTAAAAATGTTTTTATTGAACATGATATTTTGCTTGTGAGTAGAGTAAAATATGTTCAATTGAAGCAGTTGTTTATACCTTGTTTATGCTAACTTTAGTAAATCCAGTGTACAACTTCAGGGTGGTTATCACCTTGAAAAATACATAATCCCCAATGCCACTATTGTGTTCATTCTGACTTGGACTTGACAAATACATCTTTTTGTCACTGTTTATGCCTCAGAGTACATGAACCGACGTCATTCTTGCTTCTCTGAGGAAATAGTGAGATTCTCCACATTAAAAACTTAATGTCCAGTAACTTTTCTCACTTAGAAAAGTAACTTTTCTCACATAGAAAGCTCATTTGCCTCGGAAGCACACACGACCTCTCGAGACCACCTTAAATACTTCTCTGTCTGCATGTAATCACCGAGGAATTTGGAACACATCGTCAAGTCGGCAAAGATCAGCCCTTTTGATTCGGAATTCCGCCATGCAATCAGCTTGGGGCCATATCATCTTGGTCGAACTGATCGTAAGACTTGCAACAAAAATCCTTTTTTTTTTTTTTTTTTTTTTTTACTGAAAACATTCGTAGAGAAGAACGAATTTCTCATCAGAAATGGTGTTTTCATCGTGAGTTAGCTGAAGCAAATCTCGAACATTTTAAAAATTGTCCATTTTTAATTTAAATTATATATAAAAATATTGCAGATAAAAATCCGTGAAAAGACTCTGTGACTGATGACCGTCAGTACTAATGCCATCGTGAAGTGATGGACGCGCCTAAAGGTTTGTTTTTGGCGGGAACAACGCCGTTCTCGATCCAGGTCCTCCCGTACCCCACTGTTGCCGTCTGTAGTGTATTGAGGAGTAAAAGTACTCTACCGATATATTAAAGTTCACATTGCAACCAGGTGGACAATCAGACATGGTTTGATGCTACTCTGGTCTACAGCTTTATTGAATGTAACCGAAGAAGTTACAATTCACAGACCCAACGTTTCGACACTCTTGTCTGGTGCCATCTTCAGGAGGAGCGTGGGCGGAGTTACCTGTTTAAATGGCAGCGAAAAGATAACTTGCTTGATAAACGATCAGAAAATGATAAAAGAAAGACGCAAATTTTGAGCGACCGAAAAAAAAAACATAATGGAATTGCTTAAGGCCACTCTTAGGGTACTTTTTAACATAAACTATCGATGCGGTGTGATTGAAGACTGGTAATTTCGTTGACCTCTGTTGCTAAACTGACGAAAGAAATTTCCCCAGTTTCACTTCTACTACAGATGGAAACGACAGCAAACCAAATCCTGACGGACAAAACAATCAACCCACTGTTCCAGAGAGCCTATAATGTCAGAGGATGGATCAATGCCCGGGCTTGCGAAATAAAACACGAAATGGCGCTGGTGAGTGCTGGTGCGTTCCTTCAGGTTCTTTATGTATTCCAAACCTACGAAACAATTTTGATCGCCTGTTGCTTTATTTTCCAAGTTTCGTCATGACAAGAAGCAACACCTGTCACATCATTGTGGCCGTTCAATTACCTTGGTACTAACTAATACACTGTTTTGAAAAGTTGTGATTTGCATGATTCACTCCTATGTTAAGGTTACTTCACACCTTCAGAGGCCGAAAAAATCGATTCTTTCTTCTGTTTGAGTAAACTGAATTCAAACTCTCGATTTTCATGTTATTTTCATAGTTTGCCCACATCGTGCACTTTACAAAATTCACTCATGGAATCTCTTTGATTAAGGAAAAAATCGTTGCTAAAACAAAAATCAAAAGCGGAAGAAAGCCCTCGGTAAAAAAGGAGAAAAAAAACAGGCTCAAAGAAGAACGAAAGTTTTGTCAAGATAAGAAAAAAATCCCTTTTAAAGCGATTGGTAGTGGCGGAGGTCCACGCTGGCGTCCAGATTTCGAACATAGAAGTCGCCGTCAAACCAAAAATTGCCATCCATGATGTTAGAAACGAGGTTTCCTTTTCTGTATACAAGTAACAGCCTTGGTACAAAAACATTAACAATCATCTCGAATGGTAATTTTGAAAGCTGTATATCTGTCTCAATCATCAGCACATTTTCCGGTTTTCCTCATTTGCTTCGGGCAACTTTGCTCATCATCAGGGATCTTTGGCAAACCACCACGGCGACGGCAACGAGGACGTGGCAAAACAAAGATTTAATGAGCTCAAAAATAGTTTAACGTGAGCGCCTTAAAACTGTGTACATTTCTTGGCCGTTCTCTGCGAAACAATAACGTGAAACCATCAGAATTTTCGTGGTCTGAGAAAGGAAACCCTGACAGATTATTTGAGGGTAACTTTCGTCGCTATAAGAGATGATAAACACATCCAGTCATTCGCGAAATTTCAACTAAAAATATGTATTCATTTTTAAATCGACGTCCTTTACAGTTTGAAAACAATTTAATTAACTCGAAAATCAGTGTCACCGCTGACACATTATCTGAGTTTTCTTTCTATGATATCCTAATTAGACCGAAAAAGGAGGGAGATTTGGAAAAGTTAGAAGTATATTATATTTTTCATGTAAATGCATCAGATGACACGCGCCATGAATTATACTTGTTAGTTTACTACAGGCGACCTAAGCTCCAGTGGTGAGATGATCAACTTGCGAAATAAGAGTCGTAGCGGTCACGTCTGGTCTAAACTGGAAATTTCTGAAGCAAATTGCGGCGTAGCGTCGGTTTTACGGAGAAGATTAAGTTTGTAGTGAATTGAAATGAAACTACAATATATGTGCTTGGATTCTTCGTTGGATTTGTGGCTGCCCGGTCGTTTAAAGATTGGATTTTTCGCTTCTCGGATCGAGCGTTCGGACTCTTATGTACGTAGTAAACCTAGATATGGATAACTCGCTAAAATGGGTTATTTTCAAACATAGTAAGCGGGCAGATAAAAAGCGATGCACTGTGGAAGTGAGGTGAGGTATTTTTAGTGAGAATTTGACTGATTTTATACCAATGAAAGCGCCTTCGCACTCAGCCTCGTCCTCACGCCGTTATTTCGGTACCAGATCACTGAACCGCGAGAACTCGGAAGAAATCGCAAATTACAGATCTCTATTTTTCATATCATCAGCATATTTCCATTTCTCAAATTACAGATCTCTATTTTGCAAATCATTAGCATATTTCCATTTCGCAAATTGCAGATTTCTAGAAATCTCCAAATTGCGAAATCTCCACTACGTTCGTGGATAACTCAATGCGTCGTTTAGGCCATAGAGCGTAAAAGTAATAGGCCACTTCCGAGTTCTCGCGGTTCAGTGATCTGGTGCGAAGGCACTTTCCTCGGTATAAAGAGAAAAGGGCAGTGGTAGAGAAAACTAGCGAAAATTTCTCGAATTTCAAAGTGGGAGAGGAAAAAAATTAGTTGCGAGGGAGACATTAAGTAAAGTGATGGCGGCTGTATTGCTTAATATGTCATCTACTGCGCTAGCTAATTAAGGCCACAATTTTCAATTCATTAATACTAATCGCATAACGTGATGACGTCATAAACGGAATTCACTGCATTACCACTTGCTAGTCAGAAGAACTGTGAGACACCACTGGATTTTGAACGCAACTACTCCAAGCATTATTCAATAAAGGAGCTGTTTAAAACCGTGGACTGAGTTAATCTTCGACTGGCAAAATATTCAAAATCCACGGTGGTCTGCTACAAAGCGACAACTGGATAAGCGAAGATGGAAAACGCAGCCGAAATCGAGAAGGCTAAAGGCAAGCGTACAACAGCTAAAGGAAGATTCAAAAGAAAGAAGAACTTCCTCACCAAGTCGATAGACAATAACCAAGGCGTAGAAATAGTTGAAACAAACTATGCGAAACTCGCGGAAGCGTACGATGAACTCGAAGGAAAACATGAAGCCTACATCGAGCTATTGCCAGACGATCAGTCTGAAGAAGCAGAAGTGTGGATGACAGAAGTCCAAGAGAAGTTTAATGAGGCGACCAATCGCAAAATCAAATATGTGGAACAAATCACTGTGAAAGAAAGATCAACACGTGCGTACGCGGAGCGTCAAGAATACATTGATAAAGCACGCACAAGACAGAAAACAGCGCGCGCAGTTTTCGAAGCTTCATACAAAAGTATCTCGCACGCGCTGCAATCTAAAGAAATTCCCAATTTTGCATTGAGAGATTTACAAATGCAAATTGAAGAAGAATTTTTGGAATGCAAACGATCAAACGCAGAACTACTACAATTATTAACTCAAGACTCAGCAGAAGCTGAAATAAATTGGATCGCTACAATCCAAACCTGTTATCATGAAATAAAGGAGAAAATAGCGCTAAGCTACACTAATGTGGAAGAAGCTAAAGAAACAAAGCGGGAGTCTACCGCCTCAGCTTCCTTTCTACAACTAGAAAAAGTACGAATGCCTCACTTTGACGGAGAACTACGCAAGTATCCGCAATTTAAAAGAGATTTCCAGAAACAAGTTATGACTCAAATCCGAAAAGGTGACGCAGCGTACGTCCTACGCACCTGTCTTAAGGGGGAGCCAGCGAGATTGGTGAACTACGTAGACGACGACATAGACGAGATGTGGCATCGTTTAGACGACAAATATGGAGACCCAGCCAAAGTCGCCGATGTCATCATTGACGAAATAAAGCGATTTAGAATGCTCAGAGAAGGAGAAGATAAACGCTTTATAGAATTTGTAACCCTCATAGAGGATGGTTATCGTAACCTAAAAGGACTCGGCTTGGAAACAGAGATCACGACCACAAGTTCAGTCAGCGTAATTGAGAAAGCACTCCCGTCAGATATCAAACGGAAATGGTCCGAACGGGTAAGCTCTCGTGACAGTCTTGTTGATAAAAGCAACAAATTTCCAAGTCTTCTCGACTTTCTACAGAGTCAAAGGGATGCCATTGAATACGAAAGTGCTACACTCCGTGCAGGAAGCAGCAACCAATATCACAAGGGCGCAGCACATTACTCGGAGGGTATCACAGTTGGAAAAGACGAAAGTATCAAAGAACCTAGGCCTAAGTGTCTGATTCACGAGAGTGGTAAGCACTGGACGTCAAATTGCCGACTTTATCAAGCTAAGACAGTCGACGAAAAAAGGGATTTTCTCAAAGAAAAGCAAGCATGCTGGGCTTGTCTTAAGCCTGGTCACAGGCAGCGGACTTGTAGGATAAAAAGAGATTGCGGCGTGAATGGCTGCACGAGGAAACATCACCCATCAATTCACGAAAACGATGAAAGTACACCCCAGCAAGCTTCTGCCTCCGCCAATGTATGCAGCGACTCCAACGTCGATACATGTCTTCTCAAGTACAGAGAGTAAAACCAGGAAGGGGACAGCTAATGTAATGTGGGACAACGCAGCCTCACTTTGCTTCATAACCAACGCTAAAGCGAAACAAGAGAAACTCAGTGGAGTCAAAGTGAATCTTTCAATAGTGAAGATAGGAGGGCAGAACGAGGAAATCGAAACAATGAAATACAAGCTGCCACTTTTGGACAAGCGAGGTCAAGCCGTGGAATTCGAAGTATATGGGATTAACAAAATCACCTCTGATATCGAGCATGTAAACGTAGAGAGCATCGCCCACCTATTTAGAAACGTTTCAAAGGATGAAATAACGCGACCCGCTGGTCCAGTTGATGTGTTGATCGGTTATGAATACGCCGCCTTTCACCCGGAAAAGGAACAGAATAATGGGCATCTTGTACTACTGAAAAATCGTTTTGGAAGATGCGTTGGAGGAACTCACCCACTGCTTAAAGAAACGCGCATGACCCATAATCTTGGAAACGCGAGAGTACACTTTGTAGGCAAAATCAATGTCGAAGATTTTTACACAATCGAGGCACTTGGTGTACAGTGCAAACCGAAGTGCGGGGGATGCAAGTGCGGAAAATGCTCCTTGGGCGCCAAAGATTATACCATACAGGAAGAAAGGGAACTGGAGTTAATTGAGCGGAATTTACGTTTCAACAGTGAAGAGAACTCATGGACCGCTGAATACCCCTGGATAAAAGACCCCCATAAGCTTCCTAACAACCGCAAAGTAGCGATGGCGAAATTAGCTGCTACCGAACGACGACTCAGAAAGAACGCAGATCACGCGAAAGTGTATGACGAACAGATAAAGGACATGGTGGCAAGAAATGTGGCAAGAAAGCTATCCGAGGAAGAATTAACAAACTACACAGGCCCTACGCATTACATTGCCCATCACGAAGTACTCAAACCAGAATCGAAATCTACTCCAGTCCGTATAGTTTTCAACAGCAGTGCGAACTATATGGGGCACGTATTAAACGAGTATTGGGCAAAGGGTCCTGACTTGCTCAACAACTTGTTAGGCGTCTTGATACGCTTTAGAGAGAACAGAGTTGCTTTCATGGGAGACATTAGGAAAATGTACCACACAGTGAAAACGTCGGAGTTAGACCAACATACTCACCGATTTCTTTGGCGCGACATGGATAGTACGAGAGAACCAGACACCTATATAATACAGCGAGTGTCATTTGGAGATAAACCGTCCGGCACGATCGCCACTGTAGCATTGAGAAAAACGGCAGAGATGATGCGCAAGAATTATCCGGAAGCAGCAGACATAATTCAAACCAACACTTACATGGACGATATCATCGAAAGCAAAGATAACATTGCACTGGCCCGTGACCTTAGCCAAGACATAGAGAAAGCTATTATTAAAGGAGGATTTCAAGTTAAAGAGTGGATATTCTCGGGAGATATTAACAAGCAAGAAGAAACGATCATGGTACAGACACCGCATACGTCGACCGAAAAGATACTTGGGATCAAATGGAATCCATGTGAAGATCAGCTATGTTTTGAAGTCAAGATCAAGTTCTCACCAAAAAGAAAGAGATATGCTTTACAAACAAATAACGTAACCACAGATTTTCCCCCTCAACAACTCACGAAGAGGATGATTCTCTCACAGATCAATAGTGTATATGATCCTCTCGGACTAGCTGGACCGTTCACTGTAAGAGCGAAGATTCTAATGCGGCACTTATGGGGAAGTGAACAGAAGCTTGACTGGGATGATCCCATTCCTGAAGAGAATAGAGAGAACTGGATAACCTTCTTCAAAGATTTAAAAGACATGGATCAAGTACGATTCATGAGATGCGTGAAGCCGTCGGATGCAGTTGGAAAACCTATTCTCATTATATTTAGTGATGCATCTCAAGACGCCTACGCTGCATGCGCGTATGTACGCTGGGAACGGAAAAATGGTCAATTTGAAAGTAACTTGATCATCTCTAAGAATCGCCTAGCTCCAATCAAAAAATATCTATCGATCGTATCGAACTATGTGGAGCAGTATTGAACAAACGTCTCAAGATCTTCATAGAGAAAGAATGTAGATACCAATTTCAAAAAAAATCTATCACATTGTTGACTCACAAATAGTACATGCTATGATACAGAAAAATTCCTACGGTTTTAACACCTTCGCTGCCACAAGAATTGGAGAAATACAAGAAGGAACAAGCCAAACAGATTGGTACTGGATAGAGAGCGAACACAACATCGCTGATTGTCTCACGAGAGGGAAGAAGCCTAGCGATATCGGGCTCGAAAGCGCATGGCAGAAAGGACCCGAATTCCTACGACAACCAGAAGATGATTGGCCAATAACTCGCAATTATTTAGAATCACAATTACCAGACCGAGTCAAGACGGCACTGGCTATAAAAATCGAAGGATTTCAGGATACCCTTGCAGGAAGGATTGATATCACCAAGTACTCAAATTATAACAAGCTCTTAAGGGTGACGGCAAGAGTTCTGAAACTCTATGACAAAAACGCAACACGTGATCTCACACCACATGATTTGGAAAGGGCTGAATTATTTTGGATACGAGAAGCTCAACAAGACATGGGGAAGGATATCGAGAACGGGAATTACAAAAGATTATGTCCTAAGATGCGAGAAGATGGTATATATGTGATTAGAGGACGAAGCGAGTTATGGATGGAGATGAGCTACAACAAGAGAGAAGTAATACTCCTTCCATACGATCACCCATTCTCACGTTTATTTACAGAGCAAATACACAGAAAAGGGCATCATGGGATATTAACTACAGCCAGCAAAGTGCGTACCAGGTACTGGATCCCGAAACTGTTGAAACTTGTGCAATCAATCAAGTCCAAATGCGTCGTTTGTAGAAAACTTGATAAAAAGTCAGTGAACAAGTAATGGGCAACCTTCCAACTGAAAGGCTGAAACCAGCCCCTCCATGGAGCAGTACAGGCATCGATTTATTTGGACCTTACAAGATTCGCGATGAAGTAAAGAAAAGAACAACATCTAAGGCGTATGGAGTGATATTCAACTGTCTAGGGACAAGAGCAGTTTACTTGGATATAGCAGCAGACTATAGTACAGACAAATTCCTAATGGTCTTCAGACGATTCGTGTCACTACATGGTTACCCATCTAAGCTATTCTCAGATAACGGTATCCAACTCGTCGCAGCAAATAAAGAGCTTTCTAATATGACCAAGACTTGGGATTGGAATAAACTAAAAGGTTTTGGCATAACTGAGGGATTTGAGTGGATCTTTACATCCGCAGACGCACCCTGGCAGAACGGAGTCACAGAAGCTCTCATAAGATCTGTAAAACGAGCTATTAACGCTTCTATTGGCGATAGTACCTTAACATTCTCAGAGTTACAAACAGTACTTTACGAGGTCGCCAACTTGCTGAATGAAAGACCAATAGGAAGGCACCCTGCGTCACCTGATGACGGTGCATATCTTTGCCCAAACGATCTTTTGCTTGGTAGAGCAACGGCACGAATACCAAGTGGCATGAACTTTGACGAGCGAGCGAGTAATAGAAAACGGTTTTCGTTCGTACAAACGATAATATCTTCTTTCTGGAAGAAGTGGACGCACAATTACTTTCCCAGTTTGCTGATACGTCAAAAATGGCATACATCCCACCGTAACTTAAAAACTGGAGATATCGTTCTTATACAGGACTCGAGCTTGTTAATAGGAAAATGGAAGATCGGGAGAGTTTCTAGTACATATCCAGGAACGGATGGGAGAGTCCGGAAAGTAGACGTCGAATACAAGAACATAACAAATGAGCCTGTAACTAAATATAAAGGAAAAGGCTATATAAGTGTACAGCGACCAGTACAGCGCCTAATATTAATACTGCCTATTAATGAACAGTGACTGAACTCTTAAATTTACTTGTAAATCGTATACTTACTATACCTCATTTCAGATGGGGGAGTGTATTGCTTAATATGTCATCTACTGCGCTAGCTAATTAAGGCCACAATTTTCAATTCATTAATACTAATCGCATAACGTGATGACGTCATAAACGGAATTCACTGCATTACCACTTGCTAGTCAGAAGAACTGTGAGACACCACTGGATTTTGAACGCAACTACTCCAAGCATTATTCAATAAAGGAGCTGTTTAAAACCGTGGACTGAGTTAATCTTCGACTGGCAAAATAGCGGCAAAGGAAAAAAAATACAGAACTTTTTTATTCATGCAAGAAAGCTGCAGCAATGAAGCAGACCAAAGTTGCCTCTACTGTCAGACCGCAAAAAAACTGTTGGAGATGAAATTACAAACAAGTGAGGGCAAATCTTTAGTACCAAAAATTTTTAATGCTTGGACGTACCACTAATTTAACATTCCAAAGCTCTCGTGCCTCGTTTGTTTTGAAGTCATTATTATACCGTAGTTTTACTTCTTGCTGAATCGTAACGAGGGCTTACTATAGTTTTCGAAACAAAATTGAAACCTGTAGATTGTTGAATGAACTCAAACTCTGTAATCTTCGAAATGGAAAATGTGTAGATCTGTAATTTACATCAATAGAATTGCAGAAAACTTAAGGCCACCAACGGCAAGGATGAACCTACATAACCTTGCAAATAATAACAACTTGGGAAAGAACGAAAGGAAAATCTTCGTGGTGCACTTTGCAAAATATTCACTTGTCCGTTTACGATGAATAATTCGAATGCGTGACATGACATTTTACTACAAATGTCACGCATTCCACCTCAGCAGGAAAACATAGAAGCTATATCTCATACCATTGCCCTTAATTACAACAAAAATATTCAGAGATGGATGAAATGAGAAAAATGTTCAGTTTAGGTTTCAAATGCTATTTATAGTTAATATTATATGCTAAGTTGTGTTTCCAATTTACGCTAGTGACGAACAGACCGATTTATCATTCTGGCCCAGTTGTATAAAAGGCGGATAACGCTAACCAATGGATAAATCGCTATCCAGCGGATAAGTGATAGCAAAACGTATAGCGTTATCTAACGGATAGAGTTTTATCCAGTGGATAGCGTTATCCAACCTTCGAACAACCGGGGCCTGGCCGGTGGAGTTTACCGCATGGATTCTCGTTTTGTCAGAAGTAATGGGCTCCTGGTTTTGTACATTACAGATTTTTATTTCGCAATTTTGCTAATTTTAGATTTTGAGCTCATTAAAGGGTTTTCAATTCGTATCGTTAAGATCGTCTCGCAATTACAGTTAGCCCTTGCTACGAATAAGAGAGAAAAAAACAAAAACTAAATGATGACAATAAGAAACTTAGGCCAGGCTTGGCCAGGCTGCACGTGGACGCCGAACGAAAACTCTGGAAGGTTACAGAGGTTGTGCATCCAAGCATCCAAAATTTTAGGAACTAGAAATTTTCCCTGACTTGTTTGTAATTTCTCCTCCAACAGCTCTTGCGGGCTTCAGCAGAGGCAGCTAGTTGGATTTGCTTCATTACTGCAGCTTTCTTAAATCGAACAGTTCTGCTTTTTTCTTTCCTTTGCCGCCATCACTTAGCTGTGTGCCTCTCTCCCACAAATAATTTTCACTCTCCCACACTGGATTTCGAGAAATTTTCTTTCATTTAATTTTCACAACCACGGCACTTAACTCTTCCTACCGAAGAGGACGACTTACTAGCTAGCCCACATCACTGGCTACTCGGGTTCATGTTAACCCCTTCACACCTAGGGTCACATAGTAGTTTACCTTACTGTCTGTCACACAATTCTTGTGATGTGAGTTTGGATGATTTGTTATTGGATTAACTAATAATCCTCTTATTTATGTTTTTCTTTATTCTCATCATTTTTCATTTGTCTGCTTGAAACTGTACTGATGTTTTAAGGAGAAATTTTGTCTTGAAGACTCATGGGAGTTACAGGGTTAAGAGTGGTAAAGATTTCCTCACTTTGTCGTCTTCGGAAAATCTTTTTGCTTGTCTTGAGCTGATATAATTCATTTGTCTAGTCTGTAATGTCATTAATTGTTCGTAAAATTATCATGTGTAAAGTCAGTTATATGATCAGACATTAAAAACTACAGAATGAGTTTGTATGAAAGCATGGCATTTTGTTCTGGGTTAGCTGTGTGAAAACTTACCCACAGTCATCCATATGGTTTCGATATCACATAGTCATAGACCAGACATGGCAAACTTTTCCGAAAGAAAACAAAAAAGCTGCAGATTTAAGTACTAGAGAATTCCTCTGAAACCCTAAAATCACATTATTTTGTAGGGTGAAAGAAAACCATTTGATGAGGTTGTAATACATCGTGGAGACCCTCATGCATTTGGACAGTCACCTATCACCTCTGTAAGACAGGTTAGTAAGCTGATGCCAAGAAAGTTAAGAGCATTTTAACTGACGCTCTATGTTAAGTCGGTTAAAATTCTATCCTTACAATTAACTGTTACAACTAAACTAATTTCACATCTGCCCCCTCTTTTGAGGGTCTCCCATAGATTTTTCGGGATCCGGGATTAGGCTTATTTAGAGTCCGGGATCCGGGAATTTAAAGTTAGAAGGGAGCGAGATGCAGGATTGCTATTATGAACGGGACACGGAAATCGGCGATTCTGAGGAGCAGGATTCGGGAAATAATCACTTAAACGAACCTAGAACCGGGATGTCCGTTGACGAGAATTTATGAAGAAATGGATCTTCTCAGTCATGAAAAGCACTAGGCATACGGGCTCTCTTCAGTTATTGCGCGGGAATGAAAATTATATCAGAAGTGAAGTTGCAAATTTATCAAAAATCCTCAATGGCCAACAGGGAAACGTAGTCTAAGACTGCTGCGTCAATTGAAATGTTTAACGGCGTTGAAAAACCTTCTGAAAGTCTCAGAATTTTACCGATATGATGCTCTCAAACTGTTGAGTTACATGACTCTAGATGTGAAGAATATTCACTCGGTTGTATTTTTTAGTCAGAATGGCGGGATTGAAGAACCCCATTGGGAACCCTCTCTTTTATGAGCCCATTCCTACAACGTTCCCTCTCAAATTAGCCACTCTTCTAAACAACCCTCTCCAAAAATGTCCCTTCTCTCTTCGCTGCTTACGGCTGAGCTTGAGTAATAAAATTAACCTTCTCCATCAAAATAGAAAAAAAAAACAATTTAATTCTTGAAGAAAGGTACTTTGATAAGGATTACTAAGATGGTTATTTGTATCTTTAGTGTTTAGCCTGTCTCCTTTGTCCACAATTTCTTGATGACCCTCAATTCCCTAAGGATGTGAAAGAAAAGGCTCACAGAATCCTAAAGGCAACACCAGGTTTTGCGATAAGTATGTAGCAAATTCATTTTACTACAGGCTCTATGAGTAGATTTTATGAAGTTATTTAATGTTTTTGGGATTTTGTTTTTTTTCCTTTTTAACCCTTTGCTTTACGTTTTGCTGCTTTGGGATGTGAAAAGAAAGGCTCACAGAATCTTAGGGCAACACCAAGTTTTGCCATGAGTAGGTAGCAAATTAATTTTACTACAGGCTCTATGGGTAAATTTTATAAAGTTTTTTTTTTCGGATTTTGTTTTTTGCTTCTTTAATCCTTTCCTTTACGTTGTGCTGCTTTGGGAGAAGCACTGTGCAGTTTGTTTTGGATATTTGGTTTTCTTGTGTGCTTTTCAACCTTCTTTCTTTTCGATTTTAAATTTTATAAATCTATCAAAAGTAGTTTGTTAATCTTTCTTGTTAGATATCTCAATTTCATAAGCCCCTGAACCTGCGGGCTTCAGTATAGGAGGGAAATTATTGTATGCTTAATTCATTTAGTATATACCAAACATGCCAATGGTGTTTTGAACTTTTTCAGTTTCTACGTGGTTCATTCTAAAATAATTGTTCACCTCACTGTAGTGATAAAGCTGGAATATTATCCACCCTAGTAAAAAATTATCAAATGTACTTTTATCAATCCTTTATAAGTTTCATTTGTTTACAGACTCCATATACTGTGTTCTTGCGAGAAAAAGTACTAAAAAAGACAGAAATCAACTAAATTTCACAGTTATTTTTTGTGCTTATAAATGATTTTAAATATCAATTCACATTGTTTTGGAGTACATCACTATCTATATAATGTATCTTTTATTAGGTTCGTACACAGATATTATTGGATTAAGACTCATTCGCGAGGATGTAGCCAAATACATTTCGAGAAGAGATGGTTACCCAGCTGACGTTGATGACGTCATTTTAACTGATGGAGGGGCAATAGGAATCAAGGTTAGAGACCAGTACTCTTTCTACCGGGTTGCAGTTAATCTGCCGATCAAAGTCGTGTGTCTGCTCAGTTGTATATCACAGGTACAAAAACGTGATGAAAGCGAAATTTGGTTAAAACGAAAAATGTGGTTTGGACAAGTTTGCCACTGTTGTTTGTAGCACTTTTTGGGCTCATGTGTGCGCTTTAACTGAACAGAAACAAGGGAAAATGGAACCCATTTGTTTTTTACATCAAACGAAATTAGCAAAACAAAACCTTGCCCAGCTCCACTGAAATTTAACGAGACCATGAACATTTCAGAGTAGCAACTGTTGCAGATATCAGTCTTTTCAAGTTACCTACATGCCTCAGATTGCATCAACTTTACTTTTAAAACGATGCATAATGTAGAGCAACGGTTGAGGTACGACGTCGAGAAATCATGTTAACAGTCCCATTTAGGCTTTTCAGATTCAAAGGATGCGGAGAAGAAGGAAAAGAAATCTTAGTAAGGTTGACATAAGTAACGAATTATAAGGTCACTGTGTCTATGTACAATGTAGGCTACCCGCCTGCGTAGGGTGGCAGTGTTTGTAAAAATTAGTTCTTTAATTTAAATAACTAGAAATACTGCGATTACCACGCAAGGTTTGTTTCATCTCAGAGCAGTTTACATTTTCTTCTAAATTTTCTTCTACAGGTAGCCCTCGCATCCCTTGGTACTGATATGCCGAACGGCAAACTTAAGCCAGGGCTCATGATTCCCATTCCAGTTTTTCCTCATTACAAGTCCAGGATTGTAGAATTCAACCTCTACGAGGTAATGCTGACATTGTGTTGAATACTTACAATCGGCATCTCTCTATTGATTCATTTGAATACTCTTCAGTTTATCGTTTCTTATTCTTTGTATCTTAGTGCTTCATTATTGGACAAGTAGAACTTAACAGAAGAAAAAATTAGAATAGATAAAGGTCTGTTACCAATCAGTGATTCATGTAAATTACAGTTCATAAGAGGAATGACCCAGCTTATGATTGCTGCGCTAAAACTGATCTTTCTATTCAGATCCCTTATTATTTGGAAGAAGAAAATAACTGGTCTTTGGACATCGGTGAAATGAAGAAAGCCATAGATGAGGCCAGGCCGTACTGTGAACCAAGAGGACTAGTACTGATTAATCCCGGTAATCCTACAGGTGAGACATACGTTTGTAACCATGGTAACTAGTGCTGTGGTTGGAGATGAACCTGATGATGAATGAGTGAAGTAGAAAACCTGATGTTTTTTTTTGTTCTCGAGAGTAACCACTCCCAAAGGGGAAATAAGAAATAATGAAAATTGTCCAAACGTAACGCACGGAAAAAAATTTTGGCTCGAGGTCATGATATACGGACTGAACGCAGCGAGCATATTTACCCGTCCAGCCAGACCAAAGTCAGTCATTAAGCATTTTATCACATGACCACTTAGCGTTGAAAATTTCGAAAATTTGGTTCAGCCATAGTAGGACGCGATACACGGGCGCACGCCGGAGAACAACAAAAAATATTCTACTATTAAAAAAATTTTCCTTTGTGTTTTTCGAGTCAGAGCAAATAAATCACAATTCATTAAAAACGCGCCTATGCTTTTACCCTTTTTTTCTTCAAGTTTTTGCAACAAAGCAGTGTTAGTGCAGGGCCGAATGGCTTTTTCCGGATCGACTCACGTCAATCCGTCGTACAAACGTCAGCTTTCAACATGGTTTTCTATGGGATTGCGCGCGCGGGGCCGTATGGGTCATATGGTAATTATCAATCATTCACTGAAGTGGAGGTGAATAGTGGTGGACACCTATAGCTTGCCGCCTCGCGGCTCGGTAAATATCCACCATTTGTTTTAGTATATAATGCACAGATACCGACAAATTAGTTTATTGCTGACATGGTTTGATGCTACTCTGATTTAAAGATTTAATGAATGTAACCTGACGAGGTGCAAATAGGCGTCAGGAAATTAGCCGCCATTAGCACGATTTAAAGGAGCGTGGGCGGAGTTGATATGCCAGGCTTCCAAACGAAGGCGCCGGTGGTAACGTCGATAAGTGGTGATAATTTTAGACTTATTCCACCGATAAAGTTGAATTTTCTTTTTGCAAAAGAAGACTCCTTTTTGATGCTCTTTCAAACGTCTACTAAACTGACGTTTGGTCCGTCCGATATACTCGTTATCACAATTTACTCAGCCCTCCTGAGTAAAGTTTTAGCTACAGACTTTTTATGGCAAATAGGGTGGTGAGAATCGAAAGCGAGATATTTGTCGTGGTGGGTAGGTTTACGATAGACACTTGTCTCTAAATTCCCTTGTTCCCCTCTGTACACATTTAAATCAAGAAAGGGCAAATGTCTATTCTTTTCATGCTCAAGGGTGAATTGGATAGACGGCTCTCTTTAATTTAAGTGCGATAGGAGGTATGAAGTGGCTAAGGCCCTTTGTTCGACGTCTTTATTACCATGTTGGCAATGACAGCAGAGACGGGCGAACCCATATCTGTGCCAAAAACCCTTTGATAGTAGGTGCCGTTGTATGTAAATTGCGTGGTTTTGAAGCAAAAAGACAGTAGATTAAGAATATCCTCCACAGGCAAAGAAGTTCTCTATTTATTTTTATATTTATTACATTTTCAATATTGCCTTTTCGGCAGAACCTACACGTAGTTTATTGACACATTGTAAAATTGGTAAATAATGGATACTCGTGTTGGTGTTTTTATAATTCCTGTGTTGCCTCAACCGCCATTTCGGAGGTCTCTTTAACCTGTGATGGGCCACCCATATTAATAGTCATAGGATGACCTTTTCGTCTATCTTTCATACTCAGGACAGATTTTGAGTTACGACAACATAAAGGAAGTCATCAAGTTTTGTGCACGAGAGAAACTGGTTTTATTTGCGGATGAAGTGTACCAGGAAACAGTCTTTACAAAGGAAGTCCCATTCCACTCGTGCAAAAAGGTTCTGAGGGACCTGGGACCTGAATACAATAACTTTCAATTGATGTCGCTCAACTCCGCCTCTAAAGGATTTTATGGCGAGTGAGTGGAGAGGCCACATTATGAACAACAGTGCGGCATAATTAATTGTAAAAATTCTTATTATCATGACTTATTCTATTTTAACCCGTGTTTTATTTGGAGTTTTCGGTAAGAGGCAGGGAAGGAAGGGGTCTTAACGGGTTGTTTGCGGTACACCAAAAATATGCTTTAAGATGTTCAACGCGAAATTTCTTTACAAGATTTCTTAGCTTTGGAGTTCGTGAACATGATATTTATACTACTTTAATTTGGGCGAAAGAACGATATGCAAACGCAGGTTAAATACCGAATGACATGCACGCTCTGATAATAAATGTTTTCTCTCAGCTTAAGAATCATTTCATTTATTTTACTTTTATAGGTGTGGTTTGAGGGGAGGGTATCTTGAGCTGGTCGGATTTAGCAACGCAGTCAAACTGCAGTTTAGAAATCTGATGTCACCAAGTGTTAGTGGCTTGACTATTGGGCAGGTATTATTTCAAGTTTCTTAATTTTAAACATGTAGAGAACCTCATGATGAAGCACTTAGTCTAACAGGAACAGAACGGTGAGTAAGCCAAACCGTTTGAACGTCTAATGAATGTTATCTCTTTTCACAAAATGGGAGATTTCACATACAGAGAGAAGTACCAAACCATGCACCCTTACGTATATCTGCTGTACTGAAACGGCTTTTTGACTTCTGTACAAGGACTGAAGGGAAAGTGAAACGTTGCTTGAAAGATAGAAGAACAAAATCATGTACTTAGCCTTGCTTGAATTTTTTTTCTATTTTCAAGGCTGCCATAAGTTTAATTTGTTGTCCGCCTCAGCCTGGAGACGAGTCGTATGAAACTTTTATACAGGTTTGTAGCGAAGGTCTGGATACAGTTATATTTGAGTTAACTCCAAGGAAGAATTATTTTTAGAGTAAAATTACTCATCAAATCGACTATAGATCTATAAGCCAATCATTCAATAATCCTCTTTTCTGCGTGTATTTATGTGTTTTTTGCCCTTTTTGGGTAAGAAATACTCGCAATCAAAGGAAGAACTTTGAAATATCATACTGGTCGTTTATCTCGCCAAGCAATAGAAATCCTTGTGGACAATGTTCCTTATGGTACGGTTCCCCTTGGATGAGGTCCCTTTGTCCTGCAAGCTTTAGTCCCTATCCTTTATGGGTACGTGAAGGATAGGGTTCCTTGTGGACTAAGCTTCCTTTGTACTGTTAACTGCACTTCATACTCTTTACGGACTAAGTTCCGTTAAAGTAATAATGAATAAGGATCCCTGTGGATAGGGTATCCTATGAATAAGAATCCTTTGTACCGCAAACTATCGTGACTCTTTACCCTTCGTTGACAGGTCAAGAATAAGGTTCCTGAGGGATAAGGTTCCTTATGGAGAAGGTTTCTTAGGGATAAGGTTCCTTAAGGACAAGGTTCCTGATGGTGTGATTTCCTTTTGAATAAGGCTATTCATGAATAAGGATCCCTATCGATAAATTCTCTCATGGATACGGCTCCTTTTCCTGCAAACTGCAATCACATTTTTTTAATGGATGTAAAATTGTTAAGATGGCCATTAAGGGTCGAGTACAGTCAGTCTAACATCAGTATGCATATTCTCCATACTGTTCTCTACACGTTTCCTAATTTGCTGACAGGGTGAATTTGTTTAACAATCAAGAGCTTCTTTAGTTAGTGATCATTCCCTTTATTCTCGTGACCTTAAAGTGTGACTCAGGGATGATATTGTAAGGAGAAATTAGATGCAAGTCACTCTTAGGGGTTAAAGGATTAAAAGACTTTGTTAACTGATTTAGATTATAGTCATGTTTGCTAAATAATTGTTACGTAGTTATACTGAATAAAGTGATTTTTTACAATTTTAAAATTTCTTGCGTGAAACTCACCAGAGACCAAAAATCAGTCAATGATGGTGAGGCAAACAAACTTCCGTTTGGTTCTAAGGCTCGTAACACATGTACTTTGAACCTTGGAAACAAACGGCAGTTTAGGCCCGTGTTCAAGATCTAGACAAGAAGATTTCGTGACACGATTATCACTGTTAATGCCATAAAAGCCTAAACTAGCTAATTGGAATTTTATATTTAATCGACATATTCTATTTATAAATGTACCAAACCAATTGGCTTAAACCACTTATAGTTCTTTTCAATGTTATTATTATTATTATTGATATTATCCTATTTAATAATCGTGTAATTCAATTTTTTAGTTGCAAAGCGATTATAAATAAACATCTTATCTCTACTTAACTCTCTATCTCTATCTTACGAAAGACTTCAGTATATTTTTACTTTTGTTTTGTAGGAGAAGACGGCCATTTTGGACTCTTACCAAAGGAAAGCGAAAATCACCACTTCAATGTTGAATTCTTTAGAAGGAGTGACGTGTAATGAAGTAACTGGTGCCTTGTATGCTTTCCCCAGAATTCGTCTTCCACAAAAAGCTATCGAGGAAGCCAAGGTGAGGAAGTAAGCTGTAGATGTGACGATAAGTTTACTCACTATACTCAGCAGATGCACAAATATATTTTAAAGGGACGAACCTTCGAGATGATACTCATTATTTTTTTCTCAGTACGTGAGCAGGCGGTATTCTACAAATCCTGCGATTTAATTGGTTCCGAGAGCAGGCACTACTCTCCCATCCGGTACGCTCTCGGCTGAGAGCGGGCGATATATATCCGCTTCGTGTTGAGTCGCTTTGCAGAACGTCTTTAGCTTCGTTGTAATTATTCATGTTGTTTTGCTAGCTGGGCAGCATTAATGAGTAAAGACTTCGATCACGACCTTTAACCGATAAATAACTTATCAATTCTCTCCTCTCTTTGTCTCTCTCTCCCCCCCCCCCCTCTCCACCTCTCTCCCTCTCTCAAATCACTTTGGTTTTTTTCCGCAAAAATTGATTTCAAGATGATTTTTGTGGTGTCAAATGTTGTTTTTGAATATATTGACACACGGCCTAAAAACAGTTTGAAATTTAATCATCCTTCATAAAAAGTAACTCAGATAATTGTAACGAGAGGTATTTGGGGTTAAAAGTTACATTAATCAACATAACTTTCGTTCATTTAATATCTTAATTCTCCAAAACAGTTTGTTCGTTGTAAAACGTTGAACGAAGTGTTGAAGTCACATTAAGATCTCTGAGAGGTTTTGAAGAAACAAATCGTCGTAAGTAAGGCTGGTAGTCGGTGTTTAGCACCTCATCTATTTGTGGACACTACTTTGTCATTTTCCAATTCGCGTTATCCGTGTACTACTCATCTTTCCTTACTTTTCGAGTTAACTTGGCGTCCATCAGTGGGAAAAGGGTTGTTATGAGAACGTCATTTCTATTTCTTAAAATCATTTCCGTTTCTCTTTAGCGTAATAACCTTGACCCAGACGACTTCTATTGCTGGCAGTTGTTGGAAACAACCGGAATAGTCTCCATGCCTGGAAGAAATTTTGGACAAAAGGAGGGAACATACCATTTTAGGTCAGTTTTATTTTTCTGTGTTGTCCATGAGATGAGCAGCCCAAATACTATCGGTGACAGCACTGCTTTACAAGACATAACGAGCCGGTCTTTTCCATCTATCTTATTGGACTCTTGAATATCTGTTTTTTCCTTAAAAGTCTGATGGTAAACCTCGGGTATGATCAGAGTCTATACAGTCATTCAGCAAGAACCATTCGTTACTTGACTACTGCATACCAACAAACTAAATTTGATTGGTTCTCATTTCGTTAGATACTCGCCTATATACCATGCCACCCTTTTTTAATTTCTATTTATGCTCTTTTGCTCTAAAACATGATGAGTTTTTATCTTTTATCTCATGGTTTGCAATCACAGGCTTGCCTCCTTTCCAATTGCTTTGTTCCCTTTTTTTCCTCCTACAGATTAACAATTCTACCCTCTGAAGAAAAAATTGCCCCTATGTACGAAAGGCTGAGCAAGTTTCACAAGGAATTCATGGACAAGTACAAGGACGACAAAGAAAACTAATAGGGATTTCAAACTGAGAGCTTGTTTTTTGTTGGGTATCTACGGTGTTGTTGGTGGCAATGACTGACGTTTCGAGAACCTGAGGTGGAAGTCTAAATAAGAGTGACTTCGATGATGACTCCGATGATGAGTCATGAATGCTTGTACTCGCCTGGTTTATTGGGGTTTATTAGTATAATTACAATATAACACACCTCTGCTTCGTGAATTGTATCGGCTACCTGTTTGATACCGCAAAGAATATAAAAAACTCATTCTTTTTAAGTTATTGCATGGCATTGCGCCGGAGTGTTTTAGTAATTTCATATATATATTATCTCCGTCCATGAATAATCTACGGCGCATGCGCACATACATCTTTTTGTCACTGTTTATGCCTCAGAGTACCTGAACTGACGTCATTCTTGCTTCTCTGAGGAACTAGTGAGATTCTCCACATTGAAAACTTACTGTCAAGTAACTTTTCTCTCTTAGAAAAGTAACTTTTCTCACATAGAAAGCTTATTTGCCTCGGAAGCACACACGACCTCTCGAGACCACCATAAATACTTCTCTGTCTGCGTGTAATCACCGGAGGAATTTGGAACACATCGTCAAGTCGGCAAAGATCAGCCCTTTTGACTCGGAATTCCGCCATGCAATCAGCTTGGGGCCATATCATCTTGGTCGAACTGATCGTAAGACTTGTAACAAAAATCTTTTTTTTTTTTTTTTTTTTACTGAAAACATTCGTAGAGAAGAACGAATTTCTCATCAGAAATGATGTTTTCATCGTGAGTTAGCTGAAGCAAATCTCGAACATTTTAAAAATTGTCCATTTTTAATTTAAATTATATATAAAAATATTGCGGATAAAAATCCGTGAAAAGACTCAGCGGCTGATGACCGTCACTACTTATGCCGTCGTGAAGCGATGGACGCGCCTAAAGGTTTGTTTTGGCGGGAACAACGCCGTTCTCGATCCAGGTCCTTCCGTACCCCACCGTTGCCGTCTGTAGTGTATTGAGGAGTAAAAGTACTCTACCGATATATTAAAGTTCACATTGCAACCAGGTGGACAATCAGACATGGTTTGATGCTACTCTGGTCTACAGCTTTATTGAATGTAGCCGAAGAAGTTACAATTCACAGACCCAACGTTTCGACACTCTTGTCTGGTGCCTTCTTCAGGAGGAGCGTGGGCGGAGTTAACTCCGCCCACACTCCTTTCAATTGTGTGGGAATTAAGGCTTCCTCACGTTCTACAGCGATTCGTGGGCACTAATGTTCTGACAGAAGTGATTTTATTTAACAATCTACCCACATAATACCTCGAAAATACCTGATCAGATACATCACTGTACGCAGAACTAGTTCGATTACTCCAATTCTTCCTGTAAAATTCTTCGCATCTGTTTCAATGGCAGCGAAAAGATAACTTGCTTGATAAACGATCAGAAAATGATAAAAGAAAGACGCCAATTTTGAGCGACCGTCGTTGAAAATAAAACATAATGGAATTGCTTAAGGCCACTCTTAGGGTACTTTTTAACATAAACTATCGATGCGGTGTGATTGAAGACTAGTAATTTCGTTGACGTCTGTTGCTAAACTGAAGAAAGAAATTTCCTCAGTTTCACTTCTACTACAGATGGAAACGGCAGCAAACGAAATCCTGACGGACAAAACAATCAACCCACTGTTCCAGAGAGCCCATAATGTCAGAGGATGGATCAATGCCCGGGCTTACGAAATAAAACACGAAATGGCGCTGGTGAGTGCTGGTGCGTTCCTTGAGGTTCTTTATGTATTTCAAACCTACGAAACAATTTTGATCGCCTGTTGCTTTATTTTCCAAGTTTCGTCATGACAAGAAGCAACACCTGTCACATCATTGTGGCCGTTCAATTACCTTGGGACTAACTAATACACTGTTTTGAAAAGTTGTGATTTGCATGATTCACTCCTATGTTAAGGTTACTTCACACCTTCAGAGGCCGAAAAAATCGATTCTTTCTTCTATTTGAGTAAACTGAATTCAAACATTCAATCTAAATTACCCATTTAAATTTTTTCCGAAAATCTTTAAAAGCACACGAATTATTTAGATAACGTATTTTCAAATAAAAGGTAGTAAATCAGGAAGATGTCTCGGACCAGGGGGAGTCCTCTGGGGGAATGTTCGCGACAATCGCTCATGTTTGGGCTCGATTTTCATGTTATTTTCGTAGTTTGCCCACATCGCGCACTTTACAAAATTCACTCATGGAATCTCTTTGATTAAGGAAAAATCGTTGCTAAAACAAAAATCAAAAGCGGGAGAAAGCCCTTGGTAAAAAAGGAGAAAAAAAAAAACAGGCTCAAAGAAGAACGAAAGTTCTGTCAAGATAAGAAAAAAAATCCCTTTTAAAGCGATTGGTAGTGGCGGAGCTCCACGCTGGCGTCCAGATTTCGAACAAAGAAGTCGCCGTCAAACCAAAAATTGCCATCCATGATGTTAGAAACGAGGTTTCCTTTTCTGTATCCAAGTAACAGCCTTGGTACAAAAACATTAACAATAATCTCGAATGGTAATTTTGAAAGCTGTATATCTGTCTCCATCATCAGCACATTTTCCGTGGGCAACTTTGCTCATTATCAGGGACCTTTGGCAAACCACCACGGCGACGGCAACAAGGACGTGGCAAAACAAAGATTTAATGAGTACAAAATAGTTTAACGTGAGCGCCTTAAAACTGTGTACATTTCTTGGTCGTTCTCTGCGAAACAACAACGTGAAACCATCAGAATTTTCGTGGTCTGAGAAAGGAAACCCCGACGACAGATTATTTAAGTTTCCATTTGGAACTCAACGCCGCTCTCTTACATGTTGCTGAGGGTAACTTTCGTCGCTATAAGAGATGATAAACACATCCAGTCTTTCGCGAAATTCCAACTAAAAATATGTATTCATTTTTAAATCGACGTCGTCCTTGGCGTTGCCGTCCTAACTGCTAAAGATCTCTAATGCGTCGTCCTTCTCAACGCTCTTTGAGCGATCGAGATAAAACAATAACCGTGTCTGCATGGGTTACTTTTCCCAGGAGATCTTGATCCAGCGAGATTATCTCCTGGCGTGGCGAACCTTTATGAGCTAAAATCTTGCATTTGATTTTAGGAGGAATACAACCACTTTGAGCCAATTTATAGGGTATATAGATTCGACCGATTTTCGTCAAATTTCGCAAGAACATTCTAGGAATAACGACAAACGAAAGAGTGTCCAGAACTTGTGATATTTGAAATATTTGTCCCGTGGCGTCCATTTACGCGACACACCTCGCTTTTTTTTTTAGCTACTCCAACTTTAGATGCCAATATCTAGACAATCAATCAGAATATCGACAAAGCCCAAGTCACTTGTGCTGATTGCTTGATGTCTTGTGAATAAGACTGCGCAGCCATTTGCGTGCTGCGGCATCTGATACCAGATAAATTCAATAGAAGAATCTTCGGTCGTTTAACGCCCTACCAGCTCCTGACACTTTCTTAAAAGAAATGTCTCTTTAATCATATTTTTATCGTAAACTGCAGTTAATAAGCTTTCTTCTGATTTATAGTTTGCTAGGATTTTAAAAACTAGCACGCCTACGAATTTTTTCCCGAACGACACCAGCGAAGGTGGGAAGTAACGTTAAAGTGATTTGCATGTTTACCTCTACTCTGGAAAGCTAAGGGGATATAGCCGCTCAGTTAATTGAGATCACTGCAAAGGGGAAATGTCTGATAGGAAAACTTAGTTGAAGTTTACTTTTTCGCCATGAATTAGTTTGGTAGTAAAATAATGATAGAATAAAGGAGATAAGGAGGCCATGCATGAAAACCCTCATTCGGCTCTCCAATACTATTACTATTCACAGTTTGAAAACAATTTAATTAACAGTGTCAGAGGAAAAAAAAATCACCGCTGACACATTATCTGAGTTTTCTTTCTATGATATCCTAATTAGGCCGAAAAAAGAGGGAGATTTGGAAAAGTTAGAAGTATACTATATTTTTCATATAAATGCATCAGATGACACGCGCCATGAATTATACTTGTTAGTTTACTACAGGCGACCTAAGCTCCAGTTGTGAGATGATCAACTTGCGAAATAAGAGTCGAAGCGAAATAAAATAGTTTGTACACAGGCGTCTCAAGGTCACGTCTGGTCTAAACTGGAAATTTCTGAAGCAAACTGCGGCGTAGCGTCGGTTTCACGGAGAAGATTGAGTTTGTAGTGAATTGAAATGAGACTACAACATATGTGTTTGGATTCTTCGTTGTATTTGTGGCTGCCCGGTCGTTTAAAGATTGGATTTTTCGCTTCTCGGATCGAGCGTTCGGACTCTTATGTACGTAGTAAACCTAGATATGGATAACTAGCTAAAATGGGTTATTTTCAAACATAGTAAGCGGGCAGATAAAAAGCAATGCACTGTGGAAGTGAGGTGAAGTATTTTTAATGAGAATGTGACTGATTTTATACCAATGAAAGCGCCTTCGCACTTAGCCTCGTCCTCACGCCGTTATTTCGGTACCAGATCACTGAACCGCGAGAACTCGGAAGAAATCGCAAATTACAGATCTCTATTTTATATATCATCAGCATATTTCCATTTCTCAAATTACAGATCTCTATTTTGCAAATCATTAGCATATTTCCATTTCGCAAATTGCAGATTTCTAGAAATCTGCAATTTGCGAAATCTCCACTTCGTTCGTGGATAACTCAATGCGTCGTGTAGGCCATAGAGCGCAAAAGTAATAGGCCACTTCCGAGTTCTCGCGGTTCAGTGATCTGGTGCGAAGGCACTTTCATCGGTATAAAGAGAAAAGGGCAGTGGTAGAGAAAACTAGCGAAAATTTCTCGAATTTCAAAGTGGGAGAGGAAAAAATTATTTGCGAGCGAGGCATTAAGTAAAGTGATGGCGGCAAAGGAAAAAAAATACAGAACTTTTTGATTTATGCAAGAAAGCTGCAGCAATGAAACAGACCAAAGTTGCCTCTACTGTCAGACAGCAAAAAAACTGTTGGAGATCAAATTAAAAACAAGTGAGAGCAAATCTTTAGTACCAAAAATTTTTAATGCTTGGACGTACCACTAATTTAACATTCCAGAGCTCTCTTGCCTCGTTTGTTTTGAAGTCATTATTATACCGTAGTTTTATTTCTTGCTGAATCGTAACGGGGGCTTACTATAGTTTTCGAAACAAAATTGAAACCTGTAGATTGTTGAATGAACTCAAACTCTGTAATTTTCGAAATAGAAAATGTGTAGATCTGTAATTTACATCAATAGAATTGCAGAAAACTTAAGGCCATCAACGGCAAGGATGAACCTACATAACCTTGCAAATAATAACAACTTGGGAAAGAACGAAAGGAAAATCTTCGTGGTGCACTTTGCAAAATATTCACTTGTCCGTTTACGATGAATAATTCGAATGCGTGACATGACATTTTACTACATATGTCACGCATTCCTCCTCAGCAGGAAAACATAGAAGCTATCTCATACCATTGCCCTTATTTACTACAAAAATATTCAGAGATGGATGAAATGAGAAAAATGTTCAGTTTAGGTTTCAAATGTTATTTATAGTTAATATTATTATATACTCAACAAAATATCGCGTTTCTGATTGGTTAATGATGAATGCATAAATAGGTTATAGAGTGCAATAGAGGTTATAGAGTGCAATACGGAGAAGTTGCCATGGAAACACCGGGGAAGCGCCAAATTTGAACACCAAATTATAAAAAAATGGCTGACAGCCGGTTTGCTTTGTCAAACCAAAACATCGTTGAGCAACTTAAAGAAAATGCGAAAAACAAAAACACGTTGAAAGCTACACAGACCTGGTTAAATGTCTGGCAAACGAAAAGTAAACCCAAAAATGGAAGAATACGAGCACGAACAACTCGATAAAATGTTGCAAATCTTCTACACAGAAATACGCACAAAAGACGGGTGTGAGTACGAACCTGAGAGTTTAAAATCCATGCTGGCAGCCCTCGACCGCTATTTAAAAGAGCATGACTACAAGTACTCTATTATACGAGACCGAGAGTTTCACCAGTCGAAGTTGGTACTCGAAGGAAAAGTGAAGTGTCTCCGTCAACAAGGAAAAGGCAAGAGACCCAACGCCGCGAACGTACTGACAGCCGAAGAAGAAAAAATGCTATGGAGTGAACAAAGTCTCGGCGACTGCATTCCAAGAGTTCTTTCCCAGACGATGTGATGGATCTTGACTCAACATTTTGGCCTGAGGGGAAGACAGGAACACCATTCAATGGAAGTCGAGGACTTCAGTTTTTGTGTGGACGACAGCGGCACAGAGTACGTCACATTTAAAGAAAATCCTACAAAGACGAGGCAGGGAGGACTGAACACAAAACATCGTAGTGTTCTGCCAAAAATGTTCGCTACTGAAATTGACTAACCACACCGCAAGGAAGACAGTTGTGAAGAAACTCAGAGCAGCAAGCGTCGAGAGGCAGTCGATAATCGAGGTGACCGGCCACGCAAGTGAAAAGTCTCTTAACGACTACGATGAAGGTAGCGAGAAGGAACAGCGACAGCTTTCAAACATTATCAGCAATGCTCCACAGTCAGCAGCCTCCAGCAGTTTTCCTGGTCTACCAATGTGGTCTTCTCCTGCAACGACTTCAACGTGTGAACAGATGAAAACAAGCGGCCATCCTTTCACTGTGAACAACTTTCACAACTGTCAAGTCACATTTAACGTGATTCAGGGGCAATGCAGTTCACCAAAGTCAGAATGTTATTCCCTGAGGCCGATTGAGATCAAACATTTGAAAACAGTTTAGCGGGCTTCAGTACTCTTGCCGCGTTTAATAACGGAAATTTAGCTTTTGAGTTCGGCTTGTAATATTTTCTGAGAAACTTTCAAGAACTTCACGCTTGATTTACCTGTCACAACATTACATTTTTGATTGGTTCAAATAAAACTTGTGAGCATTTTGGAACCCATTGAAGTGTTTTTTGTAGTACGTAAGGCGTGCAGAGTAGCGCAATGGAGTAATTTTGTCGAGAATATAATAAATAAAAAATCGTATGAACCTGCTCGTGCATTTCGTGATTTATGGTCACTCGTGATGTTTTGAAAGTTCTCAAATTGCACTCGCCTACGGCTCGTGCAATTTTGAGAACTTTCAAAACATCACTCGTGCCCATAAATCACGAAATGCACTCGCGTTCATACGATTTCCTATACTTATAAGCTAAGTTGTGTTTCCAATTTACGCTAGTGACGAACTGACCGATTTATCATTCTGGCCCAGTTGTATAAAAGGCGGATAACGCTAACCAATGGATAAATCGCTATCCAGCGGATAAGTGATAGCAAAACGTACAGCGTTATCCAACGGATAGAGTTTTATCCAGTGGATAGCATTATCCAACCTTCGAACAACCGGGGCCTGGCCGGTGGAGTTTACCGCATGGATTCTCGTTTTGTCAGAAGTAATGGGCTCCTGGTTTTGTACACTACAGATTTTTATTTCGCAATTTTGCTAATTTTAGATTTTGAGCTCATTTCGCAACTAAAGGGTTTTCAATTCGTATCGTTAAGATCGTCTCGCAAATTACAGTTAGCCCTTGCTACGGATCAGAGAGAAAAAAACAAAAACTAAATGATGACAATAAGAAACTTAGGCCGGGCTTGACCAGGCTGCACGTGGACACCGAACGAAAACTCTGGAAAGTTACAGAGGTTGTGCATCCAAGCATCCAAAATTTTAGGAACTAGAAATTTGTCCGGACTTGTTTGTAACTTCTCCTCCAACAGCTCTTGCGGGCTTCAGCAGAGGCAGCTAGTTGGATTTGCTTCATTACTGCAGCTTTCTTAAATTGAACAGTTCTGCTTTTTTCTTTCCTTTGCCGCCATCACTTAGCTGTGTGCCTCTCTCCCACAAATAATTTTCACTCTCCCACACTGAATTTCGAGAAATTTTCTTTCATTTAATTTTCGCAACCACGGCACTTAACTCTTCCTACCGAAGAGGACGACTTACTAGCTAGCCCACATCACTGGCTACTCGGGTTCATGTTAACCCCTTCACACCTAAGGTCACATAGTAGTTTAGCTTACTGTCTGTCACACAATTCTTGTGATGTGAGTTTGGATGATTTGTTATTGGATTAACTAATAATCCTCTCATTTATATTTTTCTTTATTCTCATCATTTTTCATTTGTCTACTTGAAACTGTACTGATGTTTTAAGGAGAAATTTTGTCTTGAAGACTCATGGGAGTTACAGGGTTAAGAGTGGTAAAGATTTCCTCACTTTGTCGTCTTCGGAAAATCTTTTTGCTTGTCTTGAGCTGATAAAATTCATTTGTCTAGTCTGTAATGTCATTAATTGTTCATAAAATTATCATGTGTAAAGTTATTTACATGATCAGACATTAAAAACTACAGAATGAGTTTATATGAAAGCATGGCATTTTGTTCTGGGTTAGCTGTGTGGAAACTTACCCACAGTCATCCATATGGTTTCGATATCACATAGTCATAGACCAGACATGGCAAACTTTTCCGAAAGAAAACAAAAAAGCTGTAGATTTAAGTACTAGAGAATTCCTCTGAAACCCTAAAATCACATTATTTTGTAGGGTGAAAGAAAACCATTTGATGAGGTTGTAATACATTATGGAGACCCTCATGCATTTGGGCAGTCACCTATCACCTCTGTAAGACAGGTTAGTAAGCTGATGCCAAGAAAGTTAAGAGCATTTTAACTGACGCTCTATGTTAAGTCGGTTAAAATTCTATCCTTACAATTAACTGTTACAACTAAACTAATTTAACATCTGCCCCCTCTTTTGAGGGTCTCCAATAGATTTTTCGGGATCCGGGATTAGGCTAATTTAGAGTCCGGGATCCGGGAATTTAAAGTAAGAAGGGAGCGAGATGCAGGATTGCTATTATGAACGGGACACGGAAATCGGCGATTTTGAGGAGCAGGATTCGGGAAATAATCACTTAAACGAACCTAGAACCGGGATGTCCGTTGACGAGAATTTATGAAGAAATGGATCTTCTCAGTCATGAAAAGCACCAGGCATACGGGCTCTCTTCAGTTATTGCGCGGGAATGAAAATTATATCAGAAGTGAAGTTGCAAATTTATCAAAAATCCTCAATGGCCAACAGGGAAACGTAGTCTAAGACTGCTGCGTCAATTGAAATGCTTAACGGCGTTGAAAAACCTCCTGAAAGTCTCAGAATTTTACCGATATGATGCTCTTAACCTGTTGAGTTACATGACTCTAGATGTGAAGAATATTCACTTGGTTGTATTTTTAGTCGGGATCGCGGGATTGAAGAACCCTATTGGGAACCCTCTCTTTTATGAGCCCATTCCTGCAACGTTCCCTCTCAAATTAGCCACTCTTCTAAACAACCCTCTACAAAAATTTCCCTTCTCTAATAAGTCTCCGCCCTTAAAAAATTCCCCAACCCATGCTCCTCATCTTTTCCCAGAACAAAATCTTGAAAAATAAAATGTGGAAATATCCTCACCATTCTCGCATTTCAAAGTGTGTTCTTGATGATGTTTATGAAATTGTAAGTTTTTCCTATCAAAGTTATATGTTCTGTACACAGTATTCATAGCAACTGGGCAAAAGTGCAAAAGTTATAAGATATCACCCCCATTGTGGCCCTCAATATGTTTGAAATTAGCCTCCTTCTCTACTAATTCAGCCCTCTACTCCAAAAAGACTTCATCTGAATGACCCCCCTTTTGGTGACAAAACACGAAAAGATGGCTAGCAGATTAAAACTCTCGCTGCTTACGGCTGAGCGTGAGTAATAAAATTAACCTTCTCCATCAAATTAGAAAAAAAAATTTCAATTCTTGAAGAAAGTTACTTTAATAACGATTACTGAGATGGTTATTTGTATCTTTAGTGTTTAGCCTGTCTCCTTTGTCCACAATTTCTCGATGACCCTCAATTCCCTAAGGATGTGAAAGAAAAGGCTCACAGAATCCTAAAGGCAACACCAGGTTTTGCAATAAGTATGTACCAAATTCATTTTACTACAGGCTCTATGAGTAGCTTTTATGAAGTTATTAAATTTTTTTTTTTGGATTTTGCTTTTTTTCCTTTTTAACCCTTTGCTTTACGTTTTGCTGCTTTGGGATGTGAAAAGAAAGGCTCACAGAATCTTAGGGCAACACCAAGTTTTGCCATGAGTAGGTAGCAAATTAATTTTACATACAGGCTCTATGGGTAGATTTTATAAAGTTTTTTAATTTATTTTTTTTCGGATTTTGTTTTTTGCTTCTTTAATCCTTCCCTTTACGTTGTGCTGCTTTGGGAGAAGCACTGTGCAGTTTGGTTTGGATATTTGGTTTTCTTGTGTGCTTTTAAATCTTCTCTCTTTTCGATTTTTTTTCTGTCTTGTTAGGTATCTCAATTTCATAAGCCCCTGAACCTGCGGGCTTCAGTATAAGAGGGAAATTACTGTATGCTTAATTCATTTAGTATATACCAAACATGCCAATGGTGTTTTGAACTTTTTCAGTTCATACTAAAATAATTGTTCACCTCACTGTAGTGATAAAGCTGGAATATTATCCACCCTAGTAAAAAATTATCAAATGTACTTTTATCAATCCTTTATAAGTTTCATTTGTTTACAGACTCCATATACTGTGTTCTTGCGAGAAAAAGTATTAAAAAAGACAGAAATCAACTAAATTTCACAGTTATTTTTTGTGCTTATAAATGATTTTAAATATCAATTCACATTGTTTTGGAGGACATCACTATCTATATAATGTATCTTTTATTAGGTTCGTACACAGATACTATTGGATTAAGACTCATTCGCGAGGATGTAGCCAAATACATTTCGAGAAGAGATGGTTACCCAGCTGACGTTGATGACGTCATTTTAACTAATGGAGGGGCAATAGGAATCGAGGTTAGAGACCAGTACTCTTTCTACTGGGTTGCAGCTAATCTGCCGATCAAAGTCGTGTGTCTGCTCAGTTGTATATCACAGGTACAAAAACGTAATGAAAGCGAAATTTGGTTAAAACGAAAAATGTGGTTTGGACAAGTTTGCCACTAATGCAAAAATTTGTTTGCCACTGATGCATAAAGTAGAGCAACGTGTGAGGTACGACGCCGAGAAATCATGTTAACAGTCCCATTTAGGCTTTTCAGATTCAAAGGATGCGGAGAAGAAGGAAAAGAAATTCAAGTAAGGTTGACATAAGTAGCGAATTATGAGGTCACTATGTGTAGGTACAATGTAGGCTACCCGCCTGCGTAGGGTGGCAGTGTATGTGAAAAGTAGTTCTTTAATTTAAATAACTAGAAATACTGCGATTACCACGCAAGGTTTGTTTCATCTCAGAGCAATTTACATTTTCTACTAAATTATCTTCTACAGGTAGCCCTCGCATCCCTTGGTACTGATATGCCGAACGGCAAACTTAAGCCAGGGCTTATGATTCCCATTCCAGTTTTTCCTCAGTACAAGTCCAGGATTGTAGAATTCAACCTCTACGAGGTAATGCTGACATTGTGTTGAATACTTACAACCGGCATTTCTCTATTGATTCATTTGCATACTCTTCAGTTTAATGTTTCTTATTCTTTGTGTCTTAGTGCTACATTATTGGACAAGTGGAACTTAACAGAAGAAAAAATTAGAATAGATGAAGGTCTGATATTAATCAGTGACTCATGCTGATTAGAGTCCATAAGAGGAGTGACTTAGCTTATGATTGCTGTGCTAAAACTGATCTTTCTACTCAGATCCCTTATTATTTGGAAGAAGAAAATAACTGGTCTTTGAACATCGGTGAAATGAAGAAAGCCATAGATGAGGCCAGGCCGCACTGTGAACCAAGAGGACTGGTACTGATTAATCCTGGTAATCCTACGGGTGAGACATACGTTTGTAACCATGGTAACTAGTGCTGTGGTTGGAGATGAACCTGATGATGAATGAGTGAAGTAGAAAACCTGATGTTTTTTCTTTGTTCTCGAGAATAAAAACTCCTAAAGGGGAAATAAGAAATAATGAAAATTGTCCAAACGTAACGCACGGAAAAAAATACTTGGTTCGAGGTCATGACATACGGACTGAGCGCAGCGAGGTCCGTGCGTCATGATCGAGAGCCAAATATTTACCCGTCCAGCCTGACCAAAGTCAGTCAATAAGCATTTTATCATATGACCACTTAGCGTTGAAAATTTCGAAAGTTTTTGTTCAACCATAGTAGGACGCGATACACGGGCACGCGGGAGAACAACAAAAAATATTCTACTATTAAAAAAATTTTCCTTTGTGTTTTTCGAGTCAGAGCAAATAAATCACAATTCATTAAAAACGCGCCTATAATTTTACCCTTTTTTCCTTCAAGTTTTTGCAACAAAGCAGTGTTAGTGCAGGGCCGAATGGCTTTTTCCGGACAGACTCACGTCAATCCGTCCGGTCGTACAAACGTCAGCTTTCAACATGGTTTTCTATGGGATTGCGCGTGCGGGGCCGTATGGGTCATATGGTATTTATCAATCATTCACTGAAGTGGAGGTGAATAGTGGTGGATACCTATAGCTTGCCGCCTCGCGGCTCGGTAAATATCCACCATTTGTTTTAGTATATAACGCACAGATACCGACAAATTAGTTTATTGCTGACATGGTTTGATGCTACTCTGGTTTAAAGATTTAATGAATGTAACCTGACGAGGTGCAAATAGGCGTCAGGAAATAAGCCGCCATTAGCACGATTTAAAGGAGCGTGGGTGGAGTTGATATGCCAGGTTTCCAAACAAAGGCGCCGGTGGTAACACCGATTAGTGGTGATAATTTCAGACTTATCCCACCGATAAGGCTGAACTTTCTTTTTTGCAAAAGAAGACTCCTTTTTGATGCTCTTTCAAACGTCTGCCAAACTAACGTTTGGTCCGTCCGATATTACATTTTACTCAGCCTTCCTGAGTAAAGTTTTGGCTACAGATTTTTATGGCAAATAGGGCGGTGAGAATCGAAAGCGAGATATTTGTCGTTGTGGATAGGTTTACGAGAGACGCTTGTCTCTAAATTCCCCTGTTCCCCTCTGTACACATTTAAATCAAGAAAAGGCAAATGTCTATTCTTTTCATGCTCAAGGGTGAGTTGGATAGACGGCTCTATTTAATTTAAGTGCGATAGGAGGTATAAAGTGGCTAAGGTCCTTTGTTCGACGTCTTTATTACCATATTGGCATATGTGCCAAAAACCCTTTGATAGTAGGTGCCGTTGTATGCAAATTGAGTGGTTTTGAAGCAAAAAGACAGCAGATTAAGAATATCCTCCACAGGCAAAGAAGTTCTCTATTTATTTTTATATTTATTATATTTTCAATATTGCCTTTTCGGCAGAATCCACACGTATTTTATTGATACATTGTAAAATTGGTAAATAATGAATACTCGTGTTGGTGTTTTTATAATTCCTGTGTTGCCTCAACCGCCATTTCGGAGGTCTCTTTAACCTGTGATTGGCCACCCATATTAATAGTCATAGGATGACCTTTTCGTCTATCTTTCATACTCAGGACAGATTTTGAGTTACGACAACATAAAGGAAGTCATCAAGTTTTGTGCACGAGAGAAACTGGTTTTATTTGCGGATGAAGTGTACCAGGAAACAGTCTTTACAAAGGAAGTCCAATTCCACTCGTGCAAAAAGGTTCTGAGGGACCTGGGACCTGAATACAATAACTTTCAATTGATGTCGCTCAACTCCGCCTCTAAAGGATTTTATGGCGAGTGAGTGGAGAGGCCACATTATGAACAACACTGCGCCATAATTAATTGTAAAAATTCTTATTATCATCACTTATTTTATTTTAACCCGTGTTTTATTTGGAGTTTTCGGTAAGAGGCAGGGAAGGAAGGGGTCTTAACGGGTTGTTTGCGGTACGCCAAAAATATGCTTTAAGATGTTCAATGTGAAATTTCTTTACAAGATTTCTTAGCTTTGGAGTTCGTGAACATGATATTTACACTACTTTAATTTGGGCGAAAGGACGATATGCAAACGCAGGTTAAATACCGAATGACATGCACGCTCTGATAGTAAATATTTTCTCTCAGCTTAAGAATCATTTCATTTATTTTACTTTTATAGGTGTGGTTTGAGGGGAGGGTATCTTGAGCTGGTCGGATTTAGCAACGCGGTCAAACTGCAGTTTAGAAATCTGATGTCACCAAGTGTTAGTGGCTCGACTATTGGGCAGGTATTATTTCAAGTTTCTTAATTTTAAACATGTAGAGAACCTCATGATGAAGCACTTAGTCTAACAGGAACAGAACGGTGAGTAAGCCAAACCGTTTGAACGTCTAATGAATGTTATCTCTTTTCACAAAATTGGAGATTTCACATACAGAGAGAAGTACCAAACCATGCACCCCTACGTATATCTGCTGTACTGAAACGGCTTTTTGACTTCTGTACAAGGACTGAAGGGAAAGTGAAACGTTGCTTGAAAGATAGAAGAACAAAATCATGTACTTAGCCTCGCTTGAATTTTTTTTCTATTTTCAAGGCTGCCATAAGTTTAATTTGTTGTCCGCCTCAGCCTGGAGACGAGTCGTATGAAACTTTTATACAGGTTTGTAGCGAAGGTCTGGATACAGTTATATTTGAGTTAACTCCAAGAAAGAATTATTTTTAGAGTAAAATTACTCATCAAATCGGCTATAAATCTATAAGCCAATCATTCAATTATTCCTATTTTCTGCGTGTATTTATGTGTTTTTTGCCCTTTTGGGGTAAGAAATACTCGCAGTCAAAGGAAGAACTTTGAAATATCATACTGGTCGTTTATCTCGCCAAGCAATAGAAATCCTTGTGGACAAGGTTCCTTATGGTACGGTTCCCCTTGGATGAGATCCCTTTGTCCTGCAAGCTTTAGTCCTTATCCTTTATGGGTACGTGAAGGATAGGGTTCCTTGTGGAGTAAGCTTCCTTTGTACTGTTAACTGCACTTCATACTCTTTACGGACTAAGTTCCGTTAAAGTAATAATGAATAAGGATCCCTGTGGATAGGGTATCCTATGAATAAGAATCCTTTGTACCGCAAACTATCGTGACTCTTTACCCTTCATTGACAGGTCAAGGATAAAGTTCCTGAGGGATAAGGTTCCTTATGGAGAAGGTTTCTTAGGGATAAGGTTCCTTAAGGACAAGGTTCCTGATGGTGGGATTTCCTTTTGAATAAGGCTATTCATGAATAAGGATCCCTATCGATAAATTCTCTCATGGATACGGCTCCTTTTCCTGCAAACTGCAATCACATTTTTTTAATGGATGTAAAATTGTTAAGATGGTCATTAAGGGTCGAGTACAGTCAGTCTTACATCAGTATGCATATTCTCCATACTGTTCTTTACACATTTCCTAACTTGCTTAGAAGGAGAATTTGTTTAATAATCAAGAGCTTCTTTAGTTGGTGATCATTTCCTTTATTCTCATGACCTTAAAGTGTGACTCAGGGGTGATATTATAAGGAGAAATTAGATGTCAGTCACTCTTAGGGGTTAAAGGGTTAAAAGACTTTGTTAACTGATTTAGATTATAGTCATGTTTGCTAAATAATTGTTACGTAGTTATACTGAATAAAGTGATTTTTTACAATTTTAAAATTTCTTGCGTGAAACTCACCAGAGACCAAAAATCAGTCAATGATGGTGAGGCAAACAAACTTCCGTTTGTTTCTAAGGCTCATAACACATGTACTTTGAACCTTGGAAACAAACGGCAGTTAAGGCATGTGTTCAAGATCTAGACAAGAAGATTTCGTGACACGATTATCACTGTTAATGCCATAAAAGCCTAAACTAGCTAATTGGAATTTTATATTTAATCGACATATTCTATTTATAAATGTACCAAACCAATTGGCTTAAACCACTTATAGTTCTTTTCAATGTTATTATTATTATTATTGATATTATCCTATTTAATAATCGTGTAGTTCAATTTTTTTAGTTGCAAAGCGATTATAAATAAACATCTTATCTCTACTTAACTCTCTATCTCTATCTTACGAAAGACTTCAGTATATTTTACTTTTGTTTTGTAGGAGAAGACGGACATTTTGGACTCTTACCAAAGGAAAGCGAAAATCACCACTTCAATGTTGAATTCTTTAGAAGGAGTGACGTGTAATGAAGTAACTGGTGCCTTGTATGCTTTCCCCAGAATTCGTCTTCCACAAAAAGCTATCGAGGAAGCCAAGGTGAGGAAGTGAGCTGTAGATGTGACGATAAGTTTACTCACTATACTCAGCAGGTGCACAAATATATTTTAAAGGGACGAACCTTCGAGATGATACTCATTATTTTTTTTCTCAGTACGTGAGCAGGCGGTATTCTACAAATCCTGCGATTTAATTGGTTCCGAGAGCAGGCACTACTCTCCCATCCGGCCCGCTCTCAGCTGAGAGCGGGCGATATCCGCTTCGTGTTGAGTCGCTTTGCAGAACGTCTTTAGCTTCGTTGCAATTATTCATGTTGTTTTCCTGGCTGGGCAGCATTAATGAGCAGAGACTTCGGTCACGACCTTTAACAGATAAATAACTTATCAATTCTCTCCTCTCTTTGTCTCTCTCTCTCTCTCCCCCTCTCTCTAACTCTCTCCCTCTCTCAAATCACTTTGGTTTTTTTTCCGCAAAAATTGATTTCAAGATGATTTTTGTGGTGTTAAATGTTGTTTTTGAATATATTAACACACGGCCTAAAAACAGTTTGAAATTTAATCATCCTTTATAAAAAGTAACTCAGATAATTGTAACGAGAGGTATTTGGGGTTAAAAGTTACATTAATCAACATAACTTTCGTTCATTTAATATCTTAATTCTCCAAAACAGTTTGTTCGTTATAAAACGTTGAACGAAGTGTTGAAGTCACATTAAGATCTCTGAGTGGTTGTGAAGAAACAAATCGTCGTAAGTAAGGCTGATAGTCAGTGTTTAGCACCTCATCTATTTGTGGACACTACTTTGTCATTTTCCAATTCGCGTTATCCGTGCACTACTCATCTTTCCTTACATTTCGAGTTAACTTGGCGTCCATCAGTGGGAAAAGGGTTGTTATGAGAACGTCATTTCTATTTCTTAAAATCATTTCCGTTTCTCTTTAGCGTAATAACCTTGACCCAGACGACTTCTATTGCTGGCAGTTGTTGGAAACAACCGGAATAGTCCCCATGCCTGGAAGAAATTTTGGACAAAAGGAGGGAACATACCATTTTAGGTCAGTTTTATTTTTCTGTGTTGTCCATGAGATGAGCAGCCCAAATACTATCGGTGACAGCACTGCTTTACAAGACATAACGAGCCGGTCTTTTCCATCTATCTTATTGGACTCTTGAATATCTGTTTTTTCCTTAACAGTCTGATGGTAAACGATCAGAGTCTATACAGTCATTCAGCAAGAACCATTCGTTACTTGACTACTGCATACCAACAAACTAAATTTGATTGGTTCTCATTTCCTTAGATACTCGCCTATATACCATGCCACCCTTTTTTAATTTCTATTTATACCCTTTTGCTCTAAAACAAGATGAGTTTTTATCTTTTATCTCATAGTTTGCAATCACAGGCTTGCCTCCTTTCCAATTGCTTTGTTCCCTTTTTTTCCTCCTACAGATTAACAATTCTACCCTCTGAAGAAAAAATTGCCCCTTTGTACGAAAGGCTGAGCAAGTTTCACAAGGAATTCATGGACAAGTACAAGGACGACAAAGAAAACTAATAGGGATTTCAAACTGAGATTTCGTTTTTTGTTGGGTATTTACGGTGTTGTTGGTAGCAGTGACTGACGTTTCGAGAACCTAAGGTGAAAGTCTAAATAAGAGTGACTTCGATGATGGCTCCGATGATGAGTCATGAATGCTTGTACTCGCCTGGTTTATTGGGGTTTATTATTATAATTACAATATAACACACCTCTGCTTCGTGAATTGTATCGGCTACCTGTGTGATACCGCAAAGAATATAATCATTCTTTTTATGTTATTGCATGGCATTGCGCCGGAGTGTTTTGGTAATTTCATATCTTTATTATCTCCGTCCATGAATAATCTACGGCGCAATCATGACACTCGTATCCTATCATCCCCAAAGGTGTTAACCAGGAATACTTCGGGGATAGATCATTTATTAGTGCTGCCCGTAAATTTTGGAATCTGTTCCCGAGTTCAATTGATCCATTTTTGAAAGCTACTTAAAAGTCACAGTTCTAGAATGATGGTAACAGTTCAACATCGCATAATACTAAATACTTTCAACAAGCAGCGTACAAAAACAATTCAAGATGATATCCTGTTTGTATCAAATTTCCGCCGTGTGTTCTCAAATTTTGACGATCGTAACCTTTCTTCGCCTGGCCAGGCCAGATTCAACCGTTTTCCATTTGTACATCACTCTATAACTCACAGCTGCTTAAATTATTTGCATTCTAAAGCCATGATCTTTGTTAACAATGTCTTCTTCTACTTGTAATGCAAAATAAACCTCTCAGTCTCCTGCCTCGAAACGGACGACGCATTTTTTGTGATTGCAAGTTTTGTCTTTTTTTGTTTGGTTTTTTTTACTGGGTGAAATTAAAGATATGCGGCAGTGAATTCCGCGAGTTTTAATGATTGGAAAAAGGCCAGGAGTAGTCTCATCTGCAGAAGTTTAAGTTTACTTAATGACTAGCAGTTGAGAATAACTGCTGTTTTTTTTTATTTGTCTAAATATATTAGATGATTTTTGTTCAGCACATATATAGTTGTTTGGAAATTATTTTAAGTAACGGACGATGTGTACTTCTTAATGTATGTAGAACACTCGAAAAGAGCAGAAAAAGAAAACTGCCAGTGAATGAATGAATCCAAAGATCAACGACCTCGGAAATTAAAAAATTAATTAGATGAATGCTTCGATTCTAAATTTAGCATCATCTTCTAAGCTATTTATTTATTTCTTTTTCTGTTCTGTTAATTTGACTTGGGCGTGGCAAAGTACACAAGGCGATTTACAACAGAATACCCGCCCGATCTCCGGCGGGTATTAGGTCTTATTACTGAAAGCATTGCCATGATGTAGAGTTGTTTCAACGCGTACGCAGGTTCTACATCAATTATTCAATTGAAGGCATACGTGATGACTTCGTCGTAGTCCGTGACACTTGAACAATCTAAGTTTGTAGCTTATTGTGTAAATCCCTTCCATTCTTGGATAACCTCTCATAATTTCTAGTTAACACTTGTTCGTTGTTACTCTAAAGTTCTTTCATCTTATAGAAAAGTTATTCAGTTTAAAGTAAGCGTGGATGTCGCAGACACGAAAATCCTTGATGACTCGAATGTGGTTAAATCGAAATTAAACGAGATTGGTCACGGTTTTTGAGTCTCCAGAAATTAAGCATAGATATTTCAAGTCCTTATTTTGAAGTTCGAAAAAAAGTTTCTTTATACATGTCTTTTGTTAAGCCTCTTCTAACTTTGTTCTCTCCAACGTATTAGGTGTTTGAAGGCGACCACTGCAAAATGATATTTATTATTCGGAGTTCTTTCTAAACAAAGGTTATTTTAACAGTCCTTACAACCAGTCAAAACATTTGATAACTCCCACCCTTTGAACCATTTCAAAGTAATAAAACTTCCAATAAATCAATCTCCTCAATAAGGTAATTAAAATTCGTGGAAACTGATTCGAAAGCACACGTCAGCTATGCCCAACTTATACCTCCATTTTAAGGAATAGAAATGATTCTTATCTTGTGAAAAAAAACTGCGTCAAAGTCTCGCCTACAATCTCAAAGAAAAAACACCTAAATGATAATAATGATAACGCTCGGCAGCATATGTGTACGATTATGGCAAATGAAACGTTTAACATTAATTATTATCAATCAGACTTACTATGAAAACTCTGATTGGTCGAGAGTATCCAGCCAATATACAATAGAATGTGAAGTTGACATGATAATTCAATATCTGCAGCGGTTAATTATCATGGGTGTCCTCTTTAAGAGATTGTTTAAAATATGTATAATAAAAAAATTATTGAATTCGGTTTTCGCATGATATCATAAATTATCAAACCTTGAGTCTGTGTTATCTGTTACAGCCTTCGGCTTTAGCAGATAACTCAGACCTCGGCATTGATAATTCATTATATCATGCTCAACCACATAAATTAATTTCTTAATGCATGTGGCAAATTGTTATCTGCTTTTACTCCTGGCGTTGGAAAACATGCACAGTTCCATTGCATTACCCTCACATTCGATTTACCAACTTAAAATCAGTCTAAGCTGCATTTGTAGCCAATAAAGCGGTGCAGATAATTTTTTCTTGAACGTCCCACATGCCTGGATGTTCCTTGAATACAGCCTTTTTTTAACGGGGCTGCACAGCGATTACCACATTATATCAGGGTACGCATATTTGGCCACTGGACAACAATTCACGTAGTCTAAAAAAAAATTTATGGCCACCAAATATGGGTTTAACCACATATGCTTCATGAACTAGCTCTTCTTCCATACTGAAACCTTAAAAATAGAACCGAAAATGGAAAGTGAAAGTACTTACCTTTGCATTTTGATCGGAACTACGTGTTACTGTCTCTTCGACACGACTGGCTTTTCCACAGTTCATTTCCGAACAACAGAACCACGTTGTCCCCGTTTCAGCTTTCTTTTTCAGCTCTCAGGTAAAATGGACAACCAGGAGGCTTGGGATTTAGAGATCACCTTCCATGAAGCTAATGGCGAAAACGAGAGTGAGGTCGAAGAGACTGATTTCGCCAACTTAGCAGATAGTCATAGCGAAAATGACGAAATTCAAAACTGTCTTGGTGGCTACGAATACGAATTTGTAGACGAGACAACTGACAACCAGAAGTGTCCAGTGTGCCTTTTTCCGATGAGGGATTCCGTGCAAACTGAGTCATGTGGCCATAGACTTTGTAGAGAATGTCTAAACGGGATTCCGAGGTAAGCTGTGCGAAGCGTTGTGTAGGTTAAAAGAGTTACAGTGACAGAAATAAAGCTTCGATCCTTTCAGTGTGCCTAGCTAAGCAATTTCCTTTATTTCGGTAAAGACACGTGGTGATTAGCATGATGCAACATGCAACCGAAGAAGTACAAGTCGTGGCAACTGAAAATCTATGAAAAGACGTAAGGATTCTCACTAACCTGTCTCATTACTAGGTAGTAGTTTGCTCAGTGCGATTGACTTTGTGTAACTCCGCTGAGTACTTGGAATAAAGTCCTTTATTTCTACACGTGGGTAGGCTCGAAACGCGTGTGCTGAATGCCAAAATCTTTATATAACAAAGTAATTCTTAGAGTGGCACTATTAAGCTCTTATATTGAATAAGAAGGGCGTAATTCCTCTGTTTAACGTAGCAAGATAGACCACAAAACGTACGAGGTAAATTTTCATCACTAGATATATAGATATTGTGTTTTAGACTAAAGTGAGTGTATTTCTCTGTTATTTGCAGGAGTGGTAATCCAGTTTGTCCAAAAGATCGGGGAAGAATTGATAATGTAATAGAAGTAATTATTTCTTCCTGTGTCCAGAAGGCGTGTACTGAATCACTCTTCGGAAAAGCATAGCCTAAGGTTTACTAATCCATAGCTGCGCCATCAGACCACACTTGATTGTGGAAATGCATCTATTGCAAGTGATTACATGGTTTGCTGATAATATTCGATTTCCGTGAACGATACAACTTTTTTAACAGACTTAATTCAAAGTGGAGCACAAACACTGTTGAGTAAACAGGGATCAGCGCTAAGATTTCCTCTTTTTCTTTACTATATTCATGTTTATAAAATGCCCTTAACATTTCATGATACTGCTTTGAACTAGGTTAATTTCTTCGTCAATGCCCTCTTAGATTTAATATTTCTGTGGTGTTTTAAACGCTTTTTAAGACATTTCTTATGGGCTTTCATAGATTTTATCTTCTGATCGATTTACCTCTAATTTTCCGCACCATACAGTTCTATCCTGACAAGGCCTTTGCCAGGGAAATGTTATGCTTTCGAGTTAAATGCTTACAGAGTGAGAGAGGATGTCTCTGGATTGGTCAGTTACGACATGCAGAGGTAAAATAAAAGTTTGATTGGTTTAAGTAATGATTGAAAGTGGAAACCACGATATACGTTTTTATACGATTGAAAACCTGTTATGAATGTTGCAACAGTTAGCTACGTCAGGCGATCACAGTAAAATATACGACTGATTATGTGACTGAAAGAGTCATTAAATTGAATGTGTAAATTAAAGGACTCTATGCACTTCCAAAAATTCAACCAGCTAACAGTTTCCTTCCCACGACAGGAACGTATTGGTGAGTGTTCTCATGAAGATCAAAACTGTTTGGCGTGCGACGCTCTTGCTCAAAGGCGACATCTAGAAACGCATTAAAACGAATCATGCCCCAAAAGAATCATAGAGTGCATTCACTACCATGATGAGTTCACTTTTATAGAAAAACAGGCAAGTATACAACTCGGAATTTTAGAGATCATCCATTAACAATTGCCTTTTGAGTTTACATAAATTTAAGATATTGAACTCCATCTCGAGCCATGCAATATATGTTTCAATAAAATCGAACAAAGTAGAAAACAACCTATACTAGGAATACACTGATACAGAGTCCCAAAAAGGTTTAAACTGACATAGACGATCTCTTCTTGCTTCAGAAACATGAGGAAAAATACTGCAGACGCTTTCCTATTACCTGCCCAAACAGCTATGGAAAGAAAGGAATACCTAGGGAAGAGGTAGATGGTGTCTGATCTCACTGCTACAAGCTGCTCCGCTGATGTACATTGGATAAGACAGAAGATGTATAGCTAAAGCTCTTTTATACAATAAAATTTAGAGTGTGCGGTTATATAAATAAATGTTTGAGTTCTCGTTTACATAGCGCTTTAAAATCTAGTTTTTTTTTTTAAATTCAACCAGCTGCAAAGCCATCTTTCAAAAAAATGCCTTACGTCAGAGGTGACTTGTTGTTATGCAAAGGCTGGTTGCCTATTTCAGGTTTGTCATGAAATTGTAAATTTTTGTTTTCTTCAAGATGGCTTAATTGCCCCGATGTTATACTGCGGGTAGAACAAGAGAAAACGGTCCTTTTTCATACCCATCCCATCAAAAAGTTTGCCATTAATTAGTTACCATCCTGTAACATTCGAATTAAGCAAAGAAATCCACCCAACCGGACAAATTGGTGAAACAAAAAGTTTTAGCCCTTGACAATGTGGTTTCATCGAGACTCTAGAATTAAGCGCTAGGCACAATAAACCAATACCCTTGTCCTTCCTTACCAATTTAGGAATGGGACAGGAGTATTGGCAAAACTATACTCACCTCACCGGTAATGTCATGCAAGGTTAAATTGGACAAGATAAAGGCAAAAATACGTTTGGAAAGAAATGACACAAACGATAACAAAATCTTTGAGTAAAGGGGAACCATAGTTCATTTGATAACTTATGACAATGTCAGAATTCCTCCCAAAGCCGGGGGTGGTGTATAATTTTAAATCAAAATTTTACAAAGGTTTAATCTGAATATTGTCACATGCGCAACTACACAAAACAACACTAAACGTCAATTTCTACACCTACTATACCAAACAACAACTTCTACACCTACCACACTACACTACAACTTCTACACCTACTACACCAAAACTACAACTTCTACGCCTACTACACCAAACTGCAACTTCTACACCTACTACACCAAACTACAACCTCTGCATCAAACTACAACTTCTACACCTACTACACCAAACCACAACTTCTACACCTACTACACCAAACTACAACTTCTACACCTACTACACCAAACTACGACTTCTACACCCACTACACCAAACCACAACTTCTACACCTACTACACCAGACTACAACTTCTACACCTACTACACCAAACTGCAACTTCTACACCTACTACACCAAACTACAACCTCTACATCAAACTACAACTTCTACACCTACTACACCAAACTACAACCTCTACATCAAACTACAACTTCTACACCTACTACACCAAACTACACCAAACTACAACTTCTATACCTACTACACCAAACTACAACCTCTACACCTACTACACCAAACTACAACCTCTACATCAAACTACAACTTCTACACCTACTACACCAAACTACACCAAACTACAACTTCTACACCTACTACACCAAACTACAACTTCTACACCTACTACACCAAACTACAACTTCTGCACCTACTACACCAAACTACAACTTCTACACCCACTACACCAAACTGCACCAAACTACAACTTCTACACCTACTACACCAAACTACAACTTCTACACCTACTACACCAAACTACAACTTCTACACCTACTACACCAAACTACAACCTCTACACCTACTACACCAAACTACAACTTCTACACCTACTACACCAAACTACAACTTCTATACCTACTACACCAAACTACAACCTCTACACCTACTACACCAAACTACAACTTCTACACCTACTACACTACAACTTCTACACCTACTACACCAAACTACAACTTCTACACCTACTACACCAAACTACAACTTCTACACCTACTACACCAAACTACAACTTCTACACCTACTACACCAAACTACAACTTCTACACCTACTACACCAAACTACAACTTCTACACCTACTACACCAAACTACAACTTCTACACCTACTACACCACACTACACCAAACTACAACTTCTACACCTACTACACCACACTACACCAAACTACAACTTCTACACCTACTACACCAAACTACAACTTCTATACCTACTACACCAAACTACAACTTCTATACCTACTACATCAAACTACAACCTCTACACCTACTACACCAAACTGCAACTTCTACACCTACTACACCAAACTACAACTTCTATACCTACTACACCAAACTACAACCTCTACACCTACTACACCAAACTACAACTTCTACACCTACTACACCAAACTGCCACTTCTACACCCACTACACCAAACTACAACTTCTACACCCACTACACCACACTACACCAAACTACAACTTCTACACCTACTACACCAAACTACAACTTCTATACCTACTACACCAAACTACAACTCCTATACCTACTACACCAAACTACAACCTCTACACCTACTACACCAAACTGCAACTTCTACACCTACTACACCAAACTACAACCTCTACATCAAACTACAACTTCTACACCTACTACACCAAACTACAACTTCTACACCACACTACACCAAACTACAACTTCTACACCACACTACACCAAACTACAACTTCTACACCTACTACACCACACTACACCAAACTGCAACTTCTACACCTACTACACCACACTACACCAAACTACAACTTCTACACCTACTACACCACACTACACCAAACTACAACTTCTACACCGACTATACCACACTACACCAAACTGCAACTTCTACACCTACTACACCAAACTATGAGGTGTTCTTTAGAATACTGAGTTTCTTTTATCTCGCCGAGACTAGCGGTGAACGTGTAAATGCCTGCATCTTGCATCTATAAATAGTTGTTAAAGTCCTTCCCAAGAGGTAATTAAGCGCTGATCATCCTGTTTGTTTGTTTTTTTGGTTGGTTGTAGGACAAAAGAGTTCATCTCATTGACCATATAGAGGTAGGAGTAGAGGATCATTTGGAGATGACATTTTCTTTGCTGTGGGCTACAGAAACTAAACTGTCAGTTTACCATAATAGAATAACAGAGTTGCAACAAAAGTTCCATGAAAGCTTAGAAAATAATTAGAAACTCTTACAGTCAGTGGAGGAACTCTCACAGTCAGTGGAGGATCGTAGTGAGCAGATTCGTGATTTGACCTGGTAGACGAAGCACTCGGAAATGAAAAGCATCCAACACAAGAAGACCATCGAAGAAATACTCAAGAGAAATAACCTCAAAGAGAAACAAAAATTGATAAAAAAATATGAGTAGTAAAATCGCCCAACAAGAAATAATGATAGGCAAAGTGCGAGGAAAAACCTTTAGCTAGAAAGGTAGATTGAGGAGATGGCCCGGAAAAACAGCCGACAGGAGAAGACGATTGAAAACATGGTACAGTAGAACGTTAAACACCTGAAGGAAAGGATAGAAAATGCAGTCAGAACAGACCCCTATCAAGAGACAGTAGTGGAAGGACAACCCATGAAAAGCCTTTCACGAAGGATGAAACTGCAAAGGTGGTATCACACAGATCAAATGGACGATTTATCCGAAGACTGAAGTAATGGTTACCGTCCTTGATCCTATAAAAGAGCCACCGCTATCAAGTGTATCTATGTAGAGTACCCGGCCCTCAGTGATAAGTTGAATTTCCTTATGTAAATGGAGCTTTAGTTCGCCTGAAGCACAAGGTTTAATGTCGTTTTTGTGAGAGCCAAAGCTTGAGTGATAACACTAATTTTTATTTACACATTGCAATGGAATATTGATGAAAGTAAGCTGAGACTTTTCATAACACTGAGCAAAGACAATGTAAGCATTTTAACCTTAGCAGGGAGAGGTCCAATGAACAGGTCCACCTGAACATTTTTTATTGAAATTATGTGACAGTCCTTACAAGTCGTTTGTTCCTGGCGAAAAATGTATCTTAGCTTAGTTTCATTTGAAGCGCGTGTCCATGTCTGCAGATAAGGCTCTTAAGTACCGCAAAAAGGAGAACATTTCAATACTTTTACTGACAAGAAACATGAACGTAGATTTATCATTATTATTATTTTTTTGCACTTTTTTGTACTGTAGTTTTTATGTGATCTTTTGCATAAAGTGATCTTTTGAATTCAGACAAGCAAGAAATGTCTCTAATTTAGACAGCGACCAAGAACGCAGCAATAGGACAAGTAAAGGAACAGATAACGTACGGAGATAGAAATAACTGGAACACAAAAGAAAAAATTCTCCTTTTTCGACTCTGAAGTTTAAGGTTAAAAGGTTTTAAACAAATTGGCAATAGAAACACATTACTAATTTAAGAAAGGGAGAGATGGGGTTGGTTATTCGAAGCTGAGGGTGCTTGCTTGACATTCTGGCCGAGGAGCTGGGCGCTCATTTGGGGGAAGGCGCTTACTCGAGCGCGGGCGCCTACCGCAGTACGATCCCTTTCCGGAGAAATGCCGACTAGAGCACCGTGCCGAAAAGAGTACAGATGCATATATTATGACTGGTTATGCAAATGTTAGTCAATGTTTGTCACGCAAGATGCGGCTTTGCATTGGGTGCTCTCTCGAGCATTGCGTTACATCAAATTTTGCGTGACTGAAAACTTACCACCTACAACAAGATCTATAGTAAGTAAGTAAGTTTATTAAATCTTCACCCAGTGGCTCTTCCGATTTAATTTACAATAATTGGAAATAATAGTTACAATAATATCATGATAAAGAAACAAATACAAATAATAACTAACATATTCTTAAAATTCTATACCTAAAAAAGATTCCTACGGACTGTCATATATTTCGCGCTTTACTGCACGCTTGAAAACTGAGAGTGTTGCGCTATTTTTCGTTTCTTCACTTATAAGAGAATTCCAGGCAGTGATTGCTTTATAACTAAAAGACCTCTGTGCTGTGGCTGTCCTACAAAAGGGTACAACTAAGTTGTCTCTAGATCTAGTATTGTAGCTGTGGATAGGTGATCTTTTGTTGACGTAACGCTCTAAATATGGCGGTGCAAGGCCATTGACTATTTTGTATAGCATCGTAACATCACGTGCTAATAACTGGTTCTTAATAGAAGGCCAACACAGTGCCCGCAGCACTGGTGAGATGTGATCAAACTTCTTGCTGTTTGTCAACACACGGGCAGCAAAGTTTTGTACAAGTTGCAATTTGTTTATGTTGTGCGCAAACGTTCCAGACCAAACTGTTGAGCAATAAAAGAGTTTACAAAAAACTAGACAATTCAGAATGGTGGTAAGTACTGATTTGGAAAACTAGTGTCTAGCTCTGCTTATCTGGCATAGGGTAGAAATAAGAGACGAGGTCAGGGTGTTAACGTGTTCATAAAAAGTAAGGTTTGAGTCCAATATTATACCCAGGTCTTTGACTGAGGACACAGGAATTAAGTGTTGCCTAAGAAAGGGGACTCTGATATCAGGAACCCCACTTAAAAGCTGTTTCGTTCCAAAAAGAATAAATTTAGTTTTGTCTGGATTAATAAGCAACTTATTCGTATAGCACCAGGAGGCAATAAGTCGGAGATCTTCCGAGACTTTTGCAAGGCAGGAGTCAACATTATTCGATGAACATGAAAGATAAACCCTTGTGGCATCAACATATGACTCCACGCTTGAAAACTGAACAACAGACGGTAGGTCGTTCATGTAAGGGCTGAACATAAGAGGTCCTAGAATGGACCCCTGTGGTACGCCATGTGTGACAGTTAACTCACTAGAGCGAGATGTACCGAGTCGTGTTGACTGCATTCGGTTTGTAAGATAGCTCTCAAACCACTTTGACGCTTCATTTGACGCACCGAGCCCTTTCAGCTTGGTGAGGAGAGTTCTATGACATATGCTGTCAAAAGCCTTGATCAAGTCGATTAGGACCATAGCCGTGATCTCCTTTTTATCCATCGCTTTATATATATGACCGGTGACAAGCAAACTCAGTGTTTCAGTAGAATGGTGTTTACGGTTTCCGCTTTGATGACAGGTGAGGTTGCCTTGTTGAGTCAAGTAATCAGTGAACTGATTCAGGGCGATCTTTTCGGTCACTTTAGAAAGTACAGGCAATAATGAAATAGGGCGATTGTTACTAGGAATCTCGTGATCACCATCTTTAAGATGTGGCACTACTTCCGACTTCTTCCAGGCCTTAGGGGAAACAGAGTTGCTAAAAGAAGAGTTTATCAATGCAGTTAGAGTTGGTAATATATACGGTAAACAGTCCTTGATCACAAACACTGGAATTCTGTCATAGCCTGGAGCTTTATTAGAAGGCATAACCATAATCACTTTTCGCACATCTTCACTGGTTATTGCTTTGAAGTCAAACAGTTCACCACAATGAGTTGAACCGAGATAAACTGGAGTAGTCGGTAGGCCGTGAAGGCGAGCGAGCTCCGCAGAGTCATCGGCGGCCTTCTGTCCCACAGATATAAAGAAGCGATTGAATTCATTAGCGAGTGCATCTGTGTCCTTGGTAAAGCTTGAGCGGCCTGATTTATTTGGGAGGGCACTGCGAATAGTTTTCCACATTGCCCCACTGTCGTTCTTATTTTCACAGATTTGATGATTGTAGTGCTCTCGTTCCGCCTTCCGTAAAACAAATTTAACTCTATTTCGCAGCTCCTTAAAAGCCTCCCAATCTTCCCTCGTCCCAGTCCTTCTCGCTCTTTTGTGAAGGTGGTCTCTCGCCTTATCAAATCCCTTATGTCCTCCGTGATGAATGGGTTTGGTTTATGTCGTATTTTCACTGTTTTAACCGGAGCATGGTCGCCCAGACACGCCAACAGCAAGTCATTAAATGCATCGAGTCTGTTATGAACGGATTCGTCTATCAGGTTCATAGTATCCCATGGGATGTGCGCGATGTCATTTGCAAACTGATCGGCTTTATAATTCCGAAAACTACGTGTGACGATGTAGGTTGGGGCTTGCTTGGGTGATCTTAAGTTAATAACAGCATGAACCAGAAAATGATCACTTATAGTTATTTCAAGAACACCGCACGACTTGACAAGGACAGGGTCAGAGACCAAGATGACATCCAATAAGGAGCGTGAGTTCTCAGTCACGCGAGTTGGCTTGTCTATAAGCTGTGTCGCATTTACAGTTGCACAAAACGACAGCAATGCTTCTCCCCTCGGATTGTTTGAAAGAAGATCACAGTTTTAAGTCGCCTGTTAGCACAATGTCCTTGTTGCGTGATAACGCTTCGATGTACTTTGGGAGCAGTTCATTCTCTAGCTAGGCATGCAGTTCCAATTTCCGGGGGTCTGTAAACAATACAAACCAGCAATGAACGAAGCTTCTTATTTTGAACTTGAATCCACAACTGGTGTAGGCCGGATTCGGATATTTCCGTGAGATCCTTCAGGACTTTTACCTTCAGAGTAGATTTTACGTAAGCACATACACCGGCACCTGCTTTTCCAAGGCGATCAAGTCTAAAGTCCTTGTATCCCGGGATTTCGACAACACTGTTGGTCACGGAAGAGTTAAACCAGCTCTCCGAGATGGTTAAAATATCAAAATCACGTTCCAAGGCTAACTCCTTCGTTTCAGTGAAGTGTTGTCTACATTTGAGAAGCTCTGCGTTAAGATGGGCTATTTCCAAGAGCTTGTTTTGGTTTTTATGCACCGTTGATTGTGCATTCTTTGTCAATTGTATTCTACTACAATTTGCGCTCACGTGTCCAACTGAGTCAAGGATGCGACGAGTCTGTCGATTCCCATGAATACCAGCAATCCTACTGGTAGTGGTATCTGGACCTGGTAATGGATGGATGTCGCCACTTAGTTAAATACACAGTTTCATAAAGTTAAAATCAGCACAAGAGTTAGGATAATATGAAATTATTTGTTTAAAATATTTTCGCCGCGGATCAGTGAACCGGCACGTTGAGCGACCGCACCGCCAAAGAGAAACAAAAGGCTCAGGAGTGGTATTTTGAACCCTTACAAAGGATGGGCGAAGCTAATCCATAACTCATCTGAATTGCTAAAACCTCCATAAGCATGTCTGGTAAGCGAAGAGTAGATCGAAATAACACTTCTTTCTTGAATATACTGCGCAAAGCCTCCAGAAAATTCCAGTCCACGATGTCCTACAATGTTCTCATGGGTGTTTAGCTTAGTCTGTAATCTGTATTGGTTCACAGTTTGAGGCTGAATCGACGAAGAAGATTTCCGTGGATTCTCATCCACTTCAGATGGAAACGGCAGCGCAAGAAATCTTGACGGATAAAACCATCAATCCAGTGTTCCAAAGAGCCTATAATGTCAGAGGATGGGTCAATACTCGCGCTTACGAAATAAAGCACGAAATGGCACTGGTAAGTGCTCTCTACAGCTTGCTTTGAATAATCCAAACCCATAACCCAAGCTTCTCTGCCTTCTTTGTTCGATATATTTGGAAGCAATACATGTTGCAGCTTTGTAGCTGTTTGACCGCCCTGGAATCTCACATCTATTGTCGTTTGATTTCGTCTGATATTTTCGCTTGAGTAAGTGATTTCTATGATTCCCATGAGATAAAGTGATTTGCATGTTCCTCTACCCTCTGTAAAAGTCAAATGAAGTCTCTTCTGAGCTAGCTGAGATCATTGCAGACGGAAAATTTTGAAATATCCTTAAAATTCTGACCATAAATCAGTCTTTGGTACTCGTTTGAATGTTTCAGGGAGTCCGTTTGAAATGGAATGCAAATGTTAGAGGCCTCGTAATTTTCGTTCCAAAGATGAGCGGGGTGAATAGGCTAACGGTCGACGGATTCTGAGAATTATTTTACTCGGATATCGGATTCAGAGCGAAATTTGAACGGATTTGCGGATCCTAGAATTGCAGCGTTTCGCGGTTTTATCGAGTTTTTGGATCCGGATTTTGGATTCTGCTTGTGAGGATCGGAAGTTCGGATCGTGGATCTGAAGGGTATATATCGGCATAATATTTACATACTGTAAAATTTTACGCCAGTAATTAATGTCGTATTTTATTCCAGTCTGCAGTGTTTATAGTAAGATTTTACTAGCTAACGGCCTAATTTCTTCCAGTCGATACTTTAAATACTGTAAGACTTAACGCCAGTAACTGACAGCGTAAATTCTTCCAGTCGGTAGCGTTTGTAAGTAGGATTTTACGCAAGTAAGGCCTAGTTTATACGTCGCGCTACGGTCGAATTTAATTCAGACGAATTTAATTTAAGGTCCCACAAGCAATTAAATTCGACGATAGCGCGACGTCTAAAACGAATTAAATTCGTTTGGTAAATTAAATTCGTCCTAGACGTTTTATCCGTCTTGGTAAGACGGATAAAATATCGATAAAGCGTCTTCAGTTTTAACGTCGCGCTAGCTTCGCGTCGAATGAAATGCATACATTTTCTTAATGTATTTCAGTTTATTGTGGCGAGCTTTTCAAGTAATCCGCATGCGCAGAAATTCCTCCTGGGCACTTCGGCGCGAGTTTACGTTGTAGTTATAGCCATGGCGCTTTGGAGGAAAAGTTTGTCATTTTCTTGCAGTAATTGTGAGAGACAAACGAAGTATTCTTGTATAACGTGTGGTAAAAGTGTATGTGTTCGATCGGAATGTTCGATTCCTGAGGTTAATGAAGAAGCTATCGGCTCGCAACCAAATAAACGTGTTGGGTATTGTCTCAAGTGTGCTCTTTGTACAGAAAAGCTTGTCAAAGATTGTCAGAGCGAAGTGGATGACAAAGACCATGATTAGAGGGATCTTACAACATGTATTCGCGAAGAAGAAGAAGAAGAAGAGTCAGATTTCATCGAGGAAGTTGAAATGGTGAGTTCTGAATGTGGGAAAAGGAAGAAAAGAATTGGGCGGAGAGCGACTTGGAAAGAAGATCACATCACTGATATGGTAAATATCATTGTTAATGATGACCAGCTGGTCAAGAAACTGATATTTTGCAATGCTAAGAAAGCAAGCAACACTGAAGCTTATGAGATGGTGCGGAAACGGCTGAACGTCGAATACAATAAGACCACCGGGAGTGATTTTCCTTTCCAAGTGCAACAAATGAGAAATAAATTTAAGTCATGCATTAGTACGTGTAAGCAGATCTGCATGACAATGAAAATTGCTTCAGGTATTGAAAGGTTTATTGAAGAACGGGGATATGGTAAATGGTTTGACCTTCTTTATGTACTTGTTAAAACTAGAGATTCATGTCAACGAGAAAATACATGTGAACCATCTGTACATATTGGAAATGTAGACAAGCAAGATACCAGCAAGAATGATCAAGAAGTTGATGGTGATGATGATGACTGTGCAAGCACTTCATCCAGCCTTATGGATAGCAGTGGAGAAGTCCCATCCAAGGGTAAACGTTTCTTGCCAAAGAAACCTGCCTCTAAAAGAGCTAAAACTGAGCAGATGGCAAAAGCTGTTGAACTACTTCAAAGTACTATTGAGAATGATCCCACCAAAGAACTTTTGCAAATTTTAAGGGAAGATATGAAGCAGTCTAGAGGACAGGAAATGAGGTACATCCAGTTGATGTGTGGCCTAATAACACCCAAGTACCCCATCCTTTGGGTACACACCATTGATGTCATCTGCTCCAAAAAATGATGAGCAGTCTCTCCTACATCACGTTCAGTCAACTATGACTTCACAAGGACAATCTGGTGTTTCACAGTTGTACCAATTTTGAAAGGGTCTTGGCATGCACTCTAATATTTTAAAGTTATTTTGGAACTGCTTTGAAAAGAGCCTTCTACACTATGGTCTTGAAGTGCCTATAACTCAAATGATCTTTTTCCATTAGCAGAAATCTCAATATTGCACTGATATGATGGTTCAAGAAGTGTAGCATTTTGTTTAAATATTGGTTTTTTAAAACAATTTGCAAATTAAGTCTGTTTTTATCTCAAACACAACCAAGCTGTGAGGGGCATGGATCTATTCCTTGTTCATGACATCACAAACTGCTTTGCAGTGCAAAAATTCTTTGAAAGCAGTCTTTGATGTCAAACAGGAATGCAGGAACACATTTTAAAGCAAATATCAACGAGGTGGTGATCATGTCTGACCAGTAAGTTTTGTACCATTAACTGTCATAATTGATTGAATGAGCTGATAGCCAACTATAAGTTGAAATTGAGACAGTTCCACAAAATATTCATTTCTACCCCCGTGGATTAAGAGCGTAGAACTCGCGTTCCAGCGTGAAGGCAAGTAGCAGGTTGCCGGAGTTAGCGGAAGTTTGAGGTCTAACAAAAAACTTCACAGGGGCGTTGAATATTTTATGGAACAACACACTGTTGCTTTTATGAAGTTTACCTGAAATGTGAAGTGATTTATTTGTTACAATCTATGGAGAACTTTGAAAATAACATGGATGACAAAAAAATTGTTTTAATCACGTCTACATTTCCAGTTCGTTTGCTTCTTTTTCCTGCCACATTTTCCTGGTCAAAGCCTCCCTTATTGCTCCAGCTTTGCGAGATGAATCCTTTCTCTTAGGGCAGTTGTGCATCTGCAACAGATCTCGTATTTCTTCTCTGGACCTTTTCTTTTGTGTGAAAGGATCAATTGACAAATCCAGTTAGGCAGGAAGGCTGTCCTTTGTGGTAATGCAGATGTTGTGAAGTACAATACACGCGAGCGCGGCCAGTTTCACCGAATCTGGTCTACATTCTAGCTTTCGATACAAAACTCTCCACCTGCTCTTCAGTTGTCCATAGACTCGCTCAGTTACCATTCTTGCGCGGCTTAGACGATAGTTAAAATAGCCCTCTTCAGGTGTAAGGCTAGCAATACCATATGGTTTCATTAACCACACTCTGAATGGGAAAGCAGAATCGCCCAAAATCATCGGGTAAACCTCGGTACCTTCAATGACTTGAGAAATTGATAGTATGATGTTGTTTTCAGTAATGTTGTGCCACAAATCAGTGGACTGGAAAATGATGGAATCGTGTGAATTTCCTGGAAAACCAACACTAGCCCAGATGAAACGATCCTGTGCATCTACAATGGCCATCAATACTATTGAATAAAAGTTCTTAAAGTTATGATACACTTTACTGGCTTTCAGACCGCCAGGAGGGCACTGAGTGGGGATGTGGCACCCATCTACAGCACCCCAGCAGCAGGGGAATTGCCAAAACGCTGTCATATCCACCATTTTCTCCATAATATTCTGTTTGGTGATTGGAAAATGCGCTTGCACCGAAGGTTTCCACAGGTTTCTTATGATCCTTCATATACCTCCTCTATGATTTTGTGAACGGTCGTCACACTAAGGCCAAACAGTTCCGCAATGGTGTATAGGTAGTCACCTCTACCTAATCTGTAAAGACATATAGCCAGTCTACATTCGGCAGAAACGGGCTGTTCTGTGACAAAATCTTTCTCAATATCAGGTCGAAGACTCTTCAAAATTAAGTTAAACGTATTCCTTGATACACGAAAGGTTTTCTTAAATCTTCCTTCATCATAGGACGCCCAGATCAATTCCCACCAACCTGTGTTTTTATGACTGCGACGACAACTGCGAGGTCTTTGAGCGCTAATTTCATCTTCACTTGACTGTAACAGGAGACACGTCAGCAAAGTCGTACGATAAACCTTTTCCTCATTAACACCAATGTAACCATATTACGCCGTAGTTGACGTCGCCGTTGTCTCTCCCTGGAAATTTTCTCGAGCAAAATTGTTTTCAGACCTTTAGCCCGCGCCATGTTTGTTTCAAAATGACACCTCTGACCAGAGACACTGCATTTGGGAAGAGAATTAAATTCGACCGTATTGATTTCGACGCATAAAACCACGCCACGATTTATGTCGACGGAACGACGAATTTAATGGAATTAAATTCGTCTGAATTAAATTCGACTGTGGCGCGACGTGTAAACTAGGCCTAACTGACGGCGTAATTTCTTTCAGTCGGTAGTGTATATATGTAAGATTTTACGCCACTAACTAACGGTGTAATTTCTTCCAGTCGGACTATTGTACACTGTAAGATTTTACGCCAGTAAATGAAGGCGTAATTTCTTTCAGTCGGTTGTGTTTATATGCAAGATTTTACGCCAGTAACTAACGGCGTAATTTCTTCTGGTCGGTTGTGTTTATATGTAAGATTTACTGATGGCGTAATTTCTTCCAGTCTGTTGTGTTTATCTGTAAGATTTTTCGCCAATAACTAACGGCGTGGTTTCTTTCAGTCTGTTGCGTTTATATGAAAAATTTTAACGCCAGTAACTGACAGCGTAATTTCTTCCAGTCGGTTGTGTTTGTAAGTAGGATTTTACGCAAGTAACTAACGGCGTAATTTCTTTCAGTCGGTAGTGTATATATGTAAGATTTTACGCCAGTAACTAACGGCGTAATTTCTTCCAGTCGGTATATTATATACTGTAAGATTTTACGCTAATAACTAATGGCGTAATTTCTTCCAGTCGGTCGTGTTTGTATGCAAGATTTTACGCCAGTAACTAACGGCGTAATTTCTTCTGTAAGATTTACTAATGGCGTAATTTCTTCCAGTCTGTTGTGTTTATCTATAAGATTTTTCGCCAATAACTAACTGCGTAATTTCTTTCAGTCTGCTGTGTTTACATGTAAGATTTTACGCCAGTAGCTAACGGTATAATTTCTTTCAGTCAGTAGTGTATATATGTAAGGTTTTATGCCAGTAACTAACGGTGCAATTTCTTTCAGTAGGTTGTGTATATATGTAAGATTTTACGCCAATAACCAACAGCGTAATTTCTTCCAGTCGGTTGTATTTATATGCAAGATTTTACGCCAGTAACTAACGGTATAATTTCTTTCAGTCGGTAGTGTTTATATGTAAGATTTTACGCCAGTAGCTAACGGCATAATTTCTTTTAGTCGGTAGTGTATATATGTAAGATTTTACGCCAGTAACTAACGGTGTAATTTCTTCCAGTCGGTATATTATATACTTGATAATTTGTACGCGATAATTTAAAAAGTGAAAAGTACGAGATATATTTTTTTATATATCAATTAATTCATCAATTATTCATAAAGTTTAACATGACAAAGGCTTTCACACCAGGTCAGCCCCCTGATGCCTGGTTATCAGTTTATAAATGTGGGTTGAAAGGCTGTAAAGTATAATCTTCAAAAGGTTTACTTGGCTTGGTTTATTTAATCAAATGGCCATGATTTGTTCACTCCTTCATCAATATTCAATCGTGATTCCATAATTCTAGATTTTACCATTTTACATTTGTTTATTACTCTTGTGAAACCATATTTTCATGTTTTGGGTCAGGAAATAAAAGGCTTGCCAGATTACTGTTCACAAAACAACCTGCCACAGCTGATTGGTCACCTGAGTTCACGTATTAAAGAGTACATATTTTCATCATTCTTTGTCATGATCAATGCAGCCCATGCCAGGGACAATACTTTTATGTCCATGACTTGTTTTCGCCTTGATAACCACACTGAAATTTTGTGTAAATAGAATTTAATTTATCCTCCAATCAAGGCCAGAGCCCCTCAAGATGAAGGAGCTCATGTGGGGCAAATCACATGATGAATGTCTCAGTGTATTTTTGTGAAATACAGTGAAATACTCATAAAGTCTTTTAGATCTTGAATGAATTAAAAGTACTATGAGACTTTAAATAACCAATTTTTTTGCCCTCACTGAGACCTTGAACAAGCATTTTCTAGAGAAAGATTTTTTTTTGTCTTGTCACGAGCGTGGGAAAAATTCTGAGTCCAAATGAGGAATCGAACCTCAGACCTTCGGATTCCGAACTGCGATGAAAGAGGTCTATTACGAAGTTCATATGATATGCGTCCTGCATATTGCTAGGATCAGCAATGTCGATATCGTAATGTTTGTAGATAGAAATAAGAGAGATGGTAAATTTTGAAATCGGTAAAGAAACAGAGAAAGATGTTTTTTTTCATCTTGTCACGAGGGTGGGATTGTATATATTTACCATCCAAAAGAAAGAAAATGAAATTAGTGGAATTATTCTTCTCAGAACATTAAATACAACATTCACACATTATTGTGCTGAACACAATGTTATATTTTCAAAAACAGCTGTGTTGTGTAGGAGCTACACTAATATTGAAAGTGCATTCTTGAAACAATTTTTAAACTTTAGTAGTTGGAAGTACACTTTCTTATAATGAAATTAAAGCCAAATTTTATCTTGCTGAGCAGGTAACTGTTCACAGTTAAACAAACGTATACATAAGTGTGTACGTGTCCCAGTAACAGAAGAGTTAGATATACCATTTAAAGTGTATTTTATCAGAACTAGTTTCTGTGTGGTCAAATATGTGTATATAGTTAATTCATGTCACTTCATTGTTACATTCAGAAAATCTGTTTCCTTCTGTTAATTGATTTCATTAGCGTAATCACAGACTTAACACGGCAAAGCTTTGCTGGAGAAATACAAAATCAGTTGTTGGATACTATACAGTGCGTTGAAAACTGTAAAATCATATTGCCTTTAGGGTGAAAGAAAACCATTTGATGAGGTTGTAATACATTTTGGAGACCCTCATGCATTTGGACAGTCACCTATCACCTTTGTAAGACAGGTTGGTACATGTAAATGCATGCCAAGAAAGTTAAGCCTTTTTTGGCCGATGTTATCTGTTTAGTGGGTTAAATTCACAACTTCACATTACTGGACCCTGTTACAACTAAAGTTACTTTTCGGTTGCCTCATCTCGGCAGACAAAAATACTGTAAACTCTTTTATGAGCCTTGCTCTTCAATAAGCCCTCTCTTTTGTGAACCCCCTTTCTTATAAGCCACTCTTTAATAAGCCCTCTCACCCAAAAAATCCGCCTCTCTTATTAATCCCCTCCCAGTTAAGCCCCCCTCCCTCTCTACCAACTCTGCTCCTCATCCTTTCCCTCGACAAAATCTTGAAAAATGGAACGTGGAAATACGCCATATCATTGTTTAAGTCTGTATTTGTTACTGTTTCAAAAAACTGATGGTTTGCACCAAAGTACATGTAATAGATTCTAATTTTACACAGTATTTATTGCAAGTGGACACCATTCAAAAAAAAAAAAGGAATCATTCCATTGTGGGCCCTCAGTGTGTTTAACTTAACCTCCTCTATTATGCTACATCTCTAAAAAATGTCTTGGATATTTATCTGAATGCTTTGGATATCTAATAATTAGATTGATTAGAGTATATTCTACCCATTATCCATTATTTTAATCCAACAAGAGGACTACTAAGGAAATTATTTGTATCTTTAGTGTTTAGCCTGCCTCCTTTGTCCACAATTTCTCAATGACCCACAATTCCCAAAGGATGTAAAGGAAAAGGCTCGCAGAATCCTTAAAGCAACACCAGGGTTTGCCATAAGTAGGTGGCAATTTCATTCTTCTAAAGGTTCTATGAGTAAACTTAGTAACATTATTTTTTGTTCGTTGTTTGACAGTATTTTCTGCCTTTTTTTTACCCCTTTCTTTACTTTGTGCTACTTTGGGATAAGCACGGTAGGACTTGATTTGTGCTTTTGGTATTTGGTGCTCTATTGTACTTTTCAACCTTCTTTGTTTTTGATTTACAATTTGATTTTTCTTTTTTGTAAATGATTATTATTCTATTCAGATACCTCATTTTCATAACCTCCCTAAACCCAAGGGTTGTACCACAGGAGCAAAACGAAGATATATATGTATTTTCTTGAGTTTATACCATACATGTGAAAAGTGTGTTGTGAACCTTTTCAGTTTCTGAGTGGTGCATACTAAACAGTTTTTCAACTCAGTGTCGGTGAGAGAAGGGGCAGATCTAGAGAAGGGGTGTAAGAATTATGCACCCCGCTTTCCTCACCCAAGTTGGGTCTAAGTTCACCTGACGTTATTCCCTAGTCATAAACTTACTTCCATCTTCGTTGCTCGCTTTTTAAGGCTCATTTTTACCCTTGGTGCAACGCGCGCCGCGACCCAATTTCCTAGAACACGAAATTCCAAGATTACTGAAAACCTTCTAAAACCGTCTTTCTCAAGAGCCATGCTGGACATATAGTCAATTTTTTTATGGTAAATACATTCGCTGTCCGTCATCTTACAGTTTCCTTACAGTATTTTGAATTTTGATTGCTAGAATCTGAAGAAAAGTTGGTTCAAGTGTCACGCTTGGATCTCTTCGTGCTCTGTGAAAAGGGCCGGCGAAAAGGACAACGTTCGAACTTTTTCACTTTCTAGAAGCGCTTGTGGATTCTAAACAAAGATAAAATATTTTCCAATATAAATTTTTTTTTTTCATAGAGAAATATGGAAAAATATCAGACTGCCGGGTGTTGATTTTTTCTAGTTATTCGGAGGTGTTTGAAGAAAATTTTCTAAGTGTCACGCTTGGATCTCATCATACTCTTGTTAGAAATAATTTCCTAACACTCGTCGTTCAGTTGACTATTTCTTTTGTTCACTCTTTATTACGCAAGTTATTACAACGTATAGTTATTTTAAGACCGTGTCCGGCTGCCGGACGTTTAGTCACTTCATTGCAGGAATGTCAGCGACACTGACAGCTTGCTTTACAGTTCTTATTTGCTGCTTTGCATGGACAACAACCTCGACCACTCTTTCGAGCGCAAGCTCTTCTCCACGGGAAGGAAACTTCAGCTGACTCCTTGGTACTATTTAACAAGGATGGCAAACTTTAATAACAGAAAATTAATGTAAGAATGAAAACGTGGTGGATCAAAATTTTCACCTGACCTTCCTCGGAATGCTCGAAAAGAGTGTCGTGTTCTTTTTCAGCAACAACGGACCCATAAGCGTTTACTACCTCGGAATCTACTAAATCAATGGATTCATCTGATTCCATACCGGACTAAAACGTACAGTATTGTTTTAAACAGAATTAAACAGAAAACGCAGGAGCTATTTTGAGACAACGTGGCAAGGTTAAAATAACTGACCAATCAGAGGCGCTATTGAAACAAAAGCTGTGGTTCAAAACAAAAAAAAGCGAACGACCGCGTTGCATCAAGGTTGGAAATGGGCCTTTAAAATCAGTTTACGTCACTCGTCTTTTACGTCATTCTCTAATGGTGTACCCACTCCTAAGAAAAATCTTGGACCCTAACCCCTGGAAAGTGTTTGGAAATTATCCACTCCACTGTGGTGGAGTGTATCTTTTATTAGGTTCGTACACAAACACTATTGGATTAAGACTCATTCGCGAGGATGTAGCCAAATACATTTCCAGAAGAGATGGTTACCCAGCTGACGTTGATGACGTCATTTTAACTAATGGAGGGGCAATAGGAATCCAGGTGAGAGACTAAAACTCTTTCTACTGGGTTGCAGTTTATCTGCTGATCAAAGTCGTGTGTCTGCTTAGTTATATATCAGGTGTAAAACGTGATGAGGGCGACATGTGGTTAGAGCGAAAACTGTGGTTTACGTAAGCCGACTAGACAAGTTTGCCATTTTGAAATTTAGCGTGACCATTAACATTTCAGAGTAGCAACTGTTGCAGATATCAGTCTTTTCAGGTTACCTAAATGCCTCTGACTGCGACAACTTTACTTTTAAAACGATGCATAGAGTAGAGCAACGTTTGAGGCAGGACGCCGAGAAATCATGTGAAGTATTTCCATTTAAGCTTTTCAGTTTCAAAGGGTACATCGAAGAAGGAGAAGAAATTCCAATAAGATGTACTTAAGTAGCGAATTTGTATGGGTATGTACAATATAGACCCGCCTGCGTGCGTTGCGTTGGCTGTAACTTGGTGTGGCAGTGTTTGTGTACTTTAATTTGGATGACCAGAAATACTGCGATTACCACGCAAGGTTTGTTTCGTCTCTGTGAAATTTTCATTTTCTTCGAAATTTTCTTCTACAGATAGGCCTAGCATCACTTGGTACTGATATGCCGCACGGCAAACTAAAGCCAGGGCTTATGATTCCCATTCCAGTTTTTCCTCAGTACAAGTCCAGGATTGTAGAATTCAACCTCTACGAGGTAATGCTGACGTTGTGTTGAATACTTACATTCCGCATCTCTTTACTGATTCATTTGCATACTCAGTTTAACGTTTCTTATTCTTTGTATCTTAGTGCTTCATTATTGGACAAGTAGAACTTAACAAGAGAAAAAATTAGAATAGATAAAGGTCTGATACCAATCAGTGATTCATGTAGATTAGAGTTCATAAGAGTAATGACCCAGCTTAAGATTGCTGTACTAAAACTGATCTTTCTACTCAGATCCCTTATTATTTGGAGGAAGAAAATAACTGGTCTTTTAACATCGGTGAAATGAAGAAAGCCATAGATGAGGCCAGGCCGCACTGTGAACCAAGAGGACTGGTACTGATTAATCCTGGTAATCCTACAGGTAAGACGTATGTTTGTAACCATGGTAAATAGTGCTGTGGTTGGAGATGACCTGATGTCGAATGAGTGAAGCAGAAGTGTTTTTTCGTTCTCGAGAATAAAAACTCCCAGAGGGAAAACAATTACACATGGAGATAATGAAAATTATTCAAATGGAAGGCATGGAAAAAAATATATATTCGGACTGAGCGCCGTCCAGCCTGACAAAAGTTAGTCAATAATCATTTTATCACATGACCACTTAGCGTTGAAAAATTTGAAAATTTGGTTCAACCTAAGTAGGACGCGATATACGGGCGCACGCGGGAGAATTATAAAAAATATTCGGCAATTAAAAAATTTTTGCTTTGTTTTCTCGAGTCAGAGCAAAAATATCACAATTCATCGAAAGACGCAATTGTGTTTTTACATTTTTTTTCCTTCAAGTTTTTGCAAAAAAGCCGTGTGAGAGCGGGCCGAATGGCTTTTCCCGGAGCGACTCACGTCAATCCGTCCGGTCGTACACACTTCAGCTTTCACCATGATTTTCTATGGGATTGCACGCGCGGGGCTAGGCGGGTCATATGGTAATTATCAACTATTCACCGAAGTGGAGGTGAATAGTGGCGGATACTTAGCTCGCTGCTTCGCGGCTCGGTGGATATCCACCACTTGTAAAAATTAAACTCTTGACGCGTGATTTTGTCTCAAAGGCTGCTCGGCTGCTTTTGCTCATTTATTTATTTCTATATTTATTACATTTCCAATATTGCCTTTACAGCAGAATCCACACGTGGCTTATTGACACACTGTAAAATTGTTAAATAGTGGATGCTGGAGTTGGTGTTGTTATAATTCCTGTGTTGTTCAACCGCCAATTCGTAGGTCTCTTTAGCCTGTGATTCGTCATCCAAATCAATACCCGTAGGATGACCTTTGCGTCTATCTTTCATATTCAGGACAGATTTTAAGCTACGACAACATAAGGGAAGTCATCAAATTTTGCGTACGAGAGAAACTGGTTTTATTTGCGGATGAAGTGTATCAAGAAACAGTCTTTATAAAGGGAGTCCCATTCCACTCGTGCAGAAAGGTTCTGAGGGACCTGGGATCTGAATACAACGACTTTCAATTGATGTCGCTCAACTCCGCTTCCAAAGGATTTTATGGCGAGTGAGTGGAGAGGCCACATTATGAACAACAGTGCGGCTTAATTATTTGTACAAAATCATATTATCATCACATATTTTAACCCGTGTTTTCATCTGAAGTTTTCGTTAAGAGACAGGGAAGGAAGGGGGACTTCACGGGTTGTTTGCGGTACGCCAAAAATATGTTTTAAGATGTTCAACGTGAAATTTCTTTACAAGATTTCTTAGCTTTTGAGTTCGTGAACGCGATATTTAAAAGAAAATATTCAAGATGAAGGATATAAGCAATTTTAACATTTCGTGTACTAACGCACAGTTTACCCCTCAACGTTTTCGCAAATTTACAAAAAAAATCGAACAAAATTTATCGTGACTTGACCTTATTCCACATTTTTCTACCAGGCAGGAATAGTTGATAAGGTTTACACTGCTTAAATTGGGGCGAAAGAACGATATGCAAACGCAGGGTAAATACCGAATGACATACATGTTATTACGCAGGGTAAATACCGAATGACATGCAGGTTCTTATAAGAAATATTTTCACTCTCCTTAAAGAACATTTCATTTATTTTATTTATTTAGATGTGGCTTGAGGGGAGGGTATCTTGAGCTGGTCGGATTCAGTAACGCAGTCAAATCACAGTTTAGAGATATGATGTCGCCTAATGGTAGTGGCTCGACTATTGGGCAGGTATTAGTAAAGTTTCTTAATTTCAAACATGTAAATAACCACATGATAAGGCATTCAGTTGAACAGCATGCCAAACCGTTTAGCCGTCCAATGAGTGTTATCTCTTTTCACAAAATGGGAGATTTCACATACAGAGGGAAGTACCAAACCACGCACCAGTACATATATCTGCTGTACTGAAACGGCTTTTTGACTTCTATTCAAGGACTGATGGGAAAGTGAAACGTTACTTGAGAAAAATACAAGAACAAAAGAATTTACTTAACCTCGCTTGATTTTTCTTTCTGTTTTTAAGGCTGCCATGAGCTTAATTTGTTGTCCGCCTCAGCCTGGAGACGAGTCGTATGAAATTTTTATACAGGTTTGTAGCGACTATCTGGACCTTTCCTAACTTGCTGACAAGGAGAACTTGTTTAACAATCAAGACCTTCTTTAGTTGATGATCATTTCCTTTATTCTCGTGACCTTAAAGTGTGACTCAGGGGTGATATTGTAAGGAGAAATTAGATGCAAGTCACTCTTAGGGGTTAAAAGGGTTAAAAGACTTTGTTTGCTGATTTAGATTAAAGTCATGTTTGCTAAATAATTATTGCGTAGTTATACTGAATAAAGTAATTTTTTTACGATTTTAAAATTTGTTGCGTGAAACTCATCAGAGACCAAAATCAGTCAATGATGGTGAGGCAAACAAATTTCCGTTTGTTTCTAAGGCTCGTAACATATGTACTTTGAACCTTGGAAACAAACGGAAGTTTAGGCCCGTGTTGAAAACAAAAAGATTCCGTGACACTACAATCAGTTAGTTAATCGGAATTTTATATTTGATCGACATATTCTATTTATAAATGTACCAGATGTACAAAACAATTTTTTTAGAAACGTGGTTTAAACCATTTGTAATTCTTTTTAATGTTATTATAATTATTATTAATATTATCCTATGTAATAATCATGTAATTCAATTTTTTAGTTGCGAAGCGATTATAAATCTTATCTATACTTAACTCTCTATCTCTCATGATCCTATGAGAGACTTCGATATATTTGTAGCTTTGTTTTGTAGGAGAAGACGGCCATTTTGGAGTCTTACGAAAGGAAAGCGAAAATTACCACTGCAATGTTGAATTCTTTAGAAGGAGTGACGTGTAATGAAGTAACTGGTGCCTTGTATGCTTTCCCCAAAATTCGTCTTCCACAAAAAGCTATCGAGGAAGCCAAGGTGAGGAAGTGAGCTATGGATGTGACGATAAGTTTACTCGCTATAACTGAGCAGGTACACAAATGTATTTTAAAGGGACGAACCTTATTTTTTTCTCAGTTCGTGAGCGGGCGGTATTCTACAAATCCTACGATCTGATTGGTTCCGAGAGCAGGCACCAGTCTCCTATCCGGCCCGCTCTCAGCTGATAGCGGGCGGTATCTGTTTCCTGTTGAGTCGCTTTGCAGAACGTCTGTAGCTTCGTTGTAATTATTCATTTTTTTGCCAGCTGGGCAGCATTTTTAAACGAAGACTTCGTTCACGACCTTTAACCGATAAACTATTCATTAATTCTCTCTCTCTCTCTCTCTCTCTCTCTCGCTCTCTCCCCCTCCCCCCCTTCTCTCCTTCTCTCCTTCTCAAATCACTTCAGTTTTTCCGCAAAAGTTAATTTCAAGGTGATTTTTTTCAAATCAAAGGTTCTTTTTGAAGATATTGACACGCGGCCTAAAAACCGTCTGTAATTTAAACATACTTCACATAAAGTAACTCAGAAACTTGTAACGAGAGGTATTTGGGATAGAAAATTCCATTAATCAATGTAACTTTCATTCAATTAATATCTGAATTCTCCAAAACAAATTGTTAGTTGTAAAACGTTGAACGAAGTGTTGAAGTCACCTTCAAATTTACTTACGCTAATTCTAAGCAAGTCCCTTGAATTTTGACATTTCCATAATTGAACTGAGAAACCGAAGCAATTCGATAAGTAAAATTCGCATTAAATCCCCTTGTGTCTAGCTGGAAAAAGCGTCTCATTTGACTTAAGTTAACGTTTTAGGTAAATCTTCGAAAAAGGCTAGAAGATAAGAGGTAAATCTTTGAAGATTAATCCTCGTTTTAAATGAATAATACTTTCTGTAAGATCTCTGAGCGGTTTTGAAGAAAAAATCGTCGTAAGTAAGGCTGACAGTCTGTGTTTGGCACCTCATCTATTTGTGGACACTACTTTGTCATTTGCCAACTTGGCGTCCATCAGTGGGGAAAGGGTTGCGTTACGAGAAGATCATTTCTATTTCTTTGAATCATTTCCGTTTCTCTTTAGCGTAATAACCATAACCCAGACGGCTTCTATTGCTGGCAGTTGATGGAAACAACCGGAATAGTCCCCATTCCCGGTGAAAACTATGGACAAAAGGAAGGAACATACCATTTTAGGTCAGTTTCATTTTTCTGTGTTGTCCATGAGATGAGCAGCCCAAATACAAATACAGAGTTTATATCTTTTAGTGGGTATTCTACAATTTGCAATCATAGGCTTGCCTCCTTTCCACTTGTTTTGTTCCTATTTTCTTCTACTACAGATTGACAATTCTACCCTCTGAAGAAAAAATTGCTCCTATGTACGAAAGGCTGAGCAAGTTTCACAAGGAATTCATGGACAAGTACAAGGACAACAAAGAAAACTAATAGTGATTTCAAACTGAGAGCTCGTTTTTTGTTGGGTATCTATATATTTTTTTCCTGCACTTTTAACTCATTTCACAGCCAGTTCAAAGAACATTGTGCTCCAATTACTGAGTTATTACAGCTGTTACGGGAAAATTTAATGATTTCCCGTGTGTGTTTTTCGGAAGATATTTATTCGTAAACTTTCACATTTAACCATTTCAAGTCCTTTCATTTTAATAAATCAAAAAATGTATAAAAACCACAGTAGCTTTTGAATAGATTTTTGTTGTTACTCGCTTTCATCATATGTACCTGCTTGTCGGCACTTTTGTTATTTATTACATGGTCTTTTTTAGGTAAATATAAGTATTAATGGTCTTTCTGGAAACATTGGTTTTCATGGTAGTTGGCAGCTGAGTTTATACTCGTAACTTTAATTTCTTTTCATACGATAGTTTCCACACCAACCTTGCATAGATAAGCAAGAACTTTTAATTGCTTATCCGTTTTTATTTCCTAAGCTGCTCTGCTGCAATTAAGATAGGTATTATTTTCTATACCAGAGCTGTAAATTCGCACCTAAGTTTCTTACTTTAATGGCCTAGAGTTTATTGCATCTGTCTTTTTAATTTTGAAATTCTTTCCGTCGTAGAAACAGATGGAATATTTAAGTAGTTTTCATTTAACTTCAAAGAGACCTTTTTCCGCTCCTTTGTGTCCTTATTCAAATATTGCGATTTGTGTAACAATAGCACCTCACGCCAGTTAGTTCTTAAGCAAGTACCTTGTACAGCTTTGATGATTACAAACTAGAGTATGCTAGAGGTCATGTCGCTTGTTGGCCTGACCTAGAATAAAAGTACTGTGGAACCAAAGACTGTCTTATCCTTGACGTCCGTATAAGCTCGCTCGAAGTAGATCTCCGTGTGCCAGGGAATCGTGACAAGTTTCTGTTCTCGCTGCCAAGTGGTCTCTACCGAGTTATTTCCCCCAGTTGTTATTGTGCCGTCCGCGAAGATTCAGTTTCCCAGTTTGGGCGCGAAAACCTATCGTCACACAGCATTCCGCAAACGCGCAAAGATATCGTGTCGTCAAATTTAACAGCACAAACCAAGGACAATAAAATTGTTTCGTAGAAAAGGTTATGATTATTCATCGTGGTGAATAACAATAAAAGCTAAATTTTTCGTTTGTCTCACGATGTAGTCACGTGTGATGTAGATCGCGACGTTTCGTCTGCATACTGCTAGTCTTCTTCAGGTCGACTGGTCATGCGTGATCTCATAAAGCATGATGCTCTGCTGTGATTGGTTGTTTTTCAACAGCTCTGATTGGTGCATTTCGATCCTTCCTGTTCACTCAGTGATTTGCTCCCTCGGCGGTCCGCTGTCGCACAGATCTTCTGTTGTTGTGTTTTTTGATCATGGGCACCCACGCTTCTGGAATTTCTATTCCACTATCCCTGTTGATGTTGTTAGGGTGAAGTCTTATATGAATTGCCTCTTGACACTGCGCATGTAGTAATAAGGGTCGCGATCAATAAACTTTACTTCGTTCAAGAGTGGCTTGTTTCCGATGTCGAGGGCATGCTCCGAAACGGCGGAGGTCTCGGTACGGGCGAGTCGAATGTCTCGATCGTGCTCCTTAATTCTGTCTTGCATAGGTCTTCCAGTCTCTCCGATGTACACCTTGCCGCATTCACAGGGAATCCTGGAAACTACGCCATCTCGTTTATCCGGGTCGACAACGTCTTTTGGTCGTACTAACTGAGATCTTAGCGTAGTCTCCCACTTGAAAATTGTGCGTACGCCTTTGTTGTTCTAGGTAACGGCGAAGCTGTTCGGACAGACCTCTGATGTAAGGTAAAACCGCAGTAGTTTTGAACTCGTTGGCGGGTTCGGCACTGTTGATTGGTTCTCCGGTCTTGGTAAGTTTCTGCAAGAACGAAAAAGGATAACCATTAGAAACCAGAACAGATGACAGATGGAGATGACGGAATAAAATCGTTATTCGTTTCGATAATTCCCTTTTCTGCTGTAGAATCAAATGTGTTGAATAGTTTGCTTTTACCAGCTAATATTACTTATGATAATTTCCAAAACATGCGGTTGTGCATTTTATTATCTCTAAATTATTATCCAACTGCACAAAGTAGAGTACAATGACGCGCGAATCAAGTACACTTATATCTTGCGATATTAGACATATTAAGAGGAACTTATCTATAGAAACAGCACCAAGACGCATGATCATGGGTTTTCACAAGCAGACTTGATCACTAAATATTAGTCTCCTTTGTAACAATTGTTTTAACAGATCGTTTTATTTCCAATCAAAATCTTCCATTTGCTGACATGCAAACCTGCTGCCGGAGTTTCACTCAAAAGTCCTTCGAAACTACATATGGTTTCTGGTTACCAAAATTTGAGTCAATGTGTTCTCGGTAACTCAGAATCAAAAGTCGACCGAAAGAGCAAACTACACCAAACTATACCAAACTATACCTACTACACCGTACTTCATGAAACTACACCAAACTATACCTACTACACCGTACTACATCAAACTACACCAAAATATATCAAACTATATCTACTACAGCGTACTACATAAAACTACACCAGACTACACAAAACTAAACCTACTACACTGCACTACATCAAACTACATCAAACTACACCAAACTATACCTACTACACCGTACTTCATCAAACTACACCAAACTACGCCAAACTATACCAGACTATACCTTCTACACCGTGCTACATCAAACTACATCAAACTTCACCAAACTACAACTTCTACACCTACTACAGCAAACTACAACTTCTACACCTACTACAGCAAACTAAAACCTCTACACCTACTACACCACACTACAACTTCTACACCCACTACACCAAACTACAACTTCTACACCTACTACACCAAACTACAACTTCTATACCTACTACACCAAACTACATCTTCTACACCTACTACACCAAACTACAACTTCTATACCTACTACACCAAACTACAACCTCTACATCAAACTACAACTTCTACACCTACTACACCAAACTACAACTTCTACACCTACTACACCACACTACACCCAACTACAACTTCTACACCTACTACACCACACTACATCAAACTACAACTTCTACACCTACTACACTAAACTATAACTTCTACAACAAACTACGCCAAACTATACCAGACTATACCTTCTACACCGTGCTACATCAAACTACATCAAACTTCACCAAACTACAACTTCTACACCTACTACACCAAACTACAACTTCTACACCTACTACACCAAACTACAACTTCTACACCTACTAGACCAAACTACAACTTCTACACCTACTACACCACGCTACAACCTCTACACCTACTACACCAAACTACAACTTCTACACCTACTACACCAAACTACAACGTCTACACCTACTACACCAAACTAAAACTTCTTCACCTACTACACCAAACTAAAACTTCTACACCTACTACACCAAACTACAACTTCTACACCTACTACACCACGCTACAACTTCTACACCTACTACACCAAACTACAACGTCTACACCTACTACACCAAACTACAACTTCTATACCTACTACACCAAACTACAACTTCTACACCTACTACACCAAACTAAACTACAACCTTACACCAAACTACAACTACTACACCACAACTTCTACACCTACTAAACTACAACTTACTACACTACCTACTACACCAAACTACAACTTCTACACCTACTACACCAAACTACAACTTCTATACCTACTACACCAAACTACAACTTCTACACCTACTACACCACACTACACCAAACTACAACTTCTACACTTACTACACCAAACTACAACATCTACACCTACTACACCAAACTACAACTTCTACACCCACTACACCAAACTACAACTTCTACACCTACTACACCAAACTACAACTTCTACACTTACTACGCCACACTACACCAAACTACAACTTCTACACCACACTACACCAAACTGCAACTTCTACACCTACTACACCAAACTACAACTTCTACACCTACTACACCAAACTACAACTTCTACACCTACTACACCAAACTACAACTTCTACACCTACTACACCAAACTACAACTTCTACACCTACTACACCAAACTACAACTTCTACACCTACTACACCAAACTACAACTTCTACACCTACTACACCAAACTACAACTTCTACACCTACTACACCAAACTACAACTTCTACACCTACTACACCAAACTACAACTTCTACACCCACTACACCAAACTACAACTTCTACACCTACTAAACCAAACTACAACTTCTACACCTACTACACCAAACTATGAGGTGTTCTTTAGAATACTGAGTTTCTTCTATCTCGCCGAGACTAGCGGTGAACGTATAAATGCCTGCATCTTGCATCTATAAATAGTTGTTAAAGTCATTTCCAAGAGGTCATTAAGCGCTGATCATCCTGTTTGTTTATTTGTTTGTTCGTAGGACAGAAGATTTCATCTCATTGACTATATAGAGGCAGGAGCAGAGGATCATTTGGAGATGACAGTTTCTTTGCTTTGGGCTACAGAAACTAGACTGTCAGTTTACCATAATAGAATAACAGAGTTGCAACTAAAGTTCCATGAAAGCTTAGAAAATAATCAGAAACTCTTACAGTCAGTGGAGGAGCCCTCACAGTCAGTGGAGAAGCCCTCACAGTCAGTGGAGGATCATAGTGAGCAGATTCGTGATTTGACCTTGGAGACGAAGCGCTCGGAGATGAAAAGCATCTAACACAAGAAGTCCATCGAAGAAATACTCAAGAGAAATAACCTCAAAGAGAAACAAAAATTGATAAAAAAATACGAGTAGTAAAATCGCCCAACAAGAAATAGTGATAGACAAAGTGTTAAGGATATCGAACAAAAGAACAGCCTTTTTTTTTATTAGATCAATTATCAATTACTTTGTGTGCCTAGTTACGATCGTAGTTACAATGTTTATCTTTTCCCTATTGGTTTGTAATCGGATCTTTTAGCGTCACCACGCGCATATAAAAGCTAAGTTAGCGTCCCTTTAAGCCAGAGTTTCGCAAGATTTCGCCTTGAACAGCAGTACCGTTCTTTCGTTCCAAACCTTTGGCACAAGCGGGACCGATATGTAAGTGATTTTGTTAGTTTTATTTCAATATGTTTAAGTTTAGTTTTTCACCTTGGGCGATCGCGCACATATGTACTGTGTTGTACAACAGTACAACTAATTATCTTGAAATCAAAGGAGTATTTTGAAAGAACTAGATGCTCACACAGCAACGCCCACATTTCAGTCTTTGGGCTGTTAATCAGTCGCAAATGGTCATCGTGTAGCCGATCTTTGAATCTCGAGTAGTTTTAATTAAGCCTTTTATGATTTGTTTATGTTAATTCACGGTAATTGTTGTTATTTTAATCGCGTTATCGACATAGGCACGTAAAGCGTTTCTTTCATGCCTTTCGCACCAATTCAAGTAGATTCATGCATTCGTTATAATATTATTGTAATTTCAGTTTACGATCGTGATCGTGATCGTGATCTAAATAAACACCGTTAATCGTCATCTTGGTTTTCGTGGTTTCACTACGACCGGTAAAATAGTCCCCACATCAGCGACACTTAGAAAACACGCCTAGCGACACCCCTCGAAGTTTCCTCTTTCGTCGCAAGCGTCACACAAAGTGCGAGGAAAAAACCTTCAGATTGAGGAGATGGCCCGGAAAAACAGCCGACAGGAGAAGACGATTGAAGACATGGCACAGTAGAACTTTAAACACCTGAAGGAAAGGATAGAAAATGCAGTCAGAACAGACCCCTATCAAGAGACGGTAGTGGAAGGACGAGCCGTGAAAAACCTTTCACGAAGGATGAAACTGCAAAGGTGATATCACACAGATCAAATGGACGATTTATCTGATGACTGAAGTAATGGTTACCGTCCTTGATCCTATAAAAGGGCCACCGCTATCAAGCGTATCTATGTAGAGTACCCGGCCCTCAGTGATAAGTTGAATTTTCTTATATACATGGAGCTTTAGTTCGCCTGAAGCACAAGGTTTAATGTCGTTTTTGTGAGAGCCAAAGCTTGAGTGATAACACTAATTTTTATTTACACATTGCAATGGAATATTGATGAAAGTAAGCTGAGACTTTTCATAACACTGAGCAAAGACAATGTAAGCATTTTAACCTTAGCAGGGAGAGGTCCAATGGACAGGTCCACCTGAACATTTTTTATTGAAATTATGTGACAGTCCTTACAAGTTGTTTGTTCCTGGCGAAAAATGTATCTTAGCTTAGTTTCATTTGAAGCGCGTGTCCATGTCTGCAGATAAGGCCCTTAAGTACCGCAAAAAGGAGAACATTTCAATACTTTTACTGACAAGAAACATGAACGTAGATTTATCATTATTATTATTTTTTTTGCACTTTTTTGTACAATAGTTTTTATGTGATCTTTTGCATAAAGTGATCTTTTGAATTCAGACAAGCAAGAAATGTCTCTAATTTAGACAGCGGCCAAGAGCGCAGCAATAGGACAAGTAAAGGAACAGATAACGAACGGAGATAGAAATAACTGGAACACAAAAGAAATAATTTCCTTTTTCGACTCTGAAGTTGAAGGTTAAAAGGTTTAAAAAATTGGCAATAGAAACACATTACTAATTTGAGAAAGTGAGAGATGGGGTTGGTTATTCGAGGCTGAAGGCGCTTGCTTAACATTCTGGTCGAGGGGTTGGGCGCTCATTTGGGGGAAGGCGCTTATTCGAGCGCGGGCGCCTACCGCAGTACGATCCCTTTCCGGAGAAATGCCGACTAGAGCACCGTGCAGAAAAGAGCACAGATATGAGCGGCCGTCACCACCAAAAATACAAGGATGTCAAATAGATCAGCAAATACAAAGATGGTGTAAGGATCAGCTGCAGGATAGCATAGCTAATAAAGGAATGGCATGGCCAAATTATAGACAGTCTAGTTTTCCTTCGTGAAACAGAACACCCTAAACATGAATAGTTTGGCCAAATGAGAAACGGTCTAGTAGCCCATGTTGAGTTGGAACATGAGATTGTGAAATGGACTAGCTCAATTACAAATAGCTTAGCACTCATTTGCAATACAGTACTCAAACGGGTTAGCGTTGCGTTAAACGGCTCAGGGTAACGTCGAGTTGCACAGCGTACGCACAAACGGTGTAACGTTGCGTCAAATGGCTCAGCGTAATTTAGAATGGTACAGCGTACACACATATGGTGTAGCGCTGCGGGAAATGGCTCAGCGTAATGTCGAATGGTACAGCGTACATAAAAACAGTGTAGCGTTGTGTGAAATGGCTCAGCGTAATGTCGAATGGCACAGCTTACATACAAACAGTGTAGCGTTGCGTGAAATAGCTTAGCGTAATGTCGAATGGTACAGCGTACATATAAACAGTGTAGCGTTGCGTGAAGTGGCTTAGCATAATGTCGAATGGCACAGCGTACACACAAATGGTGTAGCGCTGCGTGAAATGGCTCAGCGTAATGTAGAATGGTACAGCGTAGACACAAATAATTACTGACCCTCATAAAATCCTATTGTTCTCTCTCAGCATTATATCGGCGATTTCAGCCTGAGAAAATATTCAATATGAAGGGACGACTAAAATCGTCGATGTAATGCAGAGAGAGAACAATAGGATTTTATGAGGGTCAATAATTATAATAGTTAATTACTTCGGTTCGCAGCATTATTGGGTATAATGCTGCGAACCTCAGTAATTATCTATTAAATAGTGTAGCGTTAGGTCGAATAGCTTTGCAAAACATCAGACGCTCTATCTGAATATTAAATTGTTTAGTATTACTTGAAATATTTCGATGTTGTGGCGAATCGTCATGGCGTGACGTGAAGGCCATGCCATTCCTTTATTAGCTATGCTATCCTGAAGTTGATCCTTAAGCCGTCTTTGTATTTGCTGATCTATACGACATCCTTGTATTTTTGGTGGTGACGGCCGCCAAGGCATCTCGCCGAAACCACCAAAAATACAAACCGCAAATGGAACAGCGATCTGCTGGGGGCATGACGTTATCGAATGTGAAGACTGACACGAAACCATTACATAACGTAGTCGCTGTATGGAATAGTCTTCACTTCGCTTTGCCGTAAAACAGAGCTAATTCGGTAAGTTTCTCCTCTTTTTTCACTGCTGATATTGCACTTATTTGTTGTCGTTCATGAAAGCGTCAATTAAAATAGCAACGAGACTGAGTTTCAGCTGCAGGATAGCATAGCTAATAAAGGAATGGCATGGCCTTCACGTCACGCCACGACAATTTAATGTTCAGATAGAGCGTCTGATGTTTTGCAAAGCTATTCGACCTAACGCTACACTATTTGTGTCTACGCTGTACCACTCGACATTACGCTGAGCTATTTCCCGCAGCGCTACACCATATGTGTGTACGCTGTACCATTCTAAATTACGCTAAGCCATTTGACGCAACGCTACACCGTTTGTGCGTACGCTGTGCTACTCGACGTTACCTTCAGCCGTTTAACGCAACGCTACACCGTTTGAGTACTGTATTGCAAATGAGTGCTAAGCTATTTGTAATTGAGCTAGTCCATTTCACAATCTCATGTTCCAACTCAACATGGGCTACTAGACCGTTTCTCATTTTGCTAAACTATTCATGTTTAGGGTGTTCTGTTTCACGAAGGAAAACTAGACTGTCTATAATTTGGCCATGCCATTCCTTTATTAGCTATGCTATCCTGCAGCTGATCCTTACACCATCTTTGTATTTGCTGATCTATTTGACATCCTTGTATTTTTGGTGGTGACGGCCGCCCATAGAGATGCATAATATGACTGGTTATGCAAATGTTAATCAATGTTTGTCACGCAAGATGCGGCTTTGCATTGAGTGCTCTCTCGAGCATTGCGTTACATCAAATTTTGCGTGACTGAAACAAGATCTATATTGGTTCACCGTTTGAGGTTAAATCGACGAAAAAGATTTCCGTGGATTCTCATCCACTTCAGATGGAAACGGCAGCGCAAGAAATCTTGACGGATAAAACTATCAATCCAGTGTTCCAGAGAGCCTATAATGTCAGAGGATGGGTCAATACTCGCGCTTACGAAATAAAGCACGAAATGGCACTGGTAAGTGTTCTCTACAGCTTACTTTGAATAATCCAAACCCATAACCCAAGCTTCTCTGCCTTCTTTGTTCGATATATTTGGAAGCAAAACATGTTGCAGCTTTGTAGCTGTTTGACCGCCCTGGAATCTCACATCTATTGTCGTTTGTTTTCGTCTGAAACTTTCGCTTGAGTAAGTGATTTCTATGATTTCCACGAGATAAAGTGATTTGCATGTTCCTCTCCCCTCTGTGAAAGCCAAATGAAGTCTCTTCTGAGCTAGCTGAGGTCATTGCCGACGGCAAATTTTGAAATATCCTTAAAATTCTGACCATAAATCAGTCTTTGGTACTCGTTTGAATGTTTCAGTTAGTCCGTTTGAAATGGAATGCAAATGTTAGAGGCCTCGTAATTTTCGTTCCAAAGGTGAGGGGGTTAAATAGGTTAACGGTCGACGGAATTATTTTACTCGGATATCGGATTCAGAGCGAAATTTTAGCGTATTTGTGGATCCTGGAATTGCAGCGGTTCGCGGTTTTATCGAGTTTTAGGATCCGGATTTTGGATTCTGCTTGTGAGGATCGGAAGTTCAGATCGTGCATTTGAAGGATATATATATAATCGGCATAATATTTACATACTGTAAAATTTTACGCCAGTAACCAACGGCGTATTTTATTCCAGTCTGTAGTGTTTATATGTAAGATTTTACTAGCAAACGGCGTAATTTCGTCCAGTCAATACTTTAAATACTGTAAGATTTTACGCCAGTAACTGACGGCGTAAATTCTTCCAGTCGGTAGCAATTGTAAGTAGGATTTTACGCCGTTAGTTATTTAACGGCGTAATTTCTTTCAGTCGGTAGTGTATATATGTAAGATTTTACGCCACTAACTAACGGTGTAATTTCTTCCAGTCGGTATATTATATACTGTAAGATTTTACACTTGTAAATAATGGCGTAATCTCTTTCAGTTGGTTGTGTTTATATGCAAGATTTTACGCCAGTAACTAATGGCGTAATTTCTTCTGGTCGGTTGTGTTTATATGTAAGATCTACTGATGGCGTAACTTCTTCCAGTCTGTTGTATTTATCTGTAAGATTTTCGCCAATAACTAACGGCGTAGTTTCTTTCAGTCCGTTGTGTTTATATGTAAGATTTTACGCCAGTAACTAACGGCGTAATTTCTTCCAGTCGGTACTTTAAATACTGTAAGATTTAAGGCGCCAGTAACTGACAGCGTAAATTCTACTAGTCGGTATTGTTTGTATCTAAGATTTTACGCGAGTAACCAACGGCGTAATTTCTTTCAGTCGGTAGAGTATGTATGTAAGATTTTACGCCACTAACTAATGGTGTAATTTCTTCCAGTCGGTATATTATATACTGTAAGATTTTACGCTTATAACTAATGGCGTAATTTCTTCCAGTCGGTCGTGTTTGTATGCAAGATTTTACGCCAGTAACTAACGGCGTAATTTCTTCTGGTCGGTTGTGGTTATATGAAAGATTTACTAATGGCGTAATTTCTTCCAGTCTGTTGTGTTTATCTATAAAATTTTTCGCCAATAACTAACGGCGTAATTTCTTTCAGTCTGCTGTGTTTACATGTAAGATTTTACGCCAGTAGCTAACGGCGTAATTTCTTTCAGTCGGTAGTGAAAGATTTAATGCCAATAACTAACGGTGCAATTTCTTTCAGTAGGTTGTGTATATATGTAAGATTTTACGCCAGTAACTAACGGCGTAATTTCTTCCAGTCGGTTGTGTTTATATGTAAGATTTAATAATGTAATAATTTAATAATTGTATATATTTACTATCCAAAAGAAAGAAAATGAAAGTAGTGGAATTATTCTTCTCAGAACATTAAATACGACATTCACACCTTATTATGCTGAACACAATGTTATATTTTCAAAAACAGCTGTGTTGTGTAGGAGCTACATTAATATTAAAAGTACATTCTTGAAACAATTTTTAAACTTTAGTAGTTGGAAGTACACTTTCTTATAATGAAATTAAAGCCAAATTTTATCTTGCTGAGCAGGTAACTGTTCACAGTCAAACAAACGTATACATAAGTGTGTATGTGTCCCAGTAACAGAAGGGTTAGATATACCATTTAAAGTGTATTTTATCAGAACTAGTTTCTGTGTGGTCAAATATATGTATATAGTTAAGTCATGTCCTCTCATTGTTACATCCAGAAAATCTGTTTCCTTCTCTTAATTGATTTCATTAGTGTAGTCACAGACTTAACATGGTAAAGCTTTGCTGGAGGAATACAAAATCAGCTGTAGGATACTATACAGTGCGTTAAAAACTGTAAAATCATATTGCCTTTAGGGTGAGAGAAAACCATTTGATGAGGTTGTAATACATTATGGAGACCCTCATGCATTTGGACAGTCACCTATCACCTTTTTAAGACAGGTTGGTACATGTAAATGCATGCCAGGAAAGTTAAGCCTTTTTTGGCTGATGTTGTCTGTTTAGTGGGTTAAATTCACAACTTCACATTACTGGACCTTGTTACAACTAAAGTTACTTTTCGGTTGCCTCATCTCGGTAGACAAAAATACTGTAAACTCTTTTATGAGCCTTGCTCTTCAATAAGCCCTCTCTTTTGTGAACCCCCTTTCTTATAAGCCACTCTTTAATAAGCCCTCTCACTCAAAAAATCCGCCTCTCTTATTAATCCCCTCCCAGTTAAGCCCCCCTCCCTCTCTTACAACTCTGCTCCTCATCCTTTCCCTCGACAAAATCTTGAAAAATGGAACGTGGAAAAACGCCATATCATTGTTTAAGTCTGTATTTGTTACTGTTTCAAAAAACTGATGGTTTGCACCAAAGTACATGTAATAGATTCTAATTTTACACAGTATTTCTTGCAAGTGGACACCATTCCAAAAAAAAAAAAGGAATCATTCCATTGTGGGCCCTTAGTGTGTTTAACTTAACCTCCTCTATTATGCTACATCTCTAAAAATGTCTTGGATATTTATCTGAATGCTTTGGATGTCTAATAATTAGATTGATTAGAGTATATTCTACTCATTATCCATTATTTTAAACCAACAAGAGGACTACTAAGGAAATTATTCGTATCTTTAGTGTTTAGCCTGCCTCCTTTGTCCACAATTTCTCAATGACCCACAATTCCCAAAGGATGTAAAGGAAAAGGCTCGCAGAATCCTTAAAGCAACACCAGGTTTTGCCATAAGTAGGTAGCAAATTCATTCTTCTTAAGGTTCTATGAGTAAGTTTAGTAACATTATGTTTTGTTTGATGGTATTTTTTGCTTTTTTTTTACCCCTCTCCTTTACTTTGTGCTGCTTTGGGATAAGCACGGTAGGACTTGATTTGTGCTTTTGGTATTTGGTGCTCTATTGTACTTTTCAACCTTCTTTGTTTTTGATTTACAATTTGATTTTTCTTTTTTGTAACTGATTATTAATCTATTCAGATACCTCATTTTCATAACCTACCTAAACCCAAGGGTTGCACCACAGGAGCAAAACGGAGATATATATGTATTTTCTTGAGTTTATACCATACATGTGAAAAGTGTGTTGTGAACCTTTTCAGTTTCTGAGTGGTGCATACTAAACAGTTTTTCAACTCAGTGTCGGTGAAAGCAGGGGCAGATCTAGAGAAGGGGTGTAAGAATTATGCACCCCGCTTTCCTCACCCAAGTTGGGTCTAAGTTCACCTGACGTTATTCCCTAGTCATAAACTTACTTCCATCTTCGTTGCTCGCTTTTTAAGGCCCATTTTTACCCTTGGTGCAACGCGCGCCGCGACCCAATTTCGTACAACACGAAATTCCAAGATTACTGAAAACCTTCTAAAACCGTCTTTCTCAAGAGCCATCCTGGACGTATAGTCAATTGTTTTATGGTAAATACATTCGCCGTCCGTCATCTTACAGTTTCCTTACAGTATTTTGAATTTTGATTGCTAGAATATGAAGAAAAGTTGTTTCAAGTTTCACGCTTGGATCTCTTCGTGCTCTGTGAACAGGGCCGGCGAAAAGGACAACGTTCGAATTTTTTCACTTTCTAGAAGCGCTTTTGGATTCTAAATAAAGATAAAATATTTTCCAATAGAAATAAGTTTTTTTCAAAGAGAAATATGGAAAATATCAGACTGCCGGGTGTTGAGTTATTCAAGTTATTCGGAGGTGTTTGAAGAAAATTTTCTAAGTGTCACGCTTGGATCTCATCGTACTTTTGTTATAAATAATTTCCTAGCACTCGTCGTTCTGTTGACTATTTCTTTTGTTCACTCTTTATTACGCAAGTTATAACAACGGGGACTAGCTCTGATCTTGACTTACACAACACAACACTGTTCTATTTTGTTCTATCTCTGATTGAAAGATACTGTGCACTAGCTTATAAAGGTGGCACTAAAGGTGACACTACTTAGCTGTCAATCTTCTTCAATCGTCATCATTCTATCTCAATCAGCGAATCACGTTAAGTTACGTACGACAGACCCTGCATAATATGTTTGCGTCTTCGAGTTTACGTAGTTACAAAATCATTTTCTACCCTAAATTTCTTACATTTACGATTAAGATCGACCAGAACAGAAGCAAGATTGATAATATAAAAATTATAATATACTTAGTAACTGAATTAAAATCATACTTGAAAAGGTATCTTAAAAGAAAACTGTCCTTGAAGGTTGTTACATAACAGCAGAGTAAACACAAAATTCGAAGAAGGAAAGTACCGCCCCTAAGAAAACTACGTGCTATTCGCATAAGTTATCTGATTACAAATTCAGTGCGGCAGATGAAAGTACTTCACGTTTACACCTTAAATCACCTCTAAGAAAAAGAGTTGTCGAATGTTTTAAATTAAAAACTGAAAACTATTGGCTGCCGGAAGCGCTTGAGGATTGAAAGTAAAGGTAGAACACTTTCGTATAAATATTTTTAAAAAATATCGGACTTCCGGACGTATAGTTATTTTAAGACCATGTCCGGCTGCCGGACGTTTAGTCACTTCATTGCAGGAACGTCAGCGACACTGACAGCTTGCTTTACAGTTCTTATTTGCTAGTTTGCATGGATAACAACCTCAATCACTCTTTCGAGCGCAAGCTCTTCTTCACGGGAAGGAAACTTCAACTGACCCTTGGTACTATTTAAGAAGGATGGCAAACTTTAATAACAAAAAATTGGTGTAAGAATGAAAACGTGGTGGATCAAGATTTTCACCTGACCTTCCTCGGAATGCTCGAAAGGAGTTTCGTGTTCTTCTTCAGCAACAACCGACCCATAAGCGTTTACTACCTCGGAATCTACTAAATCAATGGATTCATCTGATTCCATACCGGACTAAAACGTAGAGTATTGTTTTAAACAGAATTATTTTGACAAGTTCACCAAACTCATCGGAGAAAACGCAGGAGCTATTTTGAGACAACGTGGCAAGGTTAAAATAACTGACCAATCAGATTCGCTATTGAAACAAAAGCTGTGGTTCAACACAAAAAAAAAAACGAACGACCGCGTTGCATCAAGGTTGGAAATGGGCCTTTAAAATCAGTTTACGTCACTCGTCTTTTACGTCATTCTCTAATGGTCTACCCACTCTTAAAAAAATCTTGGACCCTAACCCCTGGAAAGTGTTTGGAAATTATCCACTCCACTGTGGTGGAGTGTATCTTTTATTAGGTTCGTACACAAACACTTTTGGATTAAGACTCATTCGCGAGGATGTAGCCAAATACATTTCCAGAAGAGATGGTTACCCAGCTGACGTTGATGACGTCATTTTAACTAATGGAGGGGCAATAGGAATCCAGGTTAGAGACTAGAACTCTTTCTACTGGGTTGCAGTTTATCTGCTGATCAAAGTCGTGTGTCTGCTTAGTTCTATATCAGGTGTAAAACGTGACGAGGGCGACATGTGGTTAGAGCGAAAACTGTGGTTTACGTAAGCCGACTAGACAAGTTTGCCATTTTGAAATTTAGCGTGACCATTAACATTTCAGAGTAGCAACTGTTGCAGATATCAGTCTTTTCAGGTTGCCTACATGCCTCAGACTGCGACAACTTTACTTTTAAAACGATGCATAGAGTAGAGCAACGTTTGAGGCACGACGCCGAGAAATCTTGTGAAGTATTTCCATTTAAGCATTTCAGTTTGAAAGGGTACATCGAAGAAGGAGAAGAAATTCCAATAAGATGGACTTTAGTAGCGAATTTGTATGTGTATGTACAATGTAGACCCGCCTACGTGCGTTGGCTGTAACTTAGTGTGGCAGTGTTTGTGAAAAGTAGTACTTTAATTTGGATGACCAGAAATACTGCGATTACCACGCAAGGTTTGTTTCGTCTCTGTGAAATTGTCATTTTCTTCGTAATTTTCTTCTACAGATAGGCCTAGCATCACTTGGTACTGATATGCCGAACGGCAAACTAAAGCCAGGGCTTATGATTCCCATTCCAGTTTTTCCTCAGTACAAGTCCAGGATTGTAGAATTCAACCTCTACGAGGTAATGCTGACGTTGTGTTGAATACTTACATTCCGTATCTCTTTACTGATTCATTTGCATACTCAGTTTAACGTTTCTTATTCTTTGTATCTTAGTGCTTCATTATTGGACAAGTAGAACTTAACAAAAGAAAAAATAAGAATATATGAAGGTCTGATATCAATCAGTGATTCATGTAGATTAAAGTCCATAAGAGGAATGACCCAGCTTATGATTGCTGTGCTAAAACTGATCTTTCTACTCAGATCCCTTATTATTTGGAGGAAGAAAATAACTGGTCTTTTAACATCGGTGAAATGAAGAAAGCCATAGATAAGGCTAGGCCACACTGTGAACCAAGAGGACTGGTACTGATTAATCCTGGTAATCCTACAGGTAAGACGTATGTTTGTAACCATGGTAAATAGTGCTGTGGTTGGAGATGAACTTGATGTCGAATGAGTACACATGGAAATAATGAAAATTATTCAAATGGAAGGCATGGAAAAAATATTTGGCTCGAGGTCATGATATACGGACTGAACGCAGCGAGGTCTGTGCGTCATGACCGAGAGCCAAATATTTCAGCCTGACTAAAGTTAGTCAATAAGCATTTTATCACATGACCACTTAGAGTTGAAAATTTTGAAAATTTGGTTCAACCTAAGTAGGACGCGATATACGGGCGCACGCGGGAGAATTATAAAAAATATTCGGCAATTAAAAAATTTTTGCTTTGTTTTTTCGAGTCAGAGCAAAAATATCACAATTCATCAAAAGACGCAATTGTGTTTTTACCCCTTTTTTTTCCTTCAAGTTTTTGCAAAAAAGCCGTGTGAGTGCGGGTTGAATGGCTTTTTTCTGGAGCAACTCACGTCAATCCGTCCGGTCGTACACATTTCAGCTTTCACCATGATTTTCTATGGGATTGCACGCGCGGGGCTAGGCGGGTCATATGGTAATTATCAACTATTCACCGAAGTGGAGGTGAATAGCGGCGGATACTTAGCTCGCTGCTTCGCGGTTCGGTGGATATCCACCACTTGTAAAAATTAAACTCTTGACGCGTGATTTTGTCTCAAAGGCTGCTCGGCTGCTTTTGCTCATTTATTTATTTCTATATTTATTACATTTCCAATATTGCCTTTACAGCAGAATCCACACGTGGCTTATTGACACACTGTAAAATTGTTAAATAGTGGATGCTGGATTTGGTGTTGTTATAATTCCTGTGTTGTTCAACCGCCATTTCGGAGGTCTCTTTAGCCTGTGATTCGTCATCCAAATCAATACCCGTAGGATGACCTTTGCGTCTATCTTTCATATTCAGGACAGATTTTAAGCTACGACAACATAAGGGAAGTCATCAAATTTTGCGTACGAGAGAAACTGGTTTTATTTGCGGATGAAGTGTATCAAGAAACAGTCTTTATAAAGGGAGTCCCATTCCACTCGTGCAGAAAGGTTCTGAGGGACCTGGGATCTGAATACAACGACTTTCAATTGATGTCGCTCAACTCCGCTTCCAAAGGATTTTATGGCGAGTGAGTGGAGAGACCACATTATGAACAACAGTGCGGCTTAATTATTTGTACAAAAATCATATTATCATCACATATTTTAACCCGTGTTTTCATCTGAAGTTTTCGTTAAGAGACAGGGAAGGAAGGGGGACTTCACGGGTTGTTTGCGGTACGCCAAAAATATGTTTTAAGATGTTCAACGTGAAATTTCTTTAGAAGATTTCTTAGCTTTTGAGTTCGTGAACGCGATATTTAAAAGAAAATATTCAAGATGAAGGAGATAAGCAATTTTAATATTTCGTGTACTAACGCACAGTTTACCCCTCAACGTTTTCGCAAATTTACAAAAAAAAATCGAACAAAATTTATCGTGACTTGACCTTATTCCACATTTTTCTACCAGGCAGGAATAGTTGATAAGGTTTACACTGCTTAAATTGGGGCGAAAGAACGATATGCAAACGCAGGGTAAATACCGAATGACATACATGTTCTTACGCAGGGTAAATACCGAATGACATACATGTTCTTACGCAGGGTAAATACCGAATGACATGCAGGTTCTTATAAGAAATATTTTCACTCTCCTTAAAGAACATTTCATTTATTTTATTTATGTAGATGTGGTTTGAGAGGAGGGTATCTTGAGCTGGTCGGATTCAGCAACGCAGTCAAATCGCAGTTTAGAGATATGATGTCGCCTAGTGTTAGTGGCTCGACTATTGGGCAGGTATTAGTCAAGTTTCTTAATTTCAAACATGTAAATAACCACATGATAAGGCATTCAGTTGAACAGAAACAGAACGGTCAGCATGCCAAACCGTTTAACCGTCCAATAAGTGTTATCTCTTTTCACAAAATGGGAGATTTCACATACAGAGGGAAGTACCAAACCACGCACCAGTACATATATCTGCTGTACTGAAACGGCTTTTTGACTTCTATTCAAGGACTGATTGAATTTTACAGTGTGTCAAACGCTACTTGAGAAAAATACAAGAACAAAAGAATTTACTTCACCTCGCTTGATTTTTTTTCTGTTTTTAAGGCTGCCATGAGCTTAATTTGTTGTCCGCCTCAGCCTGGAGACGAGTCGTATGAAATTTTTATACAGGTTTGTAGCGACGATCTGGACCTTTCCTAACTTGCTGACAAGGAGAACTTGTTTAACAATCAAGACCTTCTTTAGTTGATGATCATTTCCTTTATTCTCATGACCTTAAAGTGTGACCCAGGGGTGATATTGTAAGGAGAAATTAGATGCAAGTCACTCTTAGGGGTTAAAAGGGTTAAAAGACTTTGTTTGCTGATTTAGATTGAAGTCATGTTTGCTAAATAATTATTGCGTAGTTATACTGAATAAAGTAATTTTTTTACGATTTTAAAATTTGTTGCGTGAAACTCATCAGAGACCAAAATCAGTCAATGATGGTGAGGCAAACAAATTTCCGTTTGTTTCTAAGGCTCGTAACATATGTACTTTGAACCTTGGAAACAAACGGAAGTTTAGGCCCGTGTTGAAGACAAAAAGATTCCGTGACACCACAATCACTTTTAATTCCCTCAAAGTCTAAACTAGTTAATCGGAATTTTATATTTGATCGACATATTCTATTTATAAATGTACCAGATGTACAAAACAATTTTTTTAGAAACGTGGTTTAAACCACTTGTAATTCTTTTTAATGTTATTATTATTATTATTATTATTATTAATATTATCCTATGTAATAATCATGTAATTCAATTTTTTAGTTGCAAAGCGATTATAAATCTTATCTCTACTTAACTCTCTATCTCTCATGATCCTATGAGAGACTTCGATATATTTGTAGCTTTGTTTTGTAGGAGAAGACGGCCATTTTGGAGTCTTACGAAAGGAAAGCGAAAATTACCACTGCAATGTTGAATTCTTTAGAAGGAGTGACGTGTAATGAAGTAACTGGTGCCTTGTATGCTTTCCCCAGAATTCGTCTTCCTCAAAAAGCTATCGAGGAAGCCAAGGTGAGGAAGTGAGCTATGGATGTGACGATAAGTTTACTCACTATAACTCAGTAGATACACAAATGTATTTCAAAGGGACGAACCTTCGAGATGATACTCGTTATTTTTTTCTCAGTTCGTGAGCGGGCGGTATTCTACAAATCCTGCGATCTGATTGGTTCCGACAGCAGGTACTAGTCTCCCATCCGGCCTGCTCTCAGCTGATAGCGGGCGGTATCTGTTTTGTGTTGAGTCGCTTTGCAGAACGTCTGTAGCTTCGTTGTAATTATTCATTTTGTTTTGCCAGCTGGGCAGCATTTTTAAGCGAAGACTTCGTTCACGACCTTTAACCGATAAACTATTCATTAATTCTCTCCTCTCTCTCTCTCTCTCTCTCTCTCTCTCTCTCTCTCTCTCTCTCTCTCTCTCTCTCTCTCTCTCCCTCTCAAATCCCTTAAGTTTTTCCGCAAATATTAATTTCAAGGTGATTTTTTTCATATCAAAGGTTCTTTTTGAAGATATTGACACGCGGCCTAAAAACCGTCTGTAATTTAAACATACTTCACATAAAGTAACTCAGAAACTTGTAACGAGAGGTATTTGGGATAGAAAATTCCATTAATCAATGTAACTTTCATTCATTTAATATCTGAATTCTCCAAAACAAATTGTTGGTTGTAAAACGTTGAACGAAGTGTTGAAGTCACCTTTAAATTTACTTACGCTAATTCTAAGCAAGTCCCTTGAATTTTGATATTTCCATAATTGAACTGAGAAACCGAAACCTCGTGTCTAGCTGGAAAAAGCGTCTCATTTGACTTAAGTTAACGTTTTAGGTAAATCTTCGAAAAAGGCTGGAAGATAAGAGGTAAATCTTCGAAGATTAATCCTCGTTTTAAATGAATAATACTTTCTGTAAGATCTCTGAGCGGTTTTGAAGAAAAAATCGTCGTAAGTAAGGCTGACAGTCAGTGTTTGGCACCTCATCTATTTGTGGACACTACTTTGTCATTTGCCAACTTGGCGTCCATCAGTGGGGAAAGGGTTGCGTTACGAGAAGATCATTTCTGTTTCTTTAAATCATTTCCGTTTCTCTTTAGCGTAATAACCATAACCCAGACGGCTTCTATTGCTGGCAGTTGATGGAAACAACCGGAATAGTCCCCACTCCCGGAGAAAACTATGGACAAAAGGAAGGAACATACCATTTTAGGTCAGTTTCATTTTTCTGTGTTGTCCATGAGATGAGCAGCCCAAATACAAATACAGAGTTTATATCTTTTAATGGGTATTCCACAATTTGCAATCACAGGCTTGCCTCCTTTCCACTTGTTTTGTTCCTATTTTCTTCTACTACAGATTGACAATTCTACCCTCTGAAGAAAAAATTGCTCCTATGTACGAAAGGCTGAGCAAGTTTCACAAGGAATTCATGGACAAGTACAAGGACAACAAAGAAAACTAATAGTGATTTCAAACTGAGAGCTCGTTTTTTGTTGAGTATCTCTATATTTTTTTCCTGCTCTTTTAACTCATTTCACGGCCAGTTCAAAGAGCATTGTGCTCCAATTACTGAGTTATTACAGCATTCCTGTACATGTTGCATATAGTGAAGTGTATAACATATTACTTAGCTCATCTGCATGCTGTATCTGTCATTCTACCAAAAATCTATCTGTCTCCCTTAAAAAATAATTGATTTGAAGAGGGAGTAACAGTTCATCCTGTAATATGATCATACGGTTCAAAAAAGACTACCGAAAAAGACTGTTGCAGTGGCGTGTCAGGGAGAGGGTCGGGGGAGGGGGGGGGACAGACATGTCAGACATGTGGGTATTTTTACTACTAGTCTGAAAGCAAACGTTAAACGACAGGGTTGAGTGTTACTAATCAACTATCCCCCCACCCATCAAAAATGCTTGGATCTGTACCTGTGTTGTTAGTGGCAGTGACTGACGTTTCGACAACCTGAGGCGGAAGTCCAAATCAGAGTGACTTCGATGATGACTCCGATGACGACTTCCGCTCTAGGACTACTCTTCTCCGGACGATCAGAACCCAAAATCAACTTTATCTAATTTTCTACCGTGTGAATGGCTTCTCCACCATTTTTGAATCAATTTGGTTAAGAGCAAGTTTAGGAGCAGTCAGTTTCCATTAGGAGGTAGAGGAATGATTCGAGTTATTTATTTCGTCTTCAAACGGGTATTGAAGAAATGTAAATACATCAGTGTCAATCAGTTGGTGAAAAGCCAAAGCATGCATATGCATTACATGGTACTAGTGCATGTTTCTTTTGCTTTTAGCTTTGGTGGTTGTCGTTGTTGTTGTTTTTTATTTTAATACTTGTACTGTGTTTGCACGCATCTTCTGTATAATGAAAGAGCGATAATTGACTTTTGGGAATAAGTTGTAAAATTTTCTGCGTTTTGTTTGTTTCGTTTTACTTCTTCTGTGTTTCACTCCCCACCCTGGCCCCGAAAAAACGAAGAAGTAGACCAGCAAGCAAAGCGAGATAAAGCGTGTACATGGACTAGAAATCTGCGTTTCCCTGCTTCGTCCTCCTTGTTTTATACTTGTCGATTTTACCACATGTCGGGCAAGAGAAAACAAGTCGGTGACTTCGCTGGAGTACATGTGAAATTCCTTTTTGTTTGTTTTCTTAGGCTCTATTGTTTTGACTTCTTTCTTGTCTTTGCTCTGAGTCATATGGGGACGTAATAGCCGAGTATTTCACCAAAGATAAGCCAAAAAAAACGAGTGTAATCAAACGCGGAAAATCCACGTTTCAGGTTCAAATCCAGCGAACAAAACCTCAACGAATTGGAATGAAAGGTCCTCGAAGAACATGGTGCTCACCAGAAGGACAACATACAAGAATTCGACTAAACTGCGGCGGCAAATCTGCAAGCATCTTGAATGCACGTGCATTTTACGTATTCTTACTCTTGATTTTAGCTTTTGAAAAAATCAAGCTTACCTAAAGCTCCCTGTTTTGTTGAATATTTTTTGATCAATCTTTAAAAGCCTCGAGAAAACAGGAAATTGTGAATCTCCACTCTTCGCGTGATTTTTCTCAGAAGACTCTGAAGACTATCCATGCGCCGCTTGCATCGTAATACTGCAAAGAAAAAACTGTGATTAGTCAGCTCAATCTAATAATATCCCAATTTTCATTTGTAAATAGCCTTTTCCATACGAGTGTAAATGTTTTACACATAGCTCTGTGTGATATGCAATCGCTATGTAGTTAAATTCAAGTGAGATAGAATAATTATTTCTCAAAAATGGCTAACTGTGAACTTTGCAATGTGTATTCAAAACAATGTTGGTGAGATAAAGAAATTGTGAACGAGCAGGTGGATGGTTACGATTCTTTCTAAACACGTGACCAGTGGTGCTCAGAATCATCTGAGCGAGTGACACTGTTATTTGCCAAACTCTTATCATGATTCCAAGTTTCCAAGGGTAAGCGCTGACAGCGCGAGCGCCCAAAGTTATTGTGTCGTCAAATTTAATAGCACAAACCAAGGACAATAAAATCGTCATTTGTTTCGATAATTCCCTTTTCTGCTGTAGAATCAAATATGCTGAATAGTTTGCTTTTACCAGCTAAATTATTTATGATAATTTCCAAAACATGCGATTGTGCATTCTATTATCTTTAAATTGTTATCCAACTGCACTAAGTAGAGTGCAAATGACGCGCGAATCGAGTACACTTCTATCTCGCGATATTAGCCCTATAATTATATCATAACGCACCTTCGCTTCCCGACTGGGAGAAATTACGCCGTTAGTTACTGGCGTAAAATCGTACATACAAGACAACCGATTGGAAGAAATTACGCCGTTAGTTACTGGCGTAAAATCTTACAGTATATAATATACTAACTGGAAGAAATTACGCCGTTAGTTGCTGGCGTAAAATCTTACAGTATATAATATACCGACTGGAAGAAATTACGCCGTTAGTTACTGGCGTAAAATCTTACATATAACACAACCGACTGTAAAATCGTACATATAAAGAATACAAAAGAATCAGTCAGTTGTGTTTGTATATACGATTTTACGCCAGTAACTAACGGCGTAATTTCTTCCAGTCAGTTGTCTTATATGGACGATTTTACGCCAGTAACTAACGGCGTAATTTCTTCCAGTCGGTTGTGTTTGTCTTATGGTCTTATGAGCAGATCAGGCGCTGACGGAATTTGACCGCTTTGATATTTTTCATAGGGATGCAAGAAACGAAACAAAAATTTTTAAGGACAAAATTCGTCCTTTGATCATATCGAAAAAATTCTATAGTTATCTGCTAGCGCGGAAAAAGGCTTAAGGGCCTTTCCGCACTAGCGACCTTCATTGTTTATCAAGGGCCTTTCTGCACTTGCAGACAAAATTAGAATTTCCCGACAAAATCATGGGACAAATTTTTGTTTCGTCAATTTGTTTCGTTACGCAAATGATCGACAAGTTTATCACAGTTTTGTTTACTTATTAGTCGATTTTGTCCAGTTTTTGTCGGAATTGTTTTGTACTTATGATAAGCAAAATATTTACGCAAAAAAAAAAATACATTTCGTGTCATAGCGCTTAAAGAAATTAAGCATAAATATTTCAAGTCCTTATTTTGAAGTTCGAAAAAATTTTCTTCATTCATGTCTTTCCAACATGATAGGTGTTCGAGAGCGACCATGGCAGAATGACATTTTTTTTATTAGGAGTTTCTTCTGAACAAAGGTTATTTTGACAGTCCTCTAAACCAGTTAAAAAATTTGATAACTCTTATCTTTGAAACCCCTTGGATGTTCCTCGAATACAGCATACCTAAAAACAGAACCGGAAATGGAAAGTGAAAGTGCTTTTCTTTGCATTTTGACTAGAACAACGTATTACTATCTCTCCGACACTATTGGTTGTTCCACTGTGCAGTTTTGTATAAGGAAACCTTGTTGTCCCCTTTCTTTCAGCCTTGCTTAAAAATAGAACCGGAAATGGAAAGTGAAAGTGCTTACCTAAGCATTTTGATTAGAACAGCGTATTACTTTCTCTTCGACATGATTGGCTGTTCCACGGTTCATTTCTGTATAAGGAAACCTTGTTGTCCCCGTTTCAGCCTTTCTGTTTCAGCTCTTAGATGAGATGGACGACCAGGAGGCTTTAGATTTAGATATCGCTTTTGAAGAAGCTGCTGACGAAAACGACCGTGAAGTCGAAGCGAATTTCGCCAACCTAGAAGGCGGTCAAGGCGGAGATGGAGAAATTCACAACTGTCTTGGTGGCTACGAATACGAATTTGTGGACGGGATAAATGACGATCAGAAGTGTTCAGTGTGCCTTTTTCCGATGAAGGATCCCGTTCAAATTGAGTCATGTGGCCATAGATTTTGTAGAGAATGTCTGAACGGGATTCTGAGGTAAGCTGTGCGAAGCGTTGTGTAGGTTAAAAAGAGTTACAGCGACAGAAATAAAGCTTCGATCCTTTGTGCTTACGTACGCAATTTCCTTTACTTCGGTAAACACGCGTGGTGATTAGCATGATGCAATATGCCATCGAAGAAGTACAAGTCGTGGCAACTGAAAATCCACGAAAAGACGTAAGGATTCTCACTAACCTGTCTAATTACTAATTTTAACCTTCCGTTTGCCACTGTGCAGAACGAACACAAGGAAGTTTTCAATTTACTTTCAAGGTCCAAACTTTTATAATTCGTTAAATTCTGACATAACTAGTTCTCCCTCCTCCGCTTCTTTTAAAAGAAAGCTTAAGGAATTTCTTCTCTCTAAGTATTAGCTTCTGTAAGGCAGTAATTCTTAACTAACTTAGTTAATATGTGTGTGCGTGTGTGTGTGTGTACGTGTGCGCGGTCAAAGTTAATTACCATAAGTCCATATTGTAATTCTAATATAAGATTAGTTATTTTAAGTGAGAAAGCCTGACTTGTTATAAGCCTCGTGGTTTCTTTCAGGTTTTCTCGCCATTTATTTTCTGTCATCAATTTTCTTCATTTTTTTTTTTTCCATGTGTAAATGTCGTATATGGCAAATAAATATTGTATTGTATATTGTATTGTACTGGGTAATAGTTGGCTCACAATGCGATTGACTTCGCGTATCTCCGCTATCTAAATTCATTATGTAGCAAAGTAGTTCTTAGAATGGCACTATTAAGCTCAGATGTTCAATAAGAGGGGCGTAATTCATACGTTTGGTGTGGCAAGATAGATCACAAAACAAACGAGGTAAATTTTCATCATTACATAGATAAATATCGTGTTTTAGACAATATTTATTGTTTTCTTTGTTATCTACAGGAGCGGTAATCCAGTTTGTCCAAAGGATCGGGAAATAATTAATATTAATAAGGTAGGAGAAGTAATTATTTCTTCCTATGTCCAGAAGGCGCATACTCCATCAGTCCTCGAAAAAATACAGCCCACGGCTTACTTATCGATAGCTACGCCGTCAGACCACACTTGATTATGGAATTGCATCTATTGCAAGTGATTGCAAGGTTTGCTGTTAATATTCGACTTTCGTAAACGATACAACTTTGTTGGCCAACTTAATTCAAAGTGAGGCACAAACACTGTTGAGTAAATAGCTATCAGGGCTAGGCTTTCCTCTTTTTCTGTGTTATATTCATGTTTATGAAATACCCTTAACATTTCATGATACTGCTTTGAAACTAGGTTAATTACTTCCTCAATGCTTTCTTAGATGTAATACTTCTGTGGTGTTTTAAAAGCCTTTTTAAAACTTTTCTTATGGGCTTTCATAGATTTTACCTTCTGATCGATTTACCTCTAACTTTCTGCACCGTACAGGTCTTTTCTGACAAGGGCTTTGCCAGAGGAATGTTATCCCTTGAAGTTAGATGCTTACAGAGTGATAGAGGATGTACGTGGGTTGGTCAGTTGCGACATGCAGAGGTAAAATAAAAGTTTGATTATTCTAAGTAATGATTGAAGGTGGAAACCACGATACATGTTTTTATAGGATTGAAAACCTCCTGTGAATGTTGCAACAGTTAGCTACGTCTGGTGAACAAAGTAACAAAATATACGCCTGATTATGCGACCGAAAGAGTCAATAAATTGAATTTGTAAATCAAAGGACTACATGTTTTTTTTAAAAGGTCAACCAGCTAACAGTTTCCTTCTCACTTCAGGAACATATTGGGGAGTGTTCTTATGAAGATCAAAACTGTTTGGCTTGCGACGCTCTTGTTCAAAGGCGATATTTGGAAATGCACCAAAATGACTCATGCCCCAAAAGAATCATAGAGTGCGCTCACTGCCAGGATGAATACACTTTTATAGAAAAACAGGCAAGTATACCACTTGGCATTTTAAAGATATCATCCATTAACAATTGCCTTTTTAAGATATTGAATTCCATCTGGAGAGAATATATTGTTTCAACAAAATGCAAAAAAAATAGAAAACAAAGTATATTGGGAATACACTGATATAGAGTCCAAAAAATGTTTAAACTGACAGACGATCTCTTTTTGCTTCAGCGACACGAGGAAGTTTATTGCAGACGCTTTCCTCTTACCTGCCCAAACAGCTGTGGAAAGAAAGAAATACCCAGGGAAGAGGTAAATGGTCTCTGACCCGACTGCTGTACGATCTACAAGCTACTCCGTCGATGTACATTGGATAAGACAGAAGATAAAGAGTTAAAGCTTTTTTGCATTAAAAAGTTCAGAGTGTGCGGTGTATCTAAATAAATTTTTTAGTTCTCGTTTATATAGCGCTTTAATGTTTGGTATTCTTTTTTTCTTTCAATCAGCTGCAAAGTCATCTCTCAGAGAAATGCCTAATGTCAAAGGTGACTTGTCCCTATGCAAAGGCTGGTTGCCTATTTGAGGTTTGTCATGAAATTGTAAATTGATGTTTTCTTCGGGATGGCTTTATTGCCGCGATGTTATACTGCGTGTAGAACAAGAGAAAACGGTCCTTTTTATACCCATCCCATCAAAAGTTTGCCACTAATTATAGTAACCATCCCGTAAAATTTGAATTAAGCAAAGAAATTCACCCAACCGGACAAGTTGGTGACGCAAAAAGTTTTAACCTTTGACAATGTGGTTTAATCGAGACTCCAGAGTTAAGCGCTAAGCACAATATACCAATACCCTTGCCCTTCCTTACCAAGTCAGGAATGGGACAGGAGTGTTGGCAGATCTGTACTCACCTCGCCAGTAATGTCATGCAAGATCAAATTGGACAAGATAAAGGCAATTAATGACACAAACGATAACAAAATCTTTGGGTAAAGGGGAACTATACTTCATCTGATAACTTATAACAGTGTTAGAGCTCTTCCCAAAGCCGGGGGTGATAGGTAATTTTAAAACCTAATTGTACATAGGTGTAAGCTGAATATTGTCACATGGCAGTACAACTATTATAAATTGTTGATTGATGCTGCTGGGTAACAGTTATGAAGAAGGCTTTCACATGATGAGTATTTTCATTTAGGAAAAGTAACATATTTCGTTGATTACATGACAAGATAGCTAACATGTATATGACAAGGAAGATGTTATGCTACCTGCTTCAATAAGAGCGGACATCTTGTTACACAAACTGAACGTTCTGCATCATTTTTCTTTTGCAAAATATTTTAATAATCGATTAATTGTTTACAGTGCTTAACATATAACCCTAACATTACTTACAATGGTAGCATTACCTGAAATACTAAAATTACATTTGATGTTGCACCTGCTACACTGTACTACACCAAACTACATCTACCACACCTACTTCACAAAACTCCACCAAACTATACATACTAACATCAACGCAGTTTAGGAGGTCTTAAGAATATTGAGTTTCTTTCCATTCCACCGAGACTTGCGGTGAACGTATAAATGCCTGCACCTTGCATCTATAGACAGTTGTTAATGTCCATCCTCGAAGGTAATTAATTCTGTTTGTTTGTTTGTTTGTTTGTAGGACAAAAGAGTTCATCTCATCGACCATTCAGAGGCAAGCATAGATCATCATTTAGAGATGACATTTTCTTCGCTATTGGCTGCGAAAACTGAACTGTCAGTTTGCCATAATGGAATGACAGAGTTGCAACAAAAGTTCCATGAAAGCGAAGAAAATAATCGGAAACTCTCACAGTTAGTGGAGGATCATCGTGAGCAGATTCGTGATTTGACCTTGGAGACGAAGCGCTTGGGGATGGAAAGCATCCAACAAACGAAGACCATTGAAGAAATGTCCAAGAAAAATTTCCTCCTAATAAAACAATGGATGACAGATATGGATGGTAAAATCGCCCAACAAGGAACAAAGATAGAAGAAGTGCACCGGAAAAACCTTCAGCTAGAAAGGGAGATTAAGGAGAAAAACAGCCGACATCAGAGGACATCAAAGCCCTGTCAAAGGTTAGTGGATCTACAGAAAACCATGGAATTACTCATGAATCAGGATGACAGGAAAATTACACTTTCAGCGAACCCCATGATAGGGTCACAGAACACCGCCGGGCTTCAATTCAAGACAGAAAGCTTGAGTGATACCACTGACACTTAATTATAGCTGTAACGAAGGCTTTTTTAGTTGTGATTTGCATGACGTTCAATACCCTTTTGTTTTGTTTGGTTTTGTGTGACATACTCTCGAATTGTCGGCATTAGGTTTCATTCGGCCACGAGACACGGGTTAGTCGCAAGCCGGATCGAAAGATCGTCGAAATACTAGAATAATAGAACGGGGAACGAGGTATTTCATCTTGTTTATTTTGGTATTTATAAACCGAAACGTGTATAATCAAAGGTAGTTTTGTTTCGCTTAAGATATTTGTATTTGATTTTTTGATTTATTGTATTTCAGTTTTTATGAGCTTTCAAGTGATTAATAAACCAGCTGAGATTGATAGACGCTTGGAGGTTCCGTTAATATAAGACATTTCCCCGACGCGATGTTGATCAAGTTTGATTTGATTTACGTCAGCGTCCGCCTCATTACAATAGCCTTACAATGGAATACTGATGAAAGTAAGCTGAGACTTTTCACAACACTGAGCAAAGACAATGTAAGCATTTTAACCTTTGCAGGGAGAGGTCTAATGAACAGGACCACATGAACATTTCTTATTGAAATTGTGTGACAGTCCTTACAAGTTGTTTGTTCTCGGCGAAAAATGTGTCGTAGCTTAGTTTCATTTGAAGCGCGTGTCCATGTCTGCTGATAACGCCCTGAAGTACCAAAAAAAGTAGAACATTTCAATACGTTTATTGAAAATGAACATGAACGCGAACTTACCATTTTTTTTTTTGCACTTTTTTATACAGTTAGTTTTTTATGTAATCTTTCGCATAAGTGATCTTTTGAACTCAAGCAAGAAGTGTCCCTAATTACAAAGCAAGATAAACACTTGAAGAAATGTTGAACCGAGATAAAGTTCTAGTTCAAAATGAACCTTGATTAAATACTACATTATTGTAGACATTCCTGGGAGGTTTACGTCATTCACCAAGAGCGCACTGAATAGGAACTCTGCAAGCACGTGGAGATAGGAATAACTGGAACACGATAGAAACAATTCTCCTTTTTCGATTCTGAAGTTGAAGTTGAAGGTTATAAAGTTGTAAATAAATTGGCAATAGAAATAGATTACTACTTTGAGAAAGTGAGGGAGGGGGGTGGTTATTCGAGGGGGGGCGCTTGTTTGACATTTAGGCCGAGAAGGTGAGCGCTTATTTGGAGAGGGCGCTTATTCGAGCACGGGCGCCTACTGCAGTACAATCCCTTCTCGGGGAAATGCCGACTAGAGCACAGGTGCATATATTATGGCTGGTTATGCAAATATTACTCAATTTTTGTCACGCAAGATGCGGCTTTGCATTAGGTGCTCCCTAAAGAATTGCGTTATATCAGATTTTGCGTGACTGAAAACATACTACTACACCGAAGGGCTAAATCGAGTCACCGTTTGAGGCTAAATTGACGGAAAAGATTTCAGTGGATTCTCATCTACTTCAGATGGAAACGGCAGCACGAGAAATCTTGAATCAATCCAGTGTTCCAGAGAGCCCATAATGTCAGAGGATGGGTCGATGCTCGCGCTTACGAAATAAAGCATGAAATGGCACTGGTAAGTGCTCTTTGCAGCTTGCTTTGAATATTCCAACGCCCTAACGCAGGCTTCTCTGCCTTCCTTATTCGACATAATTGGAAGCAAAACATATTTCAGCTTTGTAGCTGTTTGACCGCCTTGGAATCTCAATCTATGGTCGTTTGTTTTCGTCTGAAACTTTCGCTCGCGCGAGTGATTGGTATGATTCTCCTGAGATAAAGTGATTTGCATGTTCCTCTCCACTCCGAAAAGCCAAGTGAAGCCTCTGCTCAGCTTCCTGAGATCATTGCAGACGGAAAATTTTTGAAAATTCATCAAATTCTGACCATAAATCAGTCTTTGGTACTTAAACCTGTTGATTATAAGATGACATAATATGTTCGGTAACGTAATTGATCAAAGTGATAATTGAAAAAGAGGAAAGTATTAGATATATCTTTGCCTATGAATATATCAATAAGGGAAAGGTTTTCTCACCCTATAAAATTACAAAGGAATTTATGGTATCTTGATAAGTAGATTGTTTATCTTGAGGACAGCCACTGTAAGCGATACAAGATCTGTTGCAATGTCAAGAAACATGTGGGTATAAAGACATGTATTATGCAATCAATTATACATAAAGTTTGACATGACAAAGGCGGTCACACCAGGTCAGCCCCCCTTATGCCTGGTTATCAGTTTATAAATGTGGGTTAAAAGGTTATTAATTATAATCTGCAAAAAGTGGCTTAGTTTATTCAATCAAATGCCCATGATTTGTTCACTCCTTTCTTAATATACAATCCTCGATACCATAACTCTAGATTTTGCCATTTTAGAGTTGTTTATCACTCTTATAAAACCATTTTTCATGATTTGGGTTAATAGATAATAGGTTTGCCAGATTACTATTCACAAAAACCACCTGCCAAAGCTGACTGGTTTCCTTAGTTCACATAGAGTACATATTTTAATCACTCTTTGCCATGATCAATGCAGCTTGAGCTCTTGTACAGGGACAAAACCTTTCTGTCCATAACGTATTTCCGCCGTGATAACCACACTGAAATTTTGTGTAAATAGAATTTAATTTATCTTGCAATGTAATAAAGGCCAGAGCCTCTCCAGATGAAGGAGCTCATGTAGAGCATATCACAAGATGAATGTCACAGTGTATTTTTGTGAAATACAGTGAAATACTTTTATAGTCTTTTAGATCTTAATTCTGATGAATTAAAAGTCCTATGAGACCTTAAATAACCATTTTCCCCCTACTGAGACCGTGAACAATCAATTTCTTGTATATATTTGCCATCCATACTATATAGTAGATTTTAGATCAACAACAGAAAACATTTCTTATTCTTTTCTGAACGTTAAATATAACATTCACATATGATTTTGCTGAACATAATGTAATATTTAATTTATTAAAAACAGCTGTGTTGTGCAGGAGCTACACTAATATTAAAAGTGCATTCTTGAAACAATTTTTAAACTTTGGAAGTTGGAAGTACACTTGTAAGGAAATTAAAGCCAAATTATATCTTGCTGAGCAGGTAACTTTTCACAGTTAAACAAACATATGTATAAGTGTGTATGTGTCCCAGTAACAGAAGAGTTAGATCTACCATTTAAAGTGTATTTTATCAGAACTAGTTTCTGTGTGGTCAAATACATACATGTATGTAGTTAAGTCATTTCCTCTAATTGTCATACTTAGAAAATCTGTTTCCTTCTCTTAACTGATTTCATTAGTATAGTCACAGACTTAACATGGTAAAGCTTTGCTGGAGGAATACAAAATCAGCTGTAGGATACTATACAGTGCGTTAAAAACTGTAAATTCATATTGCCTTTAGGGTGAAAGAAAACCATTTGATGAGGTTGTAATACATTATGGAGACCCTCATGCATTTTGACAGTCACCTATCACCTTTGTAAGACAGGTTGGTACATGTAAATGCATGCCAAGAAAATTAAGCCCTTTTTGGCTGATGTTGTCTGTTAAGTTGGTTAAATTTGCATCCTCACATTACTGGACCTTGTTACAACTAAAGTTACTTCACCGTTACCTCATCTTGGCAGACAAACATACTGTAAACTCTTTTATGAGCCTTGCTCTTCAATAAGCCCTCTCTTTTGTAAACCCCTTTCTTTTAAGCCACTCTTTATTTAGCCCTCTCACTCAAAAAATCCACCTCTCTTATTAATCCCCTCCCTGTTAAGCCCCCTCCCTCTCTAACAACTGTGCTCCTCATCCTTTCCCTGAACAAAATCTTCACAAATGGAATGTGAAAATACCCCTATCATTGTTTAAAGGCTGTATTTGTTAATGTTTCCAAAAATTGGACCAAAGTGCATGTAATAGGTTCCAATTTTACACAGTATTCCTTGCGAGTGGGTACCATTTGAAAGAAAAAAGGAATCATTCCATTGTGGCCCTCTGTGTGTTTAACCCTTTAACTCCCATGATCTGTTCATCAATTTTCCCCTTTAGCTGATATACAATCCCTTGTTAATTAGTTACAAGAGTTTGGTGTTAGATCAAGATAAAAACTTCTTTGCAATAAGTTTTAGTATTCTCATTACTTGTTTGCTCGATATGTTTAGATATTATTGGGGGAATTTCCATGTTAGTCACTAATGGGAGTTTAAGGATTAAATTAACCTCCTCTATTGTGCCACATCTCCAAAAATGCCTTGGATATTTATCTTAATGCTTTGGATATCTAATAATTATATTGATTAGAGTAGATTCTACCCATTATCCATTTTTTTAATCCAACAAGAGGACTACTACGGAAATTATTTGTATCTTTAGTGTTTAGCCTGCCTCTTTGTCCACAATTTCTCAATGACCCACAATTCCCAAAGGATGTAAAAGAAAAGGCTCGCAGAATTCTTAAAGCAACACCAGGTTTTACCATAAGTAGGTAGCAAATTCATTCTTCTAAAGGTTCTATGAGTAAACTTAATAACATTATTTTTTGTTTGACAGTATTTTTTGCCTTTTTTTACCCCTTTCTTTACTTTGTGCTGCTTTGTGATAAGCACAATAGGGCTTGGTTTGTGCTTTTGGTATTTGGTGCTCTATTGTACTTTTCAATCTTCTTTGTTTTTGATTTACAATTTTCTTTTTCTTTTTCCTAACTAATTATTAATCTATTCAGATACCTCATTTTCCTCCCTAAACCCAAGGGTTGCACCACAGGAGCAAAACAGATATATATATATATATATATATATATATATATGTATTTTATTTAGTATATACCATACATCAGGTGTGTTGTGAACCTTTTCAGTTTCTGAGTGGTGCATACTAAAATAGTTATTCAACTCAGTGTCAGTGAAAGTAGGGGCAGATCTAGAGAAGGGGTGTAAGAATTGTGCTCCCCTCCTCCCACCCAAGTTATCTAAGTTCACCTTATGTTCAGTGATTCCCTGGTCATAAACGTACTTCCATCTTCGTTGCTCGCTTTTAAAATCAGTTTATGTCACTTGTCTGTTACGTCATTCCTTAGTGGTGCACCCACTGCTAAGAAAAATCCTGGACCCTAACCCCTGGAAAGTGTTTGAAAATTATCCACTCCACTGTGGTGCACTATTCAAATATGCTTTGTGTTCGTCCTTTATTAGTTTCATTTGTTTACAGACTCCATATACTGTGTTCTTGTAAGAAAAAGTACTCAAGAAGACAGAAATCAACTAAATTTAAAAGTTATTTTTTGTGCATATAAATAATTTTGAATATCAATTCACGTTGTTTTGGAGTACATTACTATCTACACTAATGTATCTTTTATTAGGTTCGTACACAAACATTACTGGATTAAGAATCATTCGTGAGGATGTAGCCAGATACATTTCGAGAAGAGATGGTTACCCAGCTGACGTTGATGACGTCATTTTAATCAATGGAGGGGCAATAGGGATTAAGGTTAGAGACCAGTACTCTTTCTATTGGGTTGTAGTTGATCTGTTGATCAAAGTCGTGTGTCTGCTTGGTTATATATAACTAGTGCAAAAACGTGATGAGGGCGAAATGTGGTTGGAACGGAAATGCGATTTACGTGAGCTAACCAAACAAGTTTGACACTGTTGTTTGTAACACCTTTTGGGGTCATGTGTGCGTTGAAACTAAACGGAGACAAGGAAAAATGGAACCCTAAAAAACTTGACTGCTCTGCCGAAATTTATCGCGACCATTAACATTTCAAAGTAGCAACTGTTGTAGATACCAGTCTTTTCAGGTTACCTACATGCCTCAGATTGAGACAACTTTACTTTTTAAATGATGCATAAAGTAGAGCAATGTTTGAGGTACGACGCCGAGAAATCATGTTAGCATTTCCATGTAAGCTTTTCAATTTCAAAGGCTGCAGCGAAGAAGGAGAAGAAATTCCAATAAGGTGGACATAAGTAGCGAATTATGAGGTCACTATGTGTATGTACTATGTAGGCTACCCGCTTGAGTGCGGTGGCTGTAACTTAGTGTGATAGTGTTTGTGAAGAGTAGTTCTCAGTTTAATTTGGATAACAAGAAATACTGCGATTACCACGCAAGGTTTGTTTCGTCTCTCTGAAATTTTTATTTTCTTCAATATTTTCTTCTACAGATAGGCCTAGCATCGCTTGGTACTGATATGCCGAACGGCAAACTTAAGCCAGGACTTATGATTCCCATTCCAGTTTTTCTCAGTGCTTTATTATTGGACAAGTAGAATTTAACAGAAGAAAAAATTAGAATAGATAAAGGTCTGATACCAATCAGTGATTCATGCTGATTAGAGTCCATAAGAGGAATGACCCAGCTTATGATTGCCGTGCTAAAACTGATCTTTCTAATCAGATCCCTTATTAATTGGGAGAAGAAAACAACTGGTCTTTGAACATCGGTCAAATGAAGAAAGCCATAGATGAGGCCAGGCCGCACTGTGAACCAAGAGGACTGGTACTGATTAATCGTGGTAATCCTACAGGTGAGACGTACATTTGTAACCATGGTAACTAGTGATGTGGTTGGAGATGAACCTGATGTCAATGAGTGAAGCGGAAATATGGTTTTTTATGCTTGTAAATGCGTGACTTTAAATTTGCGTGACATTTGTGTTACAGTTGCCTTTGTGCCATTTGATTCCTTCGGATAGTCTTTCTCTCCCGCTGATTTTCAGTTGTTGCATCGTACGCCCTTTTTACTATTCACTGTTCATGTCCGGCGTTCATCCCAAGTTAATTTCTTAAGTTTGGTTTCAAGCCACCGGCGTATAGGGACTGATATGTAAGTTGTATTTGTTTGTATTCACTTTTAGCTTTTAGCTTTTAGCTTGCCCCATTTTTGCAAGGTAGCGTTTCTCTTGCTATGATCTTATGCCTTTGTGTGTGTTATTTAGTCACCGCCTTCGTATCGTCAGGCGGCTATTTCTAGTTATAATTTTCCTTTATCTCGTTTCGAGCAAGCTCTTTCGTCTTTTTTTTTTTTTGTATATATATTTTGTGTTTGCCGTGGCACTTGGTTCATTTATTAGTCCCTTTATTATGTTAGATGCATTTACGCTGTTAAGTCGCCACGTGTTTAATTGAATACAATCGATTATAGAAGTCCCTTTTTTAATTCGCTTTCAGTTTTCGAGATTGATCGTATCCCCTGGTTTGGTTGGCATTTTCTCCGGTCGCGATTTTCTTGGCTCTTCATTCGGTCTTGATGTTCGTTTGCCGCAACAATGCTCGGGAATAAAAACTCCCGAAAGGAAAATAAGTACGAATGGAAATAATGAAAATGGTCCAAAAGAAACGCATAGAACAATATTTGGCTCGAGGTCATGACATATGGACTACCAGCCAGCGAGGGGGCACAGCGAGGTCCGTGCGTCATGACCGAGAGCCAAATATTTCCCGTCCAGTCAATAAGAAATTTATCCTGTGACCACTCAGCGTTGAAAACTTCGAAAATTTTGGTTTAAACTAAGTAGGACGCGATATACGGGCGCACACGGGAGAACCACAAAAAAATTTCTACAATAAAAAGAGGGTTTTCCTTCGTTTTTTCAAGTCAGAGCAAAAAATTCACAAATCGTCGAAAAACGCGACTGTGTTTTTACCCTTTTTTTTTCCCTTCAAGTTTTTGCAACAAAGCCCCGAATGGCCTTTTTCAGACCGACTCACGTCAATCCGTTAGGTCGTCAGCTTTCACCATGGTTTTCTATGGATTGCGCGCGCGGGGCCACACGGGTCATATGGTAATTATCAATTATTCATCAAGGTGAAGGTGGTAGTTGTGGATACTTAGCTCGCCGCTTCGTAGCTTGGGAAATATTATCCACTTGTGAACAATAGTTTTATAATATACCGTACGGATACCGACAAATTAGTTTATTTCTTTTAGTATACCGAAAGGTTGTCGGAAATTTAACTTTTGACGCGTGATTTTGTCTTATCGGCTGCTCGGCTGCTTTTACTCATTTATTTATTTATATACTTGTTACATTTCCAATATTGCCTTTTCGGCAGAATCCACACGTGGCTTATTGACACAATGTAAAATTGATAAATAGTGGATGCTTGTTTTGGTGTTGTTACAATTCCTGTGTTGTTCAACCGCCATTTCGGAGGTCTCTTTAACCTGTGATTGGTCACCCATATCAATACTTATAGGATGACCTTTTTCGTCTGTCTTTCATACTCAGGGCAGATTTTAAGTTACGACAACGTAAGGGAGGTCATCAAGTTTTGTGCACGAGAGAAACTGGTTTTATTTGCGGATGAAGTATATCAGGAAACAGTCTTTACAAAGGATATTATATTCCACTCGTGCAGAAAGGTTCTGAGGGACCTGGGACCTGAATACAACAACTTTCAACTGATGTCGCTCAACTCCGCTTCTAAAGGATTTTATGGCGAGTGAGTGGAGAGACCACATTGTGAAAAACACTGCGGCATAATTATTTGTACAAAATCATATTATCATCACTTATTTTAACCAGTGTTTTCATTTGAAGTTTTCTTTAAGAGGCAAGGAATGAAGGGGAACTTAATAGGTTGTTTGCGGTACGCCAAAAATATGCTTTAAGTTGTTCAACGTGAAATTTCTTTACAAGATTTCTTAGCTTTTGAGTTTGTGAACATGATATGTAAAAGAAAATATTCAAGATGAAGGAGATGAGAAATTGTAAAATTTCGTGTACCAATGTACAGTTTACTGCTCAATGTTTTCGGAAATGTTAAAAAAAAAACCGAACACAAAATTTAATGTGACTTGACCATACCCCACAATTTTCCACTAAGCAGGAATAATTGATAAGGTTTACACTGCTCAAATTTGGGCGAAATGACGATATGCAAATGTTCTTTTAATAAATATTTTCACTCTCTTCAAGGAACATTTCATTTATTTTATTTATATAGGTGTGGTTTGAGGGGAGGGTATCTTGAGCTGGTCGGATTTAGCAACGCAGTCAAATTGCAGTTTAGAGATATGATGTCGCCTAGTAAAAGTGGCTCGACCATTGGGCAGGTATTATTTCCAGTTTCTTAATTTTAAACATGTAAATAAATACATGATAAAGCATTCAATTTAACAGGAACAGAACGGTGAGTATGCCAAACCGTTTGGACGTCCAATGAGTGTTGTCTTTTTATGAGATTTCACATATGGAGAGAAGTAGCAAACCACGCACTAGTGCATATATCTACTGTACTGAAACGGCTTTTTTACTTCTATGCAAGGACTGAAGGGAAAGTGAAACGTTACTTGAGGAAGATAGAAGAACAAAATAATGTTCTTAACCTCGCTTGATTTTTTTTCCTGTTTTTAAGGCTGCCATGAGTTTAATTTGTTGTCCGCCTCAGCCTGGAGACAAGTCGCATGAAACATTTATACAGGTTTGTAACGAGGATCTGGACACAGGTATATTTGAGTTAGCTCCAAGGAAGAATTATTTGTAAAGTAAAGTCACTCTTCAAATTGGCTATAGATCTATCTGACGAATAAGCCAATCATTCAGTTATTCCTCAAACCTCTTTTGTGTGTGTATGTCTGTGTTTTTTCGTCTTTTTTGGGCAAGAAATACTCGAAGTCAAAGGAAGAACTTTAAGATATCATACTAGTCGTTTATCTCGCCAAGCAATAGAAATCCTTGTGGACAAGGTTCCTTATGGATATGGTTTCCCATGGATAAGGTTCCTTTGTCCTTCAAGCTTTAGTCCCTATCCTTAATGGTTACGTTAAGCATAGGGTTCCTTGTGGACCAGGCTTCCTTTGTATTGCTAACTGCAGTTCTTACTCTTTATGCACTAAGTCCCGTTAAGGATGAGTTTCCTTTTGGATTAGGTTATTCATGAATAAGGATCCCTATGGATAGGGTATCTTAGGAATAAGAATCCTTTGTGCCAAAAACTATCGTGACTCCTTATCCTTCATTGACAGGTCAAGGATAAGGTTCCTTATGGACAAGGTTCCTTAGGGATAAGGTTCCTTAGGAATAAGGTTCCTTAGGGTTCCCTATGGACAAGGTTCCTTAGGGATAAGGTTCCTTATGGATTAAGTTCCTTGAGAATAAGGGTCCTTATGGATTAGGTTCCTTATGGATAAAGTTCCTTATGGACAAGGTTCCTTATCGATAAGGTTCCTTAGGGATAAGGTTCCTTATGGATAAGGTTCCTTACGGATAAGGTTCCTTGTGGATAAGGTTCCTTATAGATAAGGTTCCTTAAGGATAAGGTTCCTTAAGGATAAGGTTCCTTAGGGATAAGGTTCCTTATGGGTTGGGTTCCTTATGGATAAGGTTCCTCATGGACAGGTTTCCTTGTGGATAAGCTTTCTTATGGATAAGGTTCCTCAGGTATAAGGTTCCTTATGGATTAGGTTCCTTAGGGCTAAGGTTGCTTAGGGATAAGGTTCCTTATGGATAAGGTTCCTCATGGACAAGGTTCCTTGTGGATAAGCTTCCTTATGGATAAGGTTCCTAAGGTAGAAGGTTCCTTATGGATTAGGTTCCTTATGGCTAAGGTTCCTTCTGGATAAGGTCCCTTAGGGAAAAGGTTCCTTCTGGATTAGGTTCCTTATGGATAAGGTTCCTTAGGGATAAGGTTTCCCATGGATAAGGTTCCTTATGGACAAGGTTCCTCAGGGTTAGGTTCCTCAGGGATAAACTTCCTCAGGGATAAGGTTCCTTATTGATAAGGTTCCTGGTTTTGTAAAAGATAATACACTGCAAACTCCAATCCATATCCTTTACGGACTAGGTTACGTTAAGGAGAAATTTCCATTTGAATAAGGTCATTCATCAATAAGGATCGCTATGGATAAAGCTCCCTTTGCTGCAAACTGCAGTCCCTTTCTTTTATGGATGTAAAATTGCTAAGATGGCCATTAAGGGTCGAGTACAGTCTGCATTTTCTCAAGGGTCTCAAGGAATATTTTTTAATCACGCAAGAATTCGCTAACGTTAATCCTTTACACCCCAACATCAGTATGCATATTCTCCATACTGTTCTCTACACGTTTCCTAACTTGCTGACAGGGAGAATTTGTTTAACAATCAAGAGCTTCTTTAGTTGGTGATTATTTCCTTCATTCTCGTGACCTTAAAGTGTGACTCAGGGGTGATATTGTAAGGAGAAACTAGATCCAGTCATTCATAGAGGATAGAGGGTCAAAAGACTTTGTTTATTGATCTAGATTGTAGTCTTGTTTGCTAAATAATTATTACGTAGTATACTGATTAAAGTAATTTTTCACGATTTTAAAATTTCTTGTGTATACTCAACAGAGACCAAGTCACTGATGGTGATGCAAACAAACTTCCGTTTGTTTCTAAGGCTCGTAACACATGTACTTTTAACCTTAGCTACAAACGGAAGTTTAGGCCCGTGTTCAATACAAAAAGATAACTTTTATTGCCCTCAAAGCCTAAACTAGCTAATTGGAATCTTATATTTAATGGACATATTCTATTTATAAATGTAACAGATATGCAAACAATTTTTTATCCAAACTTGATTTAAACCACGTATAGTTCTTTTTTCGTGTAATTCAATTTTTTAATTGCAAAGCGATTATAAATAAACATCTTATCTCTGCTTAACTCTCTATCTCTATCCTGCGAGAGACTTCAGTATATTTTTACCTTGTTTTGTAGGAGAAGACGGCCATTTTAGACTCTTACCAAAGGAAAGCGAAAATCACCACTTCAATGTTGAATTCTTTAGAAGGAGTGACGTGTAATGAAGTAACTGGTGCCTTGTATGCTTTCCCAAGAATTCGTCTTCCACAAAAGGCTATCGAGGAAGCCAAGGTGAGTAAGCGAGTTATGGATGTGACATTAAGTTTACTCACTATAACTCAGTAGGTACACAAATACACAAGGGACGAACCTTCGAGATGATACTCGTTATTTTTTTCTTAGTTCGTGAGAGGACGATATTCTACAAATCCTGCGATCTGATTGGTTCCGGGAGCAGGCACAACTCTCCCATCTGGCCCGCTCTCAACTGAGAGCGGGTGGTATCCGTTTCGTGTTGAGTCGATTTGCAGAACTTCTTTAGCTTCGTTGTAATTATTCATTTTGTTTTGCCAGCTAAGCAGCATTTTTAAGCAAAGACTTTGTTCACGACCTTTAACCAATAAATAACTTATTAATTCTCTCCTTTTTCCTTTTTTTCCTTTGGCGCAATAACATTGACCCAAACGACTTCTATTGCTGGCAGTTGATGGAAACAACTGGAATAGTCCCCATTCCTGGAGGAGTTTTTACACAAAAGGAAGGAACATACCATTTTAGGTTAGTTCTATTTTTCTGTGTTGTCCATGAGATGAGCAGCCCAAAAACTATCGGTGACAGCACTGCTTTTCAAGACATAACGAGCCGGTTTTTTCCATTTATCTTATTTGACTCTTGAATAACTGTTTTTTCCTTAAAAGTCTGATGGTAAACCTCGGAGATATGTAAAATTTCCTTTGTCTATCGTGCCCGGCTACGATCAGAGTCTATTCATTCATTCAGTAAGAAACATTGGTCACGTGACTACTGCCTTCCAACAAACTGAATTTGATTGGTTCTCATATCGCTAGATATTCGCTCTTATCTACCATGCCACCCTCTTTTATTCTTATTTATGTTATTTTCCTCTAAAATAAGATGAGTTTGTAACTTTTAGTGGTTGTTCTACAGTTTGCAATTAAAGGCTTGACTCCTTTCACTTGTTTTGTTCCTATTTTTTTCTACTACAGATTAACAATTCTACCCTCTGAAGAAAAAATTGCTCCTATGCACGAAAGGCTGAGCAAGTTTCACAAGGAATTCATGGACAAGTACAAGGAAGACAAAGAAAACTAATAGTGATTTCAAACTGAGAGCTCGTTTTTTGTTGGGTATCTACGTATTTTTCCCTGCACTTTTAACTCATTTCACGGCCAGTTCAAACTACTGAGTTATTACAGCATTCCTGTACACGTTGCACATAGTGAAGTGTAGAACATATTACTTAGCTCATCTGTTTAGTGTATCTATCATTCTACCAAAAATCTATCTCCCTTAAAAAAAATAATTGGTTTTTGAACCCGGGAGTAACAGTTCATCCTGTAAAATGATCATACAGTTCATAATGTGCCCTAAAAAGACTGTTGCAGAGGCGTATTCGGGAAGAGGGTGCTATGCCCCCCTCTCCACCTATCAAAAATGCTTGGATCTGTACCTGTATTGTTGGTGGAAGTGACTGATGTTTCGACAACCTAAGGTGGAAGTCTAAATCAGAGCGTCTCCGATGATGACTTCCGCACTAGGACTACTCTTCTCCGGACGACCAGAACCCAAAATCAACTTTATCTAAATGTCTACATGGTGAATGGCTTCTCGGCCATTTTTGAATCAACTTGGTTTAGAGGAAGTTTATAAGCAGTCAGTTCCCATTAGGAGGTAGAGGAATGATTCGAGTTATTTATTTCATCTTCAAACGGGTATTGAAAACATGTAAATACAATGGTGTCAATCAATAGGTGAGAACCAAAGCATGCATTACATGGTACTAATGCATGTTTCTTTTGCTTTTAGCTTTGGTTGTTTTTGTTTTTTATTTATATTAATACTTGTACTGTGATCGTACACATCTTCCATACAATTAAAGAGCGATACTTGACTTTTGGGGGTAAGTTGTATTCTATTGTCTTTTGTTTGTTTCGTTTTACTTCTTCTTTATTTCACACCCCACCATGGCCGCGAAAATGGATAAAAGCAAAGCGAGATAAAGCGTGCACATGGACTAGAAATCTGCGTCTCCCTGCTTCGTCCTCCTTGGTTTTTTAGTTGTTGAATTTACCATATGTTGGGCAAGAGGAAAAAAGTCAGTGACTTCGCTGCGAGTACATGTGAAATTTTTCAGCGTTTGTTGCAATTATTTTCTTAGGCTCTATTGTTTTGATATCTTTGTTGTCTTTGCTCTGAGTCATACGGGGACGTAATGACCGGGTATTTCCGCTGGGATAAGCCGAAAAATACCAGTGTAATCAAACGTGGAAAATCCACCTTTGAGCTTCAAATCCAGCGAACAAAACCCCAATGAATTGGAAGGAATGGTCCTCGGCGAACACGGTGTTTAGCAGAAAGACAACATGCAAAAATTCAACTAAACCGTGTCGGCAAATCTGCAAGCACCCTGAATGCACGTGCATTCATCTATTCTTAATCTTGATTTCAGCTTTTGAATAAATCAGGCTTACCTAAAATTCCCTATTTTGACAAATACTCTTTGAACAATCTGTAAAAGCCTTAAAAAACGTTAACTGAAATTGTAAATCAACAAACCTCTCCCTCCACTCATTGCGTAATTTTTCTTAGGAGACTATCCACGCTCCACAAGAATGACGCTAGCATCGTAATACTGCAAAGAAACAGCGTCACAGTTTCGATGATTACTGTGATTGGTCAGCGTAATCCAATACTATCCCAGAGGTTCCATGGTTTCAGAGCAAGATAACCAATTCGCTTCTCTTTTCCGTCCGCCCCAGAAGTTTGATTATTTCTTAAATGACTTAGACTTAAACAGAAACCTCGATTTCCCTGGTCTCTTAGGTAAAAACAGTTCAGCTGGAGTAGCATGAACCCTCTACCCTAGGATTTAGTTTCCTCATGCTCCTTAGGGCGAGAGAGGATACAAGAAGACGAATTTGCGAGCATCATTTTTTAGCTTCGTAGCCTCCAATTTCCATATTGTGACCCTATGGCGGAGTCATCGCATTGCCCGCAAGTTGTTCGTGACAAGATAATTAGATATTCAGATATAAGCCTGGTCATCAAATCGTTGTCAGAGCGGCAGGATTAGAAATTATTCAGCCGTGATATCTTTATTTTAATTCTCCCTTGACTGTAAATTTTTTTAAAATTTATTTTCGCATAACTCGACGCATGCATAAAATGGCAGGAAAGGATTGTACCACATTATCGTCCTGCTGGTCTTGTGTCGTGACGAGGATTCCAACGTGACAGAATCTTCTTAGCTCATTTGATTGCTCAGTGCTCTATAACAACGTTATTGTATATCTGCACACTCTCGCGTGACCTCACAATCCAAGCATTTTATTGTAGAGACTTATTGATAATCACTTATTGTTAACAGCTGTCGTTTGTACACAAATAAAGAAGGTTGTCTTCTCGGAAATACGAATGACTTCAAGAGTGAGAAGGCTGGTTCAGACAGCTTCAACTCGGCAACGTGGGATTGATCATAAAGTTGATCAATTGTTCTTTTCTCCTTCTAATCTCTCGAATTTACGTAATATCGATTGGGATGTTATTTCACTCCCGAATTAATTGGCGTCGCATCGTTTATCCATAGCGATTGTTACCATTTAGTTTTTTATGTCCTTGACATGGAGATTCTCACTGAAGAAAGCATTAACCCGGCGTTCAAGAGAGTGAACTATAGAGTACGAGGATGGCTGGAAAGTCGTTCATATGAAATTCAACAAGAGCTTAAACACGTAAGGAAAGTTATACCATGTTATATATATAGATATGTACATGTATAGTATGTACTAGTGATAATCATGGACTTGAAAAATTTGGATGGATACTTGGAATGTAGACACGGAAATCTCAGCAACACACTATGGTGCGAAAGTTTCGGCCGTAAAGGGCATTTCAATTTGTAAAGAATATCACGGTTCATCTGTGAGAATAAGATTACTTCGTGGCAGCTTTGCGTGCTTGGGCACTCAGGCGTGGCGAGTTACAGCAAGATATCAATAACGCATGCTTTGCCCTGAGGAAACAAGCTGAAACTTGGAACAATTGTCTCAGCGAACTTTTCCTGATAGTTGCGAAGTGTATGGGTTACTTAAACTTTTTCTAGATATTTTAAAATTTTGGTTATTTTCTCTCATATTCGCTTTGCCAGGGAGCGAAGAAGCCATTTTCCGAAGTTCTAATACACTATGGAAATCCACAGGGAATGGGACAACCACCTATTACTTTTTTTAGACAGGTGATGTGTGAAAAACTCTGTATATTCTTATGAATTATCGATGAATAAGGAACAGCTGTCTGGCTGACTGACTGACTCAGAACGATTGGCTGACTCATACCGGAAAACCGACTGACATAATAAGTTAATGTCACAGACAGACTGACTAACCATGACTGTCATACAGGTAATGATTGATTTTCTCCGTCTGGGTAACTGAGAAACTGACTCCGACTCAGTGACAGAAAATGACTGGCTAAGTGACGACGGTTGACTGACTTAAACCGACAAGCTGACAACGATTGACAGTCATTTACAATGACTCACTGTCTTACAATAACTGACAGATTGACGATGACAGTGACTCACTGTTTTAAGCTGACTGACAGATAGGTGAATTAACTTCACAACTGTCGGAGACTTTGATTCGTGCGTGACACATGTCAGATGATGAGTGCGAACACTATGGACATTGAATGGTTTACATAATCAACGCAACCTTGAATGACCCTTTTAAATCAGTACTCGGCAACAACCAATCAAAATGTAGAAAATATCGTATAAGAGAGTGATTTCTTACAAATTTGACAGAGCAGCTTTTTACACACCTGATGTAAATAAGCGAATACGAGAGCGAAATAAAACAGTTTAATTGAGTCTCGTTCGTCAGAGTTCTATCCCTAGTAAACAGGACAAAGTTTACAAAACAACTGCGTAGCTCGTGGACTAACGAATTAACTAAATTGCTGAGTTTCTTTAGGGGGAACGATCGAATAGTTTACCAGAGAAGAATATTTGGACAGCTGGATCGACAAACACAGAGAATTATGAGCTGGCCACGACATTGAGTCAAACGGCTTTGTAGCGAAACAACCGCAACACGAATTACCCATGTGGTTGAAATAGAGGATAAATCAAATAAACAGATTTAGGCAGACCAACCACAAATAAAACTGAATCCGTTAAGCAACTGCAGAAATGAAGCCTGAAAAAAAATCCGGCTTAGATGGGATTCGAACCCAGACCTACCTGATGCTGGTTAGGCGCTACTACCAACTGAGCTACCAAACCACACGTAGGTAGTGAGTCAAGTTTTAAAGGGTTCTTGTTTCCGTGGAAGAATAATAAAAAAAAAATTAAATCATGAAATAAATTTCATTTGACTCGCGGATTGAAAATCAAATAAAGCCATAACTGCAAGCCTCAACTGTGTTATTCTTACACAGGTTTTGGCACTTCTTTTGTGTCCTGACCTTCAAAATGATGACCGTTTTCCACAAGATGCCAAAAGAAGGGCGAAAAGAATTCTTGATGACACGATAGGACAGACTATAGGTAATACGAATTAGGGTTTTCTAATTATAGTGGAGGAAACAGGAATAGGTCCTCTCCTGTATGTTTGACTGGCATATTAGAGGTAGCACCCCGCATGTATCCTCACCTTTGTATCATTCCACCAAATAAGATATAGGAGCACAACATGCCCGACACCCATTTTTTAGTGTGGCATGTCATATTATACAATTCATGCACTTCGTTCCAAAGCTACTCACGGAATTCGACAGCAGTGAAATATTATACACCTCTACAAACAACAGAGTGAGTGTTCCTAGTTGATTACTCGCAGCATATACCACCCTGGTTTCTCCTCCAGTGGAGGGTGGGACTTAAGACGGGGCTTGCATTGTGGCCAAGATTTCTCCGCCTCCCTATATTTGTAAATTTTCTGGGTAAGCCCTTGTTCCCGAACTTAATAAATTTCAAATTTATAGCAGAAACACTTTCATTCTTTTACAGGTAGTTATACTTCAACTCAGGGGATCACTGTCGTACGTGAAGACATCGCCAATTTCATCTCTCAGAGAGATGGCCATCCAGCAGTATCCAGTGATATATATCTCACTGATGGAGGGGCCGAGGGACTTGAAGTAAGTGAAATACCCAGGAGACACTTCAGAGGATTTTGGGTGGGGTAAACCCCGACCTTGATTAAATATTCCGGGGTCTGTTAATAACAAACAACTGGGTCAATTGTCGTACTTCTATTATCGGACTCACGTAAACCATATTGAGACAGACTTTTTAGAATAGGATTTAAGAAAATTCGTACTACCACACATCTATATCGTGCTTTGAAGACAACTGTCACACCCCTCAGAGGTCCTCAGAGGTTTCCAGTTCAAAGACACATCCTGTCCAAACTAAATGGCAAGATTTTCTACCCTTAAACACTCAAGACCTCAAAGGCCATTCCCTGCTTGGCGGCGAAACCCCGTTTAGGTCAATGAAAGAAGTCCCTCCCCTTCAGAGTAGTGAAATCTTGAACCAGTCAGTGAATTTTCTCAAATGTAATTCAGTTTCGTGTTGGTTGTTACCAATACCAAGATACGGATAATTTTCACGAAATTACGTGTTGTATAGAAAAAACCACTGATTTTCGAGAAATTGATTGTCGTGCCTTTATTTGTCGGTTAGGTCTTGCTATATAACTACTGATTATTACTCGATCCTATAAATGAGAGATTAATTTTCCCCACGCGAGTTCGATGTCTGTATACTTAGTTTACCTCATCTAATGACGTTTCCTACCAGGTTTTTCTCGAGCAAGTTCAACACAATTAAGGAAGTATACTGTTCATTGAAAGTCCTTTAAGAGCATGATACAATTTTAAATAATTTTCCCCAGGTTATGTTGGGAATAGTTCAAATTGAGACTCATGAAGTAACAGGTCGTGCTGGAGTGATGATTCCTACACCAGGCTTCAGTATGTACCAAGCTAGACTACTACAACACAACTCTTATCAGGTAATGACCACAACAGAACGTTTAGTTATTTTTCGGGTAGAACTGAATACAAATGGTGTTTGAAAGCTTCTAGCGTCCTTTTGACGTGTACGACCGATGTACCGTACAAAGAAAAAAAAAGAGAAAAAACACCTCTACATGCAAAACCTTCTGATAATAATTCAATTCTTTCAGTAGAGACAACAGAAACATACGTGGAAAGACAAGTGCTGCTGTAGTATGCGCCTGCTATATGCAACTTCACACGGTGCAAGTAAAACTTTAAGCTTTAAAAAAATTTTCTGATGACCAATTTGGTGTCAACTGGCTTAGTCTGATTCAGTTCAATACACCGATGAGTTCATTTACCAGCATGAATGACTGACACGGACACGCAATAGAAATTCTGACAGAGTACCAAAAAACTGACACACATCAAATGCAAAATGAATGAGACCAACCTTCCAAGGCACCGAAATTTCTTTCAGTCTGTCAAGTTCTTCAGGTTTCCTCGTTAAATGTCAGGTATCTGAATTACATAAACAGCTACTTTCGCAAGCGCTGTGTTGCCCGCGGCTCGGCTGCATCCGGGCTCCATACCCGCCAAAAGTGTAGTGACGTCACATCTCTGCGAAAATGTGATTGGTGACTTCCAACAACTTTACCTTTCTGATACATGTCATCATGATTCATTACTTAACACATTTTCAATGCTTTGTCCAGATATTTTACCCTCTTGATGAAGATAATAACTGGGCTTTGAACATAGCTACACTCAAAAGAGTGTTGGAGGAAGCCAGACCGCATTGCGTCCCGAGAGCCCTTGTATTGATTAATCCAGGAAACCCAACAGGTAACTTTTGTAAATTTGACAAATTTCAAAACTTTTTTTATTCTGGAAAGAAAAAGTGTTAAGACACTTACAAATTCAATTTTCTGTTTTTTAGGACAGGTTTTGACTTATGAAAACATTGAAGAAATCATCAGGTTCTGCGCTCGAGAGAAGTTAGTGTTATTCGCCGATGAAGTCTATCAAGCCAATATTCATGTCGATGGAGTCAAGTTTCACTCGTGTAAGAAAGTCCTAAGGGATTTGGGAGCAGAGTACAGTAACTTTCAACTGATCTCGCTTCATTCCAGTGCAAAGGGATATGCTGGAGAGTAAGTGTACAGTATGGGTATACTCAAAAAGTTTGTGTCTATAATTACTTCATGTAAGACTTAAGATAGACTACAAAGTGTTGACCTGAATTGACATGAAACCAGGGAAACTCGTGTTATCTTGAGCGAAAAGTAGACCAGTAGCTTGAAGGGCGGTAATATCCATACAATAATTCAGCGAATAAAATTCCACAAAATAAACTACTCTGTCCACCGAATAATGATTTATTTGCTGGAGAGTGTCATGTCACCCACCTGGAGGCGATTGGGAAGCCAGGGGCTCACAGGGACGGCAAGAGAACACCATGCCCCCCCTATCTTGACCAGTAGTTGTCAACCAAAGGAGAAATCGCCAATAATATTTCATAAAATTGTAGTGTAATTGTCACCTCCATCCTGGATAATGAAGCGTGATATTGTTAATCTCGATTTTTTAAAGCCATTGAATACATAATTTCTTTCAGATGTGGTCTCAGAGGTGGATATATAGAGCTTGTGGGATTAAGTGAAAAAGTCAAGGCTCGTATCAAAATGTACCTCAGTGCAAGATCTTGCCCCTCAACAGTTGGGCAGGTACGATTAAGATAATAAAACGACATTCATATTAAGGTATATCGAAATCAAGGCTGAAATTGAAAACTTAAGAGAAAGGCCAGTGGTTCCAAAATAAATTATTCTCGCTCAGTTGTCTCAAAGGGAAAAAAGACCTTTAATCAGAAACAATTGGGTACGTGTATAGACAGAGATGAAAAAAATACTTTCAATTAGCGTTCTCGCATAAGAAAATATTTTACTACTATTGCTGTTACTATCATTATTGTTATGATCATTATTATTATTACTATTATTGCCACTATTCTTATCATAGCTGTTATCATCAAAAAACGGATTACCGTAACCTAATTATTTGCATTATTATTATCTTACTGACGTTTTTATCGATATTGGTGGGGAACGGGTTAATCGTTGAGAGCTAAGGTCAAAGTATGCAGTCCTGCCCCCCTCCCCAAGACGTTTTACTCAATAACTTTCCCAATGGCCTCCATAGAAACTTCAACGACCATTATCTTCTGCGTTCAGCACCCTCCCTCCCCCTTCGAAAGTTTCGCTGATTGAAAGTTCCACCGTTCCTGCTCCCTTTTTCCATCGCCACCATTACATATCCTCGAGTTTAAGCCAACTTCTCCTTTTCCAAGGTGATCATGGGGCTCATTTGCAACCCTCCTAAACCAGGAGATGAATCCTACGATCGCTTTTTAAAGGTAAGCATTCAAAATTACATTTTAATTCGATAAATTTTTGACGAAAGAAACTAAACTTCTTATTAACAAGCGTTCTTGAGGAAACTTAACTCGAGTAACGTAAGTGTTGGGTGTCACGCAGGATGAAAAGTCGCGCCAGAAGAACAAATTGGCTATACACCTAAAATTTTGTTGATTATGTATCATTTATGTTCGTTTCGAAGGAAAAAGAGACTGTACTGGATTCTCACAAGAAGAAGGCACAGTTGACAACAGAAATGCTCAACTCTATGGATGGGGTCCAATGTAATGAAGTAAGAGGAGCAGTATACGCGTTTCCGAGGATCACACTGCCGAAAAAAGCTATTGAAGAAGCAAAGGTAACATCACAAGCTCTGAGTAAGAATGCCCGCGTAAGTGTAGACACACCCAAGGGGGTCAAAATTTCTTTCCTCTTGAGCAACTTCGAATTGCATGTCAACATCACTTCAGCGCATGGCACGTCTACTATCAACGTGAAAATTATCAAGCATTAAAATGTTCAAAATAATGAATGGTGATCTTCAAACTGCCGCAAAGATAAAAAGCACGAAATTGTAATCGAGTATTTGAATGACCCTCAAATAGACCGACGCTGATCATGATTTGCTCCTATATACATTTCCTGTTTCTAAGCAGTATCACCTTGAACTTGTTACCAGTCGATCGAATCTGGATTCTATCTTCCCGATTATACAACCAGTTATCTTTTTCCCTTTTAGGCACAAGGAATGCCTCCGGACGAGTTCTACTGTTGGAGGGCTTTGGAGAAAACAGGAAGCTATTTGGTGCCCGGCCACTCTTTTGACATGAACGGGAGCGGTAATCATTACTACTTTCGGTGAGATATGATGCGTATTGTGTTTTCAGATTGAGCGAAAAATTCAGCCCGTTGAAGCCCTTGGTCAGCGGAGACAATAGAGGAATGGAGCAGCCAAAAATGGCAAGCACCTATGCCAGGCCTTTAGGGCACGTTCCGCTCTCCCACTTTTTTTTCCATTTTTCTTTCTTTTTTTATGCAGATTGTCTCACCCCCAGTTTGATAAGCGATGGCTTTTTTCCTGCGGGAAATATTTCCAGACTTCGCGATAGCGCGCCACGTACGGACTATCAGGCTTACTTGCGGCGTCAAAATTTACTCTTCTTTTGAAATTGGACTTAAACTTACCTTTCCCTCCATTTATTTTCTAATTATTATCTTTTACAGAATTACCATTCTTCCTTCAGAAGACAAGTTTATTCCTATGTTTGAAAGACTGAAAACTTTTCACCAAGATTTTATGACGCAGTATAAAGACTAAAAAACCAAACTGTGTTCTGAAGAGTTTGTACTTTGTTCTTGTGTGAGCTTCTCAGTAACTTCAAATTAAAAGCGAATTATAGTTTTTAATCTAATAGGGAAAAAACCTTTAGTCTAAGGGCAATCTAGTCTTGAGAGTACGACGGTTTTCGTAGAGAACTAGGTCTTGTCTAAAGGCTCCCGAAGGCGTCCCGAAAGTTCCGAAACCACCATGTCTATTGATGACTAGAGTCGTGACGCCATTTTCGAAGCACAAAACACGACGCTATAATTGTAACCAATCAGCAAGTAATGGTATGTTCAAAATAAAGATATTCTTTTATAGCCCCTAGGGGAACTAGTTATTTTCTTATCGCGGGGGGATGGGTGGGGTGGAGGAAGATTTTTAAGGGGATAACATGATTTTTCAAGGGGGAAGGAAGGGGAAATCAGTCGTCGCCAACAGAGTATAAAGGGGGGGAAGGACTAAAGAAATATGACTACCAGTCAGAGGGGATCATATGGATATTACAGGGCCTTAGAGGAGGATCAGGTAAATTTCGTCGTAACAAACTGTAGTCGTCCGACCCCCCTTTCACAGGTGATGAATAAGGATCAATCCCAAGGATACTTCAAAAGGCTGGTGATCCAATTTGATAACAAAAAGGGAAACACAAAGAACAGAGATACGAAAAGTAAATCGTAGGCAAATCTAGAAAAAAAGTCAGCAAAATTTCTAGTAACCAAAATTTGGAGTTTACCAGTGACGCAAAGGAACAGAATTAATGAATATTTCAGCATTTATGAAGTAGACTTCATATTACTATTTACATTCAGTACACCAGACGAACGATCATATTGAATTGTTGTATCTAGTATGTCATTTGAATAAGCAAGAAAATATTGGAGAAGAGCACGATATAGTAGATTTGTTATATTGTAAGACTTAAAATAACACAAAAACCCTCTTTCTAAATTCATTGGAACCCGTCTCTACTTAGTAGAGCCATAAATTAACAAGGTTTCAGGTCCTTCAATTGCGGAGTGATTAATATGTTTAAAAATTTTCAGTCATTTTTCATTCACGCGCACACAGTGCCTTCCTTTCCTCCTTCTTTCAATAAATGTTGTGACGTTATTGTCTTATGCAAAAAACACTCTTTTGCAAAACATAACAACAACATAAATCGAGGAGAGAGAAGAGTCGTAGGTTGCCACTTTTTCATGCTACGTGACGACTTGTCGTCAAATGAAGCTAAATTTTGACCCAAAAAAATTGGTCTTTAAAGAATGCTTCCACGATTGCCGATCCCTAGAAGTTGAATCCAAACAAATTTTCTGGAAAAGCAACTGTACGTGTTTAGTGTATGGTCGTGATGTCTGCACGTGTTAAATTGGTAGTTGATATCAGTATAGAGTAGAAGGTAGACAAATATCATCAGAGTGTAATCCTCGCTGTACAACCGGCAAGCTGGCCGTTTGTGCCACCAAGTTCCTAATGGCCTTTGAATTTATATTTTATGAATCTGGTCAGGTTTACCCTCGCAGCATCTATCACAGGGAAGTGGTCTCCCAGAGTTCTTCGTTCAGTCTTTATCTAAAGAAGAAACGAGTAACAGGAAGCTTTCAAGAAAATACGCACGAATTCGATTGCAATTTCAAATAATCTAATTCAAAGAGCTTCTTCATATCATATTGAGTTACTGTTACTGTTATCATCAATTTTTGGAGCGGCTTGGGTTTGAAGGTTCGTTGAAAATTCCCGTTAACTGGTAAAAATCGTTAACATTTGACAATTGAAACACTATCACAAATAGTCATTCTCGGATTGACCAATCAAACCGCTCCTTACCCTGCTCTTGAGGACTGGTACCAGCTCCACTAAGTTTGGCATAAGGCCAACTGAATCTGCAGCAGTGTTGACCAACGGTCCGTCCGCAAACGTATCAAAGACGGCGTCCAGCGCTTCAGATATCAACCATAAACTGTGATCACCGACAATGATGTCACGAAACACGACACCAAGGGACTGAAAGGACAACAGTAATCAAATTATCTTTGCAATCAGAATTTTTGAAACAAGAAATAACGTGAAGAACTTATGATTGATAAACATAAGAGTCCCAAGGAAGGCAATCACGACTGAATCTTCGAAATATGGATCTGTAAATTGCCCAGAAGTGAATAATCATGAGGTCAACTAGAACGAGAAGGATTTTTAAAAAAAAATTGGAATGTAATCCATCAAATCTTATAAGAGTTGGAATCGAAAAGTGTGGTTCTTTGCAAACTTCCATTGTGTACACAAAGCGTCACCACAGCTTCGAATGAGAAACGGCATCTTTGAATAGCAACCTTTCGACATGATAGATTTTATCTCATTTATTTGTTAAATGAGCTAGGAAGAATTAGATGTTTAACCTGCAAATTATGCGGAAGGAACTTGTAACCGTATATAAATGAAGTTATCAAACAATCAAACAATAATTTTGAGGCACAACGTTTGAAGATGAATTGGTACATGGCATTTTAAGAAGTTCATTCAGTTGAAATAGCACCTTATGCTCTGGGTAACACCACTGGCTTAAGTTTCTTTTCAAGCAAGATAATCAATCAACAACAGCTACATGTTTCCAGAACTCTTTCGAACATTATGCTGAATGCGCTAGACGTTCAAAATGATAGCCTTGAGAAGGGAAAAAAAAAAAACCAACGTACCTTTAGGACCTCGAGAGTGTTGTCCTTCTTGCCAGCCATCTTGCCAATGATTCCCAGGATGCTTAGCAGCTTGACCTTAGCAGCTTCACATGACGTGTCAGCCGTGATTCTACACAGTGTTGTCACATGTTCAGTCGTGATGCACTGTGAGAGATACGAGAACAACATAGTTGACCAGTTGTAAAAATATCAGAGTCTATGTGTAACTGAAGGATGTGGGGGGGTCTGGAGTACCGGTAAACCCCCTAATTTTTGTTAAATAATGAAAATAATAACAAAAATGGTGACAAAAATTTATAAAGGTACAAAATCCGATATATCCCAGATTCCAAACAGACGTTGGTGAAGTTTATGGCAAAGTCTAAAGGATACATCAAACTCCAATATGTATTTGAAAGATAGTTCTGTCAACCAGTCCGTTTCCCTCACTCTAATTCGTCACCAACTGAACATATTTAGCTCAGCTCATTTCGCAGTTTTTAGCCTTAAAGAGGTTTGATAAAGTGACATGCTCATCCTACCGACACTCCCACATTTGGGCTTGACAGGCATGCACCGCCCACAAGAGTATGGTTTTCAGAGTCTTAAATCTTAAACATGACGTTCCATTTTATTGGTAACCGTATTGAACAGGGTGTTTTTCTGGAGGACTTGAACAGGGCGTGGATGTCCATGGGCAGTAATTGCTAAGGGTTAGGGCTAATTCCACATATTCTGTCTGAATGTACTGCAAATGGCTCCTCGAGGCTGCAATGCCATCTTTTATTCATCCTTAAACATGATAGGGTAACGAGCAGATTTTGACCTTGCCGAGGTCTAGGTTTGGAGACGTTGGTGACACAAACGTCCCTTGTCTTACCCCACACCCCACACCCCCCCGCCCTTGGGGAGGGAGGTATTAGCACTGTTAACATAACCCAACCCAATACTCACTTGCGGCTCTTTTAAAGAGGACATTTTATCCATAATTGATCGAAGGACTCCTGTGGCGGCTTCTAAAAAGTCTTCCTCGCGGGAAACAAATACTTTGGCTAGAATGAAGGGAGGAACGGAAGATGCGAGACGTCGAAGGAAGAATGAACTTTTACAGACAATGTTTAAATTACCGTTGTTATTGTAAGGCGGAAGTGGTTATTTGAACACTGAGTTTAGGTTTTGGTTCTAAGTTTTTGTCACACGGTGAAAAGTTTGCCATTTTCTCTCTTACTGGTGTATACCCGACGAAACCGAATATAAGGAAGCTTGCTCGTAGACCTGATTTAGTTTGATTGTTCTGTCTCGCAATACACATCACAAAAGCCATTATACTTTTTTTTTTCTCCGCACTTACTGTCTGTTGTAAAGGCTAGAGAGAAAAGCGAATTCCAAAGTTGTCCCAATGCTTCATCTCCTCCCAGCAGGTCTGTATCCAAGGCTGACACAATGTTATTAAGGCAAATCAATGCCCTCGCTTGTACTGTGCTTAATCTGACAAGAGAAAACATTAACTTTGCAAGGTTAATATGCTACGAGAGATTCTATCTGAGAGACCCATCTTTGTTCATCCCCTGGGGGATGGGGGTCAGAGGATTTTGGTTTGTGATCTCCATGTAACTCTCAGTCAATTTTCTACAGGTCCCCCCGTTATATTCTGTTGGCAAACGACTGATCGCCCTCCCTTCCCCCCTGACAACCATCTGATATCCCTAAAAAAAAATCCTGCTTCCCCCAGGCCATAACAAAGGCCTGGTCCTATCTCTCTCTCAAATTCTATGAACTCTGAATGGTGATTTAGCGCTTGATTTAGCTTGAATTATATCAATCTTTTCTTTGGAAACTGACTAGATTCATTTACGACACCAGTCTGAAATTCTGATCTCTTTAGTATTTGTTTCTTCGGGCGACTTGACTCTTTTTTTTGGGCGACATTATTAAAATTTCGGGCAACATGACTCAGGTTTTGGGCGACATGACTTCGGGCGAGATGACTCTCGGGCGACTTGACTGTAAACCCTACTGACGATGGTTCTTCAAAACGAAATCGGGACGACAACATTGCAGAGCGTTTAGAGTGTGAGTACGGAATAGGCTCAAGGCTTCTGCCTCACGAGTAGACGGCAAGCAAATGCATTAAGATGCTGTGTAACAACCTCATACCGTGATTGAATTTCTCATTCACTCTAAACAAAGGCATGGGTATATTTGCAGTTATATCACTTAAAATCACTAACAACAGCAAGTAATTCATAGTTAGGGGCCTTACATGTGAAGCAGCTTCTCTCCGTCAGCATGAGCACTCAAAGCTTCATACATAGTCGCTTCGCCAAATGAACATTTCGAAAGAACCTGATGAGAAATAACTTCGGCGAGTGAGCAATTAACGATGGTTTTCAGTCTTGTATCTGATTGGTCGAGCGCCAGTTTTCTTCATAAAATCAAAGAGCGAGGTAGGCAAAACGAATGCATTTTCAGATTCTTTTCGATACTCAATTGCAAACCGCTCTGCTATAGAATAAACCCTCACCCCTGCCCTACGCTTTTGTAGCCCTCTGCCCACAGGGGTACGACATAAAAACATCTGACGATCAAGCTCCACAACTTACAGAAAATTATTTTCCTTTCGAACTCTTTTGAATGGCCACACTTTTCTTTGTTATGTAAAACTTCGGTGATAATTATTGTCTTCATTATATTACCAAGTCGAGTTAAACTGCTCCAAAATTCAGTATTAACAGAAAACTCAATCCCAAGATAAACATCCTTTCATGAAAAATAATAATAATAATTCAACTTACCCTTTTTGGAACTCCTTGCGTGACAATCGCGTTGATCATTTCCGTGGATAAACTTTCAGAATTCTATACAAAAACAAAACAGAAATAATTATAAGACACAAAATGTGTATCCATATTTTTAAAAGATGCCATCTTTGCAGCACAACCGCGGAAAATCTAACCATGTCGACATCATATTGAGCTGCCTCTTGTAGGACTTCTTCTTCATCAGCTGAGTCCAAGCTGATACAGTCATCTACATCTTCCCATTCGTCGTCATTAGAATCTGCAAGGAGAAAAATATATTCAGCGATAATTTGCAATCAGGAAGGGCTAGACCTAGAAAGTAACCTTGAACCCTGAGGCCAGCATTAGGGTGACGGTAATCACAAACCGTTAACTTGGTTTACGTTATGTGCGTGTGTGTTCGTGTGCAAGTGTGTTTTTCTAACTTAAGCGCAAACCTGAAGGAAACATACCGTAAACCATATGACTATCTTATAAGATAATAACTTTAATTATGAGTCATGACTGCAAACTGGGGACACTGTAGGAGTAAGAAACAAACTTGTAAACGTTGAGTAAAAAGACAAGTTAAGCAATAGATAAAAATACTATTGCCAATATTTACATTTTTAAGCTACGATGTGCATTAAAAGTAGTCAGCTCCACATTCTTCACTCTTAAGTCTCGACTTATCTGACCGTCTCACCCTCGTTTTATATTCTTTAAGACTGGCTATAGCTCTTACGTCTTTTGGTAGTCTATTCCATAGCGAGGGCCCGATATTCTTGACACTGTATAGTCTACGCGTAGCCGTAACCTCACCCTCCCCCCTAAGTGAAACATTTCCGTTTTATTTTGCGGGGGAGGCTAAATACCTTGCTATCCGTAAGTTACTGTATTCAATTCGTCAAGTTGTATAGACAGATGCCGTGATTAAAAATATCTGATATGTATGTTAGACAGACACCGGCCTTAAACTTAAACATGAGAATAACTATGCAAAGCTTCAACACTAAATCATAACTTTACATCTGACATTGGGTTCTGACCTTTGTTTTCGATTGCAAAAGAAGAGGCGTTAAATTCATAACTGACTCTTTAGAAAGTGAAGTCTGGAATTAATTTCCTCTTTTCATTTCCTGACCGTGTTTCGAACCTCTTGAATGAGTTGCCAAAACTGATGGTAAAGATCTGCCGATGGCGTGACACAGCAAGCTTCTAACGCTTATCTCCTTCACTGAGGCAAATAGGTGTCGAGAAAAACTGTTGTGCTGCATCCGCCGGTACGTAAAACACTACATGGGTTATCAAATATGAAGTAAATACGCAGTCACATCGAGTTTCGAATATTTTCCTTAATTTTTTAACTGTACACCGAACCGAGACAAAACGGAAATTCAGAATGACGTCTCTGGTCTCCATTGTTATGCAATAGCTCTCGTCTGGAATGAAGGCGAAAATTCAGTGACGGCGAAAACAACTGGCAGACGTTTAGCCCTTCATTTCTGTTTCGTTCCGTTTTTTATTTTTTATTTTTACACTCTATACCCTAAACGGTTGGTTTGTTTCATTACGTTGCGTAATGAAATTGCAAAGAGTACCCTGAAAAATGTTGGCAATATTGAACAGGATTTGAACCTGTGACCGAGCGATGCTGTTGCGATACTATAATCGACTCAGTCAACCTTTGAACTCCCAAGATCTGATTGTTAATTCTCCTCTCTAACTGCTATACATTTCCTTGAAAATTAGTGACGAGAATTAAGTGTTTGATCAAGATAACAACTTCTTCCTTTAAAGTTTGAGTATTCTCATCACCAGTTTACTGGATAATTAATGAGTATTATAAGGAGAAGTTAAATTTTAATCACTTATGGGAATTAAAGGTTAAGTAACCATTGGTGTTACGAGCCAGTGAATTGAGGACTCTTGTGTTCTTATATAAGTTATAAAATAAATCTACGAAAGGCAAAAGTTTCTGCCGTGTAGAAATTCAATAACCCGAGGAAAAAAAATCCAGAAAGTAATGTTTATTTATAAGTTAAAAATTGCGTTACTTTTGTGTCTGCCTCCCACGAGGAAATCACACCAGGATCAGTTACCCCGAAAACTGAAAGAAAATCAAACTTAAATTTCAGATTGTAGATGATCATAAGATGGCAATGCAAAGATTCTGTTCTGGACTCCTCTATCTCTTCACAGCTTTTGTGATTCTCATAAACTTATCTTCTTCCTCAAATGACCAATTCAAGTCAGTTCGGTTTCTCGTCGATCAAGATGCAACGGATATGGAAGTTAAAGAGTACGTGGATTATTTCGCCCGGCCCACTATATCCAGTCCCTTAAAGCAGTTTCTCCACACACCAAGGACACTATTCACTTTGGCCAAAGCAGCCGAAATTGCTGTCGAGAATTACAGCGAGAATTCGAACAGAATTTTCCGCCTCCGACAGATCCTTGATTTAAAAGAGTTGCGTAAGGACACGCACTACTGGTTTCATGTTCTGGTTTCGGAAGGCGACAAATTCCTTACAGAGGCCTCCTTTGAGGTCAAAATCTCCAATCATTCGCTTGAAGAGGAAAACTTAAACTGGGGCAAGTTTAGTTTCGGCGAATTCAAAGAGATTCGACCGTTTGAAGAAGAATGCGACCAACTAAGCAAACTTGCAAACTGTACATGCCGTTATCACGGCAGATGCGTTAAGGGGACAGCTCGTATTTCGCCTTGGCTTGCCTTCGCTCTAAAATCGCAAAGAGAGATTCAAATCGACCAGCCCTTCGATCAGATTCAAATGGTTTCCGTGCACAACGCCTTCAATGACCGAGCCGACGGGTATGGTTATGTAGACAACTGCCCCTGGCCACCCCCCTACCGACATCTTTGCTTGGATTTAGCCAATCAGGAGTTCAGTTTCACAGATTTACTTAACATGGGAGCGCGGGGCATTGAAATCGACCCGTGGTGGTGCTTCGGCAAAATGTTGATGAGTCACAATAACGATAAGGCGTACCGGGGGTGTGCACCGTGGGACAGGGAATTTGAACAAGGCATAAAAGAAATTGGCGAGTGGGTGCACCAGCCAAAAAATTACCAGGAGGTCATTCGTATATACTTTGAGGATGGGGCCAGTCACACCCAAGGCCATGACCAGCTGATTAATGGTCCAATTGCTAAATACCTGGGAAATAAAGTATTAACACCAATCGAGCGCCAGAAACATTTTCAAGGAAGGTGGCCGACCATGAAAGAACTGAGGGAAATCAACAAAACTGTTGTCTTGGCCGGATTCGGAGACCAACATGGCGGTGAGTACATTTTTGCCGGATATTGGATTGAGCAGACAAGAAACTCCTTCGCTGCCAGACCTAATTGTTCTGCTGTTAATCCCGATAAGCCGTCCAGAGTGTACTGCGACAGTACAGAATACCTATTTTTTTGGAATGGTCCCAAAGAAACAGGTGTAATTCAGGACTTTTCTAGGTACATGAAGTGTGGAGTGACATATCCAGCCGCAGATCAAGTCAACCCTGCTATGCTTGCCACAGCTGTGTTCACATGGGCTGAAGGTGAACCATCACAGCCACTGGCCGACACTTCCTGTGTAGTGTTGCGTGGGGAGACCGAAAGATGGCATCTGTGCGACTGTCAAGAAAACCATTTGTTTGCTTGTCAATCAAACAAAAATGCCAGCATCTGGGCGACGAGTGCCGTGAGAGGGCATTATGCTAAACCTGTCTGTCCTGATGGGTATTATTTCAGTATTCCTCATAATGGCCTTCAGCATCAGCAGTTGGTGAATGTGATTACAGGAAGAGATGTATGGATCAACCTCACTCCATACATTCCCTTACTGATATGATACTCAACAATAAGACACTTTATCTATTTTTTTTTGGAAGGATGATTATTAAATTAAAAGACTTAGAAAATGATTTAGTTCTAATCTTATATTTCGAGTTTTTCGCACACTTATACTTGGAGGCTTTTGAGGTACAGCATACACAAGTGAGTTTAAGTCACATGACAACGTAGGTGAGTTTAGTAACTTTACTTGAATAACTACGTGAATATTTAAGCACATTAAAAAAATAATTAGCCAAAAGAATTTGGTCAAAACCTCTTTGTAAGCTGATACAAAATGTACATGTGTTGTGGTTCGAAGTTTTTGTTGGTTTAACAATTTTTCACACCAGTTCTGTTCCTACTTCTTTTGTTTAAACAAATAATAACCATACTCTGAGATGAAAGAAAACAAAACCTACCATCCCCTGCCCATTAAAAACACAAAATGGGATGGCATGTCTTTTGCTAAGCTTTTTAACATCCATATGTTCTGAGACAAACCTCAGATGAATAAACCAATTAACATTTTATAAATAATTGCATATCAAGTATAAAACTTACCCTCAGGGCAGCATATGTTTGAGAGAATTTCTAAAGCAAGTTGCTGGGCATTCAACAGCATCTGTACATCTTCAATCTAACAAAGAAACCATTCAAGAAATAAGGTTTTTTCCCCTTCACCCTTTGACCTCCTCGAGTGACAACCATCTAATTTCTCCCTACAATATGACCTCTGAATCACACATCAATGTCACGAGAACAAAGGAAATGATCACCCACTAAAGAAGCTCTTGAACAAATTCTCCTTGTCAGCATCTTAGGAAATGTACAGAGAAAAGTAGTGAGAAAATGCAGATGGATGGTAGAGTGTAAAGGATCAACCCTTTAACTCCCAAGATCTGATTGTTAATTCTCTCCTCTAGCTGCTATGTGTTTCCTTGAAAATAGGTTAGAAGAATTTGGTGTTAGATCAAGATAACAACTTAAACCTGATAAGTTTGAATATTCTCATCACCCGTTTTCTGAATAATGTTTAGATATTATGGGGGGAAGTTCCTTGTTAATCACTCCTGAGAGTTAAAGGGTTAAATAGCACTACAATAATTCTCCTTAGCTCAATTGGTGAGGCATTACTCTGGAAAATCAGAAGTGACTAGGTAAAACTTGTGACAAAAAAAATCTGTGAAATTCAACACTTACAAAACAGTAATTTCCTCTTACCTTGGTGGGCTCTGGAAGGAGTTTATTGATGACATCAAAACAGTTTACATCAAGAACTTGGGCCAAGACTTTGACAACAGCCTGAAGGAGTTCATGAAAACTGACTGGTGGAATACTGTAGCGGATGTTATACAACACACCTGCATGATCATGAAACATCTGCTGAGTTACAGAATGCTTGCAGCTGAAGCACAACTATTTACATTACAAGCAGCAGTAGTTATTCATATCAACCAAAGGTTCTAGCTGAAATTGTGAGAAATTTTAACTTCCAGAAGTAACTGATGTGTTATTACTCCTTACAGTGTTGGAATATTAATATTTTGTCCAGCAAATAGTTGACAAGTGTTCAATTTTCGCAATTCACCATTTAAAATAGCACACATAGTTTCATTACAAAATTTAATTGCTTAAGAGTGGTCACACAAAGTAATAAGATAAAAATTTCCTTGTCAAGATAAAAATTAGTTTAGGCTATCAAAATTTAGCCAGAATACAATGGTTGATAGTTGGGGAATTATCTGATTTCCAATGCATCATGAACACTCACCCAATCATCTAAAAAACATTGTAACTCAGCCCAATTATCAGGAAACATACCTGCAGTCAAAACTTTTAACAGAAGCATGTCACTAGAAGACCCATCAGCCATGAGTGACTTTTCAAGGGTCTTCATGAGGTCACTTGAACAACAAAGGCACTGGGCAGCTGAAGAATTGTCTTCAGTGACAGTATGAAGGCATTGAGCTAATAAAAAAGATAAGAAATTAACACAATCTTACTTTTAAAGAAGCATCACTTACAAAGTAGTTGTGTATCAGTAATGGCATTGAGCCAGTCTGTTTATGCTTCAATTCCCAGGTGATCAACATGTATATTCTCTTAATAATAATAATTATTATTAAGAGAATATATCAGTTCAATACCTAGAAAAAAAAGTTATAAGAATAGACTAGCTTATCAACTTGAAAGTTTTATCTTAAATGTGACCATATTCTCTTAACAAATAAATAAGACAATATGAAGAAGTGGTAAGAGAGAATTACTCAATACATCAGGTCCTTGGAGAAAAAAAGATTGTTATTCTCCTCACTGGTAATTTTCCTATCATGACTTTTTAATATAAAAGTGACAGTTTTGACTTAAATCACTCTCAGGACTTTTGGAGTTAACTGCAGCACAACACAAATCAGTACAGACATAGTAGTAACAGTACAGAAGCTGACCTGCTGGAATTGCAACACTTGTTGGGTAAATTTCAGTCTTCAGGCTTGCAACAAGGTATGGTAAAAGACCCTGTTTGTTGAAAATATCCACAGCAACATCACTGCTTTCACTATAGAAAATAATGTCAGCAAAAAAATATATCCAAAGGGTTAGTTTCATGTGAAATTCTTGGAGACCTTTAGCTGAATATTTAGCAACCTTTCTTTCTCTCAGCAATGGTATCAGACAACAAATGCACTTTTAAGTGACTTTTTTAGTCTGTGATTCTCAGAAATTTATGAATCATTGCAAAACTTAAACAACAAAACAACACAGTTACTCTTGCATTTTTTCAATAACTAAATACTAACCTGTAGATGATCTTCACCATATATGTATAATAATGACAATTACACTTAACCCTTCACACCCTAATATCAGTATGCATATTCTCTTTACTGTTCTCCATACATTTCCTATGATACTGATGAGGAGAATTAGTCAAACAGTCAAAGCCTTTTTTGAGTGGGTGGTCATTTCCAATATTCTCATAACCTTAATGTTTGATTCAGCAGTGATGAAATACAGAGAAATTAGGCATTGGTCACTCTTGGTAGTTGAAGGGTTAATGGATTTTGATTCTTTTCATTTTCAAATTGAGTGACTTAAGCTATGCTGATTGTTGTGTGGAATCTTTACTCACCAAAGATTCCATAATAAGCTTACAGCCTGGATGGCCAAGCTTGTAGACTGTCTTTTAAACTCACTCCCTAGAGTCTCGTCAATGGCACCCAACGAATCAAGAGACTAGAAGAAAAAATAATCTCTCACTGTTCATTCCATATCAGGCTTGAATACCGAGACTGAGTGCAACCAAGGTAATGTACAGAAAGGCACTATAAATAATTATGCATGGTGCACTTATGGGACTAATTAAAATGAAAAAAATTATTAATCTTCTACAAGTTGAAAAAAAAAAAGGAAATATGATCACATAGCATACATACCTGCTGTACAAATGTGGTAAGTGGAGTCATGACATCTTGTTTCACCATTTTAATACACACCTCAGGACCACCAGAAATACTCAGATTTCTACATTAAGACAAGACACAATTTTTTTTTGTAAAGAAATTCAAAAGCTCCACGCTTCAGGATAAAAGTTAAGTGATTCTCAATTTTAAACCTAAAAAATGGCAGTTAATCAAGAATGTGTGTCTAGAAGAGGGTATGACAGGTATACTGTACCTTAATGTACCGGCAGCCCCTTCCTGAATTCCTCTATTATCATCAATCAGCAAGGGGCCAAGTCTTCTCACAATATCTTGTTGTAAAAGGGCTGGTATGGCTGCATGGTCAAACACAAGGTTGGCCAGACTGGCACATGCACACTCGCGTTCAGTAGAAACAGCACTTGTCAACTGTTATGTATGAAAAAAGAAACAATAATTTTACATCGGTTACCTTCATAGCCAGCCTGTCCAGTAAGTGGACAGTCCATAACCTAGTCATGCAGGGTTTCTGATAATATTTTTAACAGGAGGGCATGAGAATATGACACCTGAGGGTCATTTCTCAAAAGTACCATAACTTAAAGGCCATAAAGCTCTTCTGTTTTAATCAAAATGGGGGTTTCAAAAGTCTGGAAATTATACAATTAAATAATCAGCTAAAGAAACAAAATGGTCTGGTTGGGGAGCCACAACCTTCTTTGTGATTCTTTAAATCTTAATTGTAAAAATATGGCTTCGGACCCATTAAGTTACTAGGACTTTGAGAAACAGGTCCCTGGGTAGAAAATCTGCAAGGCCCATGGGGTTTTGCTTAGCTGGGATACAACTATAAAAAACATGACCAAGCAGCTGGAAAAAGTTCTGTTCAGAGATGGTCAGTTTGCCCAGAGCCTGGCTCATGATGAAACCTCTGGTCATGATGTCAAGCCACCACATTAGATCAGCAAGATCAAGGGAACTTCCAGAAGGGTGAAAAGTGTTGTAAGCATGGCTTTGCAAGGTATCTCAGGATGCTCTATTTTAACAAACATTGGACATCACTTTTCCAAAACAAAAAGAGGGATGACATACACCTTTGGAAACCCCTTTGCTTTGTCCTTGAAAAATTAAGTTAATTCTTAAAGATATTTTTCTTTTTTACACAAGCACAGCATCTAAATCCTAGATGACTTCTTTCTTGAATCAATAAGTGAAATTCACCATCACAAGAAAGTCAAATTAGTTTTTTTACGCTGCATTTTATCGCGAAAACTGTATACTACTTACTTTATTTTACGAGTGAACAAGGTAGTAAGTGAAAACCACTGAATATTTTCAAAGTACCGCTTTTAACACACAGTCTGTTAGATCAGACGATTTTTTACACACACAGTACATCATATGTTCAGCTTTGTTTATGTTCATGTCGCAAGTATTTCTTTGAGTTTTTAACACCTGTGTGAGATTATGCATCATACGTTTTTTAAATATTTTCCTTCTCTACCAGCCTACCTCTCGGTGAAAACTAGCAAAACTGCCAGTCTTCCCTGTAAGAAATAAAAGCTAACCTTTTCGACCAGAGGTAATGTTTTGACACCGACACCAGCATCCTTTTGAGCTTCACTTTCCACCTCTTTCACACTTGGAAGACCTGTGGCTCTGTATCGATATGACGAACGCTTCTTTGCTCTAGTCTTTCCCATTATTTATTGCGGTAGACTGGATATGACTGCCTTGAATTTCCAACAAAAATAACAACCATTTCATAACAAGTCAAACCGCCATTTTGTTTCGCAAGTCCATGTGCTGTTGTATGTGCAGCCTCTGACCAGACGCGGGCGTCATTAGGTTTGCCGTGACAGACTTTAGATCGCTACTGATGTTACAACTTTTTTCCGTCTGTTTTTCTATCATGAGTTACATTTGTTTTTCCTACAAGGTTTGATGTCAAAAAGCACCATCGAGAAGCTTATCAATCAGCTTTCACGAACCAGACAAAAACATTTGACTGAATAACTCCTCATTTCGAAGACGACTTGATACGCGAAGGGACGCGCAGGGACGCACAAGGACGTGCAAGGTAGATGAAATGTCGGTCACTGCTATCGACAATAGTGCCCTCGGAACAACTTTCACCGAGAGAATCTGACTACAAGACAAAATATGATTTATTTTCTCTCAACTAGCAGGAAATTTTTCTAGGAGAGGGGTGACTGCTTATCGTGTGAAAAAGTGTGAACATTACTGGCTGTGGTCGCGCTTGGAAAGTTAATCGAGTTATTTCTAATTAACAATTGCCAAAGTAATTTGGACGCTTAGCAGTTGACACCTCAGTGATAATATGGGTTGAGACTCAGGCAAATCGCGTGATAATGATTTCATATCACGTGCAAGAAAACTGTTATCTTACAAACAAGCTCGAACCGGTATTGACGAAATATTACTTTTTTATCTGAAGCCCCTCTTAGGAAGAAAAATGGCTTCGGGCATCCAATCGAAAAATCTTTACATCCGTAAATTCATTTTAATACTTCCTAGTGTCTTTGAGTCGTTGATCAGACGGTCAAATGTTAAAAAGAACAGAAAGTGAAGAACAAATAACTCTGTTGTTATTACATTTATATAAGTATTGCTATTTGCCACGTGACAATATCGTGTTGGAAACGTGACCTGACTTGTCACGCACTTGTGTTTGATTTCGCAAAAAACCAATAAATTTCTTTTACACGTGTACAAACGTACCATATCGAAAGCTGTTACATCGTAGCAGTAGAGAGTTAGACGGTGTTTTATTCGACTGACTCGAAAAAAGTGAAGCAAAATGAGTGGGACCACAATGCAAGGTAAGTGACGATATCGAAGGTGTTTTGCGTTTTCGAATCCAACTGAGTTTGGTCGACGACAGACATCTTTGCTCGTGCCTGAAGCAACACTATGATTGCTTGCTCGTTCACTGCGTATAAATTTTTTTTTAGTTTAATTCTCTCTTCTTGTCGAAACTGCCGGTTGACCTCGACCTTAAATGATTGTTTTTTCAACATTCGGAGTGCGTAAACTTGATACTCCTCATGCGGCAATAATCTAACTTCTCTTGTCACTTGCGGGTTCCCTCACAGACCACCTTTATTGAGGAAAGAATTCCATATGATTTTATCATTCGTTGTTTTGTATACATTCACTTTCAGAAGTACAAAATGATTCCACGTTTTACCCTGATAGTGCAAATAATTAAGTCCAAATTAGCATAAGCAAAAGCGTCGCTTCCCGCGTCTTATCTTACGCAATCACTGTCTACTTGGCCTTTATTTGAAAGGTTTATGTTATTTATATCACAGTGTTTCAATTCTTAAATTTTTAACAGTTCTTAATCAATGTTCGTGTGTAGTTTAACTTGCGATCATCGCAGAGAAACTGGCAAGCGGAACTCTTCGCGGTAATTGCGTAATTCTTGCATGTATAAACGCCAGGGCTATCTTTTACTTTTGGGTTGTCAGACAAAACTTCAGTGTGTTTAACATTCCGTTTAAAGTCCGCCCTTAAAGTGACGCCATCGTTAAAAAATAGGTATGAAATAATAATAAAGTCTTACAGTGCTAAGATGAATGGTTCTCTTATTCAAACTAGTTATCTAACGTTAAAACTGGGAGTATTTCACCAATTTTTCATCAGAAATATGGATGATCTTTCACGAAATAGTATTGCACGTGAGAGATTGGTAATGAGTTTTTATGGCCACGAGGCCGGAGCGAACTTTCCCGAATGCAAAACGAAATGTTTATCTAAACCTGTTCATGCTTTTAGGTTATTAGATAGATTTTCGGTAGTCTTTTAGTGATTCCTCTGTATCAGTTGTTTAATTTCCAAACTTCGGTGGTGAAGTGTTGTAGTAAAACAACACCCGAACATTTCCGAATCTTCTTAATGGCTAATACAAGTATGCGTGCATTATCCATTAATTATTGACATAAATTTCCACCAGCCGAAATTACATTTGGTTTGAGTGCAGTTTGTAGAAAGGTTATGGCCTCTCACCGCCTACCGAGTTTGTTAAGCAAACGATCTTTGATCAGATCAGTACAACTTCATTCGTTCTCTCTAGCTAACGGAAAATGCTCCAACGAAAGAATTCTCACCGGAGAAACGATGAATCCATTCGTGAAACAGATAGAGTATGCAGTCAGAGGGGCGATTGTTGAGCGAGCCTCGGCCTTGGAGAAAGAACTGGCGAAGGTATGGACTTGTATTATGTTTTTTCGGTAATTTTTAATTCATCTGATTACAAGATTGTGGAATGTGATGATTAACGAATACCCTTGCCATCTATTGTACATGCTTTTGCAAGAACGAAAGGAAGGCTGCCTTGATTGAATCGGAAACGCATCAACCCGCCAAAAAGTTATTATATTAAACAAAACAACGGGGTGTCAATAACTTTGAATTATTTTAGTTGGCATTCACGAAATCTGTCGGAATATACCGGATTTTATTTTTCGTGATTGGCGTGAGACTTTCATAAAATCTGTTTTTGAGAAGTTGTTGGTCTCTGATAAACGTGGTCTACGTGCTAAAGGCACGTCATAATTTTACTAAACTCATGTGACAAGTGGTGTGTTTGGGGGTGTGCCCTGACTTATTTTCCATGAGATAGTGTTGGAATGCAGATTTGACACAGTTTCAAACAAGTTTTCTTCAATCGCCAGTTGAGGAGCTGAAAGAATAAATCAATCATCACTGTATTGTTTTAATTTCTAGTTTTCAACCTTGTTACAGGTTGCCTCTTGACCACAAAAACAGGTCACAAATTTGGTGGAAATTCATTTGCCAAAATTTTTTTACCCACCATGAGAACAAAAATGGCAAGATTTCTGTACAACCCCCTTTTTACAGTACTTGGATGATAGAAAACAATGGAAAAACAATAGATAACCTGTGGGACTTCTGCTTTGTTTTAGATTAGAATGGGGTTAAACAGAAATATTTACCCTAATAATGTTACATTTGATAATTTATACTGGTGTATTAATTCCTGCTGCTTTTGACCTTTTCCCTTGGGATCTTACAATTGAAGATCCATATTAGATTTCCTATAAGATGGGTAACTCTTCTTCCAAATTGTTTTGTTTTTCTTTGTGAGGGAAGGAAGAAGCTGATGTTGTATTAAGCTTTAGTCCAATGGCCTCTTTGATTTGTTAATATTCTAGAGGTACAACTGACAAAATAAGTTTATCTAGAAAATATCGTTCAGGGGGTGTACAGCTGCTGTAATGTAATAGGTTCAAGAAGGATCATATTATGTTCACCAGGGTCTCAACAGATTCTAAAATAACAAGATAAATGTTGGATGATTCTAAACCATTGTCTCTCTTCAAAGAGGATTATCTTAGTTGGATCTCAATTGTCTCCTTAATGTAGGTCTCAGTGAACACCTTGGTAGGAATTAATTAGCTAGTCATAAAAATCATCGCCTAATTGTACACTTATAAGAGGCCAGTAAAGCAGAAGTTTTGCCTACTGACTGCAATATGAATGGACATTACACTTACTATGCAATAAGGATCAACTATGGTAGTCCTTTTTAAAATAAGATAGAGATGCTATATTAGGAAACATTTCCTGTGCTTTTTTAGCCCCCTTTGTAAGGATGATAAACACAATTTCACATTTCTTGACATTCTTATTTTTATAGTGGGTGAGAAAGATAAGTTGCACTAAACAAAAAACTTACAATTTTGTCACTTCTCCCAATGCTAGCTCTCAGAATTGATCGCTAACTCAAACAACATTTCTAAGCTGAGTTGATGGTTTTCTTTATTCTCACTAAGTGTTTACTTGATCATATTGTGGTATTATAAGGAGAACTTACTTACTGGTCATCTACAGGGTGCACAGAAACCTTTCAATGAGGTAATAAAAGCAAACATTGGAGATGCTCATGCCCTTGGAATGAAACCACTTACTTTCCCACGACAGGTCAGTGCAGCCTTTATTTGTTTTTCAAGACGCTATAGTGGTTCTTGATGGTAGATTTTGCTACAGATGATTTTCCATCAAGGGTAAATAAGGGTAATTATCTCACATTTTTTATTTTAACCAGATCACAATCTATTCTGCTCTTAAATTTAGAGACAATCTGTAGGTTTACCTTAAGGGCCAAGAGACCTCTGGTAATAATGGGATCTCTGTCTAGGATTGGTGTCCATAGAGAAGGGTTCAATAATGCTACCAGCTCCACTGTTTCACAGCTGTGGAGTCTAAATAAATACCAAAATGGTTGATGTATAATTTACTGACCTTTCAACACAGACTTACCCTTAAGTAATTATAACATTATTAACTCCTTTTTAAAATCACAAGTTCTTGTGTTTGTAGGTTATTGCCATGTGTGTATGTCCAGAACTTATTGATACAGCTGACTTTCCTTCTGATGCAAAAGCAAAAGCCAGGAGTATACTGAATGCTACAAAGGGTCACAGTATGGGTGAGTTTTGTCAGATGGTTGGTTGACAGCATACCATTAATGATAAGTTTTAATTTTTCAAACTTACTCATCTAAGGGGATCAGAAGAATGGGACCTGATTGTTGATTCTCCTTTTCTTTGTCAGTTAGTTGTAAATGTTTGTTGTTAGATCAAGAGAATAATTTCTACCTGATAAGTTCGAGTATTCTCATTACCTGTTTGCTGGATAATGTACGAATATCACAAAAAGAAGTTACAAGTTACGCATTAATCACTTCTGGGCATTAAAAGGTTAAGTGGCTGGGACTTAGATCTTCAGAGTTGATCCCAATATCATTTGTTCCACATTCTTGCTTTCTTTATTCAGAATGTGGAACAGGCTTGATAAGCTTGTAATACTTTTAGGATTCCGAAATATAACATGGTAGAATCTCATTATAGAATTAATACAATTGTGTTATTTCTTGTAGGTGCATACTCAGATTCTCAAGGTCTGGAAGATATTCGGAAAAATGTGGTCAAATACATCAGTGAACGTGATGGTTACCCATCAGATCCTAGTCACATTTACCTCACAAGTGGTGCCAGTGAGGGTATAAGAGTAAGCCAATTGAAAATAGCTTGTCTAAATTACAACCAGAAGGGATGGAAACTTTCTTACAGGTCTAAGTTTTGGTCACTCCATCCATTTTGACCTGGGAGAGAAACTGAATATTCTTGCATTTTTTTTTCTGTGAAAGAGGAGAAGCTTAAGTTTTTTCACAACATTTTAGATAAAAAGTTTGGGCTCAAGCCAAGTAGCCCATTCAGTGAGAGTTTATCTCAGTTTCCTTAGCATGCCAGTCCATGGCAATGTTACCCCTGGCATTTCAACAGGCTTCCTTGACTATTCACCAGTACCCATTTACTGTGAGAATAAACTGTTTTGCCCAAAATCACAACACATTGACTCAACAGGTGACCCAGACCTCTTGACCCAGAGTCCAGTGCTCAAACCATTAGCAACTTTTAATTAAAGTGACTGAACTGCTATATTTGCTTTCAGTTTACTACAAACAGAACTTGATATCTACTTGAGAGGCCTAGTGCAATGTCACTGATCTTTAACAGCCCGAACAGCACTTAATATTTATGCTTATTGATCTCAATGTTTATTTTTGTAGTCTATATTAAAATTACTTCAAACAAGTGTCAACACTGGAAATAACAGGGCTGGTATTATGATTCCAATACCACAGTATCCCCTCTATTCAGCGACATTGTCTGAGCTGAACTCTTATCAGGTAACTCGAGGTCAATTAACCCTTTACACCCTAATATCAGTATGCCTATTCTCCATACAGTTCTAGTTACATTTCCTAAAGTGCTGATGAGGAGAATTGGTTTAACGTGCAAGAGCTGTAATTATAAGTAGTGGACCATTTCCTTTATTCTTGTGACTGTGCTGTTTGATTCTCTTGGTTTATTCCTAAATTTTAGATTGGTTAAAATGGATTTCACATACTTACACACAGCATTGATGTTTTATTATTGAATTTTTTCTTTACAGATCAACTATTACCTTGATGAAGCTAATGGATGGGCACTAGACACTGAAGACATGAAAAGGGCTTTAAATGAGGCCAGACCTAATTGTATACCACGTGCTTTGTGTGTCATAAATCCTGGTAATCCAACAGGTATTAGAACCTTTTTAAAAATGATGATGAAAATGAAAGTAATGATAATAGCTAAGTTGTTAAGATGTAGAAAATTAAAAATAAGGCTGTCTTGTCCATCTTCTCCGCACTTATCTTGTGGTGCTGACAAGAAAAATTTGTTTGACAGTTAAAGCTTAATTCTTAGGTTGGTGATCATTTTGTTTATTTTAAGGTCTAATGAATGATTCAGCAGTTTTACTGTAAGGAGAAATTAGAAGCTAACAGTAGTCACTCTCAGGGTTTTAAAAGGTTAAGAAAAGTGTTGAAGGGCTGAACAGTATCTTCGAGTTAAAGTTAGTTTGAATAAGTGCCTCAGCAAATTTACCAGTGCCGAATGATAGAGCTGGCTCACCGCCTTCCCCTCCATGTGATAAGTCACCTTTGGTGGCATTGGTCTTGAAAACCCCTGCTGTAAACCTCAACACTCTGGCTTGTATCTTTTCCCAATCTGCCAACTAAGTGGATCAACTTTTTCATCCTCAGGGCAAGTTCTTTCTTATGACAACATCAAAGACATCATTAAATTCTGTAAAGATGAGAAACTTGTTTTACTGGCAGATGAGGTAGGTGTGCTCTAAAAACTTGTCTCTTTAAAGTTTCTCAATAATTTGAGCTGGCTTACTTTCAATTGTGCATAACCTGTTTTAGTAGTTGATTGAAGTAATTCTTTATTCAATGCAGGTAACATTTGACAGTTATCAATTAAAACTGATCATCTCATGACCCTCACACTACAGATACAATGTTCCACCAGAAAAAGAGCAAATTTTTTTTTAACTAGGCACAGAAACTATAGTTACACAATTTTTCTTGAGTGTTGGGTTGTTGAGTTGGCTACTGTTGTCAAGGCTCTTTTGAGAGCCGTCATCATGTCATCTTGAATTTTCTTTCCTTAGGTCTACCAAGCAAATATTTATGGAGAAGGTGCCAAATTCCACTCCTTCAAAAAGGTCCTTAGAGACTTGGGCCCAGATTATGAAGACTTTGAACTGATTTCATTCCATTCAACATCCAAAGGATTCCTTGGAGAGTAAGTCAATGGCTCCAATTCTTAAAAATAATTTTAATTAGTGAATGGTACTCTTGCCCAGCCATATTTCTTACTGCCTGTAAGATAGTAATGAAGAATACTTTTAATTGATTAAAGTTATCATGAATTTGGATTTAAATTTATCACTAATATTGGAGTTTTACTGATTCAAAAGAAATAGTAAAATTGTACAGATAAAGTATAAGTATGACAAGAATATAAGTATACAAAATCTGGGTTAGGAACTTGGTTATATTGTTGTATTGTGTTAGACAATGGCCTTGTTGTTGGAATTCTGGAATCCAAGAGGTCTAGGTTTGAGTTTTGACCAAATTTGTTTGATACTCTGTCCAAGGGTACATGTATGACTAAGTGATTTATGCTGAACTAGCTTCTCATTTGGAGTGAGCAAGTGAGCTGATGACTTATTGCATACTGTCCTTTGTGCTCTGTTAGATGTGGCTTTAGAGGAGGTTATATGGAAATTACAGGAATGGATGATGAAGTCAGATTTCAGTTGAAAAAGATGATGTCAGCAAAACTTTGTGCTTGTATCACAGGACAGGTGAGCCATTTCCTCTCCTTTCAGTCGAAGTTGGTGAATGATTACTGTTTATTTATTTATTTTTTTTTAGTTTATTTTGTTCACTCTTCAGCAGTTATTGAAACAAGTTTTCCTAAGCTACTTTTTTGTCATTCTGATCCTTTTTGCTCAGGCAATGATGGACTGCTTAGTTAGTCCGCCTCAACCTGGTGACATATCATATGACACATTCATTGAGGTAAGGGAAAGCAATTGCTTTAGAGACAGTGTTGTGTGGCTTTTGGCAGAGATTTTGTCTAAAGATATTGGCTATGCAGTGAAAAATGTTCAGATGATTACATGAACTAAGAATCATTTGTTAAAATGACAGTAGATATGTAAGCAAAATAATTCTGTGCAACTTTTGGGTCTCACTAGTCTAAAAAGATTGATATAAGTATTCTTCAAGTAAATTTATTTCCCTGAAAAATAGATATAGCATTGGTCTTGTTGTAAAGAACTGCAGCTGAACTTTCATCTGACAAGGAATGTTGCTGTGTGTGTTGCTTTTGTAAACACAAATTCCTTTGAAAGTAGTGTGGCTGGGACAAAATAATTGTTGTTACCAGGTTCTGGCCTTGTGTAATCAAATAAGCACTAGTTAACCAAGAGAATATTTCAACAGTCAGTTAGTTGCAATTAAATTTTCACAGCTACACCTGTGTCTAACTCATATAATTTTAATTGCTAGGAGAAAAAAGCAGTGCTTCAGTCATTTAAAGACAGAGCTAAACTGGTTGCAGAGACATTCAACTCAATGGAGGGTATTAAATGTAATGAAGTTATGGGTGCCATGTATGCCTTCCCCAATGTGTCAATCCCTAAGAGGGCACAAGAAGAGGCAAAGGTAAATGACAATTATTTGATATGAACATTAGATGATCTTGTTCTCGAAATAAGAATTCTGTGGTCTCCTTTGCAATGCACTCTTCAGAGTGAGCATGTTGTTTGACAAATCCAAACATCGGCTGTGACCTTGATTCTTGATGATGAATTTTTTACTTTGATGAAGTCCTCAGATCAGGTGGTCATAACATTCTTGTGACAGTCTCCAAAAATGGTCCTTTTCAGAATTATCCTCACCCTGAATCACACTACAATAGGAGAAACATTACAGTGTTTTTACCTTCCCTTTATTAAACTCCAATATTACCTAATCTCTGCACTGTTCTTTACACATTTCTTATGGAACTGACAAAGTAAATTATTTTTAACAACTAATACCTTTTTTAGTTGGCAATCATTTCCGCTATTCTTGTGAGCTTAGTGATGGATTCAGCAGTGATACTGTCAAGAGGAATAAGATACTTGAAGCTCTTTGGGTTTAAGAAGTAAATGTTGATTTGCTCATAATTTTTTCCTCCTTTTGTTTAGTCCAGAGGTATGCATCCTGACAGTTTTTATGCTCTGGAGTTGTTGGAGAAAACAGGATTGTGTGTTGTACCAGGAAATGGTTTTGGACAAAGAGATGGAACATTCCATTTCAGGTAGGGTGGTGCAAGACATTAGGACATTAAAGATTAAAAAGCTTCCACATTTTATCTCACACTTTAACACCAAAAATACAAAAACTTTATGTGAATTCAAAGGTTTTTTTCCTCTGGTTGTTTTTCAGGCTGACAATCTTGCCTCCCATTGAAGCACTCAAGCCTCTGTTTGAACGTTTTAAAGTCTTCCATCAAGAGTTTATGCAAAAATACAGAGATTCCAACTCTGCCTTATAACTCAGTGGGATTGAGTTACTAGGATTACTAAATTTTGTAATATAATTTATGATATGTTATTTCTTGGATCTGAATGGGAATGTTATGTAGAATACTTGCCTTTTCTGGTTTATGTGGAAACATTAAGCTGCAAAATAAGTCACTTTCAAGATGTCTAAAGTATATCTTTAAAAGGAAGCCAATTACATTGCCTTCGATCTGAGAATGAATTTTATTTCAAGCAAAGAAAACTCATTTTCATAAGACTAAGTTCTACTCTTGGCTTTATTTTGAAAATGAGGGTATGAAGATCACTGAAATGGCCTGTAACTAGCATGGGTTTTTTTTACTTGAGAGGGTGTGTAGCAGTATGGAGTCTTTGTTGGATAAGTAGCCACTCAGAAGGAGAGAGAGAATACAGAAAGTGGCAGAGGATGGATTACAGTCTGGAAAAAAAAGTGAGAATTATAAAGTGAATCACAACAACGAGCTTCCCCTTGCAATTCTGAAGTGTCCAAAGATCTCAAGATGGATAGTACAAGTACTTATCAAGACTAAAAGTACCAAATCAAACATAACTTTTTTTTGTAGTGTTATTGTAAATATAAAGTTGAAGTTAATAAGGTTGAGGTTTTCCATTGTGGTGAGAGAAAATTATTCTCAAAGTTTCCAATTAGTGTTTGTGTCACAGTGAGGTCAGCTGTGACAAACAGTAGATCCCAACATTTCATCAGCATACTGGTAACTTATCGCACACGACAGTTATCATTGTTCAGTTGAAATGCCACAATCTACCATCTGGCCACAGTGTGACAAGAAACATTGATACCTCATAAATAATTATGTGTTGCAAGCACATTTTGTTACCATCAACGTTGAACACTTGAAATATTTATTATGTGTGCATTACAATTAAGATTAAAGCATTAGTTTAATTTATTATATTTATGAATTAAAAAGTTATTCACCAGATGTACATCAGATCAATCCCAAATGCAGTGAAATTCAAGAGACAAGGTTCAGTGCATCTTTAGATGTTTGTTAAATCAAATTTCTTTTCACTTGGTTGCTTAACTCTTGGGTAACCTTCAACTCCCATAGGTGACCAAGACAGAATTTTCCCTTTACAACATCAATGTAATATCAGGCAGACAAGTGATGAGAATTGAAAAAAGTGTCAATTAGGGGATTATTAATTGTTTCAATACCAAATTCTCCAAACTGACCAAACTAATAATTGTATAGCAGACAATAGAGAGAATTACAAATGAGATTTGGGAACAAATATTTGTTCCCCTCACAGTAATAGGTGTTTCTTTTGAACACCTCCACCTGTCTTGACATGAAATGGCTCAATACTTTCCTTTAAAACTTCAATCAGCTTTTGAGACCCCCTCCTTGTAAGAGAGGTGGCAGTGACCCTGCTTGCAGTTTGTGTAGTTGTTCTCTATAAAAGTATATTTTGTATCAGTGATTTTTTTTGCCACATGAATGACCATAACTATCAGCTTATTTTCTGAGGTTTCCATGACACAACAGCTTTCGCGTAAGAAGTAAACAGCATGCTTCCCCATAATTTTTACCTCTTTTTAAATAGGTGAGGAAATTAAACAGCAGTTTGCTTCATGGAGTGTTTCTGTTCACATTGCAACCACACGAGGCCCACAGATTACACCAGAAATTTTGAAAGTAATGAATAGCAAAATGATGCATGCCTGCAGATTGAGTGGATTAGTGGAGAGGGTGTTGACTCTGAAGTAATGAGGATAGGGAGTAGTCAGAAGATGGAACCAATAGTGCCACCCAGCTTATTGTGCATTTAATGAGTGCAGTGTACCAGAAGGGACCCATTGTGTCAGTGTGTTGAACCAAAATTAAACAAGCCAATCTTCTTGAGAGGGTATCACACAACACTACCCAAGGATAGCAACACTATTGAGAGTACAATTCATAACTTAAAAAAATTCATTCTCTTCAGACAGCCAAATTTCACAGCTAGACTGTACCACACTTGCCTTAGCACAGTGTGAAGCCACATTGACCTGAACAATGACCTGAACAGTTGCCATCCATTCAATCAATTTTGCCTTTTACTTACAAGTGGCTTTTTGTCTGGGATTTTGAAACATCAGTCATCATCATCATCACACTTTACAATCTTTTACAGGATATCCTTGACCTTCATGTTCACAACACATGGACAACAACTGCCACTGACTGGCTCAAGCTATTTACTGCTTCATTTCTATAACCCTTGGACAACAAAACTAATTTTTACTTCTATATATAACAAGAAATATAAGCCTAAAAGACAAAAATAATTGTTATCTTTTCTTGCCTAATGTACTGCAAAATGAATTTTTGATCAAAATGATTTCAACTTCATTGACTGACACTTTCCATTTTTAACCTTTTATTTATGATTAAAGTAACTGATCTGGAACAAGCAATGTCTGACAAGAAAACTAGTTTTTATTACTTTTATATACAATAGGAAATCTAGCATAAAAGACAAAAATAATCATTATCTTTCCTCCAAACATTCTTATCAGAAAACCTACAATTAGGCCCATGAAGTATTACAAACCTGGTAAAGTGGCTATTTACAAGTTACAAAATTATATTATGCAGTAGCAAGGAAAATATGCTTGTAAAGTTTACTATTATTAATAGTTTTGAAAATACATTCATTTGTTGATTGTATCTAAATACAAAGATCATAAAAATTACCACAATTTATATCATTAATAAAAGCAATTAATTGACAATAGCAACTTTGACTTACAGTTGAGTACTTACTATTGTTCAGTTGGAAGATTTCAAAGCAAAATGTGAAGGACCTGCCTTCATATACAATCTCCACTAAATATTTACCAACACACATTTTGTTTTGTTGTAAACTGACAAAATTATGAAGTTGTTTCAATCTTAGATCAGTTTGATTCACAAAAATGAGGAATTGTTGATCATATCTGCAGTCCACAAGACCATCTTCGTCCATCAACTGATTTATAGTTCGAACTTGAATCTAGCCTCATTTGTAAAGCAAAAACTATATACATATAAGCTTGAACTGTGCAAATGTAAGCTTATTTCATACCTAAATTTAATTTTAATAATAAATACTATACTGCTAGTAGCGGGACTTTACATGCCTGCTGTACTGCAAAATGAATTTGTGGTCAAAATGATTTCATTTTCACTGACTGACATATTCCACTTTTACCCTTAAGTGATGATTATGATTAAGGTAACTGATCTGGAACAAGCAATATCTTTCATTTATAAGTTATACTCTTAATCATATCTAGAATAAATGGCTTTGATTGGTCAACTGCACATCTGAATATCATGTTATTAATGCGTAATGACACATTCAATCATCAAATACAATATTATTACCTGTGAGTTAGAAGTTTTTTTTTTCCTGTTTTTCTGGTATCAGCAAAAGAAATCAAAGAAACCACATCCTAAAATGTTACTAATGAGCAGGGTTCTTCAAACTTTTCTCTGCAAAATTTGTTACTGATGCAATCAATAATGTGCATTTAGCAGCCAAAGAGGGAATTATACCAAATCATTTACTTTGCACTCCATGCACTCATAACTTCTCCTACTCTCTCACCTAAATTGAAATAATTTTGATATTGAAATCATTTCAACCACAACATCCATCTCTATATTACACATACTTCATGCATGACTGTGACATCATTTTTTGGTTGATGTCACTCAAAATAAGGGAGTACATCTCAGCTTTTTCACGAGAAATCTGCGGCATGACGTCCACAGGTTCTTTGTTATCAGATCCACTAGATGTCTGATCTTCACCATCATCATTTCCATTCTTAACTGACTTGTTTGGGGATAAAAGGGATTGTGGTTTTGGCTTATTTTTGGAGCCTTTTGGGCGACCTCTCTTTCGTTTTATTGGCATGCCATCTTCGTCAAGCTGAACTGGCTGCAAAGAGAAAGAGTTTTGTTCAATAAGACATTTATATCAGTCTGTAATATCACTAGGTCATTTTACAGTTGTGTACCTAGTTGCCACATCTTTGATCTAGAGCAAAGCTGAAGGTGACCTTGTTGTGATAGAGACCAGTATCTAGTTAGCATGATAACAAAGTAATTTACATTTGAAAAGCAAAAATGTTTGTATCATAACAAGGTCACCCTTAGCCTCACTCCTGTTCAAAGGCTTGGCAACCAAGCACACAACAGTTAGATGGACTGATACCCACTCCACACCAGGGTTTTCAAGCTGGAGGGTCAAACAGAGCAAGAGTAGATGTCACCATGTAGTCATGCCTCTTGAGCAGCTGTTATCTGTTCCTTCACAATCTGAGCCCAAAGCCACACCATATAACACCAGAAGTTTTGCACCAGCCCTATATTTTTGCTATATTGCACCTGGGTTCTTTGACCCATTCACCAATTCCTCTAACTGTCTAACATACAATTCTCATGATGTTAGTTTGGAGAATGTGGTATTCCATCAACTAATAATCCCTTGTCCATATTTCATTTATTCTCATCACTTGTCTGCTTGACATTGTATCAATATTGTAAGGAGAAATGGTGTCTTGGTCACTCATATGAGTTAAAATGAGTTAAAGGGTTAATGTCCCTGGGTAATCATAACTGTGAAGAATCTAAGTGAACTACAGTTGACAATCCTTATTCAAGAAGAGTAGCTTTTCTAACCATTTGTGGACATCATTTTAGCCCTGAGAATTTAAAATTTTTATAAAACAATATTCCTGAGTTGGGAGTTATCTTTCTTTTCATCCCCTTTCACCTTTTAAACAACATCTCATTTTTCCTTACAGTTACACTGCTGAATCATTCAGCAGATCATAAAAATACAGGAAATGATTACTATCCTGAGAAGCCTTGACTGCTTTAAATATGAATTCTCTTTCTCAGTACCTCTGTAAAGAGGAGAGATTGGAGAATATGGATACTGATCCAAGGGTGTTGAGAATTAAATGAACCTTCAAGAGTTACTGTCAGTACAAAATATCTACCTGTGGTTGTGGATGAATAACTTCTCCTGTAACAGAGTCAGTCTTAACTTTGTTCTTTGATCCTTTTGGCCGACCTCTCTTTTTGGGAAGAACCACACCATCAATAGTTTGAGGAAGCTACAAACCAAAACACAATTATATTTAATTCATTGCATGTTCAATTTGTTCTTAGACAAACACTACATACAACAAAGTATTCCCATTAATTAAAAGTAATGATGCTGAAGAAAAGTTCCTCTGAGCTCACAATGGTATGGCCCACCCCTGCCACAGCTTGTCCAATTTTCTTTCCCATCAAGTGACACAAAGAGCATTGCTACCCACACCCCCTGGACTGTGATAACACTCCAATGCAGATAAAGTACCAAATTTATGCTCTTGGGTGGTGAGGAGCTCTGTTAGATAAAAATGTTCTTTGGCAAAGAGCAGTCAGCAGAATGATTGTGCCAAGGTTCAACCTAAAATGACCACCACACCAACTTATAACTCCCAATGAAAAACAGCATGAACACATCCAAAATAGCAGTTCTTGCATTACCAAAAAAAAAACCATGTTTTTTCATGTTTCCAGATAGCAAACAACAAAAGGGAAAGATTCAAGACAGAAATGTGATTTTTATCAAGTGAAACATGAACTTGTACTGATTGGCAATGCACAAGTTAAGGATGGAAACAGTTATGTCTCATACCTGTGATATCTGTGATATCTGTTTCTCTTGTAATTTCTCAATTCTGACAGTATCTTTCTGAGTTAAAGGAAAAGGCATCTGGTCTTTGTTGACCCAAACAAGATTTTCAGGGAATTCATAATCAAAATCTGGATTTTCTTTCTTAGGCCTCTCAGGACGGAGCCTTTTGTCACGTTCTAGAACATTCACATTCTCTCCTGTAAAACCAAAATACATTTAACGTTTTCAAAGAAACCTTTATCTTAATTGATCCTTTACTTCACCAAAACAAAATTCTCCTTACTGTCTGCCATACCTTTCCTATAAATTCTGCTCTGAGAGTTGGGTGTTGGATCAAATGATGATGGTACAAGGAGAAATTATGTATTGGTTACTTCTTAAGGTGAAAGAGTTAAAAAAAAAATAGGAGATAAATTAAACATTGAGAACTAGGAGACAAATAAAATTCATTTTAACCTTCTTTTTTGACTTGAGCTTGATGCAGTTTTCGGCTGATAAAAATGTGGCCACATGGACATGATTTGCATGCCACAGGGAGCTGATGAAGCAAAACACATGAGGAAAGCTATCAACACTTTAGTGGTTTCTAAATTTTTACCATAATCAACATTTATCAATAACAGAGAAACCAAAGAACTGATGTTTTGCAAAAATTGTAATAATTGAAAATTTGAGCACTACAAATATTGTTTAATTTGCTACTATGACAAGAGGAGTTAAAATCTCAACAGTTCAGATTGAAAATAAATTCTACTCAGTTTAAAGTCTTTTGAGGAGTTCTACAGGCCTTATAGCAATATTTTTTACAACTTTAAACAGCATCATATACCCTTTTGACTTAATTATCAACTAAATACTGTCTAGAACTCTGTAACTTTAGGGGAGGTGGATCTTTCAAACTTTTCAACTTCAACCTCAGAGTCATCAATGCCTTTGGGAAGTTACAAAGTCTCGTGATTGCACAAATACATTTCATCAAGGAAACAAATGGTACAATGGCTTATTTTTCCCTGAGGTCACCACAAAGACCTCTGTGTCTTGATTGGTTTTATATTTTACCAGTCACCATAAAATGAATTCATATGGATCATCGTTGTAATATTCAGTGCTGTCACTAGTTTCCCTGCTAATTAAGAATGATTGAACTGACACGGAAAAATAATTACAACTTTAAAAATATAATTTACCGTCCAAAAAATGTAAGAACATTCTCTTAAGAGATCTGACTTGACAAATTATTCTTTTATCTTCTACAACCCGATAAATCTTCAACATTTGAAGTACTTTAATATAAGACTTCGCTTAGTATTCCAATATTGATACAAATAATATCTAATCATAGCTTAAGATCTAGATTAGACACAAGGCGAATTTTTTTTATTTTGGAAATGTTCGAATCTAAAATACATTTCCGACAAAAAATTTCAAACAAACGATGTGCTTGAATGTAACTGAGTAAATTGCTTGGGTAAGCCAATTTTATGAAACATCGAGGTTTTCGAGTGGCACCAAATTAATTGATATATGCGATTCCATGATTAAAAGTCCAAATCAGCCGTAAAAAGGAAAATTCAAGAAACGATCAATTAATTATATGTTATTTCTCCCTCAAGTTTATTAAAAGGCATTTATGGCAATTAACGTTTGAATTTTAAACGAGAAAATTGCGATTAAAATCACCGCGTTGCCTAAATGTCATAAATATTACAACTTACATTTTGAACTTACCGTCTGATCGCAGTTTGGGCATCGTTTTACCACCATAGCGAAACTTAAGGTAAAATAAAACTGCTTTAAAACAGTATTACGCGAAACTCACGCGAAAGGAAAAGAAGATCAAAATATGAAAACAAAATTTCGTGAAACAAAACAGATTCGTGTATCAGAATGTATCACGCGGTCGTGGGGGTCTGGTAAGCGTTAGAACCGAGTCTTCCAACGTCATTATGAGTTTTGCGCAATGGCGGGAAAATGACAGATGAAACTAGCGGGAGAGCGGTTGGGATAAAACACTCAGAAACAGTGATTTATGTTGTGTGAAGATTAAGTAACACATTTCTAACTTTTTTAACTGTAATAATAACGTTCGCTATACGAGGTTATCGTCTAAAATTTTTCTGTACAGGCTATTCTAATAATGTATATTTTGTTTTAAAATGCTTCCGCAAACCCAGGAAAAGATACGTCATTTCCATTTTTAAAACAACTAGTAAACTAAGATAAAAGTTTGTATCTTTTCTAAAAAATATTTGGCAACTTCACTCACAGTATAAAATAATTAGATTACGCTGTACGCTTTTATTTTACAGGAAATGAGTCAAAATAAACGAAGGCCCATTTCTGACAGGGGTTTTGACCGGGGATCCGAATCCGCCGAGAAAGTGGATCGGCTCCAAATCCGCTGGTGATAATGAGTTAGGGGGCCCAAATCTGCTAGGACACTGGTCGTAAAAATACGTGGTCCACACGATAAAATATAACGAATAAATACTTTATTAATCACAATAATGTTCATGGTTTGCTAGAAAAAAGATTCTTCACAGAGAGAGAGTTTTTCTGGGATTTTATCAGTTAAGCTTTCCCCGGTTGGTAGGAGATGGTGAACCTAACCTGACCCAATTTGATTCGAAAATAACACTATTTGTGTGTTATAAAAGAACGTAGATTTCCAGGATATTCAATCCTTTAATATACATGCAACTTAATCTTCAGCAATTAGTTGATGTATCAGGTTCAGAAATACTATTTAGATACGGAAGGCATGAAAACCTGCCTAATTAACCGGACATTACCACTCACTTCATTTGGTTATCCCAACCGTTCTTATACTAAATCATGTTATCACCAGTATCATTAGGCTTAGTCTACAGACGTGGGTGCTTTAGTGAGTCCACAATCCTACCACACTCGGAGAGAATCGTGGGAGCACCGAAAACCCACCGTTGAAGACTGAGAAGGAGACTGAGCCTACACTGTACTCTACTTGGCTAACTTATGGGAAATTGGTAAAAAAAAAAAAATGAAAGTTTTCCACCATTTATCAAACGTGAAAATGTAAATCAGTCTTAAAGCACGATTTACTATTAAAAATTATTTGACTTCCTGAGCATAATGAACACTGATAGCTTCACTCGTTACTCTATGAATAATATAATGCTTACATCGTAAACCTGAATAAGGACTTATAGGAAATCGATATTGAATTTAATTTACAAGGTAAATAAGTGAATACATAATCCATCAATCTTGTCACTGGAAATTTGGTATGATTCTCAGTATGACTGTAATGTTTTCCTTGTTTCACACGGGAAACCTGTCACAGAGAAAAAGGAAATAAGCTACGATTAACTTTTTGGTAATAAATTTCTTACGAACTTCATTATCTCAGTCTGCACTTCAGGTTACTCACGAACTTATTTTTTTTTCCCATGCGGATTTATGGCCCAGGCGGTGAAACATGGATATTTACAATTTGTCTCGGCTCAAATAGAACGGGTAATTTCAATTCAGAAAGTTGAAAATTTTCAATTTAGTGGGGGGCACAGTGAAATATGGCCTGCTAAATTATTGACCAATCATAGCGCACGTAATAACTGGGAAATATATAAATACTACCTCTGACTAATTGTGTAAAACGTTGGCCTCTAAACTTTCAACTGTAAATTTGTAATTTCTTTCTTCTGAATCTCTTTATAATGAAAGTCTTTTTTTAAAATCTGGTTTATCAGATATTAATTAAAAACTTTCATAGTTAAGAGATCCAGGAAGTTCCCAAGTTTCATTCCCTTCTTTCTTCTGTGATAAAAATCCAAGATGGCGGATGATCACTCAATCCTACCCAGCAGTCTTATCCCTAACCCTTAGAGTACCCCCCTCAGAGTCCTCCGTTTGATTGTTACTTTACTCAGTATTTGATTTTTTTACTAGTGATGAAGGATGTGGTGCTAATTCACCGTGCAATATATCTCAATAATTAAAATAATTTATATTAATTATATTATTTGTTTACCTGTTAATTTGGCAAACTCTTTAGCATCATTGGCAAACTTCAACTTCTCTATGACGCGCAGACTGTAAGAGACATTCAAGAGTAAACATCTCTGCTTCCTCATTCCATAACATAAAGTGCACTTGTAATGGTTTTTAAATCAATTTCTTCACCACAAATGGATTCTCAGTTTTAACCTTGGCGATTAACAAATGGCATTAACAGCTGTGATAGTATAACAAGTGGAAATTGGTTTTTGCTTACCTAAAGAATTTCTCTCTCTTCTCCTTAACTGCCGTCTGTGCGAACCATGAAGGCTTACACAGAATGATACGGAGGACTTGATTTTCAAAGCTATCAAAAACCCAAACGGCATTAGTGATGTTATTCTAGAAACTGGCAAGTTTTAAGAATGTTTAGAAGGAAGAAAGACGCGCAATTATTATATTTTAATTTGGTACTTTTCTTTTCGAGTATCCATGGCGGAAAACTTTGTCACTTATTATCGATGCCAGGAACGGACCGTTCTTAACAACAATCTAAGGTACCTTTACGGAAAAGTTCCGTTCACATCTAATTTAGAACAAAACTCGATCTTATAAAATTTGAGCACACCATTGTCACAGGAAACAAGACTGTCTCAAAACTCACCGACTGCAAATCCTGTCCAGGATTTCTCCGCTCCAGTCGGACAGGTATGTTGTGCTGTTATCTGAATTCTTGTACACAATTATGAGTGGCTCGCTTGAACCTTTGAGCGCTGTGGCAATAGCACCAGGGATGCAACTGTATTTACAACAGGGAAGGAAAACAAAAATAAAATGACACCACAGTCTAACTGGAAATGTTTCAAAAGAAAAAGACTTAGGACCCGATACTGTGATTTGTGGCAAACCACTGGCAACGTTTTTAGAAATAACCCCACCAATGAAAGTAAACCTCTGAATCAGAACTTTTATCCAGTTAATACCGCTCTTTCTTCCTTTACGGATGTAATATTACATTTTGCGCAGGCCGCTCCCCCCTCCGACATACACACACACCAACCCACTTTCGTACTTTTCTTTCAAATAATCATCTTTCTTGATATCAATGTACCTTTGAATGACACCAACACTTACTTGAGGCCCAAATCGTCAATAGTCTCATTCAGAACGGAGCTGTACAATGTAAACCAATGAAAACCTTTCATATGAAAGCCTGGAAAAAAGCGATAAACATTGAAAATATTTTCCCTGTCTAAGTTCGATACATAGCCGCTTTAACACACACAAAAAATTACGGTGCAATACTTTTACTTTGCAGTCTCCTCAGAAACCCTTGCCTTTTCTTTTAATGCTCTTTAGTACAGGGTGTCCGCCTCTTGAAAATGTCCTTTAAAAACATTTTTTAATATACCTTCGTAATGAAGACAGGATGGAAGTTCTTTCTCCAGAATTGTATTATTTTCTCGTTCGCCTTCCTTCTTTACATCACATTTCTCTTCTAGATCTTCGGTATCTTTACCGACCCTTCTTACAACTTCCTGGTTGTTTTCCACTCGCTTGTTGTAGGTAGCTGAGACAGAAAAAGAAAGAATAAATAAGCCGATGATAATCAACATTTCAACAATATTTATTACTAACTGCATCTTTATGCAAAGCGATCAAGAATTCGAAACTAGGGCGCTTTCTGATAGAGTGTCAATAGTAAGACTCAAACTAAAATAATCACAACAGCCAATCAAGTAAAGGGAAATATCACCAGGAGCCAATAAGAAATAAAAGGGAAAAAAGCAAGTGATTCAAGCGCGGGAAAACGCGCGCAACCAAGTCATGACTTTTTTCTGCTTTTGAATTGGTTGGTGGAGAGAAGTCTTGAGAGGGTGGCCCCAGTTTTTTAGACCAATCACAGAGCGAAGCGAAGCAAAACCAATATAGTTCCGGATTACTTTCGACAATGAAATTAAAATTATACAAAACGCACCTAGTTCAGGAACACTGTCCTCAAGAAGGTCTTTGGCACCCATCAGCCATATCAATGTACTAGGCGCCACATCAGGGGCATACCATCCTGCGGTGTAAATCTTCTGTGTATCTGACCACACCCTGGGTGAAGCAGAGCTGCTGCTAGAAGTATAGGGCTTGTTATCTTTGCTTTGACCGTCTAGCAGAGACGAAACAACATACTTTTGGCTCTTGCCCATCTGGATAATAAGATAAGAGACAGTCAAAGTGAAGAGCGTTTTTCAAAAACTAAGTCCGGCTAACGAGAAACACCAAAATATAGTAGTCGTAACGTTTAGCAAATTACAAGCTTATCCCAAATTCCGAACCCGAACTATAAGATACTGACACGAAAATAAACTTTCTGCCGATCCATATATGAGTTTATCTGTAATCGAGAGTTCTTCAAAAGTCAATAAATTTTCGCCCGCTTTTAAAAACCTTACCTTCTTTCTTCTGAAGGCTCTTGGAACACGGCAATTATTGCGGCTAAATGTGCATCCCATTTTGAATTTTAAGAACTCACAAAAAGGTAACAGATAGGTAAAACCCAAATGAACCTGACAATCGAAATAATTCTTGGATTTCTTTGCAAATCTCGCAATGAAGCTGTACAACTCCTTTATGACGTTAGAGTGCGGGCGCGTGCTAGTGGCTCGGACAGAAAACTGATTGGTTGAAAAATTTCTAACTTTTTGCGTAGTAAACAGCTGCGTTTCGAGTGTACCAATAATGATTTGTTTTGATTTTCTTTCTAACTGGTTGAGAGAATGGTGCAAAAGAGTTTGAGAATGAGTAACCTAGAAACGAAAATGTAAAAAGGAACCGAATCGTTTGAAACATCTTTCCGTTGGGTTGCGCTTCTCCCTTTTGTTAACAATAAAAAAAACGCCTGAACAGCCAGGCCGAAAGAAAACGCAAATCGTGATTTCAGGATTTGCTGCTGCCTGCATTGCTGTAAGCGCTGGTACGTCACTGTCAATGGTGCGGAAGGCAACGGTCCACTCGCAATTGATGGTGTTAATGTAAGAGTGTGTAAGAAGAAATCCAGGTCAAGCTAAACCTAGCTGGAGTTCTGTTACTCGTATTATGATCGAGAAGATCCCTCCTCCACAGGAGCAGCTGCGCAGCAGAAACAAATATGCTCATGTCGGAAAAGGTTTGTTGTAGAACTAAATTAGGCGGACACCTTAAGAGTGTCCTCGCAATTATTGTCTTAAGCTGCAGAACCATTTCGATTAAAATTCTTATTGTATACATTACTTCATTTGTTCACAGCTGTTTCTTTGACTGAGTACGTTCTTTTCATTTAATTTCCTTATCATTCCTTGATTTTGAGCGTGGAGATTAAATTTTTTTTTACAATATTTGCTACTTAAGGGGACGAACGTAGACAAAATTCGCTGTCGTTATTCACTATCACATACCCTACTCCCATGATTATTGGAAGCGATCCAAAAATCATATTCATGGAAAGGGTCTGTTACAGTTAAGGGAGCGAAATACGACAGCCTCAGTCTAGCGCCGACCCAAAACGGTAAATTAATTTCGGATGTGATCTAGCTACTGCATTTTGAGTCACTAATTATGAAAACCATAGGAACCACCTTCAACTTTAAGAAGACTCCAGAGGATCACTCGGCTTAAATAGACTGAAACATAGAACGAAAGGGACTAATTTTCTAAAGAAACTGTGGTGCTGTGTCGGTGTGGACACAGAATAGAATTACAGCGATAGAGGAGTTATAGAGTCTATAGTTATATATTATTATATAGGTATAGAGTTACAGCGAATAGAATGTTCCTATTCGCTCTGACGAAGATAAACCAAGTCATCTTAAACACAGACTAGGTCATGACAAGCGTGTTTGAGAGCGAAAAGGATTAAAAAGGATTACCAATGACATTATTTTTAAAGTTTCATGATGGTGAAGGTATTTCCTTGACAGAACAATATGTGGTCGCTTTCTGTAAAATCATGGGGTCTCAGGAATAAAATAAAATGCAGAATCTGGAAATTATATGAATCATGCAGCATTTTGTGTAGTGTCCCGATAGTGTGTTAGGTCCAATGAAGTTAAAAAAAATATTCACGTCCTTGAGTATGATCAGTGTTCGAAGGACAACAACACGATTCTTCAAGGCCTAGGTGACTCATATCAGAGTTATTCGCATTAAATTCCTTTTTTAGACGACGTTTTAGTTATTTATATATATTTTTTTTTTTTTTTTTTTTTTTTTTTTTTTTTTTCATGGTTCCTGCATCGCGCCCAGATTGCAAACTGAGTTGGAACATAGAGCGTGAGAGAGTACAAAAGAATACTGGAGAGAGAGGATTAGATAAATTAAACTTTTGCCAAACTACTCTTGTTATATTTTCCTGCCATGGCACTTTTCCCTTGGAATCCTGGGATCGCCTGCCGTGGGGGGGGGGCCGGCAACTTCCTTACGAAACTTTGCAATGGGATCACAGGAAAAAGTTCATACAAAATAATTTATTTTAGAGTCTTGGAAGTTATTTGATCCGTTCAATAAGGAAAAGAAACCACTTTTAGCCAACCTAAGGGTACAATTGAAAAATAAGCAAAGCATTTTAATTCCCACTGAAGCAGTTATTTTTTTCACCTTATTACAACATAAACTATTTAGTGTTACCCAAATTAAACGAAAATAGCGAATCTTTCTCAGACGTTTTCTCTGTTTAGATTTTGTGTAATCCTTCAGCTACTTCTGTGGGGGAGGGACTTCCTCGATCATAATACGAGTGACAGAATTCCACCCGGTATAAGCATCAGATCCTGATTTCTTCCCCACACAGTCTCCAACGTTGATTCCGACTCTTACGGTGCCTCTAGGAATTCCCTGACAATAGCCTGCAATATGAGTTACTTTGTGAACGTTGTAGTCTGTTTTACCGTGGTGCACATGAATATGATGGAGACCATCGATGGCGAGGGGACCTTTGCACTCCATACCATTGAAAGTAAAGTACCAGCGCTTACAGCAATTTAGGCAAAAGGCTATTCTGAAATCACCATTGTACTCGACTTTCAAGGTTGTAGCAGAATACTGCTTAACAAAAGAGCAGTCCTGGAAAAATAGATGAAAATAAGAATAATTAATTAGTTGCTAAAAAAATGATCGATCAAAAGATGACTTCATCTCACTTTCCACAAAATAATAAAGTCGTTGAGGCCTGACTTGCTTCTGCAGCTGCTTTGCTGCTGAAAGAATAACCAACATGAAATTCGTTTTTTCCTAACCTTTATTAGTCCATAGTCTCTGTCATCATTAATATTTTTCCATGCGCATTGTTTCCAGTTTTTCTGATCAGAGACCTGGGTACTGGGTTCCCCTTTGGCACCTGGCTCGCCTTTGATACCCGCAGGACCCTTGGGGCCCATCTTTCCTGGTGCCCCCTCAGGTCCTTTTTCTCCCTTAGCCCCATCTCTGCCATCTCTCCCATTGAGCCCTGGAACCCCAGGGACACCAGGGACGCCACTACAGCCAGTGGAGGGACAGCTTGGAGACTTGGCCTTAAAAATAAGATAACTGGATGAAATTTGGAGAAAATGTTTTTAAATAAGCTCGACATAAGAAGACTTAGATACGTAACGTAAGAAACTTATAAAGACTCCCCTTTTCTTTCATAACCAGAAACTGCATTGTATTGTATTTTGCTCACCTACAGATGCGTTAAATGATATTTCAGCACGAATGCCAATTTCGGGTATCCATTTTACTTTTTATGCGTTATTAACGAAATTTTGATGCGAAACTTTTGACTTTTGTTGAATTGTTTAAGCTTAATGCCTGACGGGGATAATTGATTCACTGAAACTTAACATTTATTCAAACAAATGTACACATATATTCGCCTTGGTGGGCCCAACAAGAAAACCGACGAATTTTGACTTACTTTGCGCCATGTCATTGAAACTCTTTATCCAAATATTGGTTTTGAAAGGTTCACATAAAATTACTCAACATGAAAACGCTCACATTCTACCACTTCGAGGGAGAAAAATCTCGGGAATCACGTTCTAAAAATTTTCAGCCAAATTTCGGCTTTCTTTTCTTTTAATTTTTTTTTTCACTTTAAAGTTGCTAATCTGTAGAAAGGGCGTCAACTGGGACAAAAGAACTTTTTTGGCCCACGGGTTCGAGCTTGTAGGCCTGAGAAATATCCCCTCAAATGAAGAAGAAGTGACGAAAAATGAAACTTTCGTTGACAAAGCTAGGACTCTAGGTATACATCATATATTCTCCCTGTTATGAATTTCAATTTCCAATGACTCATTCCATGAGAGTCTCAATAGGGTTAACCATTAGCCGTAAAGCGGCCAAAATATTTATCCGTACGGCGTACAAATTGACTAATTTTAACCGTAAGTCGTTCAAAATGTTATGTGTGAATTATTTTTCTCTCTAAAATGTTTCATGTGTCATTTTGTCATGATTTGGGGTTAGCGATTAGCTTTAGAATGGCCAAAATTTTAAGCGTTAGACGCACAAGCCATCACCCCATTGACCCGCCATAGTTAAGGACTTTAGAAAATGATGATTTACAATGATTCGCAAATTGCGATAGAAGAGGGTTTATTAACTGAAACCTAGTTGCCAGATAGATTCATAGAAAGCTTTCGATATCTCAGTTCGAAAGTATTCTCATGAAATGTAGTTATAGTGAATCGAACTCTTTCGCTTCCGGCGAAAAACTTACTGACTGGTTGGCGGAACGCGCCAGTTGTGAAACCATGCAGGCGGTGACCAAAATGATAGTAAAACTCGCTGTTTTCATGATTTCTCTCGGCAACTGAAATGTGCTCAGTCAAAAGTAGCTGAAAAGAGAAAACAATTAGGAAACAAAGAACGATTATATGTTGAAATGAGATCAAAACAGTTGAAGAAATATTTCACCAGTGTTCAAAGCTGTTTTGAAGGAGCCGTAGAAAGCCTACAGGATCTATATGTTGATTTTAAAAATTTCCAATCGTTTTATTTGCTATGTTATGAGCGACAGAAAAACATCATTTAAGCCGCCCTGGTTGTAAATAAAACGGTATTTAATGTAGGCGTAAGCAATAATTGTTTGTCTGTTTCATGAATATTACCCTTTCTCACTTGAAAATGATGTTGGCTGTGTCAAAGGACAAGAAGTGTTCGATCCAAAGTCTCTTGTAGACTAGGGGAAAAGGCTTTACACAGAGGTAGTATATGTCTAACAGCCTCATTGCTTCGCGTTAAAACACGTTTCTCCCCTTGAAGCCAAGAATACCTTGAGGCATCGTGCACATAAAGGGCATATTTTTGTATTAAAATAAATGAATATGTATATTTGCTGTAAACATGAGAGGCACTCAAAAGAATCTATTGAGATGAACTGGATTATTCGTTCTTTCGCTCACACTCTCGCGAAGGTCTTTAAACAAGCCTTTTTTTTATATTTATTTATCTCTTTATTTCTTTACGAACACCATCCATGATTCTTTTCAGATTTCGATATCATGCGACTCATTACCAGACTCTTCGCTCAACACGTCCGAGGGCAAGCATAAGGGTAACGTGAGGCCCAAACATGGCGGCCACTTCGCGCTCGGGAATGCTAGAAATTTTCACCAAAGATGGATGGAAACGAGTGTTGGCTACACTTGATGACGATGTTTTGACTCTGAATGTGGAAGATAACCCTGTAGTTAATGGCCAGCCGCCTTCACCGAGCTCCCCTCCCCGTTCACCAGAAGCAAACGACCATGTAGAACCACCGCAAACCATAGCGGATCAAATCCGAACTGTGCGAGTCATAAAGCAAGAAGTCGGCGGCTTAGGAATTAGTATCAAAGGTGGCAAGGAAAACAAGATGCCTATACTTATTTCGAAGATTTTCAAAGGATTAGCTGCGGATCAAACGGAAAGTTTATACATAGGAGACGCGATTTTGGCGGTAAATGGAGAAGACCTCCGAAATGCTACCCACGACGAAGCTGTAAGGGCGCTGAAACGTGCAGGGAAGGAGGTCGATTTGACTGTGAAATATGTGAAAGAAGTTACACCTTACTTTCATCGTACGGCGGAACTGAACGCTAATGCTGCTGCAAATGCGAGCGTGAACGGCGAAGGACAAGCAGCTCCGGAAAACAAACCAAATTGTGTCGAAGTAAAGAAAATTCCTCTCAAGCTATGCTTCGTCACAAAGTATGTTTCGCCCAAGATAGAAAATCACGGTAGAACTTTCGAACTTTACAATCCGGACGCCAGATCTGCCTGCATTCTGCGAGGGAAAGACACCTCGTCGGCGAGTCAATGGTTCACGGACATCCACACAAATATAACACGGCTCATTGCACCAGGTATGCGTATCATGTCATTTTGCTTCTTCGTCAATTGTTGCGTGTCCTTTCGCGCAAAATATCAGAAGTTTTTCAGCAATGGTCTCTATTTCTTCGCCCGATTTGGTACTTAACACTGCAATTATCGACTCCAGGCGGGGTGAATGAACTAATGCACAGATTTAGACAAAAATAAAGAACATTTATTCAAGCTATCGAATTCATATTTCATATCTTCATTCTTTCATAGTAAATCAAGTTGTGGTTGTCACGTGAAGAAGATAAAGATGCGAAATTTTAATACTTCGGTTTAAAGTGCAACGTTTATATGATTTTTAGTGTCTATTTCGAAAGTACTTGAGTGTTTCGTTCCCATTCTACAACTTCAAGTATTGCCTTCTGGTATTTGAATAATAATTCAGCGAACAGCTGTCTGGATAGTTGAAATTTTCATTACCGGCAGTTCGAAGTGGTCCGTATTGTTCACGGCTTGTCGCTATTGTTTGAATCATGTATAAATTTTCAATGGTCGTAAACAGTCAAAACATTTTTGTCATTTGAAATGGCATGTTTACGGAACACGAATGGATTGTAAAGACAGCGCTTTTTCAGGCGGTTTGTTGTAACTGAAAGTTTGAAATTTTAATGGCGTTATATTGAATTAGAAGCAAATCGCGCCCGAATTCGCGTAGATTGCAAAACACATTAAAAATACATTGCCACTCTTTTTAGTTACTCTTCGTAAGTTTAAGTTTAATTCGAGTTCGATCGACCAGAAAATGAATTTTCTTATTTTGCAAATTTAGATAAACCGACTCGACCGAGGTTGGGAATAATTTTTTCCACTATGTGACATTTGTGGCCAATTGCCAAAAAAGCTCTAGGAGATTAAAAGTGTAATTTATAAAAATAACAAACGCATCTTTTTTCAAATCCACAGATAGTCATAGATACATATGTTGTGCTTGTTACCGATACATACAGTGTATGAAAAATAGATGTGAAAATTCTAATAATAGTATCTAAATCATTCTTGTCTGGGCTGGGTTTTAGGGTGGTTCTTTATGTTTCTCTATTGCAAAGTAACTCATGAGAAGGTAACAGCTGTTTTTTTAAAAATATTTCTTCGACTTTTTTCTCCAGAATAATTGATAACTGGGCCCTGTTTTTCAAAATGAACCCTGTTACCATCAGGAATGACCAATCTGTAACTTCTCCTCACAATGTTCTTACATTCTCAGGTAGACACGTTATGAGAAGAAATGATATCAATAGGGGAAGATTTGTTTAACTTAACATGAAATTCCTAGAATTTCAACTTATATGTGACCTGTATCAAGGAGAGTTATTTACTTATCTCATTGCTTGTTTGACAGATTTACTTTCCCTGAATTCCAAACCTTATGGGCTCAGAAATTGAGAGTACTTGCTCATTCCTAACCCTTTGACTCCCTGAGTCTAATTGTTAATTCACTCCTTAGCTGTGATGAATTGCAGTGTAAATTTGTTACAAGAATATGATATTAGTTCAAGATAACAACTCCTACCAGATAAGTTTGAGTATTCTCATTACCTATATGCTGGATAATGTATAGATAGTATGGACAGAAATTATGTGCTAATCACTTGTGGGAGGTTAAGGGTTAAGCCAATTTTTTCTCAGTTGAAGATGTGTTAGAATGTCTGTGGTGAAAGTCTCTAATGTTTTGTGGTATTAGAGTTAGCAAAAGTGCTACAAATCAATTTTATATTGTTTTATAAATCAGTTGGTCTTACATTTCCTTCTTTGTATTTTATGTAGCCATTGAGGAAGTGAATGACATGCTCAGTTCCAATGCAGGATATCGTGAAGTCCGAGCTATGGGTTGGCTTAGTGAACAAGTTCATCTTGGTGGCGATAGCTCCCACACAGAATGGAAGCCTGTGTTTGTTGCTTTAACAGAAAAAGACATGTTGTTGTATATGGCTGCTCCTTGGTCACGTGAGGATTGGAGTGCACCAGTTATGAGCCATCCACTCTTAGCTACAAGGTGGGTACAATTTTAATGTGTTAAGTAATGCTCCAGATGGCTTCTGAAGTTTTATGAATTTTGGTTTTTGTTTCCTCTTTGTAATTGTCCAGGGCATGTAAGAGTCAGATTGTATCCACAAAATAAAACCCAAAATGATTTCTTTTGACTTAAAATCACAGGTCTTTATTTGCTTTGAAATATAAATTTTGTGGTAGCTTAATGCTGACCATTGTGGGAATGATGTTACTAACTATTTGACAAAGATGTAATTTTGCATCAGAGGTGGTAGCTGAGCAAATATTATGCCAGTTAAGATCAAACGTATCAGTGCAAAGGGAAATCTGGCGACAAAAACTTTTTTCCCAATCTTTTACAACCCCCTTCACACAAGGCTACCAAGCTTTACATTAACAAGATGGCAAACAAATAACATGGAAAGAGGACATGTCAAACACTTGCTCAAACTGGGATTTTGTTTTAAGTACTTGTATTTGTTATTGTTGTACTGGTACTCAAGATGGCCAGGGGCTTATTGAAACCTTTTCAATGAGAATATAGGTTTTGATATCAAACCATTGTGTATGCACCACCTAAATATCATCTGCTTACGTTGATCAGGTAATCACCAGCCAAAATCCAGCTGGTCATCAACTATTTCTCAGCCTGGAAATTTTATGAGAAGCTGGTGTTTAGCAACAACCCTAAGGCATGAAAACTACTGATGAGTAATCTTGTTTCATATTGATTTGCAGACTTGTTCATTCAGGACAAGGTAATAACCACATTCAAAATGAAGAAATGACATTCGGAACACGAACTGGAACTAGAAAAGGAGTAGAGGCACACATGTTTAGAGTGGAAACACCAAGAGAATTGGCAAACTGGTCACGGAGCCTGGTTCAAGGATCTCATGATGCTGCAGCTTTGATCAAAGAAATAAACTGTGGTAAGTTACATGCATGTTATGAAAATGAGTGTAACACAGGGAAAATTTAATGTGTTTAGAAAGATGTTAGTTGAGTTAAAAATAGGGTGGCGATGAGAAGTTTGTGATTTTAAAATAATAAAACTGTGATTTATTTTTCATGTTGGAGAGTTATTCTAAACTCAGAATCAATAAGAATGAGCTCAGCTGTTGTATTAATGGAAGTGGTTTTTCAAAAGGAAGGTATTTGGGCCAATAGCCAAGTCATTTATAAGAGCAAAATGATTTGCTAGGCTGAAAATCACACTAGCAAGGGGACAGGGTTTCTTTAGCAAATACCCACATCTTTCCTGTTATTTAACCTTTTAACTCCCTGATCAGATTTGTCTTTCTCCTTACTGCCAACCATACAATTCTTATGATGTTACCTCAGAAAATTTAATACTGGATCAACTAATTATCCCCAAATTGATATTTTTCTTTATTCTCATGACTTATCTGGTTGATATTGTATTGGTATTGTAAGGAGAGATTCTGTCTTGGTCACCTATGGTAGTTGAAAGCTTAAATTAATAATTTTGAAGCCTTCATGTTTGTGTTATATCAGATTTCTCTTACAGAGAAGTGGGGGCACACAATTTTAAAGCTATTTTTCTTTTGTGATGATTAAGCAAGTTTAATTTTTTCTTTCAGCTGTGACTTGGAGAGATCAAGAGGCACGTTTAACTGTGCACTTTGAAAATGGGTTCACCCTCACAGTTGCACGTGTTAATGAGGGCAATGGTGGGTCTCAGGTCTTATGGTATTTCCCATTTGAGAAGCTAAAGCGCTCAGCAGATGATGGACAGAGAATGTTGTGGCTAGAGTTTGGAGCAGATGAGTCTGATCAGGTATGGTTTTGTTTTTCACAACCTTTACCTATATTGACAACCTTGCTTACCTTCAGGGCCACATCTGTTTTGTAAGGACTGTCTTAATTAGATGAGAATGTATTTCCACTTTTTTTTCTTTATTTTCAGGAGTTAGATTTAGAACTTGATCTGCATGGCTGTCCAAAACCTGTGGTTTTCGTTATGCACACCTTCCTTTCAGCAAAAACAACTCGCCTTGGACTTTTTGCTTGAGTTGTGTGGTGTGGGATATAAACTTTACACTTCTCTACTTGATGGTTCAGTTGATCCTGTGGTTCTGGAGTAGTGGCTTTCCATTACAATCCACTACTCTTTTGTGGTAATGTTATTGTTATATGCCACATTGCATTCCCCACTTTTGCAAGATGTATCTGCAGAATATAAGTACCATGGTCAGATCTTATAATTTAGGGATTTGTATCAACCCTTTCACTCCCAGGAGAGACCAAGACTTTATTTCTCCTTACAGTATCAGCACAATATCAAGCAGCCAAGTGATGAGAAAATATAAAAATATCAAGTAGGGGATTATCATTTGATCCAACACTAAATTCTCAGAACAAACTTAATGAGAAATGTATGGCAGATAGTGAGGAGAATTTTTATTGACATATTGGGTGTGAAAGGGTTAAGATAGTAATAACTTTTAAACTATACCTGTTTATCTTTTAGTTTTATATGGTTTATTTAATAATTGGAAAAACATGCCATTTTCAGCTGTTACCTTTAAGTAAATTTGATTTTGTGTGAAAAAAGATGTTGTCTTCATTGAGCTTCATGAGAGTGGTATGTTTTTTTTTATGTCCTTTAGACTAAATCAGTGTTCTGCTGTAGTTCTTGTTGGCTTCAAGAATATTACCTTGAGCTTGATTAATTTTATTGCTATTGTATTCATCAGTCTTCAGGGAAGTATAAATCCTTGCTCAAATTTTTAATTACTAGGTCCACTTTGAGCTAGTGAAACTGAAGTATTTTTTAAAGACTATAGAAATATTAATAACATTGACTGTTTTTTAGTACTGTTGTATCCAAAGATAATGCGAATTGCTAAACTTAGGCTAACTCACTCTCATTAAGTTCTAAAGTGTAATCTGGAACAAGTACAAAAATGGCTATTTGAGAACATCAATAATTACTCTTGGAATTTTTCTGTATTAAGCTGTGGTACTGTGGGGTGGTGTCTTTTCTGAGAGTGATCAATTGGAGGTATTTCTCCTTAATGATTTCCACAGTTTTCTGAAGGTATAGGAATATATTGAGATGATATTTTTATCGTGTTGCTGTGTTGGTAGCTTCATTTAGTTGTAAGTGATTAATAATGTAGATTGTAGGTTTTAGGGTTTTTTCTTTGAAATTCTTGATGATTCAAAATGTATCATTTATCTGAGGAATAGTTTGGTTTCTTTCATTATTGATGAAGATATTTTTAAGAACAGTGGACCCTTTAGATGGAAAGGTGGTTAGTGCATTGTAGGCTTTTTTGCTGCAATTAGTTGATAATAGAGGATTTTTGAATGAAATTATAACAAATGTATCTTAAATTTTCTGTGGGCATTGGGAGATTTGTTGTATCATTTGCCCCTATTAACATATTAACATATTGTCTTGTAGAATGATTACTGGTATTTACCTGTAACTGATTTTTTAAAAGAACACTAAAATAGTAATTGTGAAAATTAATTTTCAGCTGACTTACTCTGTACTATCTTGGGATAAAATGTAGTATTGAAGTATTTTTCAAGCTTTCTCTTAGATGTGATTTTATGCTTGAGTTAATTAATTGTAAAATGGAAATAACAAATAGTTTGTCCTTGTTGGTAACATGATTGGCTTTCTGCCAATAAGATAATGTGTTCCATATTTGTATTTAGATTTGAACTGCCGGTAGTGCTGAGGTACATGTAGTATCCAAGATAATTATTATTATAGTTTTTAATGTCATGGTAACTATTTCATTTCCAAATTGTGACATACTGAAACTAAAGCACTCCTATTTTAGAACAGAGTTCTTTACATATTCTGAACATGCCAATTACCCAAGGACTGCAACATCCTCTGTGATGGTGTCAATGAAAGTGTAATATTTTGTAGTCAGTCATAAACCCTTTACACTCTTACATCAGTATCCATGATCTCCTTACTCTTCTCTACACATTTCCTTTGTTCAAAAGGAGAATTTGTTTAACAATCAAAGCTTATATTGGCAATCATTTGCGTTACTCATGATCTTAATAAATGATTCAGGGATGATACTGTAAGGAGAAATTAGATGCTGGTCACTTAGGGTTTAAAGGTGTAACTCATTGGCTATTTTGTTTCTAATTATGCACTCTGACTCTTTACATACCTAGTGCCATATTCATTAATTGTCAGAAACACATCAATTAAAGTATTTTTAGACAAAAATTTCCACTGTTCCTTTCATCTACATTAATGTCAAGGGGGTGGGATGGGTTTTTTTATTCAGGGGGGCTTTTGACTTAGGGGGTGAGGGCACAGGAGTTGTATTCTAGTTGTTGTGAGTGTTAGCTTTCCACTAAACTTCCTACCAGATTTGTTCTCAGTTTCATTGTGTTTATTCCACAAGTTTCTGTTTTCTCACCATTGAGGTTTGAGCAATGGAAAAAGTTAAACTTCAGAGTCAGCCTGCAGTGCAGGCTTCATATTAGGGCTTGCAATTGTTTACTCCACTGGCCATGTTTGACTTAGTTTTAGTGTAGATGGTAGGGTTTGGGGAAGTGCAAGAATTTCTATCGCCTAACACCTCCTTACTCCTTCCTTAGAACCCTCGCTCACTCTTAAGTAGGAATTTCTCTTTCTCCCCAGCCTTGTAACTGTGATAATCAAATAAAGCACCTATAATTTTCACCAAGAAAATACTGAGTAGTCACTCTCCAAAATTATGTGGAACTCCTCAAACTTTGTGAAATCACAGGCAAGAGGTTATGTTGTTGAACAAGATTTTAAATGGTGCTGTCCATTGTAACACTGTTGCAAATTTAAGGGGAATTTTTGCAGGGTTGATTTGTTCAAGGTGTGAAAACACACCCAGTGCTATAATTCCACAAGTACTCATGGATGACAATTATGGTTTGTGGACTAAATTACATTGAAGTGGACCTGTAAAAGTGAGTCAAAGTTCTCTGCAAGAAATATCCTTGAAAACGATGTTAAAACAATTTTATTTCACCGAGCAATTTTTTAATAGAAAAGTAATAAATCTAAATTTAAGAGGAATATTTTACTCTGCTGTTTATTTTTCATACAAAGCACTTACATAAAAAAAAGCACCTTCTGAAAATGAATGTTAATGTAATTTTAAAACAAAGTTAAAGGTATCTTTCAACTATCAAAATTTGTTTTCCCTTTTCATCTGGTAGACTGTAAGAAACATTTTGTTAATAATGAATGATGATGAAGTGAAACAAAAAGAAAATTAATCCAATTGATCCACATCAAATTTTGTTTTTTCCATGATCTTCAATTATACTGTTGTCTTTTGTTAACATGCTAATCAAATGTAATAAAATGTGTGGTTATTGTTCATTGTGGTGTAAGATAGGAGATGAACTCTATTCGTTCGTCTCACGATGGAGTCACCAAGGATGTTGATCACGACATTTCAACTGCAACACTGATAGTCTTCATCAGGCGATGAGGTTGATTGTGTGTCTCACTATTTGTAGCATGTTGGTTTAACAGCAGCAAACTAATGTGCTACAAATAACAATACGCAAACAATCAACCTCACCGCCTGATGAAGACTAGCAGTGTTACAGTCAACACATTGCAATCAACATCCAAAGTGACTCCATCGTGAGACAAATAAGTTTCATCTCCTGTACTAATCAAAGCTATCAGTACATTGGACAGTATTATCTCATATTGTATTGAGATGTAATGAGAAATAACTGATAAGAATTGGTACTGACTCTATGGGCCTTTGTTCAAAGGTGATTTCTTGTCTTTGAATAATCAGACATTTTTAATGCATATTAATTGGATAATACTTGGTGTGCAGACATCACTTAATTTGAAATTGTTGATAAATATGTTCTAAGATAATTTATTAAATTTAATGCACTTAACATAATTCCATGAGCAAATTGTAATTTGTTTAGAAATACAAGTGCATTTTCATACTGTTTGTGTGGAAGCTAACTCAAGCTGCTGTTAAGTGATACACTTAACCTCAGTTTTCTATATTTGTACACTAAAATTATCTCATAGATTTATGTTGGATTCTGTCATGCCAAGGCAAATTCCATCCTCATTTATCAGCTTTGCAGTTGCAAAGTAGTTACCCTGAAAGAAAAAAGAAACTTTATTAGCAAGTTGAATCACAAAGATTTTAGAACCTACAGCTCTTGAGAAGGGGAAAGATATTATGATTATTTTCCATCCTGAGGCAAGTGCAAAGAGTTAGTTCTTTTTTTGTGCTCCTCCACTTGCACTTGACTTGCACTTACCTTCATGGCCTGAAAAATGCAAAGTAACTGATGCCAGCACTACAAGCCACTTGATGCCAGCACTACAAGCCACTTGATGCCAGCACTACAAGCCACTTGATGCCAGCACTACAAGCCACTTGATGCCAGCACTACAAGCCACTTGATGCCAGCACTACAAGCCACTTGATGCCAGCACTACAAGCCACTTGATGCCAGCACTACAAGCCACTTGATGCCAGCACTACAAGCCACTTGATGCCAGCACTACAAGCCACTTGATGCCAGCACTACAAGCCACTTGATGCCAGCACTACAAGCCACTTGATGCCAGCACTACAAGCCACTTGATGCCAGCACTACAAGCCACTTGATGCCAGCACTACAAGCCACTTGATGCCAGCACTACAAGCCACTTGATGCCAGCACTACAAGCCACTTGATGCCAGCTAGGCAGGCTAGCTCTTCTTTTCTCTATTCCTTGTTAGTTAGTTCTGAAAATTTGTTGTTACACCCAAACCACATCCCCTATATGATAAAATTCTCAATTTTGATAGCCTGTCTGTTTGAAAGTGAGTCCAAACATTATCAAAAGAAAACTTTCTGGGAACTTATTGTGTAACTACTGTTCTGGTGCCACCCAACTCTCACTTTTTTTCTACTCTTGTGCCTTTTACTAGTTCACTGTTTTACTAATGCCTATAACAGGCTACTACTGTTACTGACTTATTTACACAGAACTGACAAATATGATTACTTGAGAGGAGTGATGAATTTAATCTAAACTCCTAGTAATCTTTGCATTCTTTTGTCCTTTGATTCTATTGGAATCATTGTTCTTTTCCTATAATTTTATTGATAAAACTTGTTAAATGACTTTGTCAAGAGTAGTGGCCCTGTAAAAATAGGAGAATTTTATATACCTTTGGAATGCGTCTTGGTAGTTTAAATGGTTCATAAATACTCAATTCCTGACCTGAAATAACAAATAAAAACAAAGATCAGGAACGAGAAAGGCTGGAACAGTTATTATCCTTCAAGATTTGACCACTGACTAATCTACTTGTTCTCAACCTCCCCTCCAATACCCTCCCTTCTGAAATCGGAGGTTTCAGGAAAGACTTGTCATCTTTAAAGATTTATTTCCTCTGATTGATTTAAACTCTTCCACTTTAAGCTGTTGTAGAAAATACATTAGTAGAGGCTGTAATGAGCTTAAGTGATTCACTAAGCATGAACTGGAATGAGATCTGAGTTCATTGAGATTTACCCACAAAGCCTTACTGCTGGTGAGAATAAAGCACTCACTCACCTTCATGCATTGGACAACCAAATGTTGCAGCTTCTATTTTGCAGACATTGTGTTTGACATCATACAGGGTTCTGCCTTCAAATTGAGCCACTACATGCACTACACCACCTTTCAAGCTGACTTCTGTGGGAACAATAAGAAAAACTATAGTTGGATTGACTACATCAATCTGCATTGGCTATACAACCACAAACACAAGAACAAAAATAACAAGCTCTCATAACTAATTTACAAGGAAATGTGTAACAGGCTGGAGGAGAGAATTAACAATAAGATCTTTGGAGTTAAAGGGCTAAGAATAATTTAACCTAAGGATGATATACAAGTGAGAAAATGATCCTCACTGGTCAATTGCAATGAAAGAAATAGTACACATAGATTTTTTTTGGTTGTATATCATCTGCAGGTCAAAGTAAGATTGATTTCAAGTACCTGTCAGCACACTCCTTTGTAGGAACAAAGAACTTTGTAAAATTTGTCTTGCACCTAACATGTGGCTTTAATGACCCCCTAATCAAGGAGGAATTTATTCAAATCCTGTAAAAAGCCTGAATTTTTTTCCTTTTTTTCTCTTTCAGGCTTTTTTTACTTCATTTTTTAAATTGTAATTCACCTTTGAGAATCATTTTGTTACCAGAATTTAAGGCCCTTCAGTCCCATAGAGACAAGGGGGTAGGTTTATCAATAATAATGATAATCATAATAATAATATTAATAACAGTAAAATAGTAAAAATCATCACAATATAAAGATAGATAATAGCTATTGTTATAATAGCAGTAAAAATACCCATAACACCCTGTACATGAGATCTTTTATAGGTAGATTCATACAAGTTTTCAACTCATTTCACCCCAGATAAACAAGTATTAGTAAAAGACTTCACTTTACTTGCTGTAAAATTCGCAACTGCTGTTCCTATTACTCTCCTCTCCGTTGGGTCATAATGAATGATAATCTTTCCGATCTTTTTCCTCACCTCATTGTGATCTGCAAATCAAAACAACACAGCCGACGTGGCATTTGGTTTGAATACAATTGCACTACATATCAATTACAGCAGAGTCTTTCTCCAATTCAGTATGGACGTTTAAGAGAAGAAGTGTCGCAATTTTCAGACGGCAAGGGTTGAATGACTTAAATATATGTCTCTCTTTTCTTTTCACTCCCAGTTCTATTAATTTCTGCATTTCTGTGGCTAACATAAAGATGTTCTTTTGCATATCTTCCAAAGCCAGTAAATCCTTCTCTGCATTGAGAACCCAGAGAACTGCTGCCCAGGCTACCACCAACCAAGTCCACTAATACCCTGTCTCTCCCCTCCCCCATAAATAGTATTCGACTGGGCGTTACACTGTAATTTCCGGTTTCTGCCGTTTTGCGTGACAACGAGATAGTGTAATCTTGAACCCTAACATTGACCTTTGTGCTAAAAATTCGATTTTCAGGTTTATTTATAATGACCTTACAAACCCACTTTCGTGGTTATTAACTTTTTGAAAGAGAAACCCACGTCATAATCTTTCCTTCCGCTTTCAATAAAAAAGACAGAAGATAAGAATAGTTACGATTCTTAGGTGGAGCAACTCATAATAACTTCAACAGAGGCCGCTTCTTGACATTTGGTTCGCGGTAAGAGATTGCGTGGGTACGGGGCACACTAGAGGTAAATTTTTACACGTCAACACATTTTCCTGTTTTCGGGAGACGATGAAAAAATAATCGGAAAGATAGGGGTTCTTATGCTTTGTTTCCTAACTGTATCCTGCTGTAAATTAAAACCTTATCAACAGATATCTCCTATAGTGTTAAATAAGAGAGCAAGATTTCATCCCTCCCTCCATACTTATGGCTTTTATATCAATGCTCCTACAATTTACGCCCGCAAATTTATTTAACCAACTTTTGTGCGTGAGAATTTCGATTTTCAATAGGAGCGATCCAAAGTGTCTCATCTATCTTCTCCAAACAACATTTATTGACTGAAAAACTGATTTTGACCAGAAAATTCTGTCTAACAAAAAACTCACCACAGCTATCGTAGATGTCTCCAATGGCTCGCAGTCCGTTTGCGATAACCCATTTATCCCATACGCTACTGTCATTAACACCATCGTCTTTCTCTTGCGTAAATTTCAGGTCAGATAAATCCACCATAAGCGAAGACCAGACTAGAAAACATCCCAGAAGTAAGAGCAGAAGAATCAGAAGAGAAAGCCGCTTTTTGTAACCAATACTCCAGAACCTCACACGAATAGAATTCCATTCTCGGCAAACGATCTCTGAGAACATCACGACCCGTTTGAATTTGCCGTCTAAAAGTCCGGATCGTTTGCTTTCTTTGGTAAATTTTAGGATGCTGTAGCTGTCATGTAAATCGGAAAGTGCCCTTGCGATCGGCTTAAGGAGAAACTTGTGCGCGATAACTTGAGTGTATCAAATTGAACAGGAAATGACATATAGTAGCTGTGCACGTTAATCATTGCCAGATTTTACGAGAAAAATCGTTGTATATGTGAACTCTTTTCGTCGCTATCTTTCTTTTTCCACATTATTTCCAAGAACTTTTCCTAAAAATGTAGCATACTATCCTATGGTGAAGTCTTTTTAAAAATGGGAATGAATTTTTATCGTTTCATACAAAAATAAAATTCACTGTAAGCAGTCCTCAAGGAGATAATTTGCCATGTGCACAAGACGACACTCGACAGTTAGTCACGCAATATTCTTTAGTTATTAGTAGGCAAGAGGAAACAGAGGGATACGCCAATTCGGAAACCGAGAGAGTGATCCAAGAGAGTTTCCCTAATACAGGGAGACTCTGGCAGAGGAGGTCAAATAGTGTTTAAGAAAGAGAATGCGCGTTAAATAATGCTAGTGCATATTTTTTTAGTCTAAATGTATCGCATTCTCCAAAGATAAAAACACTCGCTATGCCAGGTTTCCCCAGTTAACTCCACTACGCCGGGAAGGAAATTTCCACTGGAGCCCCGGTCAATCTTGGCACGGGAAAACGAAAGGAATAAGAATTAATTCAGGCAATTTACCGTACACACTATATACCTTTTCTCCGCCATTCTTGGGGATATTGTCCTAAGGTCTGTAACAACGGAAGACGGACGGAGGAGCCTGTCTGAAACAAACTGAAAATGAAAATTGAGAATCCACTGACAAACAAATTTGAGATTTCAGAGGCCAGAAACAAGTACTGTTCAAGAGAGCACCATTGCGACGGGCATAATTTCCCAATTAAAAACGAGCTGCAAATTGCTCGTTGCCTAAGTACAAAAACAATTTACCCAAACAGAACGACCAAAGTACAAATTGAGGTCCAGTGGCGTGATTTGACGTCAATTTAGTCGACCCATAAATTTGAGTCGGGGAGCTTGAAGGTCCCTGACCAATCACCGCGCGAGCTGTAATAAATTACAAGTTTAGCTTCTCTCGATTTGTGGATCTATTACTCTGTTTCTATCGTTGTGAAGCTTCGCATCTGGGCGATTTGGAAACCCGGTATTTCTGGTCGAATCATGTATTCAGTAACTGGTATTCTTTTGGATTTGAAAGGACGAATGAGCTGTTATGGTTTCCCTGAAAACCGTTAAGTTCAATATCTATTTCCATTTTCAAACTAAAACGGCTCTCAAGCTAAACATATTGAGAAGGCACATAGCTACATAACTACGTAGCTTGCAAGAGTGAGTAACCGCCCCCCTCCCCCCATCCCACGAAGTGGCGCGGAGACTGGCAAACACACCAGTTTACCATAGCCGATAGCCGAAATGTCGCAGGGGGCAGGAGTCAGTTGTACAAATGTTCCGGAAAAATGAGGATATTGAATTATTTAGTTGGGGAGGGGGGCAATAGGCATAGGTCGGTATAGATCGGGTGCTCAGTTGTACAATCCCCTATTTGCTTTTACTTAAGTTGTATTCAGTTCTTTTATATACCTTAGTTCATGGAAAAGCTCTCTTTCTAAACAATCCCGCGTTAGTTCTAAAATCTAAGGGTGCCATCGATATTAGTCCGGTCGATCAGAAAAAACCGGAAGCCAAAGTCTCTGTACAACACCCTGTGGCTATATTCTCTGTGATCGTTTGAAAAAGACAACCATAAACATTGAAAAACAAAGAGAATGAAAACTAAACATAGTTATCTTCGTCTGCAGGGAAAAAAAAACTTGAACTTATGGTAAACAGAAACGGCAACTCCCAGTATGTCACATCCGGGCGGATTTTCACTCCAACCCCCGTCATCAGATATTTGACCTTTATATCCGGCAGAGGGCGAGCAACAAAGGTCATAGATGTAAACTTTCTAGGTCTTTTAGATATGAAAAAACGAAATGGTATGTTTTAATTGTGAAACAAGACATGTTTATGGAACCCACAAGCGAAACATATTCTGCAAATGTTTGGGTATGGTCAGTATACATTTCCACGAATTTCATCAGAGAACGGATTCTATAGCACTGAAGCACATTACTCAGTTTGTGTGCGTGTGCGTGTGTGTGGTCACAGTATTATTGCCTAATGTTTTCTTTTCTTTTCAGACCGGAAGAATCCCCAACCGCGAAAACCATGCCGACAAGAATGTTCGATAGGAAAATATTTGCATTTTGTTTTTTCCCCTGCAGGTGCTATGAACTTTAGAACTTTGATCACGCGGACAACCCGCGCAGTAAATCTCTTCACATGTTCGTCACCTGATAAATTAGAGGGATTAACCAATCACAGTAAACAGCAATGCGGTAAAACTATGAATGTATGCTTCTTCGCCGTGTGAGGATTTCCGAGAGGAAATGTCTCACTCGCGCGCAACAGAGATAGATCGTGCATCTCTTTGCACGCAAGTAGCTAACTAAAAAAATAAAAAATAAAAAAAAGTTGAAAAACCTACGCGTAACAGTAACAGCAATTGCTAACAAATCTGCGGCCCTCTTGAAAAAAAAAAACAGCTACAAGACAACTCTAACAATCTTAAAAATAGTCTAACATTAGAACTTTTTCATGGAAGTCACCTAATCATGACCTAATGACAAGTACGTACGTTTTCATCCGGCTAAAGGTCTGGAAAGGAGTGTAGCACTGATGAGTTTAGATTAATCCCATTCTCCCGACAAACCTCTCCTCTGCTCGTCCCAAATCTTCCCGCAGCTTCGTGTCACGTCAATAATGAGGGTCACCTCGTTACCCATTAATAAAGATTTAATATTTTAAATAAGATTAAAAGTTAAAAAATGTCCTTTAAAATGAAGACAATGCAGATAATTTTATGATTAAAAATTTCAATTTACTTGTCATTTGTTGTCTTCTGAGAGCTTAACACTGTTTGCCATGATGTAACCTTAGCCCTTTAACTCCCAACATCTGATTGTTAATTCTCCCCTCAGCTGCTTAACATTTCCTTGTAAATTAGTTCTGAGAACTTGATATCAGATCAAGATCCTACTAATCTACCTGACAAGTTCAAATATTCTTATTATTTGTTTGCTGAATAATGTATGGATATCATTGGGAGAAGTTTCATGTTAATCACCTCTGGGAGTTAGAGGGTTAAAGAACTTTACTGACCTCGTTGTTAACAGAGATTAGAATACGTAGACCCAATCATTTGCAGATCAACTACATTTCTTTTTTAAACAATTAATAATAACTTATAAATATTTCACTTCAATTTATTAGCTAATACAAATCGTTCCATTTCCTTAACTGGAGTGTCGTAGTTCATAATTTCCTTTCCAGGATCAATTCCATATTTCAGAAAACCTTCATGTGTAACAGATGCCCACACCATCTTTCTTGTATTGAATTCCAGTCCAATATTTCCAAACTTGTCCAAGCAAATGACACCCCCATGACCTCCAGTCAGCTCAGCCATCTTACTGATCACTTTTCTACAAGCATCATGTGGTGTCATTCCATTTTCTACATTGTACACAACATCTCTACATAAGAGCACTTTAATTAAAGACTCTCCATGACCAGTACATACAGCACCTGCTTGCTGATTGGCATAAGCACCTGACCCTACCAGGGGTGAGTCTCCTACTCTGCCACACATCTTATTAGAAGTGCCTCCTAGTATAAAAAAAAAAGGCACATTTCAAAATGAAGGAGAAACACTCCTATCCTAAAGCAAGGTTATGTCAGCAGTTGTGGCAAGTGGTCCATCTGGCTGGAGCTCATCTCCAGAATTCTGTCAGATTCTCTTGACAGTTCTTTAGCACCTATTAATACTGCTGGGTGAAGAGAGTCAGAGGGTTGCGACCAAGAACAAAACACCATGACCCCACCTAGTATTGCACCTATACCTTTTGATTTAAAGTCCAGCATTCTCACCATAAGGCCACAGCAATTTCCACAATCTTAACCCTTTAACCCTTAGGAGTGACAAGGTTCTAATTTCTTCTTACAATATCACCCCTGAATGAAAGGTTTACAAGTCACAAGAATAAAGGAAATTATCAGCAACTAACAAAGCACTTGATGGTTTTACAAATTCTCTCTGTTAGAACCTAAGGAATGTATAGAGAACAGTATGGAGAATATGCATAATGATGTTAGGGTACAAAGGGTTAACTCAATTAGGCTTAGTTTGTATCATGACACAAGTGTAGATTGAAAGCCAATATAAAACTGATTCCTCACACCGAACAAAAATTAAAATCAACTATGAAATGATATTTAGTTAATATATAAATTGCTGGTAAACTTGAACAGTCACCCATGTATGGTTCATTACCTGTTGAGACACCAACAGCAATATGTCCATTAGTGTCCATGGCAACAGCACCAACTGTATCATGTACTTCAAGTTGCATGTCTGTGTTCTTCTTGGGGTCATCTTGAACATTTGTCTCCTTGCTATTTGAACTTGCAGATTCTCCGAGATTTTCATGTTTGGACTTTTTATCTTCATATAACTGTCGTGAACGATCACTAATCAATAAGCTAGGGTCTTCCAAAACCGGAAAATCTATTTTTTTTGCAAATTTCAGTGCTCCTTCCCCAGCCAGCATACAATGAGATGTGTTTGTCATTACTTTGCGTGCCAAAGAAATGGGATTTGCGATATTCTTGACACATGCTACTGCTCCTTGAAACCAAACATGGAGTAAACAATTAGTAGATTGCAATAAATATATTTCCCAGAGGGAATAGAGAGTGAGGTTGCTTGGCCCATTTTCAGATACTGTATAACTGCTACATTCGTACAGGTAACTACAATCAACAATAACAGTAACAACAAAAAGTTCTGAAATAGGGTCATACCAACTGTTATTTTCTTATATCCTTACTTTTATCCTCTCCCCCCCCCCACCTGCACAATATTACATCTAGTTTTCTATAATAGTCCAACATTTTATGATAGAAGGGGTTTATAATGAAAAATGGAGATTCATTTTAAATTTTGACTCTTAATACACCCTTTAGAGTGGAATGTTGTCAGCCATCTACTGTTTTCCTTCTGCTTCAGTTATAATAAAGGCAAAATACTATAATAAACTTACCAGTGTTTAAGGTTTGACCATCCATGATCATGGCATCAAGTTCAACAGTTCCTTCTTCTGTAAGGTAACATCCATGTCCTGCATTTAGAACTCCGCTGTCCTCCATACTCTGTGTAGCTGCCTCCACGGTATCCAGTGCACTTTTTCCCTAAAAAAAAAAGAAAAAAAAAAACCTCGTATAGATTTGAGATTTGTTCATTATAAGTGAATGCTGGATATATGATATGTCCACCTACATCTACTTCCTCGTCCCCACCCCTCCTCTCCTAAGCGTAGGGCTCTTACCTACTAGGACTGTCAATTCTGTAAGTTTACTGCAACAACATAATCAACATCAATCAATTTAAAAAAACAAACAATACCACAGAATCAGTCGCACGCATAGCTAATAAATTTTCCGGACGACTTACCTCCAATAGCGTTAGATATCCAATCCTAGCCGCTTCCTTCACGGCAGAGAGACAGGGTGTTCTGCGCTGTATTTGGATTTCCCCAGCACCTCCGTGAACAATGATACACGGCCTGGAAGTTTCATCAGAATGACTCATTGTCACTGGAAATTTTGATATCGAAATAATAGGTTTCACGGATGAAAGCTTCTTTTTCCGCCAAAACCTAGATAGCGTGACTTTCGTTCACCCATGATCCACCTGGCGCTTTGCAGAAAAATTTCAACATGGCGGACGATTCTGTTCAAACAGGTGAACAAGACATTCAGGAATATTTTGATACTGCGGTAAAAATAGCACGACAGGCAGGGCAGGTAATCTAATAATACTTTATTTCCCATTTCTCCGCAATTACACAACGCAAAAATAGTCCATATACGTTTTGATCATCGTACTCGAGCAGGTCCTTGAGGGAAACTTGTGGAAATTAAGTAAACGTAATGAATAGTAATCAGGCTTGAATTCACGTTCTACATTCATTGGTTGTCCTCTTGGAGATAACTAGAAGTGGGAGTGGTTTGCAAAGTCTATGTCGCCTCATCCTCTTTTAACAATCATGGTGGCCATTGTGAGAGAAAAACAAAATTCGTGAAGGTCATGCATGCACGATGACAGAGGAGACAAGAAATATTACTTTGATTCTTTTAATTCTTTTTTCCAGTTAAATCAAACAGTTTATTTTTAATGTTTAATGGTAGCTAGCATCTTATATCAGCCAATTTTTATTCGTCAGCTGTGATTTTCACATCAGTGGATAAAAGACTCGACCCCAACCCCTTACACCCTAACATTAATATTCATATTCTCCACACTTTTTGTTTACATTCCTTATGGCACTGACAAGGAGAATTTGTTTAAAAATCAGGAGATTCTAGAATTGATGATCATATCCTTTATATATAAGGGTGATACACTAAGGAGAAATTAGAAGCCAATAACTCTTAGGAGCTATAGGGTTAACCCCATCATCCAGTAGATCAAGATTAGTGAAATACTTCCATCCTTGACTTAAAATTTCCAATCAAAATAAGAAACCAGCTCAAACCAAGCTAGCATTTGAAAAAAAGAATTTAAATTAATATCACGGTACCCTCCAAATAAACTTGGATTTTGGAAGGGAATCAACAACGGAGAGTAGTTGAAGAGAAACTTGCATAGAAACTATTCAAGGCAATTTTGGAAATTTTTGGAACACATTTAGAAATATTTTGGTGTCGTCAGATGAAACTTATAAAGTTGTCAACAAAAGAATTGTCTTATGCTTTAAAAAATGTCAAGTCAGCACTTGTTTATTACTTATCAACAGGTTTTTTTTAGCTTATTTGCAAACCTCATGTGTTTAGGTGGTGTTTGAAGCTTTCTACAAGGAAAAGAATATTGACACAAAGTCATGTGGAACAGATTTGGTGACAGAAACAGACAAGTATGTGGAGGAATTGATCATTGGAACCCTAGCAGAAAAATTCCCATCTCACAGGTGACACTGTTATTTTCGTGCTTAATAATGTTATATCCATCGGTAATGATATTATATTGAGTAATTTACCGAGTTGAGGTGGGGTGAAAACATAAAAAAAAACCTTAGGTGAGTCATAAACAAGTTTATAATGAGCCAATCAAATCTGAGATTTAAATAAAAATGAATATAATATGTTTGATATATATTATTCTCATTATTATTATTAATAACTGTCATTTTTATACTAGGGGTTTCAATAAAAGCCAGTTCCTGGCAGTCTGCTACTGCCTGTAAGACTTCTTACCAACATCTGTTTATAATAGTCTGCCAGCAGGCTCACATGCTTAGGCTTGGCTTTATGCCTCCTCTTCCAGTTGCTGATAATACCATCTGCAGCTGCTTATGGAAAAAGTTATAGAAACCCTTATATCATACTCACTACAATTTACCCTGTACACCCTAACATTGGTATTCATATTCTCTACACTGATCTCTCTTCATTCTTGTGGTAATGACAAGGAAAATCTGTTTGGCAATCAGGAGTATCTTAAATTAGTGATCATTTCCATTGACATTATTCTTATGACCTTTAAATTGGATTTGAGGGTGATATTGTGAGGAGAAATCAGAAGCTAAAGGTTTAATACCAGGAAACTATACAGACTCAGAGCAATGTTCTTGTGTATGTAAACATGTACAAGTCAAATAAAAAATTGGGTTTTTCTTAGTCTCAAAAATTTGAATTAAACATATGATTTGTGTGTGATTTTCAGTTTTATTGGCGAAGAGTCAGTGAGTGCTGGAAAGAAAAGTATTCTCACAGATAATCCTACATGGATAATTGATCCAATTGATGGTACAACAAACTTCGTTCACAGGTTAGATAGAAACAGAAAAATCCATCTGAACTATCCTTTAAAATGAGCTACATCCTTTTATGATACTAACCCCCCCTAAAATAGATGGAACTAAAAAGAATTTTTAATTATCTGTCATTTACACACTATAATTGTAGCTAATGTCTTTCAGGGTGTGCCTTTTTGCTGTAAAAAAAATTGATATAAATTTAAACTGTTTGATCAAATGCAATAAACTTCTTTAGTTTGTCATTTCAAAAATTTCTGTTGCGCTTTACTTCTTGTTCCAGCAAATTATTTGATAGTAAGCCATTGGACTGGTCATGAGTGGCTGATTACAAAGGATTCAAATGAATTTTTGTCCGTTATATCTCGTAGATGAGCCTTATGACTCATTTCTTGTAATTTTACATACATTTCAAATCACTATGGTGTGAAAGCAACAAACAATTATTTTTCCTCAGATATCCTATGGTAGCTATTTGTATTGGTCTGGCAATCAATAAACAGGTAAATTTCATATAACGTTTAGTAAGCCCTCAGTACAAACCTGTTGGTCTTGTTTTGATAAAGTATTTAACTACAAGGGCCCAGTTGTTCATGGGGCAGATAAAGCTATCTAACAGAGAATTGCTATACAAGTATTCATGCAAGTGTTTACAAACCATACATAACTGTGCTCTCCACCAGACAGAGATATATTATTATCCACCCTTCAAACAGCCAGGGCTCAGTGATTTAGGTGAATATAAAAACATGGTGCCTTGAGAACATAATATATCTCACCAGTACGTGGAACCCTTAACTTGTTCTTAGAGTGCTGTTAACTCAAAAATGATAACAGTGAAACTTTTTTGAAATGTATAAAATAGTAATAAGTGTATTCAAGTACAACTTTCAGACAATTAGTACTAGTTTCAAACCATTTAGTGGACAGTTGAACCTGTATTAAGTGGCACAGTATTAAGCAGTCAGTTGTTAAAGTCCTGAATTTGTTTCCCCCCAATCACCAGAATTGCTACAGGGTCTCTGTTAAGGGGTTACCTTCATTAAGCAGTCACAGTCACCCTTTACTAAGTCCCAAAGGCCTGTTTGTATTGTCTTTCACCTGTACTGAATGGTCACTAGAAGCCAAACCACTCAAATAAAACTAAGAATAACTTTCAAGTAATTGTTAATCCATGTTTCTCTCTCAAAATCAAAGTAAATAGTGATTTTAAGCAAGATTCTGTACATTAATTGGTTGATTATGGCATAACATGGCATTGTGTATCATTGTTCATAATGGGGAGTTTTAGATCCATGTTTGTTTCTGAATATGTGTGACTGCAAAAGTCTAGGAGTCATGTGATCAGACTCTAGTGGTTGCATTTGCTGTTACCCATCCATGTTTGAACATTAGGCAAGCCAGTTTCAGATAGTTGAACTCCCTCAATGCTTTTTGTCTTCCTGTTCAAAAGTTCTCACATATATCCTATAAATATATGTGAAGTGAAGTCTTTTCTTAATAACTTATCTTTTAGCTACATCTTGTGTTTGAAATGAAGGATCCATCCTTTGAGTAATTCAAGATGGTGGCATGTATGTTGATTTTTTCAGGTGAAATCTGATGTCAATCTAAAAAGCTGAAAGTCTTTAGAATTCTAACTTCTAACCAAAAACTGCTGGCCGCAGTTTGATGTTTGCAGTTAACACTCCAAATGTGCATCTAAAACTCTCTAATACCCCTCATCTGTGGAACCTGTATTAAGTGGTCAACATTTATAAGTATTCACCCCTTGGGTGACCACCTAATACAGGTTCTACTGTTTGTTTGTTTCTGTTTACAATAGACATATTGATGTTGATTACAGCGAATATTGATTGCAGCAAACAGCATGAATATAAGTTAGGCTTTAAGTTTAGAATTTTTGTGCTATTGATAGGTACATATTGTTCAGTGATAGACTTAAAATGAATGTTCTCCATTAGATGGAGGTTGGGGTAGTATTCAATCCAATTAAAGATCAGATGTTTACTGCAAGAAGAGGCACCGGGGCATTTTGTAATGGAAAGAAAATTCACTGCTCAAGTGTAACAGGTAAACTTAATTGTTAAATATAGCAAGGAGATAATGATGAAGAAGAAGGTTTTGTTATTTATTCTAATCAATCTGTAGGAGAAACCGTGGCATAATTTGTATTACCCTGGACTGTGGATCAAAAGCACAGAAGATACAGTGGCCTTATTCAGTCAGTGCACTGGACTCAAGGTCAAGCGGTCTTAGTTTGAGACCTGGCCAGTCATTGTATTGTGTTCTTGGACAAAACACTTTATTCTCACAGTGCCCCTCTCCACCCAGGAGTAGAAACGGGTACTGATGTATTGTCAGGGAAACCTGATGAAATACAAGTTTTGGGGGGGGGAGGGTAACCTGGAGATGGACTGACACTTAGCTCAAGGCAAACCTTTACATACCCTTAGGTCCAAGATTAGGGTGGGTCATTGTGTTACAATCTTGGACACTTAACTTTTACATTGCTTCTCTCCACCCACTCTTTGTCCAAGGTCAGTTTTAGCCCAGTGTCCTGTAAGCTGCTTTATTCGATCACCTGATTCATGTGGTAAAAAAGAGTCTCAGTGCACAGCCAAAGTATGTCCGTCTCTGTGGTGGATGTTAAAACAGAGCTGCTATAGGGGCAGATGGATGAATGGAACATCACTGCTCCCTGGTTACATTTGATGTCACAAATCTCAACTCACTTTATTCCACAGATCTAAGCAAAGCTCTTGTTATCACGGAACTGGGCTCCTCAAGGGATCCTGAAATCATAAATGTTGTGATGTCAAATCTCAGAAGGCTTGCAGAGAAACCCATTGCAGTTCACAGGTAAAGATTAATGAAAAGACATCTATACATAAAAGTAAATCACTTTAATTAAGTGATTATCTATTTTTATCTTATCCAGCATCAGACTACAGGGATCAGCTGCCCTTAACATGTGCTCTGTGGCCAGTGGTGAGGCAGAACTGTATTATGAATGTGGTATCCATGTCTGGGATATTGCAGCAGCAGGAATAATTGTGGAAGAAGCTGGTGGAGTCACACTGGATCCTTCAGGTTTTTAAATATGTTGTGTGTTTACAACCCGATTTTTTTTTACTATAAAGTATTTTGGTTGCATTGAAGATTCATGTCAAGCTTCAACCATTGTTGATTGCCATGACAATCAGATAAATTTTGGCAATTAAATTTGCTATGTAAGTACTAATTTGGTGACCAGCGTTTACCCATCTTGTAGCAAGTTGCAGAATTATAATTATAACATAATAGTTTTCATGATCTTAACCTTTTAAAATATTACATTAATATAAAACATTTTCTCGCAACAGGTAAGCCTCTGGATTTGATGGCACGTCGTATATTGGCTGCTGGAAATAAGGAGCTTGCTGATCAAGTTTCTCAGTATTTAGATTGCATCGAGCTTCCTAGAGACTAGCAATTTTTTTATTTTTATTTTAGGACAACTTTGTTCTTGTTCATTTTAATTCGCTGTCTTTTGCATTGTCTCACTTATTGTTTTTTAATGTGTCTGTAACTAATGTTGTCAAGTCATTTGCTTTTATACTGTCAAGCTATTATTTTCACACAAAGTGTCACAGGTTTTGCTTGATGAAAAAAATCAACTTAATTTCTTCTAGGTTGTAATTTAGTACCTCTTCAGCATACATCAATACTTGTATGATGTTTTTAAATTTTGGTATTTATTACTGAAAATGTAAATTTTGCCTAAAAAATAAAAAAGCTGAACCTTTTAATTTTATGTACATGCACTACTCACGGACAAGTTATCACTTTGGTCTGTAATTTCCTGGAAATTACAGAAAGTCTATCTTGTTCATGGGATTTAAATGATTAATAGAAAAGAGAAAATGGTGTCTCATGAGAAAGAATGTGTCTTTGGGTAAAAATTAAAATGATTAAAATTAAGTGAGCAAGAAAGAAGAAAATTTGGATACCTTTTTCAAAAATATCTGTGAGCCATTCTTTTAAAGTCAGAAATTCAGTCAGCTTTATTTACTTATATTAATCATATTATTAATTTTTAAGGATATAACATTGGAAGAGTTGTACGCATTTGATGTTCTTAAATTTATGTGCTTGCATACAGCAACACTGTAACTTAAATCTCTACAATTATAGAAAAATACTTTGACAAAGTTGATAATACTAAACAAATTGTTTAATATATCAAATTTATTACCTTTTAAATCCTGATTTGCTGCTTTTCCATATGTAGTTAATGCAGCCCTTGCTTCTCTGGTTCTTTAGTTACTCCCCCTCCCCCTAACATCCTGCTACCTTTGTTACCCCTGCTCCATTTCCCGAGGGAAAAATTCAACACCACACTCAAGTGTCTAAAATCAAAGAAGGTGTCCGAAATAAGATGAGAGAGTTGGAAAATTGGATGGAGATGTCTGTTGCACAGGTTAAAGCATTAAAGGATGAAATAATTTTTTTCTGCAAGATGCCACCTTTTCCCCTAAGACCAAGCATTGCATGAGAAATTCCAATAATGCGTGCATGAAGAGAAAAGCTTGGTTTTTATTAGCAATGCAAGCACAAAAGCAATCACCAACCCAAGTATAACAACTCTTATTTCACCATGAAGACAGCTTCAACACGCTCTTAAACACAAGCACAAGCACTTTCTTTCCCTTTTCTTGAACTTGGTGAATCAAGAGCTGTTACGCTTGCATCTGTACTTAAGTCAGCAGTGAAAATCAGTCCTAACCCTTTAACTCCCAAGATCTGATTGTTAATTTTCCTGGCAAGAAGGGCTTGGTCTGAGAAATATAGACAAGTAGCTTGCAGATATATTTCTTACCTTTTGAGCGAAAAATTGTTTTTCATATTTGGTTTTGCTCTTGGAGGTATCATGATAGTAAAAACTCAATTTGGCTGACGTTCCGTCCAGGAAACTATACATAAGTGTCAAATTACAGTTTCAGCTGCTCGCGTGGTAGATAGAAATAAAGTTTGTGAGAAGGCCTTAATATCTAAAAGCCTTAAATGCGAGAGAATATCTGAAGTGAAATCTACATTTTACGCGACATTGCATCCTCCACTCGTCTCGATCAAAGGTAGGGGCAATCTTTGAATCGTACATCATCGATGTGAGAATAATTCTGTTTTTCAAATAAGTGAGAAGTTCTTCCCAGTGCTATCGCCTGAGGTAAGATTTCTTGTCGTTCTCATCATATATCCAATGTAGAATTTTTGTTGTTCTCAGAAAGAGTTTTATTCAATGGGTAGCCCGCCAGTTCGAACGACATTTCAACCTTCCCTGTCCTTAAAGTGTTCTGACGTCCGGTTCTCTGTTACGACTCTACTTCCGGTTATTGTACTTCCAATTATTGGATGATACTGCTACCTCACGTCCAATCATACGTTTTACGACTGGCATCGAATAGTTTTTAAACAAACCCAAACAAAAGAGCCAGCTAGTAGGCTAAACAGACGGCTGTGAGAGATCTTATATGCGGAAAGGCACCGCCGGTAATCGGCTTTCATTGAATCCGTGCTGACCCTTAAGAATGACAACCATTTAATTTCTCTTTACATTGTTACCCCTGAATCAAACATTGAGGTCATAAGAAGAAAGGAAATGACCACCGGTCATCAGCTTAGGAAATATAGAGAGCAGTATGGAGAATATGCATCCTGAAGGTGAATCGTTTGAGCTTGTCACCAACAAATTTCTTGTTGTCACTGAAGCCATGAGTTTCAGAGCGTGGATGGTGGAAACCTACCAGTAGATTCTTCAGTACCTGGGGCGTGTACCTAAAGATATGGAAAAATTCACGTCTAAATTGAAAACCTTACACGAGTTGGACGCCATAGCCGCAGAACGAGCCAAAAGAATGGCCTCAGTTTCTTAATTTCGTTTCCCCATCGCGTTGAAATTGTGAAAAACCGAAAACTTTTGTCTCGTAGATTTTAATCATTTATAAGCAAATAAAGCTGTAAGGAGTCCTCCTTCAGCCTGCAAACCAATGATCAAAAGCGATCCAGTGGGCCACTTTCGATATATCAAAATTCTAAAGTGACTGCGAGACTTGGGGGAATAAAACAAAACATATTTCACCTACTCATCCTTACATTTATTTCTACAAACTCACTTTGTAACATAATCACCTGATGAGCCATATCTACATAATGGACCCTGGGCGTGACAATGTGTTCTCATGATTAAAAGTGCAATATGATTATCAATAACTGTGCAAAGTATTTACTTTAACAAAAGCTAAGAAAATAGAAATAAAAGCAATATATGAAGCATTTTAGAATCATCGACACTACGTTACTGCATTCCAGTGTACACTAGAACTTGAAATATTTTTTTTTCTGTTCTTTAGAGTCAAAACATTGGGTAATTTTTTAGGGTTTCGTTAGCGAAATCAAAGGGAACTAGAACTGAATTAGCGACTGGGTTTATTCTTGATATTGACCTGGAAAAATAAAGGTTGTGTAATCGCTCCGTGTTCCGTCAAGTGAGAATACGAGTCAAAAATTTAAAGAATCAAAACCTGTATAACCAAGATAGGAGGCGTGATGGCCATGATGATACAAGCCATTGAGGTTCGAGTATAACTCCTGTGAATACCTCAGACCCAACTAAAACTTTATTAAGACGAGTTCTTTTTAGCCGCTGCCCTCAGGCTATAGAGTGTCTCATCCATAAACCTTAAATTGAGTCCATCTTTTTTCTTTTTTTTGAGAAAAGATTAAAGACGCATTTTTTCAGAGCTACTTAATAATGATCCACTGTCAATTTACAACTACGATAAGGAGCTTTTTGTACGTACCGCTATATAGATTCATATTATTTAGTCGATTCTACACAATCAACTATTCCTATTTTGAAAAACGCACAAAGAAGATTAAGGAAGAAAAAACCTGAACAACATTTCGCTAAGCTCCAATTTAAAAGAGATAAGTTAATGCTGAATAGACTCGATCGAGACACTGGTGTTTTTTTTTTTTAAGTTGGTACTGTATCATTGTTGTGCCATAAATATGACGGTTCAGAAATCCACTCGTCTTATTTTCATCTCGGTTCTCATTAAAGAGTAATGATATCCTTTCCAGTCTTTCCAGTTCACTCCATTAGCATAGGAGGAGTGATTACCACGAAGATATAAACCATTGAGATTTGATTGGTGACACCTCTCGTACCACCAGGCTCCTTTGTACCTAATGGCGCAGTTGTAATTACCTCCATGATGATCATTATCTTGATCTTTAGTGGTGAACGGCATACCGCGATGCACAGCAAGAGAGTCACCAGAATTTCCTAACAAAACGAGCCGCACAATGAGTATTACGTTTGACCAACAATGAGCAGTTCGTAATTCAAAAGAAATCTTGAAATATCAGATAAGTGTAATTTAACAATAATGATATGGAGTAAAAGTATTCTTAGTAATATCTATGATTCGTGTCGAAGATTCTAGGGATTGAATCACTCAATCTGATAATGCCAATAAATATGTTTGCAGAAGCACTCATCAGAGTTGGATTACTTCGTCAGGTTAACTGCACACGAGCCATCGGTGAATACCTTTGTACTAATCAACGTCCAGTAGGCGCTGTCCAGAATTGCATATCGATGAGCTGAGGTTACGCACTTTTTTTTTCTTCTAAAGCCCTTGATGTAAAAGATGTTAAGCATATTTACATTTCTCAGCACTCTCCTCCCTACCCCCCCCTCCTAGAATGACTATTTTGACGACTGTTTTACCTGAATAAGAACCAAGGATCAGCTTGTACTTTTCTTTCTCACTCATAACACTAAACAAGTTATACTCAGCATATCGAGTATTCCCTTCAAAGTCCTTCAAGTCCACACGCAGCATGCTGTTATTATCTGAGGTCAGCCGGTGAATCTTGTCCAGTCCCAACCAAAATTCACTTTTCAGGTCACCAAAGCCATGTTTGTAGTCATTCCAGTAGCGGTAGAAATCAACCGAGCCATTCAGTCTTTTCTGGAACACTGTCCACCCTCCACCGGCTGTTGTTTGGTCACAGTATACTTCAAAGGCAGGCAAATTATCAGGTTTAATGGTGTACACACCGTCATTTGGTTTACCCGCGGATTTGTAGATTTCTGCGCAGTTTCTTTTGACTGAAAATCAGTAAAAACAAAAAAACAAACAAACAAACAAAACACCCACTTAAAATGGTTTGGATGTTGAGGGCATTTTGTTTGCTTTCCTGACTACTGCTCTGGCTGATAAAACTTGATTCTGAACATTAATTAGTACCATTTCTTTTTCCTTAATATTTACCAGCGATATTCATGTAAAGTTACAATAATAGGCTTTTACTTTTTAGTTTTACTTTAGTGGTTAATATTCTGTTCTTGAAATCAAGTTTGGGACTCTAGTGAGTGACTCCTCGCGTACTACACGCGAGACTGGCCTACACAATCCAGTCATTTCACCTTCACTGACTTGGCAGGTTTCTCCAGTGAATCTTTCCCGACAGACACAACGAAAACCTTTATAGGTGAATCCAGCTTGACAGATGCCATTGTTTAAGCATGGGCTACTTCTGCATGGATTCTGTTGACAAAACAAAGAAAGCTTTTTTTGCAGACCTTACTTATGTCAAGAGTAAGATCGCTTTAGCCTTAGAAAATGAAACAATCTCTTCTACCATCTTAGTTTCCTGAGAATGTGAAATGTTACCTCGATTGCAAGATATGTGTAACCCGGATTGTTCACGAGAAGAAATGGAGCATGGTTTTCCTCCGTGGCGTTATTCAACTCGCATTTTTGGCTTCCTCCTGCAACAGGTCCAACATTGATAGACAGACAATTAGGCTCCATCAAGCATATTACTTTGCAGCTCCCTTCGTTTGGCACCTCTGCAATTTTGATCACATAATTTTTCATGGCCATGCTCGGTATTGGGTCCTTGAATTTGATGTGTCGACTATCGTCGTCTGTGGTAGGCAAAACAAATATATCGTTTAGTTTTCACTCACTCGAGAAAATTTCTTATTTTCACTGATGAAACTATACTGCATTAGGACCCTGACGAATTTTCCTAAAAGGTGATTCTCATCTCTTGAAAATTCAACGTAACTGGGAGGCTTTCATTACCAAAAATTAAACTTTGACTGTGAATTAATGAGCGGAAGAAAATATTTAAAAATTTGTAAAGAATATTTTCATAGCGTTCATCACCTTCCTGCGATATCTGTGAATCGTTTGTTTTAATTCATCAGTTTGAGCCATTTATGTGCATGTGGTGAGGTCTTTGAAGACATTTTGAATTAGATAAAGCGGGTTGCCTGCTTAAAGATCATTTGCTTTGATGAGCAGGTAGCATGTGCAGTTCGTGTCATGGTTTTGAGGAAACGACATCAGAAAGGAAAAACACAAGAAATTTAAAAAAGGGATTTATACTCACCAGTGCAACAGAAGCATGGTGGGGAATAATTCCAAGGCAGATATAGAGAATAACAATGATCAGTAGAAGAGAAAACTTGAACTGCATCGCTGTAAATAGATTCAAGGTAAATTCAAGGTAAAAAATATGATAGTGAGCGTCCCAAAATGTAAACCTTCCTGTTTTCCTGTAAATTTGAATGTTGACAAATCTTAGGCAGCTGTTCGACTTTATTTGCCAGCTTTGTCCACTTAGCACAATATTTCGCAGGCAAATCGTTCAGTTATGTTATTGGTCTAAAACACCTTATGCTAACAGACTTGTGTCATCCCTTGCACAAAAAAAAAACCTAATAGGAATTTCTTTATATTAAATATTCATTTTCGTAGGTGAGTCAACAGCTGCAAAAGGCGCAAAATTGGAGTATTTTTAAATTCTTACTCTATTTTGTAAATTTCATCATATTCTGATAAGTCATAATATTTTATAAAGCTTCGAAGAAGGACGAAATAGAGCACATCACCCTCATCGGAGGTGACAGGAGTTTATCAATGTGTTATTTTCAGCCTGTTTAACTTTGAACTTGCGGCAGTCAAGATAAGAGCAAGAAACAAATTTTTGCAGACTTACTACCAACAAAGATGTCAGATCACTTGTGAAATACAAAATGTTAATAATTTATCCTTATAACTTGCGGCAATCAAGTTAAGAGCAAAAAACAAATGTTTGCAACTTGGTACCGACAAAGATTTCAGATCACTTCTGAAATACAAAATGTTAACAATTTATCCTTTTTTTATCTCAAAATGTTCTTCAGTACGATAGAACAGCATTGCACATTATTAATATGAAGATTAACTTTGTAGCAACTTTAAATTGAACAATGTGAAAAAATTTATGTAAAGTACAGAGGACTAAATGTTTTATGGCTCTTTTTACTCATAGTAGTTGAACAGGGTAGTTAGCATTAAACATCACCCGATTTTATCTTAGTTAGACAGGTCACAAGCATTCTATGACTTTCGGATGTTATTTGAGAACTTCAACCTAAAAACTTTCAAATTTGTAACAACTTTGACCAGAAGGGTGTGACAGAATGTGAAATATCGTGTGGCTGAATTGACAGAAATTTACTCAAAATTTTTCTTGATCATTTCTGAAATCAATGCAATTGGTCTGAGCAAGAAAGGCTTGGTCTAAGAAATGTAGATAAGTAGCTCACAGAAATATATCTCTTACCTTCTGGGTGAAAAAGTGTTTTTCCTACTTGGTTTTGTTCTTGAGGGTATCAATAATGAAAACTTTATGGTGTCTTGCTTTTCTTCAATTTATAGAACTGTTTGAACTTCTGTAACTATGGTTACAAAACAAAACCACTGTTTTATACGCCACAGTCCTTCTTCCTGTTCAGCTGTTCTAATTGTTGTTAGCCATATGGTCAAAGCTTTTGTGTTTAAATCTAAATGACTGCGGAGTCTCATCATTAGTTCCACTGGATATGAGAGTCAATGAAATATTTCTATGAAAATCCAGTAGTATGTTCCGAAATACATAACTAACTCTTATGCAAATTATTTGGTTAAGATACTTTCAGCGAGACATGTAAGAAGTTTTAAAATTACACAACGTGATCCTGTTTTCCTTGGTGATATGTGTTGTGATAGATTATAACAGGTTCACGTTTTTCAAGTTGAAAATGAAAATATGAATTTTATAACTACACAACGTGTGGCATTTTCCTCCGGAGTTAACCACCGTGTTATATATAAGATTATGGTTTTCCAATTTAGAGAGTATCTTGAAAAAAATGCTCTCGTCAAAATTACTCTTATTTTCCTAGGCAACCAGGACGAAGAAATAATATCATGAAACTAAGACCCGAAACTAAACTAAACTAAAGCCCAAAACAGCAAAACGATACGAAACAAGCGAAACATGCAAAACCACCGAAATGACCAAAACAAAAAGATTGAAACGAAACGAACCTAACGACCAAAACGAAACGATCGAAACGACCAAAATAGTATACAAAAAAAATTAATAAAACTGAAATTAATGTCCAGGGGTTTCAGGCGTCAGGCGCCATATTCATCTCGTTTAGATTATGGTCTACTAATCTATCTCACCGGGAAATTCAGTTATTTCTCTATTACCATCAGCTTGGCGTGAGGCGTCGAGAAAACCATATTGAAAAAAAAATTACTAAAAAAACTTACGTACATAGATGTTGTCATTGAATACCGTTATCTGTTTCTTCCTCTCCTTACGCTTTGGTATTCAATTTGGCTGGCGTTTCGTCCTGAAAACTACATATAATTGTCAAATTTTATTTTCAGCTGCTCGCGTGGTGGAGAAAAAAATAAAGTTTCGTGAGACGGCCATAATATTTAAAAGTATTACATGCGAGAGATTATCTGAAGTGAAATCTACATTTTCTACGGTCGTTTCGTTTCAGTCGTTTCACTTGTTTCGTTTTGGTCGTTTCGTTTTGCTGTTTCGGGTCTTAGTACATTATAAACGATATCACCACAGACTAAACATTTTGACTTAATATCTGTCCGCTGACAAAACTGATCTTACTAGAAAGTGCCCAGAAACTTAGGGGAAATGACGATAAAATGCGAGGGGTACATGTCGACTTTGAGGTTTTTTTTTTTACCCAGGAAGCCATAGGCCTGCGTAATGAGAAAATGTACAGTGTTACAGAGAATGTGATATACTGTTACAAGTAAGCGTTGTACGATACTGTAATTCTCATCGTGCGCGAAAACCTTATTTGCAGTAGGGTACTCTTGTTAAAAGGGGTTGTTATTAACCACAAGATAACTTAGTTCTAATAACTGAGTTGACTAAGGCTAACGTTTCGAACGCCCCTCAACAGAGCTTTATAAATGACATTATTTTCATCGTCGCTCGACATAGCTCCTGTGAATACGTTGACCCTCGAGCAAAAAATGGAAAGTAGCTTACAAATATATTTTCTTACCTTCTAACAGACAAAATGTTTGTCGTACTTGATATTGTGTTTGGGTGTGTCAGAAGTGAAAGTCGTGTCTCGTTACCCTCTAGAGAAGTGTTTGAAGTGCTGTAACTATGGTTACAAAACAGAACGGTTTAATGAGTGGTGTAGGCGAGTTACCCGCATACAAATTGGAGAAAAATGGATCATTTTGATAGAAGTCGTCTGCACTGGCGTACTTAAAATTTTTTATTCTACTCCAACAGTTTTATCTTTCAAAAAACCAGAAGTGTTTAAGTACTGTAACTATGGCTACAAAATAAAACCGTCGCTTATGTGGCTGTTCAAATTTAGGTTAGTTTTACAGCTCACAAGTTTTGTCTTTTTATGACCTTGGCAAGTTTTGACTTCGTCATCCAACAAATAAAAGTCACTGAAGAACAGTTGCGCAAGGAGCCCTTGAAAAACGTGGAAAAGTCAAACTCTTTCACAAAATTGCAAATAACTTAGCTTGGTAAGAGGACGATCAAAATCACAATGCGTGAGCAATTCTTTGAGTGAAATATGTAATGTCCAATTAACTACATATAGTTGCATCTTTAAACACAGAGTTGAGAGAAACAAAATAAGAATACTATTTGATTATTTTCTGTTCGAATATACTCATTCTTACATTTTGTATTTTAACGAAGTAATGTAGCATAATGCACTAAATGAGCCCTTTTGTCTACGAAAGTGACGTTTAGTATTCATGAATAACAGAGTGATACGTAATCGTAGGTAATCATATATCATAATCATATCAGAGAGCCATTTTTTTTAAGTCAGAAATTCAGTCAGTTTTATGTACTTATATTAATCAATCATACTATTATTTTTAAGGATACAGCTTTGGAAGAGTTGTATGCATTTAATGTTCTTGAATTTATGTGCTCGCATACAGCGACACTGTAACTTACATTACTACAAAATACTTTAACAAAGTTGACAATACAAAACAAATTGGTGACTAAATCAAATTTATTACCTTTTAACTCCTGATTTGTTACTTTTCCATATGTAGTTAATGCACCCCTTGCTTCTCTGGTTCTTTAGTTACTCCCCCTGCCCCTAACATCCTGCTACTTTTGTTACCCCTGCTCCATTTCCCGAAGGAAAAGTTCAACACCAGACCCAAGTGTCTAAAATCAGAGAAGGTGTCCGAAATAAGATGAGAGAGTTGGAAAATTGGATGGAGACGTCTGGTGCACAGCTTAAAGTATCAAAGGAAAAAATAATTTTTTCTGCAAGATGCCACCTTTTCCCCTGAGATCAGGCATTGCATGAGAACTTCAAATAATGCACGCATGAAGAGAAAAACATGGTTTTAATCGGCAATGCAAGCACAAAAGCCATCGCTAACCCAAGCATAACAGCTCTTATTTTACTATGAAGACAGCTTCAACACGCTCATAAACACAAGCATAAGCACTTTCTTTCTCTTTTCTTGTACTTGCATTAAGGTGAATCAAGAGCTGTTACGCTTGTATCTGTACTTAAGTCAGCAGTGAAAATCAGTCCTAACCCTTTAACTCCCAAGATCTGATCGTTAATTTTCCTGGCAAGAAGGGCTTGGTCTGAGAAATATAGACAAGTAGCTCACAGATATATTAAATTGAAAATTTATGAAAATATCAATTTTTAGAACGAACACAATGTGTCGCATTTTCCCCCGGAGTTAACCACGGTGATATTTATAAGATTATGGTTTTCCGATTTAGAACGCATCCTGCAAGAAATGCTCTCGACAAAATTACTCGATTAGGTGGACAGAAGGAAAAGTACTGTCAAAACTTGAAGAACCGAGATAGGAGGAGCATAAGAAGTGTGATGGCCATGATAATACAGGCCATTGCGATTCAAAGATGACTCTTGTGAATACCTCAGATCCACCTGAAATTTTATGAAGACAGGGTCTTTTCAGCCTCCGCTCCCAGGCTGTAGAATGTCTCACCCATAGACCTTAAATTGAGCCCCTTACTTTCTGTTTTCTGAGAAAATGTTAAAGACGCATTTTTTCAGAGCTACTTATGATTAACTGTCAATTTCTAACTATGAGAAGGAGCTTTTTGTATGTACCGCTATATAGATTAATTACGCTATTATTACTATTATGACTCTTAGTAATATCGGTTAACTGGCTGGTGCTACAGAATCAACTATTCCTATTTTGAAAAAACTCGCACAAAGAAGATTAAGCAAGAAAAACGTGAACAACATTTCGCTAAGCTCCAATTTTAGAGTGACTATTACATGCTGAATAGACTTGATCGAGACACTCGTTTCCTTTGTTAAGTTGGAACTGTATCATTGTTGTGCCATAAATATGACGGTTCAGAAATCCACTGGTCTTATTTTCATCTCGGTTCTCTTTAGAGAATAATGTTGTCCTTTCCAGTGTTTCCAGTTCACTCCATTAGCAAAGGAGGAGTGATTGCCACGAAGATATAAACCATTGAGATTCGAGCGGTGACACCTCTCGTACCACCAGGCTCCTTCGTACTTAATGGCGCAGTTGTAATCTCCATGATGGTCATTATCTTGATCTTTAGTGGTGAATGGCATACCGCGATGCACAGCAAGGGAGTCACCAGAATTTCCTGAAAAAACGAGCCGCACTATGAGTATTATGTTTGACCGACAATTAGCAGTTGCTAATTCAAAAGAAACCTTGAAATATCAGATAAGTATAATTTAACAATAATGATATGGAGTAAAAGTATTCTTAGTAATATCTGTGATTCATGTCGAAGATTCTAGGAATTGAATCACTCAATCTGATAATGTCAATAAATATGTTTGCCGAGGCACTCATCAGAGTTGGATTAGTTGGTCAGGTTAGCTGCATATGATCCACCGGCAAATACCTTTGGACTAATCAACGTCCGGCGTGCGTTGTTCGGGATTGCATATCAATGAGCTGAGATTACTTTTTTGTCTTCCAAAGCTATTGATGTAAAAGATGTTAAGCATATTAACATTACTCAGCACTCTCCTCCCCCCCCCTCCCCCTCTTAGAATGACTAAAATAGAAGCGACGAAATGACTGTTTTACCTGAATAAGAACCAAGGATCAGCTTGTACTTGTCTTTCTCACTCATAACACCAAACATGTTATACTCAGCATATCGAGTATTTCCTTCAAAGTCCTCCAAGTCCACACGCAGCATGCTGTTATTATCTGAGGTCAGCCGGTGAATCTTGTCCAGTCCCAACCAAAATTCACTTTCCAGGTCACCGAAGCCATGTTTGTAGTCGTTCCAGTAGCGGTAGAAATCAACCGAGCCGTTCAGTCTTTTCTGGAACACTGTCCACCCTCCACCGGCTGTTGTTTGGTCACAGAATACATCAAAGGCAGGCAAATTATCAGGTTTAATAGTGTACACACCGTTAGTTGGTTTACCCGTGGATTTAAAGATTTCTGCGCAGTTTCTCTTGACTGAAAATCAGTAAAAACAAACAAAAAACAATATAAAACAAAACGCCCACTTTAAATGGTTTGGATGTTGATTGCATTTTGTTTGCGTTCCTGACTGTTACTCTGGGTGATAAAACTTGATTCTGAACATTAACTAGAACCATTTCTTTTTCCTTAATATCTACCAGCTATATTAATTAACAGTTACATTAATACGCTTTTCCATTTTTAGCTTTCTTCTTGAAGGCAAGTCTGGGACTTTAGCGAGTAACTCCTCGCGTACCACACGAGAGAATGGCCCAAGCAATCCAGTCATTTCACCTTTACTGATTTGGCAAGTTTCTCCACCGAATCTTTCCCGACAGACACAACGAAAACCTTTATAGGTGAATCCAGCTTGACAGGTGCCACCGTTTAAACATGGGCTGCTGCTGCATGGATTCTGTTGAAAAAATAAAGTTAACTATTGTGCAGATCTTCCTTATGTCAAGAATAAGATCACTTTAGCCTAAGAAAATGAAACAATCTCTACCACCTTAGTTTCGTAAGAATGTGAAATGTTACCTCGATTGCAAGATATGTGTAACCCGGATTGTTCACGAGAATAAATGAAGCATGGTTTTCCTCCGTGGCGTTATTCAACTCGCATTTTTGGTTTCCGCCTGCAACAGGTCCAACATTGATGGACACACAACTAGGCTCCATCAAACACATTACTTTGCAGCTCCCTTCGTTTGGCACCTCTGTAATTTTGATTACGTGATTTTTCATGGCCATGTTCGGTATTGGGTCCTTGAAATTGATGCGTCGACTATCGTTGTCTGTGGTAGGCAAAACAAATACATCATTTAGTTTCCACTCACTCCAGATAATTTCTTATTTTCATCGATGAAAAAGGCACATTAAACAACTTTATTTCAAAACTGTACAGCATGAGAACCCTGACAAGTTTTCCCTAAAGGTGATTCTCATCTCTTAAAAATTCAACGTAACTGGGAGGCTTTCATTACCAAAAATTAATCTTTGATTGTGAATTAATGAGCGGAAAGAAAATATTAAAAAAAAACAAGAATATTTTCATAGCGTTCATTAACGCACCACCATATCTGTGAATCGTTTGTTTTAATTCATCATTTGGAGCCTTTTTTAAAAATTTTACTTTTTTGTATCTTTATTCCATATTATGATAAAGTTCGGATATAACGCGCGCTGTCATTAGGTGAAAGAGCGTGCTCTATGAGAGTATAGAGCATAGAGCTGAGCTAAAGCTGTCGCGCCATCTGCCAAATTGGACTATGTCCGACCTTTTCCAGGACTTTGCTCTAGCTTTTTCTCGTTAGTCGAAAGTGAAATTTCGAAACAAGCGAGCCGGCAAGTAGCAACAGAACAATCAAACAAAGGTTTATAAACGTGCCAGGCGCCGTAATTGACGTTATTATAACGTGAGCAGAGACGAAAATCCTCAAAGAGAAAACGAAATGGACAGTCCGAGTTTTGAAGGTTTTCACGCTCAGTTTGATTGCAAGCGAATGGTAATAAAAATCAAACACAGCTAACACTCCTATATAAAGTTCGAGTTCAAAAACAAAACAGGAATGATAAGAAATATAGCCAAAGTGGCATAACTGTTATAATTCATACTAATCATGACGGTGTCAGAGCGACTGCGATCATGCTGAGGTCCAACGTGGCTAGCTCGGAGATCGCCAGTGAAGCAAGCCTCAGAAATTACATCGACCGCCCTTCGCGTGAACATCTAAAAGCTTGCTCTGATGTCCTTTCCGATGTGATGAGTGGTGATGGCCACATCAGTCACTGCAATGGCTCTGTCATCCCGAGCAATCTTCATGTTCCGGTGAATTCGTCGTTCATTCATAAAATTCGCCTTGAGCAGTTTGTTTACTATTTATCATGTGAAAAAACTTGCGTGTTTTTGTGAGCCACAATTCGGTCGGATTTCACGGAACATTTCACCTCCACAATCTGTATTATAACATAGCTAGCAGAGCCGCGCAATCAAATTCAGTATACGTTAGCGTGCTCAAAATCCTGATAGTGCACGCTAATAGCGTGAGCAAATCGCTTCTCCAGAATTTTTTTTTTTCGCGCGAGCGGCCATTGTTAGCGCGGAGAAAAATAGTATATTTCGCGACAATAATGGATACAGAGACTCGGCCCACCAGTCCCAAAACGAAGACAATTTTCCAACCTTTTTTCCCTTTGGCTAGAGTTCTTAAATGAGGCAAAAAAAAAAAGAAACACATCGGAAAAGGAGACTCCGCGAACAATCACTTCTGATTTGATGCACAATTCCACCGGCTATGTTATAAAACAATTGATTCATGCTTTTAGCTATGCACTATCGAGTTATGGAGCACGTGGGAAGTTTGGAGGGCACGAAAGAAGCTAGAGTTGCCCTCGGCTAGTGCCTCGTGCAACTCTTACGCTTCTTTCGTGCTCTCCAAACTTCCCACGTACTCCATAAATCAATAGTGCACAGCTAAAAGCATGAACCAATTGTTAATTAGAGACTAAAAAACTTCTAGCAAAAGTGTGAGATTCGACCTGCCAAACTATTTAAGTTTGTAAACAGTTGCAGAATGTGAACTTTTATGGTTTGACATTTCTGACAGCTTTAGTCTTGTACAGCCAATCAGATATTTGAACTGTTATAACAACAATTCTGATTGGCTTATTGTGCTACGTCTCGTGTTTCTCCCTACACTTCTTTCGTGCTCGAACCCGCTTCGTGCGTCCTTCACCACAGAACACAGCACACTCAAGGCCTCTCTATTTGTTAATAGAAGACACTTTGAGTTAGATAAAGCGGATTGTCTGCTTTAAGGTTATTTACTTTGATCACTAGAGGTAGCATATGTAGTTCGTGTGATTGTTTTGAGGAAACGACACCAGAAAGATGAAACACAAGAAATTTAAAAAGGGATTTATACTCACCTGTGCAACAGAAGCATGATGGGAGAATAATTCCAAGGAAGATATAGAGAATAACAATGATCGGTTGAAGAGAAAACTTCAACTGCATCGCTATAAATAAATAACTGTAAATTCAAGGTAATCAGTATGATAGTGCATGAGCGTTCCAAAATATGAAACTTCCTGTTTTCCTATAAATTTGAATGTTGACAAATGTTAGGCAGCTGTCTGCACTGGAGTATTTTTAAATTCTTACTCTATCTTGTAAATTTCATCTTATTCTGATAAGTCATAATATTTTATAAAGCTTCGAAGAAGAACGAAATAGAGAACATTACCGTTATCGGAGGTGACAGGAGTTTATCAATATGTTTATTTTCAGCCTGTTTAACTTTGAGCTTGCGGCAGTTAAGTTAAGAGCAAGAAATAAATTTTTGCAGACTTGCTACCGAAAAAGATGTCAGATCACTTCTGAAATAAAAAATGTTAACAATTTATCCTTATAACTTGCGGCAATCAAATTAAGAGCAAGAAACAAATTTTTGATTTGACTTGCTGCCGACAAAGATGTCAGATCACTTCTGAAATACAAAATGTTAACAATTTATCCTTTTTTATCTCAAAATGTTCTTCACTACGATAGAACAGCATTGCACATTATTAACATGAAGATAAATTTTGTAGCAACTTTAAATTGAACAATGCAATAAATGTATGTAAAGTACAAAGGCCTAAGTTGTTAATGTTTCGTTTTGTTCATGGTAGTTGAACAGGGTAGTTAGTATTAAACATCACCCAAACATCATTATCTTAGACAGGTCGCACGCATTCTATGACTTTCGGATGATATTTGAGAACTTCAACCTAAAAACTTTCAAATTTGTAACAACTTTGACCAGAAGGGTGTGACAGAATGTGAAATATCGTGTGGCTGAATTGACAGAAATTTACTCAAAATTTTTCTTGATCATTTCTGCAATCAACGCAATTGGTCTAAGCAAGAAAGGCTTGGTCTAAGAAATATAGATGAGTAACCCACAGATCTCTTACCTTCTGAGAGAAAAAGTGTTTTTCGTACTTGGTTTTGTTCTTGAGGGTATCAATAATGAAAACTTTATGGTGTCGTGCTTTTCTCCTTTTTATAAAACTGTTTGAACTTCTGTAACTATGGTTACAAAACAAAACCTCTGTTTTATACGCCACAGTCCTTCTTCCTTTTCAGCTGTTCTAATTTCTGTTACTCATCAGGTCAAAGCTTTTACGTTTTAATCTAAATGACTGCGGAGTCTCATCTTAGTACCACTGGATATGACAGTCAATGAAATATTTCTATGAAAATCTAGTAGTATGTTCCGAAATACATATATCGCAAGTCTAACTCTTAAACAAAGCTGCAAACTTCTTGGTTAAAACACTATCAGCGGGACATGTAAGAAGTTTTAGAATTACACAACGTGGTCCTATTTTCCTTGGTGATATGTGTTATGACAGGTCATGACAGGTCTACGTTTTTCAAGTTAAAAATCTATGAAAATATGTCGGAATTTTTAGAACTACACAACGTGTCACATTGAGCTACTTATATAAAACGGTCGGAGTTTGTTCAATGAACTAATTTGCATAATCGGCTGTCACGCTAGCAAAATCGCTGAAAGTTTGAAGTCACCGCGGCGGACAAAATTAATAAGTGCAAGATGTTTTTATATTTTTCTGCAGCCAAACATCTTATTAGAAGAAATCAAGCGGAGTTTTCAATGGTCTGGTCTGGACTTGAGCAATATCAACCAAGTAGGAAAGAGTACTTTTGACCAATTTCAGAAAGCTGTCTAACGAGTGTTTTCAAATAAACTATGACGAACCCCTGAATAAACAGATATCAAAATTGAAATACTTTTTATTCACTTAACATATCACACAGTTTAAAAATACAAAAGATTTTTTGCTGCATGCCGTGTGATACGAGGACCAGGGTATTCAACTTTTGAAATTTTCGATGTCGCAAGAGGTCAAAAAAGGGCCTTTAGCAGCTTTGACTTTTGAGAGCTCTAAAAACTTTATTTTAACGTATTTCCAGAAACTAATATGGTTTTATTTACTTGCTACCAAAGATAGTTTATTGGGCAAAGTTTGAGGGAAAACTTTTTTCCGATGCGAAATACCCTGGACCGCTCTTACACAGATCGCCTCTTAAAAGCATTATATGCGAGAGATTATCTGAAGTGAAATCTACATTTTCTGGGTCGTTTCGTTTCAGTCGTTTCACTTGATTCGTTTTGGTCGTTTCGTTTTGCTGTTTCGGGTCTTGGTACATGCCGAAATTATAAACGATATCAACACAAACTAAACATTTCGACTTAATATCTGTCCGCTGAAAAAACTGATCTTACTAGAAAGTGCCCAGAAACTTGGAAAAAATGGCGATAAAATGCAAGGGGTACATGACGACTTTGAGGTTTCTTTTTTTTCACCCAGGAAGCCATAGGCCTGCTTACTGATAAAATATACAGTGTTACAGAGAATGTGATATACTGATATACAAGTAAGCGTTGTTCGATACTGTACTTCTCATCGTGCGCGAAAACCTTATTTGCAGTAGAGTACTCTTGTTAAAAGAGGTTGTTATTGACCACAAGGTAACTTAGTTCTAATAACTGAGTTGACAATGCAAATGATCTCCATAAAGGGTTTCTAAGGCTACCATTTCGAACGTCCCTCAACAGAGCTTTATTAATAACACCATTTTCATCGTCGCTCGACATAATTCCTGTGAATACGTTGACCCTCGTGCAAAAAATGGAAAGTAGCTTACAAACATATTTCTTACCTTCTGACTGACAAAATGTTTGTTGTACTTGATATTGTGTTTGGGTATGTTATGAGTGGTGAACATAAACGCCACAGGCCTTCTTCCTGTTCAGCTGTTCTACTTATTTCTAGTCATCAGATCACTGCTTTTGTGTTAACTGTGGGTGACTGGTTTTCTCTAAATAACATTGTAGAAGTATAATACTCAATGAAATACCTCAATAAGAGTCCTGCAAACAAAGCTACAAATGAAATGAGATCAATAATTGTAGGAACCCAAACACAGTGAGACAAAGTCTCGAGGGAAATTTGAAACAAGCCTAGGACGTTATAATCAACCATTAATTTTCGCGCCCATATACTGGCTACTTTACAAAAAACACTCTTTTTGTAGAGTCTAGTAAAATATTAAAAACCTGGTCGCAACTGCGCATCCGCATCAGATAAGCACTTGTTTTTCACGAGCGGTCTCGGGTGATATGAGAATTAAGAGGAGGGTACGTTTTAAAATAGATAAACCTCTTTCTGGCTTGCTGGTATTTCGGCTGATATTGTCCTTGGCTGAAAGATTGTTATAAAAACGTCATATTTTCCCTCGAAGCTTTGCTGCTCGGCCAAATATTTTTTAAAATTTTTGGACAATATCTCAGCCGTGGACATTATCAGCCGATTTACCAGCCGCCCGAATGGGTTTATTTACTAATTAGTTGTATCTCAAAAACAAGCAGAATGTTAAGGCCGTCGGAAAAATCTTCAAACGGCCGTCAAAGGATACGGTCATTGTTCCGAATATTTAAACCACGAAAATACCGTATAAGGGGTCTTTCTTTTTCTATTAGATTAAAGTGAGGGTCTTAAATACCCCAAAGAATATCAATCGCTAAAAAAGTGGTGTCGTGCCATCGTTAATAAAACTATTTTAAGTGCTGTAATCATGGTTACAAAACAAAATATGTTTAATAAGCGATGAACGGACGCGCTTTAGTTTTTCTTCCTAATCATACGTTCCAATTGTAGGTATTCATCAGTTCATGGTTTTGGTCTTTTATATTTTTGATAATCCAGTACAAGGTTTTTGAAAAGTGCCGGAAAGTCAAATTCTATGAAAAAGCCTCAAATGATTAGATGTGAATGATAATTGTTGGAACACAAACGCAGTAGAATTGACAATAGAAAACATAAATATTTCTAGTTTAAGATCGTGTTTGCCTAAAATCTTTTGCTTTTTTAGCTGGTGGCTTTCTCTCAGGCAACCAGGATGAAGAAATGATACAGCAAAACGAAACGAAACGTGCGAAACCACCGAAATGACCAAAGCAAAACGATCGAAACAAAACGAACCTAGCGACCAAAACGAACGACCGATATGACCCAAAAATATACATAAAATAACACGGGGGCGGATCTAGGGGAGGCCACATAAAGCACAGTAGTCTATGGTCAAAGGTAGGGACCATCTTTGAATCGTGCGTCTTCGACGTCAGAATAGGGTAATTCTGTTTTCCAAATAAGTGAGAAGTTCTTCTCAGTGCCATCGCCTGAGATAAGATTTCTTGTCGTTCTCATCATATATTCCATGTAGAATTTTTGCGCTTCTCAGAACGAGTTTTATTGCGTGGGGAGCCCGCCAGTTCGAACGACAATTCAACCTTACCTGTCCTTAAAGTGTTCTGACTTCCGGTTCTCTGTTACAACTCTACTTCCGGTTATTATACTTTCAATTATCGAATGATACTCCTACATCACGTCTGACCATACGTTTTACGACTGGCATCCTATTTTATACAAACCCAAACACAAGAGCCAGCTCGTAGGCTAAACAGACGGCGGTAAGAGGTCCTATATGCGGAGAGACACCGCCGCCAATCGGCTTTCATTGAATCCGTGCTGACCCTTAAGAATGACTACCACTTAATTTCTCCTTACATTGTTACCCCTGAATCAAACATTAAGGTCATGAGAAAAGAAGAAATGACCAACAACTGAAGAAGCTCTTGATCGTTAAACAAATTCTCCCTGTCATCAGCTGAGGAAATGTATAGAGAGCAGTATGGAGAATATGCATCCTGATGTTAGGGTGTAAAGGGTGAAACGAAGGTGAATCGTTTGAGCCTGCCACTAACAAATTTCTTGCTTTCACCAGAGACATGAATTTCAGAGCGTGGATGGTGGAAACCTACCTGCAGATTCCTCGGTACCTGGGACGCGCACCTAAAGATGTAGACAAACTCACGTCTAAATTTAAAACTTTACACGAATTGGACGCCATAGCCGCAGAACGAGCTGAAAGAAAGGTCTCCGTTTCTTGATTTCGTTCCCCATCGCATTGAAATTGTGAAAAACCGAAAACTTTTATGTATCATAGATTTTAATCATTTATAAGTAACTAAAGCTGTAAGGAGTCCTCTTTCAGCCTGCAAAGATCACAATCGATCCAATAGGCCACTTTCGATACATCAAAATTCTAAAGTGGCTCCGAGGCTAGAATAAAACAAAACATATTTCACCTACTCATCCTTACATTTGTTATTTCTACAAACTCACTTTGTAACACAATCACCTGATGAGCCATATCTGCAAAATGGACCTTGTGCGTGACAATGTGTTCTTATGATTAAAATTGCAATATGTTTATCAATAGCAGTGCAAGGTATTTACTTTAGCAAAAGCTAAGAAAATTCAAATAAAAGCAACATATGAAGCATTTTAGAATCAACGACATTGCCGTACTGCATTCCAGTGTACACAAGAACTTGAAATATTTGTTTTTCTGATAGCGTTCTTTAGATTCAAATCATTGGGTAATTGTTTGGAGTTTCGTTATAGAAATCAAAGGGAACTAGAACTGAATTAGCGACTAGGTTTATTCTTCTGATCTTGACTTTAAAAAAACCAAGGCTGTGTGATCGCTTTGCGTTCCGTCAACTGAAAATACGAGTCAAAATTGTAAAGAATCAAAACTTGTAGAACCGAGATAGAAGGAGCGTAGGACGCCTGATGGCTATGATGATACAAGCCATTTAGATTCGAGGATAACTCTTGTGAATACCTCAGACCCGCCTAAAATTTTATGAAGGCAGGGTCTATTCAGCCGCTGCCCCCAGGCTATAGAATGTCTCACCCATAAACCTTAAATTGAGTCCATTAGTTTCCGTTTTTTTTAAACAAATTAAAGACGCATTTTTCCACAGCTTCTGATGATGAACTGTCAATTTACAACTATGATCAAGAGCTTTTTGCATCTACTGCTATATAGATTAAGTTATTATTGCTATTATGATGATTATTATTATAGGTTAACTGGCCCATTCTACAGAATCAACTATTCCTATTTTGAAAAACACGCACAAAGAAGCAAGAAAAACCTGAACAACATTTCGCTAAGCTCCAATTTAAGAGTGATTATTACATGCTGAATAGACCTGATCGAGACACTCGTTTTTTTTGTTAAGTTGGTACTGTATCATTGTTGTGCCATAAACATGACAATTCAGAAATCCACTGGTCTTATTTTCATCTCGGTTCTCTTGAGGGAGTAATGATGTCCTTTCCAGCCTTTCCAATTCACTCCATTAGCATAGGAGGAGTGCTGGCCACGAAGATATAAACCATTGAGATTTGATTGGTGACAATTCTTGTACCACCAGGCTCCTTTGAAGTTATTGGCGCAGTTTTCACCTCCACGATGGTCATTATCTTGATCTTTAGTGGTGAATGGCATACGGCGATGTACAGCAAGAGAATCACCAGAAGTTCCTAACAAAACGAGTAGCAATATGAGTGTTACGTTTCACCAACTACGAGCCGTTCGTAATTCAAAAGAAATCATGAAATATCAGATAAGTATAATTTAACCATGATGAAATGGAGTAAAAGTATTTTATTAATATCTATGATTTATGTCAAAGATTCTTGAGATTAATCACTCAATATGATAATGCCAATAAATATGTTTATCGAGACACTCATCATAGTTGGATTACCTCGTCAGGTTAACTGCGCATGATCCACCGGCGAATACATTTGGACTAATCAATGTCTGGTATGCACTGTTCAGGATTGCATATCGATGAGATTACTTTTTTTGTCTTCCAAAGCTATCAGTGTAAAATATGTTAAGCATATTTACATCACTCAGCACTCTTCTTCCCCCCTACCCCTCCTAGAATGGCAAGAATAGAAGCGACGAAATGACAGTTCTACCTGAATAGGAACCAAGGATCAACTTGTACTTGTCTTTCTCACTCATAACACCAAACAAGTAATACTCGGCATAAGCTGTGTTCCCTTCAAAGTCCTCCAAGTCCACACGCAGCATGCCGTTATTATCTGAGGTCAGCCGGTGAATCTTGTCCAGTCCCAACCAAAACTCACTTTTCAGGTCACCAAAGCCATGTTTGTAGTCGTTCCAGGAGCGGTAGAAATCAACCGAGCCGTTCAGTCTTTTCTGGAACACTATCCAACTACCACCGGCTGTTGTTTGGTCACAGAATACATCAAAAGCAGGAAAATTATCAGGTTTAATGGTGTACACACCGTCAGCTGGTTTACCTGCGGACTTGTAGATTTCTGCGCAGTTTCTTTTGACTGAAAATCAGTAAAAACAAACAAAAATCAAAATAACACAAAATGCCCACTTTAAATGGTTTGGATGTTGGCTGCTTTTTGTTTGCTACCTGACTACTGCTCTGGCTGATAAAACTTAATTCTGAACATTAACTAGTACCATTTCTTTTTCCTTAATATCTACCAGCTATATTCATGTAAAGTTACAGTAATAGGCTTTTCCTTTTTAACTCGTGAATTGCGTGCATGTGCAAGAGCGAGTTGTAGATATGATGTGGAGAATGGCACTCGCTCGCTCGCTCGATTGGTCGATTCCTGTAAACTTTTTTTCAATTTTAGGCTTTTGAGTGCATTTGATAGTATTTGGCAAGTAATAAACAAACGAAATGGCGACCTTTGTTGCTAAGAATAGTGGTGGGGTGAAAAAGAAGCCAATGATAATCTTGAAAGAGTTTATTTTTTTTCGTCTAAGTTTCAACAAGCGGCGCCAGCGACTGGCAGGCGTGCGAGGATTCACACTGAAATAAGAGAACAACCTTCGTTTATAAAATTGTAATTTACAATCCTTGAACTTGAAAACAATCCGAAGATTCATTAAAAATATCACTTACTCCGAAGCGGAGTTTACAGGTGTTCAAAAGCTTTTTCTGTTATGGCGTGAGATTGGGGACAAAATCGATCATTGCATTACGTATCGCGTGTTTTTTCTGTGTGAAGCAACAAAAGGTGCCGGCGACTGACGAAATTACAGGTTAACACGAAACTCAAATAACACCTAAACAAACAATTTTAGCTACCGATTTTCAGCGAATTTTTAAAAAACGATTTTCTTTTAAGTTTCAAGACAATTTGAAGATTCAAAACAAATATTACGTACTAAAATGCGAAAGTTATACACCACAAAATTGATAAATAGGCCTGAATGAAATTCTATCTTGTTTTTGATTATACGTTGCCTAGCACGTGACCAAAATCTACCCAGGCTGAAATCCAAAATGACGGTGGCAGTCTGGGCTTAGTTATATCACTCAAAACTCGTTCCTGTATGTCTCATTTGATAAAGAGGGAATCACTCATGTTTTCATTAAGGCAGTATTGCCTTGATTTTCCAATATTTACAATGATAGACAATAAATTTCACTTTTCACCTACATTTACTTCCAACCTTTTCTTTTGAACCAGAAACAAAAATGATATATATTTAAAACACATGATATCATTCACCCTTGTCAAATGTAATGGCATGATCATTTCAGTTGTAATGCCTTCTTATCCAAACGTTACCTTTGTTTCTTTGCTACATTAGCGAACACTGAACTACTGCTCGTACTCTAAATATGACAATCAGCCACAAAATTTCCTAAACCAGATAACATTAAACATAATCCAAAAATCATGTAAGTCATCTGTCAATTTACGAGTTTGCTCACAAACCACTTTGATTAGCTTTACTTCAGTGGTTACTATTTTATTGTTGAAGTCAAGTTTGGGACTGAAGTGAGTAACTCCTCGCGTACTAAACGAGAGACTTGCCCACACAATCCTCTTATTTCACCTTCACTGATTTGGCAAGTTTCTCCAGTGAATCTTTCCCGACAGACACAACGAAAACCTTTATAGGTGAATCCAGCTTGACAGGTGCCTCTGTTTAAGCATGGGCTGCTGCTGCATGGATTCTGTTAAAAAAACAAAATAAACGTTTGTGCAAATCTTCCCTATGTCAAGAATAAGATCACTTTAGCCTAAGAAAATGAAACAATCTCTTCTACCATCTTAGTTTCGTAAGAATGTGAAATGTTACCTCGATGGCAAGATATGCGTAACCCGGATTGTTCACGAGAAGAAATGGAGCATGGTTTTCCTCCGTGGCGTTATTCAAATCGCATTTTTGGCTTCCTCCTGCAACAGGTCCAACATTTATGGACACACAATTAGGCTCCATATAACACATTACTCTGCAGCTCCCTTCGTTTGGCACCTCTACACTTTTGATCGCGTGATTTTTCATGGCCATGTTCGGTATTGCGTCCTTGAATTTGATTTGTCGACAATCGTTGTCTGTGGTAGGCAAAACAAATATATCATTTAGTTTCCACTCACTCGAGATGATTCATTTCTTATTTTCACTAATGAAAAAGGCACAGTAAACCACTTTATTTCAAAACTTTACAGCATGAGAACCCTGACGAGTTTTCCCAAAAGGTGATTCTCATCTCTTGAAATTCAACGCAACTGACATGGGAGGCTTTCATTACCAAAAATTGATCTTTGATTGTGAATTCATGAGCGGAAAGAAAATATTTAAAAAGATATCAAGAATATTTTCATAGCGTTCATTACCACACCACGACATCTGTGAATCGTTTGTTTTAATTCATCATTTTGAGCCATTGATGCACATGTGGTGAGGTCTTTTTTAATTTGAATTTTTTGTATCTTTTATTCCATAATAGAAGACATTTGGAGTTGGATAAAGCAGATTGTCTGCTGAAAGATTATTTGCTTAGATCAGCAGGTAGCGTATGTTGTTACTGTAATGGTTTTGAGGAAACGACACCAGAAAGATGAAACACAAGAAATTTAAAAAAGGGATTTATACTCACCAGTGCAACAGAAGCATGGTGGGAGAATAATTCCAAGGAAGATATAGAGAATACTAATGATCGGTTGAAGGGAAAACTTGAACTGCATCGCTATAAATAAATGATTCTAAATTCATGGTAAAAAATGTGATAGTGAGTGTCCCAAAATATAAACCTTCCGGTTTCCTGCAAATTTGAATGTTAACAAATGTTAGGCAGGTGCCAGCTTTGTCTAACTAAAGGAACTCTTAATTAGCACAACATTTCGAAGGCAAATACTTCGTCTAGTTTCGGTATTGGTCTAAAAATCGTTGCTATGCTAACAGCTTGTGTTATTCCGTAAAAAAACCCTAGTATTAATTTCTTCATAATAAATATTCATTTTCTAAGGTGAATTAACCACTACAAAAGGCGCAAAAAGAGGAAAATAATAGACCGTTGTTGTTTGTCTGCATTGGGGAATTTTTTAAATTCTTACTCTATCTTGTAAATTTCATCTTCTTCTGATAAGTCATAATATTCTATAAAGCTTCGGAGAAGAACGAAATAGAGCGCATCACCCTTATCGGAGGTGACAGGAGTTTATCAATATGTTTATTTTCAGCCTGTTTAACTTTGAACTTGCGGCAGTTAAGTTAAGAGCAAGAAATAAATTTTTGTAGACTTGCTTCCAACAAAGATGTCAGATCACTTCTGAAATGCAAAATGTTTACAATTTATCCTTCTTTATCTCAAAATATTCTTCAGGACGATAGAACAGCATTGCACATTACTAATATGAAGATTAACTTTGTAGCAACCCTAAGCAACAATGCGATAAAATGTACGTAAAGTACAGAGGCTTTAGTTTTTTATGGCTCGTATTGCTCATCGTAGTTGGCATTAAACATTACCCGATTTTGTCTTAGTTAGACTGGTCGCAAGCATTTTATGACTTTCGGATGATATTTGAGAACTTCAACCTAAAAACTTTCAAATTTGTGACAACTTTGACCAGAAGGGTGTGACAGAATGTGAAATATCGTGTGGCTGAATTGACAGAATTTAACACAAAATTTTTCTGGATCATGTCTGAAATCAGCGCAATTGGTCTGAGCAAGGAAGGCTTGGTCCAAGAAATATGGATAACTAGCTAACAGAGATATGCTTCTTACCTTTTGAGCGAAAAAGTGTTTTTCGTACTTGGTTTTGTTCTTGGGGGATATCAATAGTGAAAACTTTCTGGTGTCGTGCTTTCCTTTAATTAATCGTTGGTTACAAAACAAAACCTCTGTTTTAAGTCCTTCTTCCTGTTCAGCTGTTCTAATCGTTGTTAGTCATCAGGTCAAAGCTTTTGTGTTTAAATCTAAATGACTGCGGAGTCTCATCTTAGTACCACTGGATATGACAGTCAATTAATATTTCTATGAAAATCCAGTAGAATGTTTTGAAAAACAGTTATCGCAAGTCTAACTCTTAAACAAAGCTGCAAACTTCTTGGTTAAAACACTATCAGCGGGACATGTAAGAAGTTTTAGAATTACACAACGTGGTTCCAATTTCCTTGGTGATATGTGTTATGACAGGTTCACGTTTTTCAAATTGAAAATTTATGAAAATATGAATTTTTAGAACTATACAACATGTCGTATTTTCCTCCGGAGTTAACCACAGTGTTACATATAAGGTTCTGATTTTCCAATTTAGAAAGTATCTTGCAAAAAACGTTGTCGTCAAAATTACTCTTATTTTCCTAGGCAACCAGGATGAAGAAATAATATCATAAAACTAAGGCCCGAAACTAAAACTAAACTAAAACCCAAAACAGCAAAACAATACGAAATACGTGAAACATGCAAAACCACCGAAATGACCAGAACAAAAAAGATTGAAACGAAACGAACCTAACGACCAAAACGAAACGACCGAAACGACCAAAATAGTATACAAAAAAAATTGATAAAAATAAAATGAATGCCCAAGGGTGTCAGGCGTCAGTCGTCATATTCATCTCGTTTAGATTATGGTCTACTCCTAATCTATCTCACGGGGAAATTCAGTTATCTCTCTATTAACATCAGCTTGGCGTGAGGCGTCGAGGAAACTATATTGAAAAAAAAAAAAACTAAAAAACTTACGTACATAGATGTTTTCATTGAATACCGTTATCTGTTTCTTCCTCTCCTTACGTTTTGGTATTCAATTTGGCTGGCGTTTCGTCCTGAAACTGCATACAAGTGTCTAATTTAGTTTTAGCTGCTCGCGTGGTGGAGAAAAAATAAAGTTTCGTGAGACGGCCATAATAATTTAAAAGCCTTAAATGCGAGAGAATGTCTGAAGTGAAATTTACATTTTCTGCGGTCGTTTCGTTTTGGTCGTTTCGCTTGTTTCGTTTTAGTGTTTCGGGTCTTAGTACATGCCGAAATTATAAACGATATCACCACAAGTTAAACATTTTGACTCAATATCTGTCCGCTGAAAAAAGTGATCTTATTCGGAAGTGCCAGAAACTCAGGAAAAATGGCGATAAAATGCAAGGGGTACATGTCGACTATAATTTTTTTTTCACCCAGGAAGCCATAGGCCTAAGTACTGATAAAATATACAATGTTAAAGAGAATGTGATATACTGTTACAAGTAAGCGTTGTATGATACTGTACCTCTCATCGTGCGTGAAAATCTTAGTTGTGGTAGGGTACTCTTGTTCAAAGAGGCTGTTATTAGCGACAAGGTAACTTAGGTCTATCAGCTGAGTTGATAATGCAAATGGTCTCCGTAAAGGGTTCCTAAGGCTACCATTTCGAATGCCCCTCAACAGAGCTTTATTAATAACATCATTTTCACCGTCGCTTGACATAATTCCTGTGACTACGTTGACCCTCGTGCAAAAAATGGAAAGAAGCTTACAAATATATTTTCTTACCTTCTGACTAACAAAATGTTTGTACTTGATATTGTGTTTGGGTGTGTCAGAAGGGAAAGTTGTATCTTGTTACCCTCTAGAGAAGTGTTTGAAGTGCTGTAACTGTGGTTACAAACAGACCTTCTTTCTGTTCAGCTGTTCTACTTATTTGTAGTCATCTGATCATTGCTTTTGTGTTAACTGTGGGTGACTGGTTTTCTCCAAGTAACATTGGACAAGTATAATAGTCAATGGAGTACCTCATTAAAAGTCCAGCAGAGGAGTTTTGAAAAAGTCAGAAAATCTAACTCTAAAACAAAGCTGCAAATGATGAAAATGTGATCAGAAATTGTAGGAACCTAAACACAGTGAGACAAAGACTCGAACGAAATTTGAAACAAGTCTATAACGTCATAATCAACCCATTAATTTTCGCGTAATTATATTGGCTACTTTACAAAAAACATTCTTTTTTAGAGTCTAGTAAAATATTAAAAGGTGGTCGCAACTGCGCATCCGCATCCACATCAGATAAGTATTTGTTTTTACGAGCGGTTCCGCGTGATATGAAAATTAAGAGGAGGGTACGTTACAAAATAGATAAACCCCTTTCTGACTTGTTGGTATTTCGGCTGATAAGGTCCTTGGCTTAAAGACTGTCCTAAAAACTTCATATTTTCTCTCGAAGTTTTGCTTCTGGGCCAAATGTTTCCAATTTTTGGACAATATTTCAGCGGTGGACATCATGAGCCGATTTACCAGCCGCCCGAATGCGTTTATTTACAAATCAGTTGTATCTCAAAACAAGCGGAATGTCAGTGTCGTCGAAAAATCTTAAAACGATTACAGTTGTATAGAAATCGGCTATCAAAGGATACGGTCATGTTCCAAACATTTAAACCACAAAAATACCATATAAGGGGTCTTTCTTTTTCTAATAGATTAAAGTGAGGGTTTTAAATACCCCTGAAAATATCAATGGCTAGAAAAGTGGTGTCGTGCCATGGTTAATAAAACTATTTTAAGTACTGTAACCATGGTTACAAAACAGAAAACGTTTAATAAGCGATGAACAGAAGTGCTTTAGTTTTTCTTCCTAATCAGTCATTCAAATTGTTGTTATTCATCAGCTCATGGTTTCGGTCTTTTAAATAGTGCCGGAAAGTCAACCTTTATGAAAAAGCCACAACTGATTAGATTTGGATGATAATTGTTGAAACACAAACACAGTAGAATTGAAAATAGAAAACCTTAATATATTCAGTTCAAGATCGTGCTTGCCTGGAATTTTTTTGCTTTTTTTTAGCAGTTGGCTTGCATCGAATTATTTGAGGAATTTTCAAAAGTTTACCTTCGATTGGTTTTTCAAATTGATCGTGGAAGTACAATTAAGAGAATATTGATATTCTCTTGTAGAAGTATTATAAATAGTAGTGGTAGAAGTAGTAATTAATGGTATTAGTACAGGTAGTATCTCAAAAAGTCTGATTTGAACAACTAAAAAAAATGATCTTATGGTGGACAGCAGTACAATTACATCCACCCACGCTCCTTCATACAAAGACAGACAAAAATTTGAAATTCAAATTCTAATCCCCTGCCAAATTTTTGATCAACGGTGTGGTTGACTAAAGTGCAAAAATGAAAATAATTATGAAAGGTTTTCAGATTCTTGGTAAGTAATCTTGCAAGTAGCTCTATATATTTCCTTGGACGAGAGCAGGGTAGTTAGCATTAAACATCACCCGATTTTATCTTAGTTAGACTGGTCGCAAGCATTCTATGACTTTCGGATGGCAATTGAGAACTTCAAATTAGAAAAAAAAGTTTGTAACAACTCTGAGCAGAAGGATGTGACAAAATATGAAATATTGTGCGGCTTTATTTCTGCAATCAGCGCCATTGGTCTGGTCTAGCTGCCTAACATTTCCTTGTAAATTAGTTGTAAGAATTTGGTGTTAGATCAAGATAAAAACTTCTACCTGATACAACTGAATATTCTCATTACCTGTTTGCTGGATAGTAAATGGATATTGTAGGGAGAAATTACATGTGAATCACTTCCGTGAGTTAAAGGGTTAAGTCCTCTGGTTTGTATGTTAAGTAATATGCAGGTTTTTATCTTTTCCTTGTTGTTGCATATTATGTTCAGAAGGGAGGTGAAACCCCAACCAATTGACACACCTATTTGTTTGTTTGAGGTTTTGCAGAGGTTTTTTTTTTCAGCCTTTTTGAACTGTATATTTTTTCTTCTTTTATTGCACACTGAAGAAGGACTTTTTGTTTAAAGTGCTATAGATACACTTTCATTTCCGTTATCAGTAGGTAAAGCACTGGTCAGAGAAACTCGGTTGGTATAATGAGTTACTGGTATAAATTTTGACTCTATATTATTAATAACTGCAGTTTGTCATGATTTTATAATCATATATTGGTAACACATTCTAAATAATAATAATGAAATAAAAAATTGTTACGGCTTTTTTTCAAATCATTCAGTTGTGTACTTCACATAACTGTTAATAGCTGAAAATTTCCTATCTAAATTATCCATTTCTTTTTAGCAAACCGTTTTCTTGCTTATTTTTTTCAACATTTTCTAATAAAGTATAATAATAAGAAAATATTTTGATAATCTATCATAAAATGACGTCACTTCCGACGTGAACCATGACATAGCAGCTGCATGAAGCAATTGTTGTTCAGGTGAGGAATTTGGAAGCAGGCTGGTAACAGAACACCAGATGAAGAGTATTGCAGTATTCTGGTTCATAAGGAAACCAGTTTACTGTCTGGGCTTCATCATCTGAACAAGACTAGCAGTGCGCGGTCAAAAAAATTGTGATTCGCATCAGATGTGACAACATCCTGAGATAAACAATAATATTTTGTTATCAACATTGAAGCATCAAAATTTTGCAAGACTTTTACTTCACAGGTCAGCCAATTTTTTTTTGTTTTTTTTAAACTGATGTTTATGACCTTCTCATTAAACAATAGCATTTTAAAAACAGACTGAGGAAAAAGAAATTTTCAACTTTCAATTCCTGCCGGATACTCTTTATTTTACTGATTTTTATATCATAAAAGGGCAATACCTTAATACCCAACCCGACTGTCACATCAAGAGAATGGAGCAGGAGCCTTGCACTTACCCCATGCCCATTCTGATTTCCTTAGCTTTTTTAATTGGCTATTAAAGTAAAGACTGATAAGGGACCTTTTTTCCAGCTGGGTCCAGAAAAACCCTCAAATCTGTAAATATTAAAGCTGAAAATTTTTCTTGCTACACTATGTTAGAAAAATAGATATTTCAGAACTTTAATTTTCAACTGAATAAATATTTATATTATTTTCTTTACGCTGTGGTGCCAATCTATGTAAAGTCTTCTTCCCAGCTATTCTTTAAGATGTCACGCGAGGCTCCCTGGGTGTTGCATGACATTCCAAAACCACTGCAAAGGAGATTAACCCAGACATGAACTAAGCACCTCTTGCAAGTGTAAGCAGCGGTGAAAGTCTTCTCCACATCTTCATCATTCAAATCCTCATTACTTTCATAATTCAGTTCTTGGGAATTTTCTATTAGCATATCTCTAGTTCTAAATAATTCTTCAGGTATATATGTCAGTCTTAAAGGTGAGCTACAATGAATTTCTCCAATATCAATTGAATGACCTTCTGTGTTGAATATGTAACCTGCAGAGCCAGGATTACATGAAGGTGATTGCGTTGCTTTGATTTGTTGATCCACAGAGCCATTGCTCTGGTGAATGAAATTGTGTTCATCAAATAAAAGATATAAGTAATTGGTTGTCTCAGCTAAGAAAAAAGACTCCACTCTCTCCTCTTGCTCAAGCGCTTTCACATCTTTTATCTAAAAAAATTAGTATGAAACCCAATTAGCAGGGAGAAATCCTTTGATAAAGTATCCTCTTTAACACTTTACACATAAGAATCACTGTAGCCATATTCTATAATTCCTTCAATTTTTCCTGGAAGTAAAATAAAATTCTCAAAAATATTATATTATACCTAGTATATGCTAATAAGTAAAAGCTAAACTATCTTTGAAATGTAGCCCTTAAGAAGAGAGAACGTCGCAATAAGGGGCCTTTGAAAAACGTGGAACGTCAAACTCTTTCACAAAATTGCAAATAACTTAGCTTGGTAATTGGGCGATCAAAACATCACAACGCGTGAGCAACTGTTTAAGCGAAATATGTAATGTCCAATTAACTACAAATAGTTGCATCTTTAAACACAGAGTTGAGAGAAACAAAATAAGAATACTTTTTGATTATTTTCTGTTCGAATATACTCATTCTTACATTTTGTATTTTAACGAAGTAATGTAGCATAATGCACTAAATGAGCCCTTTTGTCTACGAAAGTGACGTTTAGTATTCATGAATAACAGAGCGATACGTAATCGTAGGTAATCATATAATACGCAGAAATTATACAACATTGATTGCAAATGAGGGGAAGTCATCGAAGCTACAGAGCCTTTGGGGGGGATAGACAAATTCAAAATCCTTTGATCCCTCCCTCCTGCGATAAATAATGACGACCCCTTACTCTTCTTAAGTCTTCTTGAAAGAATAACAGCGGTGTACTAACTAAATCGTTTGGCAGTTTGGTGTTTCGTGAAGCTTGTGAAAATATAAAACAAATCTTTCAAAGACTAAAATTTTATTTTTTAGGTGTATAACAAGGGGGATTCATCCATGCCTCAATATCAAAAAAATATACAAGATAAAAATCCCATCGAAACAAAAAGAGAACAATCTACACAGCCTTAGAAAGTTCAACGAACGTTCACTAAGCCGGCAAACCCATCAATGTTTATTTTAGCGCGGAACAAGCTTGATCAAGTCATTAGTTTTTGTTAAGTAGGTACTTAATCACAATTGTGACATAAATATGACAGTTCAGAAATCCACTGGTCTTATTTTCATCTCGGCGCTTGAGGGGGTTGCGATAATCTTTCCAGCCTTTCCAGTTTACACCATCAGCATAGGAGGACTGATTGCCGTGACGATACCATCCATTGAGATTTGACGCATGACACGCGCTGTACCACCAGGCTCCTTTGAACGTTTCTGTGATGACCATTATCATGATCTCTCGTGGTGACTGGCCGATCATGAGGGAGAGAGGAACTAATGTTTCCTAAAAAAACAAACTTGGAATTAACGGTAATAAAAATAATAATAAATTAAAATTCTCATAACCCTTATCAAATCATTTGCCGAGATATTTATCACACTTGAATTGTTCCGTCGGGCTAACAGGACAAGATCCGTCGGCGAACACTTTCAGATTTAATCAATGTCTAGTCTGCGCTGTCTAAGATTATTGTATTTCGGTAGGCTTAGCTTATCATTTTTTTTTCCATCTTTGGAACCTATTGCTGTAAAAGAATTGAAGCTTCTTTACTTTAATTTACGCTCTCCTTCCCCGTAATAATAAAAAGGAAAAGTACCGTTACGCCTCAATAGGAATCACGAATCAGCCTGCATTTGTCATTCTCACTCTTGACATCAAAAGTGTTATACTCAGCATAAGCTGTGTTCTCTTCAAAGTCTTCCAAATCCACACGCAGCATGTTCTTACTTTCTGAGATCACTCGATGATTCTAGTCCAGTCTCAACCAAAATTCACTTTTCAGGTCATCGAAGCCAAAAGCTACTTATGGAAGCTACAGCAAAGAATGGTTTACCATCTGCAGCAGTAATCATTGAATTCAAGGTCACTGCTACCAGGCTACTAAACTAAGGTAAGTCTCCTTTAAACTTAATAGGTAAATATAGTAAGGAGATAGGTAATGAGGAAAAAGAAGATTTTGTTATTTATTTTAAACAATCGGTAAGAGACACAGTGGCTTAAATTATTTTTACCCTGGACTCTGGATCAAAAGCACAGGAGACACAGTGGCCTAATCAAGTCAGTGCGCTGGACTCCAGTGAACTGACTTTATAGTGTTATGCTTTCCTTTAGAGAACTGTTTGAACTTCTGTAACTCTGGTTACAAAACAAAACCACTGTTTTATACGCCACAGTCCTTCTTCCTGTCCAGTTGTTTTAATTTTTCTAAGTCATCAGATCATAGCTTTTGTGTTTAAATCTAAAGGACTGATCTCATCTTGGTACCACTGAATATGAACGTCAATAAAATACTCGATCAATGAAAATCCAGTAGAATGGTTTGAAAAAGTTATGTAGCAAGTCTAACTCTAAAACAAAGCTGCAAGATATTTGGTCAAAACAATTCAGCGGGACATGTAAGAAGTTTTAGACCTAAACAGTGTTGCTCTATTTTCCCTGGAGATTATCAAAGAATTATGACCGGTTTTAATGTCTTTCAAATTAAAATTTCATGAAAATATGAATTTTTAGAACGACGCAATGTGTCGCATTTTTCCTCCGGAGTTAGCAACGGTGATATATATAAGGTTATGGCTTTCCAGTTTAGAATGTATCATGCAAGAAATGTTCTCCACAAAATTACTCGATAAGTTAGACAGAAGCAACAGTAATGTAAAATAATTCTTCCCTGAAGATTTCGAGCGGCTTTTCGCAGTGTTGAAAAGGGTCATTTCATTCACGCTGAATTTTGAGGCCGGAAAACTTTGTTTTTCTAGGAACACTGCGTGAAATAATCCGAATACGGTCCCTTATGTAGGTCTTATACAGTCAGTACACAAAGTCGTGTACGGAATCTATAAGGAGGTGTCGTGATGTATAAGGTACTGTTTAAGGATCAGTATACGTCAGGCTATGCCAAGAAAATAGCAGGATCTTATACACTTGTAGCAGGATTTCTTATACGCTAGTACTCGTTTCAGTATACATGTTGTATACTGAAGGAGTTATGAGGTATACTGATGTTGTGTGGAAGGCACGTATACAGTCGTTGCAGGATTTCTTATTCATTATTACACAAGTCCGTATATATGATGTATACTGCATGAAGCAGGAAGGGTACTGATATGTTCCGTAGAAGGTTCGTGTATAGATTCTTACACTCGTGAGAGAATTACCTTTACGTCATTACAGAGGTCTGTATACTTCTTGTATATTGTAGGAAGTATGAGATATAGATACTACTGTTGTTTCAAGGTAGATATACGGATTCTCATTAGATTCATGACGAGATTTCAGGCCAAATACCAGTGTACACATGAATACTGTATGAAGACAGTTGTGTGCGTATTGTGGGGGCATTAACGAGCCTTTTTTGAGCAATCTTAATGGGAAAATTCACCATTCTCGAGTATTCTTACGGGGTACGTTCAGCGTTAAAGATTTTTGCATTGATTAGGTGTGATCTAGGTGGAATCATAAAATCGTGAATTATCTCATGCTTCAATTACAGATAGCTGTTAATTCATTTCAGTATTTCCTCAGTCACGTGTTGTTTTTTCGCAGTACATATACATGAAAAAACTTAATCTAACATTTGTGTTTCTCAAAAACAGTATTGCTAATAATAATGCGAAGAATGAAAGTTGAAATTCTAATTCACGAAAAGGTATAATCCAATGATTAAAAGTTGTTATTTATGTACAATCACACTATTCCTTTAACGCACACACCCACACAGAAAAACAAACTATTCGTTCTCAAAATCACAATCGCTTCCTGAGGAGCTGTCATTATCACTTTCTTCTCCTTCTCTTTCTTCCGCTCTGGATTCGTCAGTGGTCTCTTCATCCTCAAGTTCTCTGTTAAACCAAAAAAATTTTAGGTAAACAATGTAACAACCTTGTATAAAGGAAACAAGCATATTACGAAATTCCTCATAGCATGCAATATATAGAGACAGTGAATTTTTACACCGGGTTACATAGTTTGAACATTGTTCTGTGCTTCACTTTCATAGTTGGTATACTAAAAGTAAAAGCGACAGCATCCAATAAGGAATGTATAGGCTAAGCAGTATTCTTACATTTCCGTTTGTTCCTGCTCTCTCCTTTGCATAATTTCCCTCCATTCATCGGACAGCGCCCATTTAGGAGAACCTGTGGGTGGCTCTCTTTCTACAGGCTCCCTTTTACGAGCCTTTGTTCGTTTCCACCTTTTGTTTTTTGCGTTTTCTGTCTTTTCGCTGCGCTTGTCAAGCCTAAGACAATAACAATATTATAATTAGAAAATGCCGTTGACTTGATTGAAACCGTGAAGTAAATCCAACCCTTAAAAAAAATCGGGCAAAAAAGCGCTAATAGGTGGCTAACAAATAAACTGACTTTAAAGCCTACCTGACATTTACAGTCCATCATTGCCAATAACAAGGAACAGTCTGACAATACTGGACAGTAATATTGGCAATTTGTAAGGATAAAAACATTTCCATCTTTTTTTATTAGAAATATCAGTAAAGAACTAAGCCTTTAGTATACTTCTTACTTGTTTATGAAAGCTTCAAGAGTTTTGCTCCTGTATTTTGGGGGCCTAGACACCCATCCTCCTTCGCCTTCATCATTATCTGTGTCATCATCGTCACTAGACATGTGCTCTTTACTAAACTTTGCGAAGGCACGGGACTCAGTATCATCCTTGACATGAGCTTTTCTTCTCTCGTATTTCTATAAGATAAAGAAAATTTTTCTTTTTAGTACTTTTCAACTAACTTTCATTGCATCATTCAAAATGTATCATTTAAGTTATTTTAACGCATATTAACTGTATACTTACCCGTTCTTTTCGAAGATTTTTCTTATTTTTCAATTTTATTTCATCCGTTATTTTTCCAAGGGCAGTCCTCAGTAAGTGCTCATGATACTTTTTGGCAGTTCCTGAACAAAAAAAAAAGGCTTTAATTTCAAAATTGCGCGATTGGGGCCTGATTATCTGTTATGGACAATAAATCTTGCTTGCAGTGGTGTCCTCTAGTTTTAAATTGCTCATATAGTAAAGTTACGTTGTACAGCAGCTTTATCAAATCCACCTCGGTGGCCTTGGCGGCAAAGTTCATCAACAATCAGCTGAGTTACCTTTGTGTTGTGTGGGCTGGTGACCCTGATATTTGTTAATTCACGTAGTGGAAAGCAGTTTCTAGGCTCTCTCTCCATCGTGGACTGCATTACCTCTCGTCTTTACTGTGTTACCTGAAAACCTCATTTCTCTCAGGCAACCAGGATGAAGAAATGATACAGCAAAACGAAACGAAACGTGCGAAACCACCGAAATGAGAAAGCAAAACGATCGAAACAAAACGAACCTAACGACCAAAACGAACAACCGATATGACCCAAAAATATACATAAAATAACACGGGGGCGGATCTAGGGGAGGCCACAAAAAGAACAGTAGTCTATGGTCAAAGGTGAAGACAATCTTTGAATCGTACGTCCTCGATGTGAGAATAACGTAATTTTGTTTTCCAAATAAGTGGCAAATTCTTCCTAGTGCTATCACCTGGGGTAAAATTTCTTGTCGTTCTCATCATATAATGCATAGAATTTTTGTGCTTCGCAGAACGAGTTTTATTTAATGGGTAGTCCGCCAGTTCGAACGACATTTCAACCTTCCCTGTCCTTAAAGTGTTCTGACTTCCGGCTCTCTGTTACGACTCTACTTCCAGTTATAGTACTTCCAATTTTGGATGATACTGCTACATCACGTCCAACCATACGTTTCACGACTGGCATCTGATAGTTTTTAAACAAACTCAAACAAAAGAGCCAACTCGTAGGCTAAACAAACAGTAGTAAGAGGTCTTATAGGCGAAGAGACACCGCCGCCAATCGGCTTTCATTGAATCCGTGCTGACCCTTAAGAATGACTACCATTTCATTTCTTCTTACATTGTTACCCCTGAATCAAACATTAAAGTCATGAGAAGAAAGGAAATGACTACCAGCTGAAGAAGCTCTTGATCGTAAAACAAATTCTCCCTGTCATCAGCATAGGAAATGTTTAGAGAGCAGTATGGGGAATAATCATCCTGATGTTAGGGTGTAAAGGGTGAAACGAAGGTGAATCGTTTGAGCCTGCCACTGACAAATTTCAAGTTGTTTTCACCAGAGACATGAATTTCAGAGAGTGAATGGTGGAAACCCACCAGCAGATTCCTCAGTAATTGGGGCGTGCACGTAAAGATATGGACTAACTAACGTCTAAGTTAAAAACTTTACACGAGTTGGGCGCCATAGCCGCAGAGTGAGCCAAAAGAACGGTCTCGGTTTCTTGATTTCATTTCCCCAGCGCATTGAAATTGTGAAAAACCGAAAACTTTTATGTATCATAGATTTTAATCATTTATAAGTAAACAAAGCTGTAAGGAGTCCTCCTTCAGCCTGCAAACCAATGATTACAAGCGATCCAATGGGCCACTTTCGATATATCAAAATTCTAAAATGGCTCCGAGGCTCGGGGAAATAGAACAAAACAAATTTAACCTACTCATCCTTACATTTGGTATTCCTACAAACTCACTTTGTAACATAATCACCTGATGAGCCATATCTTTAGCGTGACAATGTGTTCTTATGATTAAAAGTGCAATATGTTTATCAATAGCAGTGCAGGGTATTTACTCTAACAAAAGCTAACAAAATACAAATAAAAGCAATAAACAAAGCATTTTAGAATCATCCACATTACGTTACCGCATTCCAGTGTACACCAGAGCTTGAAATATTTGTTTTCCTGATAGCGTTCTTCAGAGTCAAAACATTGGGTAATTGTTTGGGGTTTCGTTATAGAAATCAAAGGGAACTAGAACTGAATTAGCGACTGGGTTTGCTCTTCTAATCTTGGCTTGGAAAAAATGAATGCTGGGTGATAGCTTTGTGTTCCGTCAAGTGAAAATACGAGTCAAAAATTTGAACAATCAAAACTTGTATAACCGAGATTGTAGGAGTGTAGGAAGCGTGATGGCCATGATGATACAAGCCATTGAGATTCGAGGATAACACTTGTGAGTACCTCAGACCCACCTAAAATGTATGGAGACAGGGTCTTTTCAGCCGCTGCCCCCAGGCTATAGAATGTCTCACCCATAAACATTCAATTGAGTCTATTAGTTTAAGTTTTTTGAGAAAAGATTAAAGACGCATTTTTTCAGAGCTATTTATGATTAACTGTCAATTTCCAACTATGATAAGGAGCTTTTTCATGTATCGCTATGTAGATAAGTCATTATTACTATTATGATTATGATTATGATTATGATTATTATTATTATTATTATTATTATTATAATTATCGGTTAACTAGCCAATTCTATAGAATCAACTATTCCTATTTTCAAAAACACGTACAAAGATTAAGCAACAAAAACCTGAACAACATTTCGCTAAGCTTCAATTTAAGAGTGATTATTACATGCTGAATAGACTTGATCGCGACACTGATGTTTTTTATTAAAGTTGGTACTGTATCACTGTTGTGCCATAAACATGACAGTTCAGAATTCCACTGGTCTTATTTTCATCTCGGTTCTCTTTAGAGAGTAACGATATCCTTTCCAGTGAAACCAGTTCACTCCATAAGCATCGGAGGAGTGATTGCCACGATGATATAAGCCATTGAGATTCGATTTGTAACACCAATTGTACCACCAGGCTCCTTGGTACTCAATGGCACAGTTTTGACCTCCCCTATTGCCATTATCTTGATCTCTAGTGGTGAACGGCATACCGCGATGATAAGCAAGAGAGTCACCAGAAGGTCCTGACAAAACAAGCAGCAATATGAGTATTATGTTTCACCAACAACGAGCCGTTCGTAATTCAAAAGAAATCATGAAATATCAGATAAGTATAATTCAACAATAACAAAATGGAGTAAAAGTATTCTTACTAATATCTATGATTCATGTCGAAGATTCTAGGGATTGAATCGCTAACTGTGATAATGCTAATAAATATGTTTGCCGAGGCATTCATCAGAGTTAAACTAGTCCGTCAGGTTAACTGCGCATGATCCACCGGCGAATACCTTTGGACTTATCAACGTCCGGTTTGCCCTGTCCAGGATCGCACATCGATGAGCTGAGCTTACGCACTCTTTTGTTCTCCAAAGCTATTGATTTAAAATACGCTAAGCATATTTACATTACTCAGCACTCTCCTCCTCCCCCTCCCCCCCCTCCCTTCTCCCTCTTAGAATGACTAGAATAGAAGCGACGAAATGACAGTTCTACCTGAATAAGAACCAAGGATCAGCTTGTACTTGTCTTTCTCACTCATAACACCAAACATGTTATACTCAGCATATCGAGTGTTCCCTTCAAAGTCTTCCAAGTCCACACGCAGCATGCTGTTATTATCTGAGGTCAGCCGGTGAATCTTGTCCAGTCCCAACCAAAATTCACTTTTCAGATCACCAAAACCACGTTTGTAGTCATTCCAGTAGCGGTAGAAATCAACCGAGCCGTTCAGTCTTTTCTGGAACACTGACCACCCACCACCGGCTGTTGTTTGGTCACAGAATACATCAAAGGCAGGCAAATTATCAGGTTTGATGGTGTACACGCCGTCCCTTCGTTTACCCGAATTGTAAATTTCTGCACAGTTCCTTTTGACTAAAAATCAGAAAATAGAAATAAACAAAAAAACAAATAAAACGCCCACTTCAAATTGATTGGATGTTGAGTGCTTTTTGTTGCTTTCCTGACTGTTGCTCTGACTGATAAAACTTAATTCTGTACATTAACTAGTACCATTTCGTTTTCCTTAATATCTACCAGCTACATTCATGTAAAGTTACAATAATAGGATTTTCTTTTTTAGCTTTACTTCAGAGGTTAATATTTTGTTCATGAAGTCAAGTTTGGGGCTAAAGTGAGTAACTCCTCGCGTACTAAACGAGAGACTAGCCCACACAATCCAGCCATTTCACCTTCAACTTGGCAGGTTTCTCCAGTGAATCTTTCCCGACAGACACAATGAAAACCTTTGTAGGTGAATCCAGCTTGACAGGTGCCACTGTTTAAGCATGGGCTGCTGCTGCATGGATTCTGTTGACAAAACAAGGTAAACTATGGTGCAGATCTTCCTTATGTCAAGAATAAGATCACTTTAGCCTAATAAAATGAAACAATCTCTTCTACCACCTAAAATTCGTAAGAATGTGAAATGTTACCTCGATTGCAAGATATGTGTAACTCAGATTGTTCACGAGAAGAAATGGAGCATTTTCCTCCGTGGCGTTATTCAACTCGCATTTTTGGTTTCCTCCTACAACAGGTCCAACATTGATGGACACACAATTAGGCTCCATCAAACACATTATTTTGTAGCTCCCTTCGTTTGGCACCTCTGAAATTTTGATCGCGTGATTTTTCATGGCCATGTTCGGTATTGGGTCCTTGAATTTGATGTGTCGCCTATTGTCGTCTGTGGTAGGCAAAACAAATACATCATTTAGTTTCCACTCACTCCAGATAATTTCTTATTTTCATCGATGAAAAAGGCACATTAAACAACTTTATTTCAAAACTTTACAGCATGAGAACCCTGACGAATTTTCCCTAAAAGTGATTCTCATCTCTTGAAAATTCAACGTAACTGGGAGACTTTCATTACCAAAAATTAATCTTTGATTGTGAATTCATGAGCGGAAAGAAAATGTTAAAAAAATATGAAGAATAATTTCATAGCGTTCATTAACGCACCACTATATCTGTGAATTGTTTGTTTTAATTCATCATTTGAGCCTTTTTTAAAAATTTTACTTTTTTTGTATCTCTATTCCATATTAAAATAAAGTTCGGATATGACGCGCGCTGTCATTGGTTAAAAGAGTGTGCTCTATGAGAGTATAGAGCATAGAGATGAGCTTAAGCTGTCGCACCATCTGCCAAATTGGACAATGTCCGACCTTTTCCAAGACTTTTCTCTAGCCTTTTTTTTCGTTAATTAAAAGTGATATTTCGAAACAAGCGAGCCGGCATGTAGCAACAGAACAACCAAACAAAGGTTTATAAACATGTTAGGCGCCGTTATTGACGTTATTATGAGCAGAGACGAAAATCCTCAAAGTGAAAACGAAATGAACAGTCCGAGTTTTGAAGGTTTTCACGCTTAGTTAGAGTGCAAGCGAATAGTAATAAAAATCAAACACAGCTAACACTCGTATAGTATATAAAGTTCGAGTTTAAAAGCAAAACAGAACAAAACAGGAATGATAAAAAATATAGCCAAAGTGGCATAACTGTTATAATTCATCCTAATCATGACGGTGTCAGAGCGACTGCGAGCGAGCGACTGCGCTAACGTGGCTAGCTCGGAGATCGCCAGTGTAGCAAGCCTCAGAAATTACATCGACCGCCCTCCGCGTTAACAGTGAGCTTGCTCTGACGTCCTTTCCGGTGTGTTGAGTGGTGAAGGCCACATCAGTCACTGCAACCGAGTTTTGCGGCTCAGTCGATCATCTCGAGCAATCTTCCAGTTCCGGTGAATTCGTCTCTCGTTCATTCATAAAATTCGCCTTGAGCAGTTTGTTTACTATTTATCATGTGAAAAAACGTGCGTGTTTTTGTGAGCCACAATTCAGCCGGATTTCACGGAACATTTCACCTCCACTTAGAGACTAAAACACTTCTGGCAAAAGTGTGAGATTCGACCTGCCAAACTATTTAAGTTTATAAACAATTGCAGAATGTGAACTTTGATGGCTGGACATTTCTGACAGCTTTAGTCTTGTACAGCCAATCAGATATTTGAACTGTTATAACAACGATTCTGATTGGCTTATTGTACTACGTCTCGTGTTTCTCCCTGCACTTCTTTTTCGTGCTCGAACCGCTTCGTGTGTGCTTTACAACAGAACAGGGCACAGTCAAGGCTTCTGTATTTGTTAAATAGAAGACATTTTGAGTCAGATAAAGCGGATTGTCTGCTTTAAGGTTATTTACTTTGATCAGCAGGTAGTGTATGTAGTTCGTGTAATTGTTTTGAGGAAACGACACCAGAAAGAGGAAACGCAAACATTTAAAAAGGTATTTATACTCACCAGTGCAACAGAAGCATGGTGGGAGAATAATTCCAAGGACGATATAGAGAATACTAATGATCGGTTGAAGAGAAAACTTGAACTGCATCGCTGTAAATAAATAATTAAATTCAAGGTAATCAGTATAATAGTGAGCGTCCCAAAATATAACCTTCCTGTTTTCCTGTAAATTTGAATGTTGACAAATGTTAGGCAGCTGTCTGCACTGGAGTATTTTTAAATTCTTACTCTATCTTGTAAATTTCATCTTATTCTTATAAGACCTAATATTTTATAAAGCTTCGAAGAAGAACGAAATGGAGCACATTACCCTTATCGGAGGTGACAGGAGTTTATCAATATGTCTATTTTCAGCCTGTTTAACTTTGAGCTTGCGGCAGTTAAGTTAAGAGCAAGAAACAAATTTTTGCAGACTTGCTACCGACAAAGATGTCAGATCACTTCTGAAAATACAAAATGTGAACAATTTATCCTGATAACCTGCGGCAATCAAGTTAAGAGCAAGAAACAAATTTTTGTAGACTTGCTACCGACAAAGATTTCGGATCACTTCTGAAATACAAAATGTTAACAATTTATCCTTTTTTTATCTCAAAATGTTCTTCACTACGATAGAACAGCATTGCGCATTATTAACATGAAGATTAACTTTGAAGCAACTTTAAATTGAACAATGCGATAGAATGTATGTAAAGTACAGAGGCCTAAGTTTTTTATGTCTCGTTTTGCTCATGGTAGTTGAACATGGTAGTTAGCATTAAACATCATCCGATTTTATCTTAGTTAGACAGGTCGCAAGCATTCTATGACTTTCGGATGATATTTGAGAACTTCAACCTAAAAACTTTCAAATTTGTAACAACTTTGACCAGAAGGGTGAGACAGAATGTGAAATATCGTGTGGCTGAATTGACAGAAATTTACTCAAAATTTTTCTTAATCAATTCTGCAATCAACGCAATTGGTCTGAGCAAGAAAGGCTTGGTCTAATAAATATAGATAAGTAGCTCACAGATCTCTTACCTTCTGAGCGAAAAAGTGTTTTTCCGTACTTCGTTTTGTTCTTGAGGGTATCAATAATGAAAACTTTATGGTGTCGTGCTTTTCTTCAATTTATAGAACTGTTTGAACTTCTGTAACTATGGTTACAAAACAAAACCTCTGTTTTATACGCCACAGTCCTTCTTCCTGTTCAGCTGTTCTAATTGCTGTTAATAATCAGGTCAAAGCTTTTGCGTTTTAATCTAAATTACTGCGGGTCTCATCTTAGTACCACTGGATATGACAGTCAATGAAATATTTCTATGAAAATCCAGTAGTATGTTCCGAAATACATATATCGCAAGTCTAACTCTTAAACAAAGCTGCAAATTATTTGGTCAATACACTTTCAGCGAGACATGTAAGAATTTTTAGAATTACACAACGTGGTCCTATTTTCCTTGGTAATATGTGTTATGACAGGTTATAACAGGTCTACGTTTTTCAAATTGTTAAAGTTAAAATTTATGAAAATATGTCGGAATTTTTAGAACTACACAACGTGTCACATTTTCCTCACTAAAAAACTTACGTACATAGATGTTGTCAATGGAACCGTTATCTGTTTCTTCCCCTCCTTACGCTTTGGTATTCAATTTGGCTGGCGTTCCGCCCTGGAAACTGCATATGAGTGTCAAATTTAAGTTTCAGCTGCTCGCGAGGTGGAGAAAAAATAAATTCTTGTGAGACTGCCATAATATTTAAAAGCATTATATGCGAGAGATTATCTGAAGTGAAATCTACATTTTCTGGGGTCGTTCGTTTCAGTCGTTTCACTTGTTTCGTTTTGCTGTTTCGGGTCTTGGTACATGCAGAAATCATTATAAACGATATCACCACAAACTAAACATTTCGAATTAATATCTGTCCGTTGACAAAACTGATCTTTTAACGAGCGGTCTCGGGTGATATGAGAATTAAGAGGAGGGTACGTTTTAAAATAGATAAACCCCTTTCTGGCTTGCTGGTATTTCGGCTGATAATGTTCTTGGCTGAAAGACTGTCATAAAAACGTCACATTTTCCCTCGAAGCTTTGCTTCTCGGCCAAATATTTTTTTAAACTTTTGGATAATATCTCAGCCGTGGACATTATCAGCCGATTTACCAGCCGCCCGAATGGGTTTATTTACTAATTAGTTGTATCTCAAAAACAAGCAGAATGTTAAGGCCGTCGGAAAAATCTTCAAACGGCCGTCAAAGGATACGGTCATTGTTCCAAACATTTAAACCACGAAAATACCGTATAAGGGGTCTTTCTTTTTCTATTAGATTAAAGTGAGGGTCTTAAATACCCCAGAGAATATCAATCGCTAAAAAAGCGGTGTCGTGCCATCGTTAATAAAACTATTTTAAGTGCTGTAATTATGGCTACAAAACAAAATATGTTTAATAGGCGATGAACGGACGCGCTTTAGTTTTTCTTCCTGATCATACGTTCCAATTGTAGGTATTCATCAGTTCATGGTTTTGGTCTTTTATATTTTTGATAATCCAGTACAAGGTTTTTGAAAAGTGCCGGAAAGTAAAATTCTATGAAAAAGCCCCAAATGATTAGATGTGAATGATAATTGTTGGAACACAAACGCAGTAGAATTGACAACAGAAAACATAAATATTTCTAGTTTAAGATCGTTTTTGCCTAAAATCTTTTGCTTTTTTTAGCTGGTGGCTTTCTCTCAGGCAACCAGGATGAAGAAATGATACAGCAAAACGAAACGAAACATGCGAAACCACCGAAATGACCAAAGCAAAACGATCGAAACAAAACGAACCTAACGACCAAAACGAACGACCGATATGACCCAAAAATATACATAAAATAACACGGGGGCGGATCTAGGGGAAGGCCACATAAAGCACATTAGTCTATGGTCAAAGGTAGGGACCATCTTTGAATCGTACGTCCTCGATGTCAGAATAAGGTAATTCTGTTTTCCAAGTAAGTGAGAAGTTCTTCTCAGTGCCATCGCCTGAGATAAGATTTCTTGTCGTTCTCATTATATATTCCATGTAGAATTTTTGTGCTTCTCAGAACGAGTTTTATTGCGTGGGGAGCCCGCCAGTTCGAACGACATTTCAACCTTACCTGTCCTTTAAGTGTTCTGACTTCCGGTTCTCTGTTACAACTCTACTTCCGGTTATTATACTTTCAATTATCGAATGATACTCCTACATCACGTCTGACCATAAGTTTTACGACTGGCATCCTATTTTAAACAAACCCATACACAAGAGCCAGCTCGTAGGCGAAACAGACGGCGGTAAGAGGTCTTACATCCTGAGAGACACCGCCGGTAATCGGCTTTCATTGAATCCGTGCTGACCCTTAGGAATGACTACCACTTAATTTCTCCTTACATTGTTACCCCTGAATCAAACATTAAGGCCATGAGAATAAAAGAAATGACCACCAACTGAAGAAGCTCTTGATCGTTAAACAAATTCTCCCTGTCATCAGCTGAGAAAATGTATAGAGAGCAGTATGGAGAATATGCATCCTGATGTTAGGGTGTAAAGGGTGAAACGAAGGTGAATCGTTTGAGCCTGCCACTAACAAATTTCTTTCTTTCACCAGAGACATGAATTTCAGAGCGTGGATGGTGGAAACCTACCTGCAGATTCCTCGGTACCTGGGACGTGCACCTAAAGATGTGGACAAACTCACGTCTAAATTCAAACCTTAACACGAGTTGGACGCCATAACCGCAGAACTAGCTGAAAGAACGGTCTCCGTTTCTTGATTTCGTTTCCCCATCGCATTGAAATTGTGAAAAACCGTAAACTTTTATGTATCAGATTTTAATCATTTATAAGTAAATAAGGCTGTAAGGAGTCCTCCTTCAGCCTGCAAACCAGTGATCATAAGCGATCCAATGGGCCACTTTCGAAACATCAAAAATACAAGTAAATAAAGCTGTAAGGAGTCCTCCCTCAGCCTGCAAACCAGTGATCATAAGCGATCCAATGGGCCACTTTAGATACATCAAAATGGATCCGAGGCTAGGGGGAATAAAACAAAACATATTTCACCTAGTCATCCTTACATTTTTTATTTCTACAAACTCACTTTGTAACATAATCACCTGATGAGATATATCTACAAAAAGGACCTTGGGCGTGACAGCTATTCCTATTTTAAAAAACGCGCACAAAGAAGCAAGAAAAACCTGAACAGCATTTCGCTAACCTCTAATTTAAGAGTGATTATTAAATGCTAAATAGACTTGATCGAGACACTGGTGTCTTTTGTAAAAGTTGGCACTGTATCATTGTTGTGCCATAATTATGGCGGTTCAGAAATCCACTGGTCTTATTTTCATCTCGGTTTTCTTTAGAGAGTAATAATGTCCTTTCCAGTGGTACCAGTTCACTCCATCAGCGCAGGAGGAGTGATTGCCACGATGATAGAAACCATTGAGATTCGATTCGTGACAATTCTTGTACCACCAGGCTCCTTTGTACTGAATGGCGCAGTTGTGACCTCCCTTATTGTCATTATCTTGATCTCTAGTGGTGAATGGCAAACCGCGATGATAAGCAAGAGAGTCGCCAGAATTTCCTGAAAAAACGAGCATTTATGAGTATTACGTTTGACCAACAATGAGCCCTTTGTAATTCAAAAGAAATCTTGAACTATCGGATAAGTATAATTTAACGATAATGGTATCACTAAACGTGATAATGCCAATAAATATGTTTGCCGAGACACTCATCAGGGTTGGATTAGTTCGTCAGGTTAACTGCGCATGATCCACCGGCGAAATACCTTGGGACTTACTAATGTCAGGTATGCGCTGTCTAAGATTATTGTATTTCGATGAGCTGAGGTTACTTTTTTGTCTTCCAAAGCCATTTATATAAAAGAGTTTACGCATATTTACATTACTCAGCACTCTCCCCCCCCCTCCTCTTTTAGAATGACTAGAAAAGAAGCAAGGAAATGACAGTTCTTATCAACGTCCGGTATGCGTTGTTCAAGATTGCATATCGATGAGCTGAGATTACTTTTTTTTGGTCTTCTAAAGTTATTGACGTAAAAGATGTTAAGCATATTAAAATTACTCAGCACTCTCTTCACCCCCTCCCCCTCCTTTTTGAATGACTAGAATAGGAGGGACGAAATGACGGTTCTACCTGAATAAGAACCAAGGATCAGCTTGTACTTGTCTCTCTCACTCATAACACCAAACATGTTATACTCGGCATAAGCTGTGTTCCCTTCAAAGTCCTCTAAGTCCACACGCAGCATGCTGTTATTATCTGAGGTCAGCCGGTGAATCTTGTCCAGTCCCAACCAAAATTCACTTTTCAGGTCACCAAAGCCATGTTTGTAGTCTTTCCAGGAGCGGTAGAAATCAACCGAGCCGTTCAGTCTTTTCTGGAACACTGTCCAACCACCACCGGCTGTTGTTTGGTCACAAAATACATCAAAAGCAGGCAAATTATCAGGTTTGATGGTGTACATACCGTCAGTTGGTTTACCTGCGGACTTGTAGATTTCTGCGCAGTTTCTTTTGACTGAAAATCAGAAAAAAGAAATAAACAAAACGCCCGCTATAAATGCTTTGGATGTTTAATGCTTTTTTTTTGCTTTCCTGACTACTGCTCTGGCTGATAAAACTTGATTCTGAACATTAACTAGTACCATTTCTTTTTCCTTAATATCTACCAGCTATATTCATGTAAAGTTACAATAATAGGCTTTTCCTTTTTAGCTTCATTTCAGTGGTTCATATTTTGTTCTTGAAGTCAAGTTTGGGACTTGAGTGAGTAACTCCTCGCGTACTACACGCGAGAGTGGCCCACACAATCCACTCATTTCACCTTCACTGACTTGGCAGGTTTCTCCAGTGAATCTTTCCTGACAGACACAACGAAAACCTTTATAGGTGAATCCAGCTTGACAGGTGCCTCTGTTTAAGCATGGGCTGATGCTGCATGGATTCTGTTGACAAACCAAAGTAAACTTTTGTGCAGATCTTCCTTATGTCAAGAATAAGATCGCTTTAGCCTAAGAAAATGAACCAATCTCTTCTACCATCTTACTTTCGTAAGAATGTGAAATGTTACCTCGATTGCAAGATATGTGTAACCCCGATTGTTCACGAGAAGAAAGGGAGCATGGTTTTCCTCCGTGGCGTTATTCAACTCGCATTTTTGGTTTCCTCCTGCAACAGGTCCAACATTGATGGACACACAATTAGGCTCCATCAAACACATTACTTTGCAGCTCCCTTCGTTTGGCACCTCTGCACTTTTGATCGCGTGATTTTTCATGGCCATGTTCGGTATTGGGTCCTTGAATTTAATGTGTCGCCTATCGTCGTCTGTAGTAGGCAAAACAAATACATCATTTAGTTTCCACTCACTCGAGATAATTTCTTATTTTCATCGATGAAAAAGGCACATTAAACAACTTTATTTCGAAACTTTACAGCATGAGAACCCCAACGAGTTTTCCCTAAAGGTGATTCTCATCTCTTGAAATTTCAACGTAACTGGGAGGCTTTCATTACCAAAAATTAATCTTTGATTGTGAATTCTTGAGCGGAAAGAAAATGTTAAAAAAATATGAAGAATATTTTCATAGCGTTCATTAACGCACCGCTATATCTGTGAATCGTTTGTTTTAATTCATCATTTTGAGCCTTTTTTAAATTTTACTTTTTTTGTATCTCTGTTCCATATTATAATAAAGTTCGGATATAACACGCGCTGTCATTGGTTGAAAGAGCGTGCAATATGAGAGTATAGAGCATAGAACTGAGCTAAAGCTGTCACGCCATCTGCCAAATTGTACCATGTTCGACCTTTTCCGGGACTTCTTTTTAGTTTTTTTCCGATAATTGAAAGTGAAATTTCGGAACAAGCGAGCCGGCAAGTAGTAACAGAAGAACCAAAGAAAGGTTTGTAAACATACCAGGCGCCGTTATTTACGTTATTAAAACGTGGGCAGATACGAAAATCCTCAAAGGAAAAACAAAATAGACATTCCGAGTTTTAAAGATTTTCACGCTCAGTTAGATTGCAAGCTTACGTACGGTAATGAAAATCAAACACAGCCAACACTCGTATAGTATATAAAGTTCAGAGTTCAAAAACAAAACAGAACAAAACAGAAATGATGAAAAATATAACCAAACTGGCATAATTGTTCAAATTCATACTAATCATGACGGTGTCTGAGCAAATATGATCATGCTGAAGTCCATCGCGGCTCACTTATCATGCCGATCTCCGGTCATCACAGTAAAGCAAGCCTCGGAAACTACATCGGCCGCCCTTCGAGTGAAAAAATAAGAGCTCGCTCTGATATCCTTTCCAATGTGTTGAGTGGAAAGTCACTTCAGTCACTGCAGCCGAGTTTTGCGGCGCTGTCATCCCGAGCGATCTTCATGTTCCGGTGAATTCGGCTGTCGTTCATTTAAAAAACACTCACCTTGAACAGTTTGTTTTCTACCTTGTCATGTGAAAAAACCCGCGTGTTTTCATGAGCCATAATTCGGCTGAAGTTCACTGAACATTTCACTTCAAGATTCTGAATGAAAAACTACAGGCAAAAGCGTTAAATTCGACCTGCCGAATTCTTTTAGTTTGTAAACTATCGCAGAGTTTTTGATGGTTTTTGAACTTTGGTGGTTTGACACTTTTGACAGCTTTTGTCTTGTACAGCCAATCAGATTATTTGAACCATTCTAACAGGGATTCTGATTGGCTTATTGTAGCGTGCTCTATGAGAGTATGGAAATAAAGTTTGTTTTGAAAATTGAAAGTAATACATGGGGAATTTAACGGATTCTTTATTATAAAACAAATAGAGAAGCCTTGACTGTGCTCTGTTCTGTTATAAAGCACTTAGGAAGCGGCTAGAGCACTCAAGAAGTGGGAAGAAACACTCGACTACGTCTCGTGTTTCTCCCTACACTTCTTTCGTGCTCTAGCCGCTTCCTAGGTGCTTTATAACAGAACAGAGCACAGTCAAGGCTTCTCTATTTGTTAACTATAATAAAGTTCGGATATAACGCGCGCTGTCATTGGTTGAAAGAGCGTGCTCTATGAGAGTATAGAGCATAGAGCTGAGCTAAAGCTGTCGCGCCATCTGCGAAATTGGACTATGTCCGACCTTTTCCAGGACTTTTCTCTAGCTTTTTTTTTTTTTTTTTTATTTGAAAGTGATATTTCGAAACAAGCGAGCCGGCAAGTAGCAACAGAACAACCAAACAAAGGTTTATAAACATGTTAGGCGCCGTTATTGACGTTATTATGAGCAGAGACGAAAATCCTCAAAGTGAAAACGAAATGAACAGTGCGAGTTTTGAAGGTTTTCACGTTTAGTTAGATTGCAAGCGAATAGTAATAAAAATCAAACACAGCTAACGCTCGTATAGTATATAAAGTTCGAGTTCAAAAGCAAAACAGAACAAAACAGGAATGATTAAAAATATAGCTAAAGTGGCATAACTGTTATAATTCATACTAATCATGACGGTGTCAGAGCGACTGCGAGCGAGCGACTGCGCTAACGTGGCTAGCTCGGAGATCGCCAGTGAAGCAAGCCTCAGAAATTACATCGACCGCCCTTCGCGTTAACAGTGAGCTTGCTCTGACGTCCTTTCCGATGTGTTGAGTGGTGAAGGCCACATCAGTCACTGCAACCGAGTTTTGCGGCTCAGTCGATCATCTCGAGCAATCTTCCAGTTCCGGTGAATTCGTCTCTCGTTCATTCATAAAATTCGCCTTGAGCAGTTTGTTTACTATTTATCATGTGAAAAAACGTGCGTGTTTTTGTGAGCCACAATTCAGCCGGATTTCACGGAACATTTCACCTCCACTTAGAGACTAAAACACTTCTGGCAAAAGTGTGAGATTCGACCTGCCAAACTATTTAAGTTTGTAAACAATTGCAGAATGTGAACTTTGATGGTTTGACATTTCTGACAGCTTTAGTCTTGTACAGCCAATCAGATATTTGAACTGTTATAACAACGATTCTGATTGGCTTATTGTACTACGTCTCGTGTTTCTCCCTACGCTTCTTTTTCGTGCTCGAACCGCTTCGTGCGTGCTTTACAACAGAACAGGGCACAGTCAAGGCTTCTGTATTTGTTAAATAGAAGAAATTTTGAGTTAGATAAAGCGGATTGTCTGCTTTAAGGTTATTTACTTTGATCAGCAGGTAGCGTATGTAGTTCGTGTAATTGTTTTGAGGAAACGACACTAAAAAGAGGAAACACAAAAATTTAAAAAGGGATCTATACTCACCTGTGCAACAGAAGCATGATGGGAGAATAATTCCAAGGAAGATATAGAGAATAACAATGATCGGTTGAAGAGAAAACTTCAACTGCATCGCTGTAAATAAATGATTGTAAATTCATGGTAAAAAATATAATGGTGAGCGTCCCAAAATATACACCTTCCTGTTTTCCTGTAAATTTGAATGTTGTTGACAAATGTTAGGCAGGTGCTCGGCATTATTTGCCAGCTTTGTCTACTTAAAGGGACTCTTAATTAGCACAACATTTCGAAGGCAAATACTTCGTTCGGTTTTTTCATTGGTCTAAAACACGTTGTTATGCTAACAGACTTGTGTCATTCCTTGCACAAAAAATAAAGCATAGTATGAATTACTTCATATTACATATCCATTTTCGAAAGTGAGTTAACAGCTGCAAAAGGCGCAAAAAGAGGAAATAATAGACCGTTGTTGTTTGTCTGCATTGGAGTATTTTTAAAATTCTTACTCTACCTTGTAAATTTCATCTCATTCTGATAAGCCATAATATTCAACAAAGTTTCGGGAAGAACGAAATAGAGCACATCACCCTTACCGGAGGTAAAAGGAGTTTATCAATATGTTTATTTTCAGCCTGTTTAACTTTGAACTTGCGGCAGTTAAGTTAAGAGCAAGAAACAAATTTTTGCAGAATTGCTACCGACAAAGATGTCAGATCACTTCTGAAATACAAAATTTTAGCAATTTATCCTTTGTTTATCTCAAACAATTCTCCAGCACGATAGAACAGCATTGCACATTATTAACATGAAGATTAACTTTGTAGCAACTTCAAATCGAAGAATGCGATAAAATGTATGTAAAGTACAGAGGCCTAAGTTTTTTAGGGCTCGTTTTGCCCGTGGTAGTTGAGCATGGTAATCAGCACTAAACATCACCCGATATTATCTTAGTAAGACAGGTCGCAAGTATTCTATGACTTACGGATGGTATTTGAGAAGTTCAACCTAATAAATTTCAAATTTGTAACAACTTTGACCAGAAGGATATGACAGAATGTGAAATATCGTGTGGCTGAATTGACACAACTTTACACAAAATTTTTCTCGATTATTTCTGGAATCAGCGCAATTGGTCTGAGCAAGAAAGGCCTGGTCTAAGAAATATAGATAAGTAGCTCACAGAGATATTTCTTACCTTCTGAGCGAAAAAGCGTTTTTCGTACTTGGTTTTGTTCCTGGGGATATCAACAGTGAAAACTTTATGGTGTCGAGCTTTCCTTTAATTTATAGAATGTTTTGAACTTCTGTGACCATGGTTAAAAAAAACCGCTGTTTTATACGCCACAGTCCTTCTTCCTGTTCAGCTGTTCTTATTGTTGTTAGTCATCTGGTCAAAGCTTTTGTGTTTAAATCTAAATGACTGCGGTGTCTCATCTTACTACAACTTGATATGTCAGTCAATGAATTACTTCAATGAAAATCCAGTAGAATGTTTTGAAAAACTTATATGGCAAGTCTAACTCTTAAACAAAGCTACAAATTATTTGGTCAAAACACCTTCGGCGGGACATGTAAGAAGTTTTAGAACTACACAATGTTTTCCTATCTTCCCTGGAGATGATTAAAGTGCTATGACCGGTTTTGTGTCTTTCAAATTGAAAATTTATGAAAATATGAATTTTTAGAATTACACAACGTGTCGCATTTTCCTCCGGAGTTAACCACGGTGTTACATATAAGGTTATGATTTTCCAATTCAGAATGCATCTTGCTTAAAATGCTCTCGTCGAAATTACTCTTATTTTCCCAAGCAACCAGGATGAAGAAATGATATCATGAAAATTAATGACATTTACTAAAACCCGAAACAGCGAAACGAAACGAAACGAGCGAAACATGCAAAACCACCGAAATGACCAAAACAGAACGATGGAATTGAAGCGAACCTAACGACCTTAAAATGCAAAAAAAAGCCTTTTCGCGTGTTGGTGTCAAAGTCTGAAATAAGATGCCTAATGAATACAGAAATTTGTCAAAGAAATCCTTCGAAAAGGAAACAAAAAGAGTTCTTCTCAATATTCTAGATTCTTAGAAGATTCTTATGTGGAGCCTGATGAGATAATGCTAAAATTCAAACAGCAAAATCGAATCAAATTGAACCAGTTCTACAATATTTTTCGTGCACTTAAAAACGCTAAGACTTTTTCTCCTTTACAATGAACATCTGCCATTTTCCTTTTATCTTTTCGTCCTTTTATGTTATATTTCTTCATTCCCGTTTTATTTCCAGTGTAATTAAATTAAGTCAGTAAAGAAAAAAATTAATTAATCAATAAATAACCAAATTTGACCCGCCTCGATTAGAATTTGCTATCTGCGGGTCAAAGGAATATCTTGTAAATATGAAAGAAAACGAAAAATAGAAGTGAAGTGGAGTGAAGCATGTGAAGCGAAGGGAACCTTCTTGAAAAAAAAAATCAATAAAAAAGTCATGTACATAGATGTTGTCAATGAAACTGCTATCTGTTTCTTCTTATCCTTACGCTTTGGTATTTAATTTGGCTGGCGTTCCGTCCTGAAAACTACATATAAATGTCAAATTTTACTTTCAGCTACTCGCGTGGTGGATAATATTACGGCCATAATATTTAAAAACCTTAAATGCGAGAGAATATCTGAAGTTAAATCTATATTTTCTGCGGTCGTTTCGTTTTGCTGTTTGGGGTCTTAGTACATGCCGAAATTATCAATGATATCATCACAAACCAAACATTTTGACTCAATATCTGTCCGCTGACAAAACTGATCTCACTTGAAAGTACCCAGAAACTTAGGAAAAATGGCGATAAAGTGCAAAGGGTACATGTCGACCTTGAGGTTTTTTTTTCCCCAGGAATCCATAGGCCTTAGTAATGATAAAATATACAGCGTTGTACGATACTGTACTTCTCATCTCGCGCGAAAACCTTATTTGTAGTAGGGTACTCTTCTTAAAAGAGGCTGTTATTAACCACAAGATAAATTAGTTCTAGTAACTGAGTTGAAAACGCAAATGATCCCCATAAAGGGTTTCTAAGGCTACCATTTCGAACGCCCCTCAACAGAGCGTTATTAATAACATCATTTTCATCGTCGCTCGACATAACTCATGTGAATAAATTGACCCTCGTGCAAAAAATGGAAAGTAACTTACAAATATATTTTCTTACCTTCTGACTGACAAAATGTTTGTTGTACTTGATATTGTGTTTGGATGTGTCAGAAGTGAAAGTCGTGTCTTGTTACCCTCCAGAGAAGTGTTTGAAGTGCTGTAACTATGGTTACAAAACGGAATGGTTTAATGAGTGGTGAACATAAACGCTACAGACCTTCTTCCTGTTCAGCTGTTCTACTTATTTGTAGTTATCAGATCATTGTTTTTGTGTTAACTGTGGGTGACTGGTTTTTCTCTAAGTAACACTGGAAAAGTATAGTAGTCAATGAAATACCTCGTTAAGAGTCCTCCAGAGGAGTTTTGAAAAAAGCCAGCAAGTCTAACTCTAAAACAAAGCTGCAAATTATGAAATGAGATCAATAATTGTAGGAACCCAAACACAGTGGGACAAAGTCTCGAGCGAAATTTGAAACAAGCCTATGACGTTATAATCAACCATTAATTTTCGTGCCAGTATATTGGCTACTTTACAAAAAAACATTCTTTATGTAGAGTCTAGTAAAATATTAAAAAGCGGGTCGCAACTGCGCATCCGCATCAGATAAGCACTTGTTTTTTTACAAGCGGTCTCGCGTGATATGAGAATTAAGAGGAGGGTGCGTTTTAAAATAGATAAACCCCTTTCTGGCTCGCTGGTATTTCGGCTGATAATGTCCTTGGCTGAAAGATTGTCATAAAAACTTCACATTTTCCCGCGAAGCTTTGCTTCTCAGCCATATATTTTTTTAAATTTTTGGACGATATCTCAGCCGTGGACATTATCAGCCGATTTATCAGCCGCCCGAACGGTTTTATTTACTAATTAGTTGTGTCTCAAAACAAGCAGAATGTTTGCCGTCGGAAAAATCTTTAAACGGCTGTCAAAGGATATGGTCATTGTTCCAAACATTTAAAGCACGAAGATACCATATAAGGGGTCTTCCTTTTTCTATTAGATTAAAGTGAGGGTCTTAAATACCCCGGAAAATATCAATGGCTAAAAAAGTGGTGTCGCGCCATCGTTAGTAAAACTGTTTTAAGTGCTGTAACCATGGTTACAAAACAAAATATGTTTAATAAGCGATGAACAGAAGCGCTTTAGTTTTTCTTCCTAATCATACGTTGCAATTGTAGGTATTCATCAGTTCATGGTTTTGATCTTTTATATTTTTGATTATCCAGTACAAGGTTTTTGAAAAGTGCCGGAAAGTCAAATTCTATGAAAAAGCCGCAAATGATTATATGTGAATGATAATTGTTGGAACACAAACGCAGTAGAATTGACAATAGAAAACATAAATATTTCTAGTTTAAGATCGTGTTTGCCTAAAATCTTTTGCTTTTTTGGCTGGTGGCTTCCTCTCAGGCAACCAGGATGAAGAAATGATACAGCAAAACGAAACGAAACATGCGAAACCACCGAAATGACCAAAGCAAAACGATCGAAACAAAACGAACCTAGCGACCAAAACGAACGACCGATATTACCCAAAAATATACATAAAATAACACGGGGGCGGATCTAGGGGAGGCCACATAAAGCAAAGTAGTCTATAGTCAAAGGTAGGGACCATCTTTGAATCGTACGTTCTCGATGTCAGAATAGGGTAATCCTGTTTTCCAAATAAGTGAGAAGTTCTTCTCAGTGCCATCGCCTGAGATGAGATTTCTTGTCATTCTCATCATATAATCCATGTAGAATTTTTGTGCTTCTCAGAACGAGTTTTATTGCGTGGGGAGCCCGCCAGTTCGAACGACATTTCAACCTTACCTGTCCTTAAAGTGTTCTGACTTCCGGTTCCCTGTTACGACTCTACTTCCGGTTATTATACTTTCAATTATCGAATGATACTCCTACATCACGTCTGACCATACGTTTTACGACTGGCATTTGATAGTTTTTTAAACAAACCCAAACACAAGAGCCAGCTCGTAACTAAACAGACGGCGGTAAGAGGTCTTACATCCTGAGAGACACCGCCGGTAATCGGCTTTCATTGAATCCGTGCTGACCCTTAAGAATGACTACCACTTAATTTCTCCTTACATTGTTACCCCTGAATCAAACATTAAGGTCATGAGAAAAAAAGAAATGACCAACAACTGAAGAAGCTCTTGATCGTTAAACAAATTCTCCCTGTCATCAGCTGAGAAAATGTATAGAGCGCAGTATGGAGAATATGCATCCTGATGTTAGGGTGTAAAGGGTGAAACGAAGGTGAATCTTTTGAGCCTGCCACTAACAAATTTCTTGCTTTCACCAGAGACATGAATTTCAGAGCGTGGATGGTGGAAACCTACCTGCAGATTCCGCGGTACCTGGGACGTGCACCTAAAGATGTGGACAAACTCACGTTTGAATTCAAAACTTTACACGAGTTGGACGCCATAGCCGCAGAACGAGCTGAAAGAAAGGTCTCCGTTTCTTGATTTCGTTCCCCATCGCATTGAAATTGTGAAAAACAGAAAACTTTTATGTATCATAGATTTTAATCATTTATAAGTAACTAAAGCTGTAAGGAGTCCTCTTTCAGCCTGCAAAGATCACAATCGATCCAATAGACCACTTTCGATACATCAAAATTCTAAAGTGGCTCCGAGGCTAGGGGGAATAAAACAAAACATATTTCACCTACTCATCCTTACATTTGTTATTTCTACAAACTCACTTTGTAACACAATCACCTGATGAGCCATATCTACAAAATGGACCTTGTGCGTGACAATGTGTTCTTATGATTAAAATTGCAATATGTTTATCAATAGCAGTGCAAGGTATTTACTTTTGCAAAAGCTAAGAAAATTCAAATAAAAGCAACATATGAAGCATTTTAGAATCATCGACATTACAGTGCTGCATTCCAGTGTACACTAGAGCTTGAAATATTTGTTTTTCTGATAGCGTTCTTTAGATTCAAATCATTGGGTAATTGTTTGGAGTTTCGTTATAGAAATCAAAGGGAACTAGAACTGAATTAGCGACTGGGTTTATTCTTCTGATCTTGACTTTAAAAAAACGAAGGCTGTGTGATCGCTTTGCGTTCCGTCAACTGAAAATACGAGTCAAAATTGTAAAGAATCAAAACTTGTAGAACCGAGATAGAAGGAGCGTAGGACGCCTGATGGCTATGATGATACAAGCCATTTAGATTCGAGGATAACTCTTGTGAATACCTCAGACGCGCCTAAAATTTTATGAAGACAGGGTCTATTCAGCCGCTGCCCCCAGGCTATAGAATGTCTCACCCATAAACCTTAAATTGAGTCCATTAGTTTCTGTTTTTTGAGAACAAATTAAAGACGCATTTTTCCACAGCTACTGATGATGAGATGATGAACTGTCAATTTACAACTATGATCAGGAGCTTTTTGCATCTACTGCTATATAGATTAAGTTATTATTGCTATTATGATGATTATTATTATAGGCTAACTGGCCCATTCTACAGAATCAACTATTCCTATTTTGAAAAACACGCACAAAGAAGCAAGAAAAACCTGAACAACATTTCGCTAAGCTCCAATTTAATAGTGATTATTACATGCTGAATAGACTTGATCGAGACAGTCGTTTTTTGGTTAAGTTGGTACTGTATCATTGTTGTGCCATAAACATGACAGTTCAGAAATCCACTGGTCTTATTTTCATCTCGGTTCTCTTGAGGGAGTAATGATATCCTTTCCAGTCTTTCCAGTTCACTCCATCAGCATAGGAGGAGTGATTGCCACGAAGATATAAACCATTGAGATTTGATTTGTGACAATTCTTGTACCACCAGGCTCCTTTGAACTTATTGGCGCAGTTGTGAATTCTATGATTGTCATTATGTTGATCTCTAGTGGTGAACGGCATACCGCGATGATAAGCAAGAGAGTCACCAGAATTTCCTGACAAAATGCATGAGCCGCAGTATGAGCGTTACGTTTGACCAACTATTAGCCGTTCGTAATTCAAAAGAAATCTTGAAATATCAGATAAGTATAATTTAACCATGATGAAATGGAGTAAAAGTATTTTATTAATATCTATGATTTATGTCAAAGATTCTTGAGATTAATCACTCAATATGATAATGCCAATAAATATGTTTACCGAGACACTCATCATAGTTGGATTAGTTCGTCAGGTTAAATGCACATGATCCACCGGCGAATACATTTGGACTAATCAATGTCTGGTATTCACTGTTCAGGATTGCATATCGATGAGATTACTTTTTTTGTCTTCCGAAGCTATCAGTGTAAAATATGTTAAGCATATTTACATCACTCAGCACTCTTCTTCCCCCCCCCTACCCCTCTTAGAATGACTAAAATAGAAGCGACGAAATGACAGTTTTACCTGAATAGGAACCAAGGATCAGCTTGTACTTGTCTTTCTCACTCATAACACCAAACATGTTATACTCAGCATATCGAGTATTCCCTTCAAAGTCCTCCAAGTCCACACGTAGCATGCTGTTATTATCTGAGGTCAGCCGGTGAATCTTGTCCAGTCCCAACCAAAATTCACTTTTCAGGTCACCAAAGCCATGTTTGTAGTCGTTCCAGTAGCGGTAGAAGTCAACCGAGCCATTCAGTCTTTTCTGGAACACTGTCCAACCACCACCGGCTGTTGTTTGGTCACAGTATACATCAAAGGCAGGCAAATTATCAGGTTTAATGGTGTACACACCGTCATTTGGTTTACCCGTGGATTTGTAGATTTCTGAGCAGTTTCTTTTGACTGAAAATCAGTAAAAACAAACAAAAAATAAAATAAAACGAACGCCCACTTTAAATGGTTTGGATGTTGACTGGTTTTTGTTGGCTTCCTGATTACTGCTCTGGCTGATAAAACGTAATTCTGAACATTAACTAGTACCATTTCCTTTTCTTAATATCTACCAGCTATATTCATGTAAAGTTACAGTAATAGGCTTTTCCTTTTTAACTCGTGAATTGCATGCATGCGCAAGAGCGAGTTGTAGATATGATGTGGAGAATGGCACTCGCTCGCTCCCTCGCTCGATTGGTCGATTCCTGTAAACTTTTTTTCAATTTTAGGCTTTTGAGTGCATTTGAGAGTATTTGGCGAGTAATGAACAAACGAAATGGCGACCTTTGTTCCTAAGAATAGTGGTGGGGTGAAAAAGAAGCCAATGATAATCTTAAAAGAGGTTTTTTTTTTCGTTTAAGTTTCAACAAGCGGCGCCAGCGACTGGCATGCGTGCCAGGATTCACACTGAAATAACAGAACAACATTCGTTTTTCATAAAATTGTAATTTACAATCCTTGAACTTGAAAACAATCCGAAGATTCATTAAAAATATTACTTACACCGAAGCAGTAAGGTGTTCAAAAGCTTTTTCTGTTATGGCGTGAGATTGGGGACAAAATCGATCATTACATTACGTATCGCGTGTTTTTTCTGTGTGAAGCAACAAAAGGTGCCGGCGACTGACGAAATTACAGGTTAACACGAAACTCAAATAACACCTAAACAAACAATTTTAGCTACCGATTTTCAGCGAATTTTTAAAGAACGATTTTCTTTTAAGTTTCAAGACAATTTTAAGTTTCAAAACAAATATTACGTACTAAAATGCGAAAGTTATACACCACAAAATTGATAAATAGGCCTGAAATGAAATTTTATCTTGTTTTTGAGTATACGTTGCCTAGCACGTGACCAAAATCTACCCAGGCTGAAATCCAAAATGACGGTAGCAGTCTGGGCTTAGTTATATCACTCAAAACTCCTTCCTGTATGTCTCATTTGATAAAGAGGGAATCACTCATGTTTTCATTAAGGCAGTATTGCCTTGATTTTCCAATATTTACAATGATAGACAATAAATTTCACTTTTCACCTACATTTACTTCCAACCTTTTCTTTTGAACCAGGAACAAAAATGATATATATTTAAAACACATGACATCATTCACCCTTGTCAAATGTAATGGCATGATCATTTCAGTTGTAATGCCTTCTTATCCAAACGTTACCTTTGTTTCGTTGCTACATTAGCGAACACTGAACTACTGCTCGTACTCTAAATATGACAATCAGCCACAAAATTTCCTAAACCAGATAACATTAAACATAATCTAAAAATCATGTAAGTCATATGTCAATTTACGAGTTTGCTCACAAACCACTTTGATTAGCTTTACTTCAGTGGTTACTATTTTGTTGTTGAAGTCAAGTTTGGGACTGAAGTGAGTAACTCCTCTCGTACTAAACGAGAGACTTGCCCACACAATCCTCTCATTTCACCTTCACTGATTTGACAGGTTTCTCCAGTGAATCTTTCCCAACAGACACAACGAAAACCTTTATAGGTGAATCCAGCCTGACAGGTGCCACTGTTTAAGCATGGGCTGCTGCTGCATGGATTCTGTTAAAAAAAAAAATTAACTTTTGACCTTGGAACTAATCTTCCTTATGTCAAGAATAAGATCACTTTAGCCTAAGAAAATTAAACAATCTCTTCAACCATCTCAGTTTCGTAAGAATGTGAAATGTTACCTCGATTGCAAGATAAGCGTAGCCTGGATTGTTCACGAGAAGAAATGAAGCATGGTTTTCCTCCGTGGCGTTATTCAAATCGCATTTTTGGCTTCCTCCTGTAACAGGTCCAACATTGATGGACACACAATTAGGCTCCATATAACACATTACTCTGCAGCTCCCCTCGTTTGGCACCTCTACACTTTTGATCACGTGATTTTTCATGGCCATGTTCGGTATTGGGTCTTTGAATTTGATGTGTCGACAGTCGTCGTCTGTGGTAGGCAAAATAAATACATCATTTAGTTTCCACTTACTCGAGGTAATTTCTTATTTTCATCGATGAAAAAGGCATATTAAACAACTTTATTTCAAAACTGTACAGCATGAGAACCCTGACGAGTTTTTCCTAAAGGTGATTCTCATCTCTTGGAAATTCAACGTAAATGGGAGGCTTTCATTACCAAAAATTAATCTTTGATTGTGAATTAATAAGCGGAAAGAAAATATTAAAAAAACATCAAGAATATTTTCATAGCGTTCATCAACGCACCACCATATCTGTGAATCGTTTGTTTTAATTCATCATTTTGAGCCTTTTTTAAAAATTTTACTTTTTTTGTATCTCTATTCCATATTAAAATAAAGTTCGGATATAACGCGCGCTGTCATTGGTTAAAAGAGTGTGCTCTATGAGAGTATAGAGCATAGAGCTGAGCTTAAGCTGTCGCACCATCTGCCAAATTGGATTATGTCCGATCTTTTCCAGGACTTTTCTTTAGCCTTTTTTTTAATTGAAAGTGATATTTCGAAACAAGTGAGTCGGCATGTAGCAACAGAACAACCAAACAAAGGTTTATAAACATGTTAGGCGCCGTAATTGACGTTATTATAACGTGAGCAGAGACGAAAATCCTCAAAGTGAAAACGAAATGAACAGTCCGAGTTTTGAAGGTTTTCACGCTTAGTTAGATTGCAAGCGAATAGTAATAAAAATCAAACACAGCTAACACTCGAATAATATATAAAGTTCGAGTTCAAAAGCAAAACAGAACAAAACAGGAATGATAAAAAATATAGCCAAAGTGGCATAACTGTTATAATTCATACTAATCATGACGGTGTCAGAGCGACTGCGAGCGAGCGACTGCGCTAACGTGGCTAGCTCGGAGATCGCCAGTGAAACAAGCCTCAGAAATTACATCGACCACCCTTCGCGTTAACAGTGAGCTTGCTCTGACGTCCTTTCCGATGTGTTGAGTGGTGAAGGCCACATCAGTCACTGCAACCGAGTTTTGCGGCTCAGTCATCTCGAGCAATCTTCCAGTTCCGATGAATTCGTCTCTCGTTCATTCATAAAATTCGCCTTGAGCAGTTTGTTTACTATTTATCATGAGAAAAAACGTGCGTGTTTTTGTGAGCCACAATTCGGCCGGATTTCACGGAACATTTCACCTCCACTTAGAGACTAAAAAACTTCTGGCAAAATTGTGAGATTCGACCTGCCAAACTATTTAAGTTTGTAAACAATTGCAGAATGTGAACTTTGATAGCCAATCAGATATTTGAACTGTTATAACAGCGATTCTGATTGGCTTATTGTACTACGTCTCGTGTTTCTCCCTACACTTGTTTTTCGTACTCGAACCGCTTCGTGCGTGCTTTACGACAGAACAGGGCACAGTCAAGGCTTCTCTATTTGTTAAATAGAAGACATTTTGAGTCAGATAAAGCGGATTGTCTGCTTTAAGGTTATTTACTTTGATCAGCAGGTAGCGTATGTAGTTCGTGTAATTGTTTTGAGGAAGCGACACCAGAAAGAGGAAACACAAAAATTTAAAAAGGGATCTATACTCACCGGTGCAACAGAAGCATGATGGGAGAATAATTCCAAGGAAGATATAGAGAATACTAATGATCGGTTGAAGAGAAAACTTGAACTGCATTGCTATAAATAAATAATTAAATTCAAGGTAATCAGTATAATAGTGAGCGTCCCAAAATATAACCTTACTGTTTTCCTGTAAATTTGAATGTTGACAAATGTTAGGCAGCTGTCTGCACTGGAGTATTTTTAAATTCTTACTCTATCTTGTAAATTTCATCTTATTCTTATAAGACCCAATATTTTATAAAGCTTCGAAGAAGAACGAAATGGAGCACATCACCCTTATCTGAGGTGACAGGAGTTTATCAATATGTCTATTTTCAGCCTGTTTAACTTTGAGCTTGCGGCAGTCAAGTTAAGAGCAGGAAACAAATTTTTGCAGACTTGCTACCGACAAAGATGTCAGATCACTTCTGAAAATACAAAATGTGAACAATTTATCCTGATGACTTGCGGCAATCAAGTTAAGAGCAAGAAACAAATTTTTGTAGACTTGCTACCGACAAAGATTTCAGATCACTTCTGAAATACAAAATGTTAACAATTTATCCTTTTTTATCTCAAAATGTTCTTCACTACGATAGAACAGCATTGCGCATTATTAACATGAAGATTAACTTTGAAGCAACTTTAAATTGAACAATGCGATAGAATGTATGTAAAGTACAGAGGCCTAAGTTTTTTATGTCTCGTATTGCTCATGGTAGTTGAACATGGTGGTTAGCATTAAACATCACCAGATTTTATCTTAGTTAGACAGGTCACGAGCATTCTATGACTTTCGGATGATATTTGAGAACTTCAACCTAAAAATTTTCAAATTTATAACAACTTTGACCAGAAGGGTGAGACAGAATGTGAAATATCGCGTGGCTGAATTGACAGAAATTTGCTCAAAATTTTTCGTAATCAATTCTGCAATTAACGCAATTGGTCTGAGCAAGAAAGGCTTGGTCTAAGAAATGTAGATAAGTAGCTCACAGATCTCTTACCTTCTGAGCGAAAAAGTGTTTTTCTGTACTTGGTTTTGTTCTTGAGGGTATCAATAATGAAAACTTTATGGTGTCGTGCTTTTCTTCAATTTATAGAACTGTTTGAACTTCTGTAACTATGGTTACAAAACAAAACCTCTGTTTTATACGCCACAGTCCTTCTTCCTGTTCAGCTGTTCTAATTGTTGTTAGTCATCAGGTCAAAGCTTTTGCGTTTAAATCTAAATGACTACGGAGTCTCATCTTAGTACCACTAGATATGACAGTCAATGAAATATTTCTATGAAAATCCAGTTGGTTAAGGCACTTTCAGCGAGACATGTAAGAAGTTTTAGAATTACACAACGCAGTCTTATTTTCCTTGGTGATATGTATTATGACAGGTTATGACAGGTTTACGTTTTTTAAGTTGAAAATTTATGAAAATATGTCGGAATTTTTAGAACTACACAACGTGTCGCATTTTCCTCACCAAAAAGCTCACGTACATAGATGTTGTCAATGAATACCGTTATCTGTTTCTTCCTCTCCTTACGCTTTGTAATTCAATTTGGCTGGCGTTCCGTCCTGAAAACTGCATATGAGTGTCAAATTTAAGTTTCAGCTGCTCGCGAGGTGGAGAAAAAATAAAGTCTCGTGAGACGGCCATAATATTTAAAAGCATTATATGCGAGAGATTATCTGAAGTGAAATCTACATTTTCTGGGGTCGTTTCCTTTCAGTCGTTTCACTTGTTTCGTTTTGCTGTTTCGGGTCTTGGTACATGCCGAAATCATTATAAACGATATCACCACAAACTAAACATTTCGACTTAATATCTGTCCGCTGAAAAAACTGATCTTACTAGAAAGTGCCCAGAAACTTAGAAAAAATGGCGATAAAATGCAAGAGGTACATGTCGACTTTGAATTTTTTTTTTCACCCAGGAAGCCATAGGCCTACGTAATAATAAAATATACAGTGTTGCAGAGAATGTGATACACTTTTTCAAGTAAGCGTTGTGCGATACTGTAACAGGTAAGCGTTGTACGATACTGTACTTCTCATCGTGCGCGAAAACCTTATTTGCGGTAGGGTACTCTTGTTAAAAGAGGTTGTTATTAACCACAAGGTAACTTAGTTCTAATAACTGAGTTGACAATGCAAATGATCCCCATAGAGGGTTCCTAAGGCTACCATTTCGAACGCCCCTCAACAGAGCTTTATTAATAACATCATTTTCATCGTCGCTCGACATAATTCCTGTGAATACGTTGACCCTCGTGCAAAAAATGGAAAGTAGCTTACAAATATATTTCTTACCTTCTGACTGACAAAATGTTTGTTGTACTTGATATTGTGTTTGGGTATGTTATGAGTGGTGAACATAAACGCCACAGGCCTTCTTCCTGTTCAGCTGTTCTACTTATTTCTAGTCATCAGATCACTGCTTTTGTGTTAACTGTGGGTGACTGGTTTTCTCTAAATAACATTGTAGAAGTATAATACTCAATGAAATACCTCAATAAGAGTCCTGCAAACAAAGCTACAAATGATGAGATGAGATCAATAATTGTAGGAACCCAAACACAGTGAGACAAAGTCTCGAGGGAAATTTGAAACAAGCCTAGGACGTTATAATCAACCCATTAATTTTCGCGCCCATATACTGGCTACTTTACAAAAAACACTCTTTTTGTAGAGTCTAGTAAAATATTAAAAAGCTGGTCGCAACTGCGCATCCGCATCAGATAAGCACTTGTTTTTCACGAGCGGTCTCGGGTGATATGAGAATTAAGAGGAGGGTACGTTTTAAAATAGATAAACCTCTTTCTGGCTTGCTGGTATTTCGGCTGATATTGTCCTTGGCTGAAAGATTGTCATAAAAACGTCATATTTTCCCTCGAAGCTTTGCTGCTCGGCCAAATATTTTTTAAAATTTTTGGACAATATCTCAGCCGTGGACATTATCAGCCGATTTACCAGCCGCCCGAATGGGTTTATTTACTAATTAGTTGTATCTCAAAAACAAGCAGAATGTTAAGGCCGTCAGAAAAATCTTCAAACGGCCGTCAAAGGATACGGTCATTGTTCCAAATATTTAAACCACGAAAATACCGTATAAGGGGTCTTTCTTTTTCTATTAGATTAAAGTGAGGGTCTTAAATACCCCAAAGAATATCAATCGCTAAAAAAGTGGTGTCGTGCCATCGTTAATAAAACTATTTTAAGTGCTGTAATCATGGTTACAAAACAAAATATGTTTAATAAACGATGAACGGACGCGCTTTAGTTTTTCTTCCTAATCATACGTTCCAATTGTAGGTATTCATCAGTTCATGGTTTTGGTCTTTTATATTTTTGATAATCCAGTACAAGGTTTTTGAAAAGTGCCGGAAAGTCAAATTCTATGAAAAAGCCTCAAATGATTAGATGTGAATGATAATTGTTGGAACACAAACGCAGTAGAATTGACAATAGAAAACATAAATATTTCTAGTTTAAGATCGTGTTTGCCTAAAATCTTTTGCTTTTTTAGCTGGTGGCTTTCTCTCAGGCAACCAGGATGAAGAAATGATACAGCAAAACGAAACGAAACGTGCGAAACCACCGAAATGACCAAAGCAAAACGATCGAAACAAAACGAACCAAGCGACCAAAACGAACGACCGATATGACCCAAAAATATACATAAAATAACACGGGAGCGGATCTAGGGGAGGCCACATAAAGCACAGTAGTCTATGGTCAAAGGTAGGGACCATCTTTGCATCGTACGTCTTCGACGTCAGAATAGGGTAATTCTGTTTTCCAAATAAGTGAGAAGTTCTTCTCAGTGCCATCGCCTGAGATAAGATTTCTTGTAGTTCTCATCATATATTCCATGTAGAATTTTTGCGCTTCTCAGAACGAGTTTTATTGCGTGGGGGGAGCCGCCAGTTCGAACGACAATTCAACCTTACCTGTCCTTAAAGTGTTCTGACTTCCGGTTCTCTGTTACAACTCTACTTCCGGTTATTATACTTTCAATTATCGAATGATACTCCTACATCACGTCTGACCATACGTTTTACGACTGGCATCCTATTTTATACAAACCCAAACACAAGAGCCAGCTCGTAGGCTAAACAGACGGCGGTAAGAGGTCCTATATGCGGAGAGACACCGCCGCCAATCGGCTTTCATTGAATCCGTGCTGACCCTTAAGAATGACTACCACTTAATTTCTCCTTACATTGTTACCCCTGAATCAAACATTAAGGTCATGAGAAAAAAAAAATGACCAACAACTGAAGAAGCTCTTGATCGTTAAACAAATTCTCCCTGTCATCAGCTGAGGAAATGTATAGAGAGCAGTATGGAGAATATGCATCCTGATGTTAGGGTGTAAAGGGTGAAACGAAGGTGAATCGTTTGAGCCTGCCACTAACAAATTTCTTGCTTTCACCAGAGACATGAATTTCAGAGCGTGGATGGTGGAAACCTACCTGCAGATTCCTCGGTACCTGGGACGCGCACCTAAAGATGTAGACAAACTCACGTCTAAATTTAAAACTTTACACGAATTGGACGCCATAGCCGCAGAACGAGCTGAAAGAAAGGTCTCCGTTTCTTGATTTCGTTCCCCATCGCATTGAAATTGTGAAAAACCGAAACTTTTATGTATCATAGATTTTAATCATTTATAAGTAACTAAAGCTGTAAGGAGTCCTCTTTCAGCCTGCAAAGATCACAATCGATCCAATAGGCCACTTTCGATACATCAAAATTCTAAAGTGGCTCCGAGGCTAGAATAAAACAAAACATATTTCACCTACTCATCCTTACATTTGTTATTTCTACAAACTCACTTTGTAAAACAATCACCTGATGAGCCATATCTGCAAAATGGACCTTGTGCGTGACAACGTGTTCTTATGATTAAAATTGCAATATGTTTATCAATAGCAGTGCAAGGTATTTACTTTAGCAAAAGCTAAGAAAATTCAAATAAAAGCAACATATGAAGCATTTTAGAATCATCCACATTACAGTGCTGCATTCCAGTGTACACTAGAGCTTGAAATATTTGTTTTTCTGACAGCGTTCTTTAGATTCAAATTATTGGGTGATTGTTTGGGGTTTCGTTATAGAAATCAAAGGGAACTAGAACTGAATTAGCGACTAGGTTTATTCTTCTGATCTTGACTTTAAAAAAACCAAGGCTGTGTGATCGCTTTGCGTTCCGTCAACTGAAAATACGAGTCAAAATTGTAAAGAATCAAAACTTGTAGAACCGAGATAGAAGGAGCGTAGGACGCCTGATGGCTATGATGATACAAGCCATTTAGATTCGAGGATAACTCTTGTGAATACCTCAGACCCGCCTAAAATTTTATGAAGGCAGGGTCTATTCAGCCGCTGCCCCCAGGCTATAGAATGTCTCACCCATAAACCTTAAATTGAGTCCATTAGTTTCTGTTTTTTGAGAACAAATTAAAGACGCATTTTTCCACAGCTACTGATGATGAACTGTCAATTTACAACTATGATCAGGAGCTTTTTGCATCTACTGCTATATAGATTAAGTTATTATTGCTATTATGATGATTATTATTATCGGTTAACTGGCCCATTCTACAGAATCGACTATTCCTATTTTGAAAAACACGCACAAAGAAGCAAGAAAAACCTGAATCACATTTCGCTAAGCTCCAATTTAAGAGTAATTATTACATGCTGAATAGACTTGATCGAGAAACTCGTTTTTTTGGTTAAGTTGGTACTGTATCATTGTTGTTCGATAAACATGACAGTTCAGAAATCCACTGGTCTTATTTTCATCTCGGTTCTCTTGAGGGAGTAACGATGTCCTTTCCAGTCTTTCCAGTTCACTCCATTAGCATACGAGGAGTGCTGGCCACGAAGATATAAACCATTGAGATTTGAGTGGTGACAAGTCTTGTACCACCAGGCTCCTTTGAACTTATTGGCGCAGTTTTGACCTCCATGATGGTCATTATCTTGATCTTTAGTGGTGAATGGCATGCGGCGATGCATAGCAAGAGAGTCACCAGAAGTTCCTGACAAAACGAGCAGCAATATGAGTGTTACGTTTTACCAACAATGAGCCGTTCGTAATTCAAAAGAAATCATGAAATATCAGATAAGTATAATTTAACCATGATGAAATGGAGTAAAAGTATTCTTATTAATATCTATGATTTATGTCAAAGATTCTTGAGATTAATCACTCAACATGATAATGCCAATAAATATGTTTACCGAGACACTCATCATAGTTGAATTAGTTCGTCAGGTTAACTGTGCATGATCCACCGGCGAATACATTTGGACTAATCAATGTCTGGTATGCACTGTTCAGGATTGCATATCGATGAAATTAATTTTTTTGTCTTCCAAAGCTATCAGTGTAAAATATGTAAAGCATATTTACATCACTCAGCACTCTCCTCCTCCCCCCCCCCCTTCTCCCTCTTAGAATGACTGGAATAGAAGCGACGAAATGACAGTTCTACCTGAATAGGAACCAAGGATCAGCTTGTACTTGTGTTTCTCACTCATAAAACCAAACAAGTTATACTCGGCATATGCTGTGTTCCCTTCAAAGTCCTCCAAGTCCACACGCAACATGCTGTTATTATCTGAGGTCAGCCAGTGAATCTTGTCCAGTCCCAACCAAAACTCACTTTTCAGGTCACCAAAGCCATGTTTGTAGTCGTTCCAAATGCGGTAGAAATTCACCGAGCCGTCCAGTCTCTTCTGGAACACTGTCCAACCACCACCGGCTGTTGTTTGGTCACAGAATACATCAAAGGCAGGCAAATTATCAAGTTTAATGGTGTACACACCGTCAGTTGGTTTACCTGCGGACTTGTAGATTTCTGAGCAGTTTCCTGAAAATCAGTAAAAACAAACAAAAAACAAAATAAAACAAAACGCCCACTTTAAATGGTTTGGATGTTGACTGGTTTTTGTTGGCTTCCTGACTACTGCTCTGGCTGATAAAACGTAATTCTGAACATTAACTAGTACCATTTCCTTTTCCTTAATATCTACCAGCTATATTCATGTAAAGTTACAGTAATAGGCTTTTCCTTTTTAACTCGTGAATTGCATCCATGCGCAAGAGCGAGTTGTAGATATGATGTGGAGAATGGCACTCGCTCGCTCGATTGGTCGATTCCTGTAAACTTTTTTTCAATTTTAGGCTTTTGAGTGCATTTGATAGTATTTGGCGAGTAATGAACAAACGAAATGGCGACCTTTGTTGCCAAGAATAGTGGTGGGGTGAAAAAGAAGCCAATGATAATCTTAAAAGAGTTTATTTTTTTTCGTTTAAGTTTCAACAAGCGGCGCCAGCGACTGGCAGGCGTGCAAGGATTCACACTGAAATAATAGAACAACCTTCGTTTTTCATAAAATTGTAATTTACAATCCTTGAACTTGAAAACAATCCGAAGATTCATTAAAAATATCACTTACTCCGAAGCGGAGTTTATAGGTGTTCAAAAGCTTTTTCTGTTATGGCGTGAGATTGGGGACAAAATCGATCATTGCATTACGTATCGCGTGTTTTTTCTGTGTGAAGCAACAAAAGGTGCCGGCGACTGACGAAATTACAGGTTAACACGAAACTCAAATAACACCTAAACAAACAATTTTAGCTACCGGTTTTCAGCGAATTTTTAAAAAACGATTTTCTTTTAAGTTTCAAGACAATTTGAAGATTCAAAACAAATATTACGTACTAAAATGCGAACGTTATACACCACAAAATTGATAAATAGGCCTGAATGAAATTCTATCTTGTTTTTGATTGTACGTTGCCTAGCACGTGACCAAAATCTACCCAGGCTGAAATCCAAAATGACGGTGGCAGTCTGGGCTTAGTTATATCACTCAAAACTCCTTCCTGTATGTCTCATTTGATAAAGAGGGAATCACTCATGTTTTCATTAAGACAGTATTGCCTTGATTTTCCAATATTTACAATGATAGACAATAAATTTCACTTTTCACCTACATTTACTCGCAACCTTTTCTTTTGAACCAGAAACAAAAATGATATATATTTAAAACACATGATATCATTCACCCTTGTCAAATGTAATGGCATGATCATTTCAGTTGTAATGCCTTCTTATCCAAACGTTACCTTTGTTTCTTTGCTACATTAGCGAACACTGAACTACTGCTCGTACTCTAAATATGACAATCAGCCACAAAATTTCCTAAACCAGATAACATTAAACATAATCCAAAAATCATGTAAGTCATCTGTCAATTTACGAGTTTGCTCACAAACCACTTTGATTAGCTTTACTTCAGTGGTTACTATTTTGTTGCTGAAGTCAAGTTTGGGACTGAAGTGAGTAACTCCTCGCGTACTAAACGAGAGACTTGCCCACACAACCCTCTTATTTCACCTTCACTGATTTGGCAGGTTTCTCCAGTGAATCTTTCCCGACAGACACAACGAAAACCTTTATAGGTGAATCCAGCTTGACAGGTGCCTCTGTTTAAGCATGGGCTGCTGCTGCATGGATTCTGTTAAAAAAACAAAATAAACTTTTGTGCAAATCTTCCCTATGTCAAGAACAAGATCACTTTAGCCTAAGAAAATGAAACAATCTCTTCTGCCATCTTAGTTTCGTAAGAATGTAAAATGTTACCTCGATGGCAAGATATGCGTAACCCGGATTGTTCACGAGAAGAAATGGAGCATGGTTTTCCTCCGTGGCGTTATTCAAATCGCATTTTTGGCTTCCTCCTGCAACAGGTCCAACATTTATGGACACACAATTAGGCTCCATATAACACATTACTCTGCAGTTTCCTTCGTTTGGCACCTCTACACTTTTGATCGCGTGATTTTTCATGGCCATGTTCGGTATTGGGTCCTTGAATTTGATTTGTCGACAATCGTTGTCTGTGGTAGGCAAAACAAATATATCATTTAGTTTCCACTCACTCGAGATGATTCATTTCTTATTTTCACTAATGAAAAAGGCACAGTAAACCACTTTATTTCAAAACTTTACAGCATGAGAACCCTGACGAGTTTTCCCAAAAGGTGATTCTCATCTCTTGAAATTCAACGCAACTGACATGGGAGGCTTTCATTACCAAAAATTGATCTTTGATTGTGAATTCATGAGCGGAAAGAAAATATTTAAAAAAATATCAAGAATATTTTCATAGCGTTCATTACCACACCACGACATCTGTGAATCGTTTGTTTTAATTCATCATTTTGAGCCATTGATGCGCATGTGGTGAGGTCTTTTTTAATTTGACTTTTTTGTATCTTTTATTCCATAATAGAAGACATTTTGAGTTGGATAAAGCGGATTGTCTGCTGAAAGATTATTTGCTTAGATCAGCAGGTGGCGTATGTTGTTACTGTAATGGTTTTGAGGAAACGACACCAGAAAGATGAAACACAAGAAATTCAAAAAGGGATTTATACTCACCAGTGCAACATAAGCATGGCGGGAGAATAATTCCAAGGAAGATATAGAGAATAACAATGATCGGTTGAAGAGAAAACTTGAACTGCATCGCTATAAATAAATAATTGTAAATTCAAGGTAATAAATATGATAGTGAGCGTCCCAAAATATAAACCTTCCGGTTTCCTGCAAATTTGAATGTTAACAAATGTTAGGCAGGAGCCAGCTTTGTCTAACTAGAGGAACTCTTAATTAGCACAACATTTCGAAGGCAAATACTTCGTCTAGTTTCGGTATTGGTCTAAAAATCGTTGCTATGCTAACAGCTTGTGTTATTCCGTAAAAAAACCCTAGTATTAATTTCTTCATAATAAATATTCATTTTCTAAGGTGAATTAACCACTACAAAAGGCGCAAAAAGAGGAAAATAATAGACAGTTGTTGTTTGTCTGCATTGGAGAATTTTTAAATTCTTACTCTATCTTGTAAATTTCATCTTCTTCTGATAAGTCATAATATTCTATAAAGCTTCGGAGAAGAACGAAATAGAGCGCATCACCGTTATCGGAGTTGAAAGGAGTTTATCAATATGTTTATTTTCAGCCTGTTTAACTTTGAACTTGCGGCAGTAAGGTTAAGAGCAAGAAACAAATTTTTGTAGACTTGCTTCCAACAAAGATGTCAGATCACTTCTGAAATGCAAAATGTTTACAATTTATCCTTCTTTATCTCAAAATATTCTTCAGGACAATAGAACAGCATTGCACATTATTAATATGAAGATTAACTTTGTAGCAACCCTAAGCAACAATGCGATAAAATGTATGTAAAGTACAGAGGCCTTAGTTTTTTATGGCTCGTATTGCTCATCGTAGTTGGCATTAAACATCACCCGATTTTGTCTTAGTTAGACTGGTCGCAAGCATTTTATGACTTTCGGATGATATTTGAGAACTTCAACCTAAAAACTTTCAAATTTGTGACAACTTTGACCAGAAGGGTGTGACAGAATGTGAAATATCGTGTGGCTGAATTGACAGAATTTAACACAAAATTTTTCTGGATCATGTCTGAAATCAGCGCAATTGGTCTGAGCAAGGAAGGCTTGGTCCAAGAAATATGGATAACTAGCTAACAGAGATATGCTTCTTACCTTTTGAGCGAAAAAGTGTTTTTCGTACTTGGTTTTGTTCTTGGGGGATATCAATAGTGAAAACTTTATGGTGTCGTGCTTTCCTTTAATTAATAGACCTGTTTGAACCTCTGTAACTATGGTTACAAAACAAAACCTCTGTTTTATACACCTCAGTCCTTCTTCCTGTCCAGCTGTTCTAGATGTTGTTACTCATCAGGTTAAAGCTTTTGTGTTTAAATTTAAATGACTGCGGAGTCTCATCTTAGTACCATTGGATATGACAGTCAATTAATATTTCTATGAAAATCCAGTAGAATGTTTTGAAAAACATATATCGCAAGTCTAACTCTTAAACAAAGCTGCAAACTTCTTGGTTAAAACACTATCAGCGGGACATGTGAGAAGTTTTAGAGTTACACAACGTGGTCCTATTTTCCTTGGTGATATGTGTTATGACAGGTTCACGTTTTTCAAATTAAAAATTTATGAAAATATGAATTTTTAGAACTACACAACATGTCGTATTTTCCCCCGGAGTTAACCACAGTGTTACATATAAGGTTATGATTTTCCAATTTAGAAAGTATCTTGCAAAAAATGTTCTCGTCAAAATTACTCTTATTTTCCTAGGCAACCAGGATGAAGAAATAATATCATAAAACTAAGGCCCGAAACTAAAACTAAACTAAAACCCAAAACAGCAAAACAATACGAAATAAGTGAAACATGCAAAACCACCGAAATGACCAAAACAAAAAGATTGAAACGAAACGACCGAAACGACCAAAATAGTATACAAAAAAAATTGATAAAAATAAAATGAATGCCCAAGGGTGTCAGGCGTCAGTCGTCATATTCGTCTCGTTTAGATTATGGTCTACTCCTAATCTATGTCACGGGGAAATTCAGTTATCTCTCTATTAACATCAGCTTGGCGTGAGGCGTCGAGGAAACCATATTGAAAAAAAAAATCACTAAAAAACTTACGTACATAGATGTTTTCATTGAATACCGTTATCTGTTTCTTCCTCTCCTTACGTTGT